TTCCTCCCTCTTTTTTCCCATTTAACCCTTTTTGGTCAATTCCTAAGGTATGAAGCGGTCTATCTTTTCTCCCCTGTGAAGATCCACGCCAATTGCCCGGTTAACATTCCAGTCCTGCAGAGCCTGCTCCACCACCCTGCTGCATAACCTACCCATTCTCCCGGTCGACCAGATACTTTATCGATATGCTTGGCTGGTAGATCGGCTCCGTTGCTACCTCGCCCCTGCCGAGTGCTACGTGAAGTGCATCCAAGTCGATTCGATTCCTTTCTCCTGTCATCAGATTCGATATCCACTCTTCCTCCCTTCGGACTGCTACCCTTGCCTCCTTATACACTCGAACACTACCATTTCCTTCTTCTTTTCACTCCATGAAAATTTGGTGATCTTTAATTTCCCGTGCATGAGGGTCAAACGAAGTGTGATTCGAGATGGATGTTCAGGACGGAATCACCGTCCGTCCCATGAGGCGTATGGATTTTCCTGTGTTTGTGTTTGTTTATGAGGATTGAGGCTAAACACGTTCATGCTACAGTGAAGGTTTTATACACATTCGACAACGAGAATAAGACGAATTGTCTGGCTCGCTGGCCGAACGTCCTCGACATCCAAACTGCGTATTTGGATGAGCAATCCCCGGTCGGGGTGATCGAATTGAAGACATGTATTCAGGCAATCGTTTCCGCAAGGTTTGTACCTTCTTCTCTGATCAAACGTCCGTCCATTGAATGCTTATGAGTGTTTTTTTATCCAGTCCTGAATTGGTAGCACAATTGGGAAAAGATTATACGGTTTACGCTTACGACTACTCCGAATACGAAACCCCCCTAGTCGGACAGGGAATGCTATCATGGGTCCTCGCTTCTGCATCGCCGACACCGGACGCTCCGGCTCACCAGTCCAAGACGATGGTCACGGGTCGTGTGTGCAAAAATCCGCTCGGTCTTTTTTCGAGGGGTGCCGGTGCCCAGGAGACACTGGAGGTCAAATTACGACTAGTCCCCGTGCCAACCGTCATGCAAAGCGAATATCTTGATAGCATGCAAAAATATCGGGAGTTGAGCAATGTCATTCCTCACGACTTTGACGCCCAAACATGGAGCAACTTTGTCCGCCAAAATCCCGCTTTGCTGGAGGCTGCTCGACAGAACGACCAAATTCCTTCCCCAATGACCCAGTCTGGAATTGAGCGATTCCACCAGCTCTTGAGTGAAGGTGCTACCCCACGCGAGTTCTCCAATTATCACAGTGAATCCGTCCGTTCCTCGTCGCCTACACATTCATTCGGTCCTCCCAGTCGGATGTCAACACCCGCTGGATCCCGCCCCTCAGCGCAGCACCAGCAGTCTCAATCGAAGCACAACTTTGGTCAGAGTGATATGATCCGCCCCTCATCCAGTGCTTCCATGCAGGACTGTGAATTCCAGCATCAAACTTTCAGCGGCCGGCCCCGACGAGATTCCATTCAGTCTGGCTATGGAAGTGGCGCTGATGATGTCGCAGAGCCACAGCCTCGGAAGAGAGCCAAGCTTGTCCAAGCTGGCTGGCCCGGCAAGTCTGACATGAATATCGAGCGGCAACCCAGCTCGTTGCGTGTTATGGCCAGCACTGCCGCCTCGGTCCGAATCCATCGTCCAACCCCAGTCAACCCTGCTCTTGCTGTAGAGCAGTCCAACGAGGAACCTATTCGCCCACCTACTCCCATCTCTCGACCTGGAGATATGCAGCGTCGGGGTCGACTCCAATCTAGCTTGCTCCGAGAATCTTCTACCAACGGCGTCTCCTCATATGCATCACCATACTACAACAGTGACGATATAATCACGACGGACCAGACTGCGCACTCCCCGGATGACTCACGCTACCAAGGTCTCTTTGAGCCTGGGTTCAATATGCCATCGTCCCCTCCTATTTTGGATGGTCATCGATTCGCGCAAAGGTCCAGTCCCGTCCTGCCTGCTATGTCCCTGGACACTGATTCGGGCTTCATGAGTGGTGGTTTCGATGACCTTATGGATGACGGGGCTCCTACCCCCGTGGAGGAGCGTCGCAGGATTGAGTCTCGCGAAGTCGCCTCCGAGAAGCGCTCCCGCCCTGTTCGATCTGCTGTCCAGGCTAGCTCTCCCGCTAGTGCCATTGGTCTCATGTCAGAAAGCGCTAATGATCCAATTGTGATGAACGATGGCTCGGCAGACCAGAGCTTCAATAAGCCACCCACCCGTCCGACCACATCTGCTGAGTCTAGGCCGTCTTCGCGTTCTGGCGTTCGGCTTGCCCCGAAGCCGCTAGCACCGGCACGAATTTCGCATAATGAAATTGTGCACTTGATGAATGCCATTCCAGCCAGCGATCCTATTGCTCCTAGCCAACCCCCTCCCCTTCATCACTCACATACCTGGAACGGGCCAATGAGTGATTTCACTTTCGTCGAGACCCCGAGGCCTCCTACTGCGATTAGCAAGCCTCGCAGTGGAACAGGTGCCAAACGATCCAAACAAGTGCAGGTCCGCTTGGAGCAAGCTGTTAAGGCTGGTGAAGTTCCTCCTTACTGCGAGAACTGTGGCTCCGTGGAAACCCCGACGTGGCGTCGAGCCTGGTCGATGGAGGTTTCTGGTGGTGAACAACTTGCAACTGAGATGATGACTGGGCTCAATATGTTATTTTGGGAAGTCCAGGAACGAAATGACCAGGGCGAAATCACCCGATTCAAGATCGTCAAGAAGAGTCTGGCCAATGCGGACAAGGGTTGGACACAGGATCTGCTGTGTAATCCCTGTGGTCTGTGGCTTCACAAATTCAAGCAAATGCGCCCCGAGAACAAGTGGAACAAGCAGCCTGCAGATAAGACCGGTAACAACACGAAAAAGCGCTCCTCGAGGAACCGCAAGCAGAGTGGTGGTCCGCTTTCTAAGCCTAGTACTCGGGCTCGCAGCAATGGCCCGCCTACATCTACTGCAGCATCTTCTCCGGCTCCTACCGAGGCCTCCTCTGTACAAAACGAAGAAGGCACCACTCCTCAAGCGGTCAACGACCAGGACTATTCAGAAGATCATCCCAACAAGAAGCGTCGGGCAAACAGTGCAGAGCCCCTGCGGTCTTCAGAATCTGCCAAGCAGCGCTGGGCTGGTCAGGATGCTGTGGAGGCTCTTCGCCGAGCCATTCAATCTAGTCCAGCTAGGAACCTGGAGAACCGAGTTGCTCCCACGCCCGAGGATACTACCCACCTTACTCCTAAGCCTGTACGACGAGCTCTTTTCCCTTCTTCTCACAACGACGGCGCGTTGAAAGACCTGGATGCTTCGTTTGTCAATAGCTGCTCTCCTCGACGCAGCCCCCGCATCGCTTCTCGTGGAGATAAAGCGGCTCACGAGGATAAGGAGAACCAGGAGCCCACCCCTCATGGTGATATCGATGGCCTCTTCGAGAGCCCTTCCATAGACTTCGATATGCCAATTAGCCCGACCCCTCGCCGCCGCAATCACCGCATCAACGCAGTGCACGAGCGTCGTCATTCACTGCCTTGCAACTCGCCTACCGCTAACCGACGCAAGGAGGTCGGCTCAAACATGAACCAGAGCCCGACCCGTCTAACTGCGGAGCGCCTGCAACGTATCCAGGAGGGCCATGGACGGACCACTCCCCGGCAGCATCGTTCACCCAACAAGCATGATGTGCCCACGATTGCAGACACGGGTCTCCACTCGGAGGCCTTCCAATCCCTCGATGGCATGATTCTCGATATCTTCGATGAGGCTCCCGACCAGTCCAACTTCGATTTGGAGAACGCCAAGTTGGATGAAAACTGGGCTGACTGGCTCCCCAACGACTACGTCTCTCCTTCTGGCTCTGAAGAAGGCCCCGGCTCTTCAGAGGACTTAATCAACGCAATTCTCTCCGATCCGGCCGCCATGAAAGACCACATCCACAACTCCCAATTCCACCTTTTCAACTTTGGTGACTCGGAGATGCCCGATTCGGGTTTCTTCAGCTCCGATGCTCTCCACACAGATCCCGTGGGTCTAACATCAAAAGACCAGCCTGCCAGCGAGCAGAGCAACGGTCAACAGGCAACCTCTCCAACAGTGTGAGGCAATGCCTAATACAACTTTTCCCTTTTCTGTCCTATTCCTGACTGATTTTGAGCGACGGCGTCTTGGTTGGGTGGCTTGTTCGATTTATTGCATCCCGACCTCAATATGGAGGCGGTTTTATGCCCTCGTCTGATGATATCTTTCATCGTGTTTCTACGATGATCAGAAGTACCTTGTTGGTCTTCTCTACATTCGTTGTGCCCTATGTGTGTGTATGCCTTTAGGCTGCGCTCATATGGTTATTGCTGTCACCGAGCAGCAAGTTATGATAAACGACAGACAAAATAAAACAAAATCTTTAATTCAATATCTCATCCCAAAACTAGCCTCACACAATTAGATCGTACCGGGGTGTACTGGGTAGCCAGGTTTTCCATCTAGTATCCGCGAGCGCCAGGATCTATGTCACTAGGTAAATTTTAGTCCGGGCTCTAGCATTCTCTGGGGGGACTTGGTCCTTCGTTGTAGCCTACCTTGAGCAAGAACCGGACAGACAGATTGGCGCACAGCTAGAGGTTGTCTAGTTGAGTCTACGCAATCTACTAGACGAAAAGCAATGAGATGCTCATAATTGGGATGGTATAATTCTGCCATCGAAGAGCTATGATCATAACATCGTGTGAAGTATGCAAATCTAACAAAAAAAGGCGCTCAGAGGACATCAACTTTCATGTTCCTCTAATATCTCAGGCACATTCCATAGTTGCACTCGCTGATGATCCTTTTAATCCACTCGTGACTCTTCTGCGCACCAAGCTGCTGGACCTCATGTGAAAGACCTCATGTGAAACAATGACAACACACCATATGACTTCGCAGGTAAATCCAGTTTGAACTATTTTTGTGTAAAAAGAGTCCGCTAGAGAGGTATGTAGCATGTCAATTCGACCCTGGTCTCGCGGGTATCAATTACTCGGCATCGTAGAAGACGCTCTTGAAACGGTGCGTAGCCTCAACGACCTGCTCATAGATCTTGTAATCTGAATTCAGAATGGAACATATTAGCCACGTTAAATAACCTGGGCTCATCATGAAAGACTCACCACAATCGGCGGGATTGCCCCAGTCCGTTGTTCCGAGCACCCGAATGCCGAGACCCTGGTACTCCTGTCAGTCTTTCGTCCAAGCAAGATACACGGAGCTAGGCTTCATAATTGGGCCTAGTATATCCACGGCCTGTCCCAGTTTAAAAAGAATAAGAAATGTCGAATGCATACCTGTCCACCCTCAAGATCAGCAACCTTCCCGATCACTTCAACAAGTTTCCCCATCTGGAGGTGAGAGTCCGGCTTGAGGATGAGTGTGACATCGCCATTTCCACCACATGTAATTGTCGCAGTATCGCCGTGGAGAGCGGACACGGTGCCCAACAGGCGGACGGTGTGTGTTGAACGCGGGCCGGAGCTCGAGGGGTGGAAGGCGTGCAGGTGGGCGGGGAGGATGCGGGGGGTCTGGAGAGACATTTTGGCCGTGATTTATTGTTCTGTTTGAGTTGAAATCCACAGGAGAGGTAGTGTCAGAGAGCTGCTCGAAAAGTTTTCAGTTCGTCGAGTTGAATCGGAGGTACTTGGAGGCTTCTTGGGTCGACGCGGTGCGCGGGACGCGTGGTCACGTGGAGGGGTTGTAAAGAGCTTTAATGCTCGAGACCGTGGATTTCTGCTGCGGCGGATCAAGTACTTCTTGATCCAGGTGATAGTTCGCCTCGTGCTCAGGTTACATTGGTTGTTTCCAGCAGCTTCATCCACGATCCTCTCCAAATCAAATAGTTCAACTTGCAAAAAGCGACTTCAGTATATCATCACGTGACATTATCGATTTCGACCCGGAGCTCTCTTGCTACGTCAACGCCTCCAGCTCCAAGCCAGTGATCCCCAGAGACCGGATTGATGGGCACGGCACATTTAACTTGAGCCATCCTTTCAATCAAGCTGTCAACACACCCCCAATCAACTCCCGCGAGAACTGGGGAATTCTACAAGAATGCCTCCTCCACTCCCCCTCCCACCACCGGGGCATGACCGCGAACCCGCTCAAGCCAGTGGGCCGGTACCGACCTGGGAAAGCAGTCGCAGAAGATCCCTCGTCATCGGAAGAGGAAGAGGAAGGTGATATCGAGGCGCAAAAGGAACAAGAACGACTCCGACGAATCGAGGCGCAGCGCAAAAGACAGCAAGCGCCCAAGGCAAGCTCATTCCCCGTCGCCGCAGCTCGCAAAGCTCAGGAGGAGCCCGAGGAGGACGAAGAGGGTTTCGAGACTGAGGATGACGAGGATGAACCCGCGGCGGCATCGAAAGCGAAGCCTGCGCAACCTGAGTCGGATGCATCAGAACCTACAGCACACAAGTCTGCTCTGGTAGCAGCCCCTGAAGAAAGCGAAGAAGAGAGCGAGGAGGAAAGCGAAGAAGAGGAAAGCAGCTCCGAGGACGAAGCGCCCCGGAGAATGCTGATACGGCCTACTTTTATTAAGAAAGATAAGAGAGGCAACGCCGCAGTGCAAGACGAAGCCCAAGCAGAGGCAGCCGAAGAGGAAGCGCGCCGCGCGCAACGACAAGAAAAAGCAGACCAACTTGTTCGCGACCAACTCGAAAAGGAAGCAATTGCCCGTTCAGCCGGAAACCGAGCCTGGGACTACGACGAGCTAGTTGAAGCGGACGAAGAAGGCGAAATCGACGACCGCGACGGCATAGACCCCGACGCCGAGTACGCAGCCTGGAAGCTGCGTGAGCTAAAACGACTCAAGCGTGAGCGCGAAGCGATTGAAGAAGCGGAGAAAGAGCACGAAGAGATCGAGCGCCGTCGCAATCTCACTGCAGAGGAACGAGACCGCGAAGATCGCGAGTTCATTGCGAAGCAGAAGGAAGAGCGCGAGGCGACCCGTGGTGAGACCGGGTTCATGCAGCGATACTTCCACAAGGGAGCGTTCTTCCGCGACGATTTGGAGCGCGAGGGATTGGATCAGCGCAATCTTATGGGACGGCAGTTTGTGGATGAGACATCGCGTGAGACGTTGCCTGAGTATATGCAGATTCGTGATATGACCAAGCTCGGCAAGAAGGGCCGGACTCGCTATCGCGATCTTAAGACGGAGGATACGGGTCGATTCGGCGACGGGTATCAGACCCGGCGGCGTGATAATGCTCCTCCAGTTGGCATTACGGATGAGCGATTCATGCCTGACCGGAGGGATGATCAGCCTCAGGGTCCGACGGGAGCCAATGCCAGTGCTGTTCAGCCTCGACGGAGATCAAGGACTCGTTCTCCACGACGAGACCGTCGCGACCAGCGAAGTCGGTCTCGAGAGCGTCGGAAACGCAGCCCTTCCCCGTACGAAGATAGGGACAAGCGCCGACGAGTGGACAGTTCATGATCAGCCTCACGACCGAAGCATAGCTTTTTTACATTTCTTTCTGGCGTTGGCACGGAGTCTGAACAAAAGTTGCATGGGTGGATTTTGCACTCTTATGTGATATACTGGCATTTCGAGCAACCGATACTCCCTCATTTAGAACCTGTATGGAATAAAGCAATCGCCCTTCACCTGGAGGGCGTGTAATTGTTTGAATGTGATATCTATTATCCCAAAGGGAAAGACTTTGTACATAGAGCTCCATAGAATGGGGTTGGATTTGACATCCCGGCCGCGATGTCCTCATGACTTCGTAAAACGGGCCCAGCCGGAATGGAAGTGGAATCAGTCGGCGTACAAGCCGCATGTTTCCAAAAGTAGTCCTAGAAACGGCACGATTCTCAGAGCGAGGCGAGGTATCTGCTTGACTGGCAAGTCTAGACTCGGCCGCAGGGTGAATCATCCGAGGTTGGGCTTCGCTTATTTGACACCATTCCGCTCAAGAACTTTCTCACGCTCCATGACGCTGTCCCCGAACCGAACGAGGAACACGGTGCGGCTGGGCCACATCTCCGTCGGCTGGTTATGGGCTGAGACCTTGGCTTCGAAGCCACACCCGTCGCACACGCCCTCGATGATACCGGCCACAAAGGCGGCGCAGTTGAGCATGCTCATCTCGCGCGGCACGCTGATATATGTGTTGACTAGGGGATCATTGTCGGTGATCATGTATTCATTGGGGGTGTCCGGTGAAACGGAGTGCTCGAGGGCATCGGCGGAGCGTTGGAAAAGCAGGCGCCAGAGCGGGCCATGAATAAGGTGGAGGAGAGTGATGATGCGCAGGGGGCGGTTTGGCGGGGATGAAGAGGTAGATGAGCTGGAGAGAGCTGAGGATGATGTGGACGTGGAGCGGTAGAAGAGGAGGTCGAGGAGGCGTAGGCCTAGGGGGTATCCTTGTTCGTTTAATCTGGGTTGTCTATTAGTATGCTTGGACGTGGGCCATGAGTTGAGGATAGCGCACCGTTTCTCTAGGTCTTGGATTCCTGTTACGCGCCGCTGAGCGTATGTAACCATCTCGCCGAACAGGTAGGCGAAGCTCGCCCGGCTGGACTCTGCATTGCGGCTCCGATTGAGGTGTCGGTCGTAGATGGTCTTGCGATTCGAGGGTACTCGAAGACCCTGTGTTGGCTGTGGTGTCAACGACTGTTGCGTAACTTGCTGTCTATCGTTAGCGCCCGATTGAGGCGCGCCTGCGTTGGTGGCCATCATTGACGAGTGTCTGGGCGGCGCGGCCATGAGGGTTATGTGGAGGGGCACGGGGGTGAGTTGCCGGGATTGAACTAGGACAGTCGTGAGGGGAGTTGAGAAGTATCGAAGTGTCAAAGGGTTCAGGCAAAGCGGTATCGACTTCAGATGTTCATGATGTAGTTGGTGAACAATCCAAGCCGAGGGGGAAGATGTTCGGAGGTTGAGCTGTGGATGCGATCTACGGTGGAGCACATCACCCGCGGGTGCAGTCCTTAGGAATTGGGAAATTTCTACATTCTCGTTTTACAAGACAATGGATAGGTTTGAAGATATTATCATGTTCATTATTTGATCTAACTAACAGTGTGCAGTCCAACCCCGCCCAGTCTCCCTCAGACGTCGTAGACCCGATAGGCAAAATTTTCCCACAGGCCGATGAATCCGCAAGGCACACTGAGGCGAGGAAAGCACAGCACACGCTCGGTATGGAGGCCGTCGAAAGTATAGATAGCATCTCGAAGATACTGAAAGAGCAAGTCCTGTTCTAAAACCATGCAATGTTAGCAAGGTGCTTCATGGATGGCAGATGACAAAAAAAAAGTCATAAAAGAAATAAGACCAGCGAAACAATCAGACATCCAAGGAAGATTCAGCGCACAGTGCCATCTTGATTTGGGTTCAAGCGATGACTAGCGTGGAAACTGCGAATGTAGGAAAAACTTTTCATCATAAAAGGCCGAAGCCTTTCGCTGGTGCTAGAGAGAAAAAAAAAGTCTCAAGACTTACCAAGTTAGTGAGAATAGAAAATAAAGGAAAGATGAAGGCGAAGTCCTTTCATCCCGGGGAAGAGAGCCACATTAAACTCGGAGCCCGGGTGAAGGGTGAAGAGGAAGTGAAGAAAGAAAAAATTTTGGGGCGGGCGGCCTTTTATAGGGTAGCCAAGAGCTGCCCGGGAAACGGAGACAGGACCCAGTTGGACCCGAATCTTCTAGCGATTATCCACTTGGGAAAATTTGAGCAGTTACCTTTAAAGGGAGTGTAAACAGTTATTTTTTACTTGATAGAATTGCGTAGCTAGTACTCAGGATAGTTAACGTAGAGGCCTAGACCCACGGCTCAGTCCCAGCCAAGGCAAAATTCTGCCATCAAATTCAATCTCGATGCTGTGAGACTTGGATATATTCCAAAAATTCATAGCTTTCCAGTGTATGGACCCTGTACGGGTCTCCAAGCTCGGCCATCGCGATCCAACCGAGATCCAACCGAAAACTTCAAGTGTCGAACTGCGCCGCCTGCTCCAGTAACTCCTCCAACTTACTTAAACGCCTTTTGTTTTGTGCGCGAGTTCCAGTTCAAGGTCTTGGAGATGCTGTGTACCCAATCCTCGCTGCGCCGTCCCTCAGGCAGCACATTGGCGAAGGGGTATCGCGACGCCGACACGGTCACGTAGTCACCGGGGTGCAATTCAACTCTGTGAGGAGGTGTGAGTATTTTTCCATCCACAAAGTCATTGCTATCGCTGCTGGGAGATGACTTACCTCTCGCGGCCGTCAAAACTAGCCCATGAACTTGTCCGCGCATCGTAAGGTACACCCATACGTAGCACAATGGTGTCTGGAAGAATAATCGGGCGGAAGGACAGGGTGTGCGCGCAAATAGCGGTTACCAGAATAACAGGGTTTTCAGGGTGCGACAGGGATCCGCCAGCTGCAAGGTTGTACGCCGTCGAGCCCGTCGGGGTCGCAACGCAGATGCCGTCTGCAAGCAGGGTGGTGAAATGCTCATCGTCGCCAAACAGCTCGATTTGAGACATGGCTGGTGGAGGACTTAGCTTTGCAGATGCAAAAATTCAATAGCAACTTACTTGGGTTTGGCCCGCGGTCCAGAACAACATCGTTCAGGATCTCGTAGACTCGATCCGGGGTATGCGTTAATGTGTCCTCGCCTTCTTCACCGATGAGTTCCTCTACCAGGTCTCGGCTGGAGAGGGATCGGGCATACGGATCTTTCAATCGCGCTTTGCTTCTCATGATGGTGCATTCGAATCGTAGGCGCAGGCTGACGGTGACCCCGTCTCTGAATGCATTTTCAAGGATCTTCTGGTGGTCGGAGAAGTCGAAGTTGGTCAGAAATCCCAATGAGCCTAGTGCGAAGGATAAAACGGGCGGCACGATGCGCTGGAACAGCCAGCTAGTATAGAGAACCGTTCCGTCGCCGCCAAGAGTGACAACGAAATCAAACAGGTGTGGCTGCTCCTGGGCAAGCTTGGGGTCCCAGAACTTTAGCCGGCCCTGAGCAGTTGGCTCCTCTTGTAGCAGCTGTAATGTTCCAAAGTCCGGATGTGTCTCCATGCGCCGCTCCACGTAGACGGTGTACAGCGTGTCGCGATCCTTGGAAATCAGCCATCTTGTGACCTTCCTAGTCAAGCTGACAAGGCATTCGTCGTATGCCTTGCTAACGATAAACACGGTCTTGACGGTGAGCTTGAGCTTGACACTGCCCAGTTTCTTGGACAACTTGCGCACGTTCCAAGCCAAGTCCGACAGCTGTCGCTTCGTCAAGTGTCGCGATTGGACGATTGTCGGAACAGGCTTCAGGATCTTGTTATCACCGTCGACCACCGACACCACCTGGTCCTCGCCGAGACCCTTCGTGTCAACCATAGGCTCATCTTCCTCGCTGAGGGTACGGATCACGTCTTGCGCTTCGCTGGGCTTGCTCAAAGGTGTGGTCCACTCCCCGGCAATCAAAGAGTGAACATAGCAGGCCGTACTCTTGTCATGAGTCTCAATACTTGCACTGACTCGGGGTTTCTCCATTGTTACAAGCGAGGACTTGCGGCGGTGGCTGGAATCGGGATAGAACACGACCTGAAGGTAATAACTTTTAGCCGAGGCCCATAAATCAGAAGCAATGGCTCTCTATACCTCTAGCCGGTCCCGTGTCTCACTATCGCTGGTCCCTCCGTGACTCTAATAAGCTGGTCAGTATCGCCGCGAGTGCCCCGCGCCGGTCCACGTACCTCGTCCACGGCGGCCGAGGATGCCTTTCGGTCATCGTGGTCCATGGCGCACAGAATCTGGACTTCTAAATTCGTAAATCAAGCAATCATGGCGGGTTCTGGGTTGTGACTCCGACTTGTCCGCAGTGTGGTGGGTTGCAAATGGCTTGGAAATGGGAGATGTGGGTATGACGTCGGCCCACTCATTCCTCGCGATCTCCATCTCCATCTTTCCTTTTTGTTGAATATGTGTATTTTCTTTAAACTTGCATATTCCACCGATCCTTTGTTTCAAAGAATCGATGTCGGTTTTTGCCTTGGCCTAGTCCGGTTTTTAATTTCGGGTGTTTTAGGCAAATTTGGTAGGCAACGAAGATCCCCCGGAAGGGACTCTACACTCGTGTTCGTATTATGCTATATCTACATGTTGTTTTTCATGGTTCGTAGAGCATCCATGACATCCACCGGGTCGGTCTTTCCAGCCACTTTCTGGACCTCGGGGTCCTAAAGTCCTTACATTAGTATCTGTGAACGGGCGATGCAGGCAGTCAACACTTACATGAACACGCATGAACACATTGTGAAGCTAGAGCGTCGAGTCAGTCTCAGTATTTCCAATGATTACCATGTCGGACATACCTTCTCATCACCAATGGTGAACTTGCCCTGCGTCTCCTTGTTGGCTTCCGCGAAAGCCTGCAGCTTCTTGATGGGCTCCGTCTGGGACACATGCATGCAGAACTTCACGTTTGCCTTGGTGTACTCGTGGCCGGGCTTTGAAGTGTCAGTCAAATATTTGAAAACAAAGGATGCTAAAACATACGTAGACCTTGGTATCATCTGGCAAGGATGCCAGCGTCTCGTTCAATGCCTTGTGCATCTCCGCGGCATCGCCCTCGAAGAAACGGCCGCAACCTGAGTAGAATTGATTAGATGCCGATCGTGAACAGCTGTGAGAAGGATTACAAGTTATTTGCAATCACGTACCTCCAATGAACAAAGTATCACCAGTGAACACCACGCGTTGGTCACCATCTTGCATATAATAGCAGATGCTATCTTGAGTGTGGCATGGGGTATGTAAAGCCTTGACGGAGATACGGTCTCCAATCTTGAACTCTTCGCCGTGTGCCGGGGTCCTGGTGACAGACTGGCTTTCCTTGCCTCCAATGACGGGAAGCTTACCAAATTGCTTCAACTAAAGGGGGTCAGTAAGTGATCCACGCGTTCAAGCTGTAAGATACTTACCATCTCATCGTTACCTCCAGCGTGGTCCCAGTGGCTAGCCCGGTATGTTAACAATGCAAGTTTTCAGGCTAAATAAAATCTTTCAGGCACTTACTGGTGAGTGTTGACAATTGCCGTCAAGTCAATCTTTCCAGCACTGATCTGAGACTTCAACTCGGGAGCAACTCTTGATTCACAGTCAGCTTGGCAACTGATAGCCGACGATTCAACTCGAACTTACTCCGGCGGGTTGGCAGGGTCAATGATGACCGAGTTCTTAGTCGGCTCATCGGTGACGAGGTAGGCGTAGTTGTTGCCCTTCCCCGTCCCTACAACAGCACAACGTAAGCTCAACATGTCCTCTGTTCTCATCGTCCATGCAAGGTGCACTTACACATAGGAATTGACTGGATATGCATGGCTCGGACTTTCTGGGCGCGAAGCTGATGAAAACCAAGGGATCGAATAGTTCTTGTAAGATTCATCACAAGACAGAATGAAGGCCCGAGTGCGGGGAGGTAGCTGTGTATAGCCAGCGGTAGCTCGGGATTACAGATCAAACGTCATGCGGAACATTGGTTTTCCCGAGTTCCTTAGTAATGATATGATGTCTCATTGGATTGGATACTTCATAGCTTATACTTGATTTTAAAGCGTTCTTTTTTATTTTTAATATGCTGCCAGCAGCACAGTGTCTATGGTATATTACAATAGTCTAGGTAGATGCAATGCCCAATGGACGACTGTCCCATGTCTCCACGGGACCCCATCCATGTTCCCGGAGTTTCTGATCGACATCAACCGGGCTGGCGGTGCCATTCTGAGATGACACTGTCTTGGACCGTTTCTGGGCAGGAGCTTTGGCCCTAGAAGTTGCCTTCTTCTGGGATTTCTCCCGTAATCTATCACTTAGGAGCTTGGCCCAGTGGTTGGGGCTTTCACTGCAGGCTGCGAGAATGTAGCTGCGAGGGAAGAATGACTGCTGTGACTCCCACTCTGGTGATGTCAATAGATGTAGAAGCCAAAGGAACAGTGCTTCAGCGTAGGCACTCTCCGAAGAATCGCTCGCGGGGTCGAAGACCAAGCTGTGAACAAGCTCTTCAGCCAGGTAAACCACAACAGATGGATGGCTCTCTGCGATCTTCTGTACGACAACATCCCAAGTATCGAATGTATCATCCAGAGACTCCCCAAGTCTGTAATGAAATATTAGTTATTTGCATCTGCAACCTCAGTTCAATCAAACTCACTCTCGCGCAGGATCAATCAACATAGACTGCTCTAGTAAAGCAGCAGGCAAAGACCGAACACCCTCACTCGACGCATCGCAGATAGATACAAGCTGAGCCGCAGCGGAGACTTCGTGGTCTCTTTTCCGCTTCTTTGAGGGCGTATCTGAGGCAGCTTCGGTCGAAAATTGGCGCAGAACGTCGCGGAAGGCCTTCTTGACCGAGCCTTTGTCATCATGCTGAATTGAAGAAACATCACCCAGGTCTTCAACAGCGGCCCAGTGGTTGTCCCAGAGCCACTCAAGGGACCGCTGTGAAGCCTTTCGCAGCACAACCAGTGACGGCGGCTCGCGGTGAGTTGCCTCGTGGCGCAACTCGACAAAGGACGCGGGCAACCCCAAGTCCATGGCGCGCTGGAACATGGTCCTGCGCTGTCCGTGGATCTTGGTGTCGACGAGACCCGTTACGAAGCTGTGATGTGTGATCAGTTTAAGGTCAAAAAGCTTAGCAGGAGATATCCAGGGCCCAAGACACGCCTTGTGCCGTGTAAACGACATGAGAATCAGATGGGATGTGCAAGAGAATCATACCGGCAGAAAGCAGCCGAGTAAGTCGCTCGGATAGAAAAGATGGAATTTCTCTGCGCATCATCGTGGAGAATAGCATCCGTCAACAACGCAGTCGCCTCGACATGGTGCGGAAGATTTCCACGGAGCTTCCATGCCTCAACCTAATTGGTTCATTAGACCAACCCGAAATTTCCAATGCCGAAGGGTAACGTACCGTTGCGCAGGCGTGAGCGCGCATATCCGGACCATCATAAGAAGGCGGCGGATAAAACTCGCTCCGTACCTCGAGCAACTGGCTCTTGGTCTTCCACGGAGTGAAAATAAGCTTAGACATTTCCACACGATTCTGGAATTAAATTGCTGGCAATTCGTGGTGCGACACTTGCTGTGTTGAATCGATGTCTTTGCGAGAAAGATTTTCGGCTGATTGTTGATCCATTAGGTCAATTTTTCCGTGGAACTTATTCGGGGCCCAATCAAGGGCTCGGATTCTTTACTCCGGTAAATTTAAATATCTACAAATTTAATAACAAATTCGTATCTGAGATCATTTGATTGTGATTGTTTGTCTATTGCTATGCTATGCTAATGATGAAGACTATGTTAAGCATGCCTCATAAGTGTTCTGGTCCCAGGGTATCCGATTATGCATCCAACGCCATTCCAAAAAAAAAAAAAAAATACTCCGTGCTATGCCGCGGTGAATCCGCAAAGAATGAAAGAAAGAAAGAAAGAAAGAAAAAAAAAGAAAACAAAAAATGTATCAAGCAGTTGGTTTAAATCCAGCCGTAGCTGTAGTTCATGCAGGGCTGGTTGAGGTGGGCGAAGGGCTGCGCTGAAGCCATCGTCTGCTGGTCCATGTCATCATGGTCGAAGAAGAAAGACTTCTGAAGAAGGTTCAGAGCCTGTTTGGATGGCTGTCTGGGGAAGGAGAAGTTCGCTGGTTGGGGCATGGGCGCCATTTCTTGGAGAGCGGGTTGAATTTGTTCGGTGTTGACCTCATCCCCATCCTCATTTTCATCGTCGGATGGCGAAAATGTCTCTTCAAGCTTCAGGCCCTTTCCAAGGGATACCTGGTGGGCTTGAGCCCGGGAGCCATCGGGCTCGCTGTACAGGCCCATTCCAACAAGCTCCTCTTCGCTCTTGGCTTTTTTCTGCTCTTGGGGAGCCGGTGTATCAAATTGCTGAATAGGGAGGAAGTCGGGGGTAGATGGGCCACTCAGCTCGCCCGGTGAAGGCACACTGGCATAACTGGGGCACGCTGTTGCTGCCGGAGGAATGTTTGCCATGGAGAGCATATCCAGCGACCAGCCATCAGATGTAGTCTGGGTCATGTTGGACATTTCCATGTTGGTGGAGGCGATATCCCATGCCATAGGCTCGACCTGCGAGTCTGACATGGACATTGCCGGGGCCTGTTGGGGAAGAGGCATGGTATTATGCATCTCGGGATACATTGAATGATAACCAGGCGAGTAGGTTGGGCCAGCGGAGACGGGATAAGACATCATGCTGTCGTTGGCGTAGACCGGATAGGCATGCATCGATTGGTCAGGAAAGGCACTCATGTTGGCATAGTTCTCCGAGGTAAAGTCGGGGACACATGTTGGGTTCGACAGGCCTCGAGCCCGGGCTGAGGAAGGGTGCCAGCTGATCGGGCGTGAATTCCGAGCAGCAGAAGCGAGAAGAGCAGCCTCCCAGGAAGACTGATACTGATTTGAGGTGCCATGCATAGCACTCTGCGCGACGGTCGTCCTCCTCCTGGCCATCGATGACGAGGGGCTGTTTCCCGCACTACGGGGCTTCATGACACGAGTGTGTCGGGGCCGAGGGAAAGCACGAGCCCAGTCTTGCAGATTCATGTTGTTGGGCTGGCTATAAGCTTTCTCCGGGTGCCATTGAGAGCCTATTGAAGAGGCCGGTTGTTGATAACAGTAATCGGCCATAAAAACAGAGCAGGAATACCTTAGAGACTAAGGTATAAGTAGAGGAAAGACTTTGGTAAGGTCAGTTAGATGCAGATGATATCAAGGGAGAAGGGGAACTAACGGGAAGGTGGGGGGAAGGGAAGGAAGGAGTGACGTGAGTAGATATAGATCAGAAAATGGAAAGAGCCGATGTTCCAATAGGAACAGCAGCAAGGTGACGAGTTGTTTGATATCCAGGGTCAGCAGGCAGGGCCGCAACGTTATAAGGGAATCCAGGGAGCCTGGGGATCTACCACCCGCCCCAGCTCCACGATCCCACCGCACATGCTAAGATGACACGACGTTGACACTAGTGGACTAGAGAGAACCAAATAATAGAGTGATGAATCACTGGTAGCGGTCCCACCGTTTCGGCTAGGACCCAGAAGCCCAGAGGGATACAGTACAGGGGAATCCTCCGGAGTACAGGCCACGATGATCGGACCTATACGTCGTAGCGCGTCTGATGGAGACATGGAACATGCTTTTGGAGGCGAACATGGGGAAAGACGGTGATCCACAGTTGGGTCCGACCAAATGGACGTGGACCCTCACACGGGCCCAGTCTGGGGCTACACTTTCTTTTTTTTTTCCTTTTCCCTCATTTTCCTTTTTTTTTTTTTTTTATCGTTTTTTTTTTCTTTTTTTAAACCTTCATTTAATTTAATGTTAATGTATATCACCATACATACGTCGTTTCGGATGCAAGTGGTCTAGTTCTGTTTCCAGTAATCAAGTCGCGCTAACCCTGCTAGGTTGGACCTTTCGCCCCTCCCTTCCACCAAACAAGGACCCAAGAGCCAGGAACCTTGGCCCTTTAACCGCCCGCGGAATGTCATTTCATCTAGATCGACGGCCATAACTTCCTGCTTGAGTGATGTGCCCGCCTTGGCTGATTTTTTGTTCCCTTGGTTTCACGAAGACGATCAGCCCTGCAAATAAGAATGCAGGCATTTCGATCTTGATTTTGATTTTGCTTCCTTTGTTTGGGGACGGAGCCCCGGTTCTAGTTTGACGGGGACCCGGGTACGGGTTACGCAAGGGAATGTGATGGGGCCTCGAGATCGACTTTCCACCCACGTAGTCATTTCCGTTCCTTCGGTTCCTACATAGGTGGAGCTCCCCAAGGCTGCTATGGTCACGGCCTTCCCAACTGGTCCAAAGTCCAGCAGGGTCTAGACAATTTGGATTACCTGAGAAGACCGTGCATACCCGGCGAGGTTTCTATTCTCCGCTGCATGCACCCTCATCCATTCCGGAGTACATGATGCAGCAGATGCATCATCGCCGCCAATCTTTATTAATCGTCGCTAGCTTTTCTTCCGATGAGCCCCTCCCCGCTCATCCGGCTCGTGATTGGGCCAATCAGACGCCCCCGAGCGAACCAACTGGAAGTATGCTCCGTAGGCTGCCTGCATTGCGCACTTTGCACGGCGCCTTTCTGATCTGATCCGATCTGATCAGGATGCTCGTTGTCATTCTCTAATATCACATGAGCGTAGGCTGCATTACCCGAGGAGGCGTTGTACTGTGGTGGACCGGTTTCATCGCCCTCAAGACCGGCCGTGTACCGCCACCGAGCGTTCGTGTTTAAATGACTTGGGGGGCGGGAAGTTCGGCAAGTCAACGTGGAGCTTTATAATTTCACCTAGATACTTTGGCCAGCACCCGGGCATTTTGATTATCGATTTTTATCTTTTATCTTTCTTTTATCTTGAATCATCTGTCTTTAGAGTTCGGCAAACAAGGATTTGAATGTGACCAGTCCCCTGCGCCGTCACCCGACAGGATTGCAAAGTACGGAGGACTCGCCTAGGTGAGTACAACCTAATGTTCGGCCAAGATGATAAACGTCGCCAATTCCCGGTGGGTTGGCCACTAACGTGGAACTAAAGACGGGTGTTGTACTGTAGATATGGCCCGCGTGGTCTGTGAGCAGATTAAAAAAAAAAAAAAACGAAAAACAGTACAATAAAGTGGATCCCAATTAGGAAAAGGGCGGTTGAGCCACCATTCACAACGTGGCCGGGCGGATCTGATCGTGCTTAGCGCTCTGCCAAAAACCCAGCCCTGCCTCGACCGGGTTCCTTGGAAAGGCCGGGCCCGCCGGAAGAACAGGTTTGATTGTCTTTCAATGATGCTAGAGTCATCCTCCATATTCGATATGAAGCCGTACTATACGAATTCTTTGTCTCCTATTTAAAGGTCATTCACGTAGAACAGGGGGCACCTGAATGAACCGGGCAGATCCCATACCCACAAGTCTCAGTCCACATCATTACACCGATCCTAGGCCTCTTACAGTAGTTTGTACTCGGAACGCATTGGCAGTGACCCACTTCCTGCACTGCAGGGACCACTTGAAAAGTGAAAAATTGGAGACTGTGTCCATCTCGCATTTCCAGAAGCTCAGGGGGGGGGGGGGGGCTACACGGAGAGCACTTAGCAATTCCAGTTTCCCCTGCCATCAATGTGGATCTTCTGACACTGGGTGAAAATTTGCCGATCTCTGGAGTATGTGAGCACACTGGTTCCAATGTCACTGTACTCCATAGGCCTCCTGTCCTCCCTTGGGCGAATCTTGCCTCATGTTGTACAGGCCCAGTGAACTATGAACCTAACCCAGAACTTAGAATGTGGAACTCAATATCTTGGCAAAGTTAAGAACATATACTAGAATAGAACTATGATCCTGAACCGACATAGGATTCTACAAAGACGTACCCAAAAAGAAACCCTGCATAGTACGACGGTCACTCTCCGAGACCCGCGTTCCTAGATCGGGGGCGGATCAGCCCCCTTTTGTTGCGAGCCTCTTTTTGTGTTGCGCCCACCCCACTCGACGCGAAGTTCCTGAACTCTGCCAACCCCGAACTAGGCGGAGCCGATCCAGCCTTCCCTAGTCTTCCAGACGTTTCACTCGGCCTTCCTAATTGCTTCGGGACCCAGCCCCATCGAGAGCAACTGCGGGCCCTTCCAATTTGGCTTGCCTTAGCGGCATGTCATCAACTTCTTGCGGTGTAGCATCGGCCTCGGATCCTGTGATTTGCGGTGGCCCCCATGATAGTCCTTAGTCCATGCGCGCGATGATATAAACGCGTGGGAGGGGCACCCTACATTTGGCCTCGGTCAGATTCCCCCTAGTCGCTTGGAATAGCCCCCCCTTCTTCCGTTTTGGTGCGGTTGACTCGGACGATCTGAGGCAATCCCTACAAGGATCTGTATATCCTCCGACCGACCGTCTTTGCGGCCCCCCCCTAACGGTGTACCGTAGGATGAGTGGCTTGCCCCCTTTCTTCGTGAGAATCTGTCTCTGAGCACAAAGTACCACGTACACCGACCAAATCAGATAAAAATAAATGAAAAACGAAAAACCAAAGGACTGAATCCACGAAGGCTGCCGTTCCCCGGCTGCGACGGAGCAACAGTCTTCTGGTCTTTCACAATCGAACCATCTGTTCCCAGTCCAGGCCCCTCTACCCCCTCTACAATAGTGTGACACGACGCGCGGGTCTGATAGACACGTACACACCAGTACAGCAGGCTGCAGGTGCTGATAAGAAGTGAGGCAGCCTCAGTGTCGTCATAGCTTATAGCTCATAGCTAGAAATAGGGTTCCAAAAAAACTATCGGTTTCGGCCGTGCTCTGCGTCGGGCGCAGTCCGGGCTTCATGCAGGCGACCATCTTCAGGAGGCCACTACCGGGTAACAGAGCCCTGCTGGGTCCGCCTGAGGCGCGACGCCACATAAGGTCCAGGTGCAAGTGGGTCGGGGAACGAGCAATTTGGGGGTGGAAAAGAGTCACACACACGACGCCTGGTGGCGGAGCGTAAGAAGGAAGCACGTCAGAAGAGGGGAAAAGGAAGCGGTCAGGAGGAGAGCGAGGAGAACAAGGAGGACCAGGAGAATGAGGGGCTTGGATTTACACGGAACAAGGGGCCACCACCAATAACATCCCAAAGAGCTCCCCCTCCCAGAAGCTGCACGTTGAGGCGCCAGCCTCTCACAGCGCTCAATCTACCTGCAACAGCGCTTCGGGCCCCCCAGGTTTCTCCTTCTCCCGTTGCTTAACCGCTATTTGGGGGGTTTCTGGCCCATGCGCCATCATTCCTGGTTTCCTTCCTGCAGGGGCCGATCCTGGAGACCACACTGTGACACTCAGACATACCATTCCCACAGCCTCCACTTACCCGACCGTCCCCCAAAGGACGATCAGTGCAGCTGGGAGCAAGGGTATCTGCAGCGACGCAGTGAGATGGCACACTCTCCCGCAGGGCATCTGATAATCGGCATTTGTCATGCGTGTGATGGAGAAACTTGGATTGCTCGCTTCTATACGGCACAGTCCGGCACCCGGGCTGCTTACAGCCCAGCACTTTGAGTCAGCTGCACAGGACGTTTCCAATAATCGACGCCTATAGGCAGGATCCGACATTGCCCAACAGTGAACACTATCGAAACAAAAACCCGGATGCCTATCCCAGTATTGGTCCTTGGATAGATCCCTTACCCCCTACACCATTCACCGTTCACCAATCTCGGCTCATGGCTCACGACTCACGGGTCTACGGCACTGCGCCCGGCGACTCAGCTAAGATGTCCCACATTAAACACGTATGCCCTGTGGAAAGGAAAAGAGAACCGAAGTTGTAGTGCATCCTCAACCGCCTCGAGATTCTAGACATGGGACCCAATGGATCCAACGGCGATCACCTTGCACACCCTCAAGTCAATCATAGCCGAGAACGCAAACGATCATCAATTCTGCAGCCAATTCCAAGGTGGAAACACCCTCCCGACACTCGCACGGCTCCACCCTGTCCATCACTTGCCCCTTTGCCAAAGCACCGAGTCTAAACTAGATAGTGTAAATTTCCCCTACCGCTCAACTCCGTCCACTCCGTCGTCTCCGCTCCCAGAATTAGAGGTGAAGCGCCTTCGTCTCAGTTTTGCCGACTCGTATACTTTGGGCCGCGATGGGGCCCTGAAGCCACGCACGATCAAATTTTTTCACCTCTAGTTTGCCCTTGCGGTAGATCATTGGTAGAGTTTGATCTCTTTTTTGCGCTGTCATGCACCGCTGTTTCGGCGTCGTAGGCGTCGTAGGCGAGTAGTGCGTCCATAGTGCCCAGTAGTCTATTGCGAGGTCGGCCGCATCGGGTAATTAGTCGATTTTCCGTGCACCTTTATCGGCCGATCGTTGGGTCATGTGCTTTCTCGAGGTTGGGCTTACGCTAACTTTGGCTCCGTGGGAAGTTTTTCCTACACCATTTTTTGGCAGAGTTTTACTGGTGTTGGGCTAGTGTTTTTTTAGTAAGGTGGAAGAGACTTCGGTGTGGATGGGGTTATTCTTCCTAGAATTATACGTTGGCGATCAACTATGGTAACAACTATACCAAAAGTTGAGCCACCTCCTTGTTAACGGGGCAATCAATATCAGTCTTCTCCGATCCTCTGTACAGCGGGCTCTCGGGTCACTCCCGTGCTTACGCGACCACCTGATTAGCAGAAGATGGGAGAAGGAGGTACAGAAGCGAAATGAGGCAATTTGCTTCTTTACTAATTTTATGAATGATCAGAAATATGAACCATTTCCATCTGACCACGCTAGTAATCTAACTAATTGTTTTTGCATATAATCTATCTGCGGTAGCACTCTAATTTCAAGGAAGCAGTCATAGCGGGAATACGTCGACTGCGAAGCTAAATCCCGCGATCCACACCATTTGCGCGCAGTTTCTGGCAAGGCCAGTGGGCGCGATATTCCCATTCAAGACCTTCACCGGCCTGAGCTCCGAGGGGAGGCCAAAGCACATCTTGTTCGTTCCACACAATCCATGATCTATTGGCACTCACTCAGTATGGTGCGGAGGTTCTGTGATATCAAGATGCGGATACTCCACCGTGTCCCGCTGCCAGCAAATACGGGGCCGTCGAAAAGTTCACGAAACCCTTCACCGCCGTCTTCAGTTACAGAAGTTGCGAGTAGATTGCTACTGCCTATTTTCCAAATCATGATCGTCGTGTCGAACGCCACCGAGGCCCAATATGTGCCGTCGCGAGAGAAAGTGAGTGCGTTGACAATAGTCTCGTGGCCTTCTAGGGTGATGAGAAGTTCTCTACCAAGGAAATCTCATATCTTGACAGTCTCATTCATTTATCCTATTAAAACTTTATCAATAAATCACGTGAACTCCGAGATAGTTGACTATGGCTTTGTAACTCTCAAGGTGCCATTGCCAGTTGGTTTCCAACAACGGACCGTATGATCCTCTGGTGCCGATGCCATGATGCTTTAATGTGAAATCGCAACAGAAGTGGATGTACCAAACCGACCCTAGAAGCCAGACACTCGGCCACCGTCAAAGAGTCCGACTGAGCTGGCGCGTGAGGCTACAAGCGAAGATGAAGGTGCATATTGTGATAGAATGATCGTAGGGCATATGAAGTATTAACGACGCAAGTCACTGAATTAATGCGATGATCTATTGAAGTAAACACATCATTCCTCTAGAACATAACTCCGAGACCCAGTCCTACCAGAGCCAGCCAGCTACCAGATGCCTTCCCAGCAGCAGCTCCTGACTTCGCGGTCTCTTCAGCCTTATTCATTTTTTCGGTTGCAGTTGCAGCCGCAGTCTCAGTCGGATGAACTTGAGCTGCCGACTCAGTCTCCCCAGGAACGGAGACATCTGCAGGAGTAACCGTGGCGGTTTGAGGGCCGGGAGTAGTCCAAGTCTGTGGCACGTCCGTGATACCCTTATCGTAGTGGTTCGCGGTAGCGCAATCTTTTTCGCTCGCTAGCTGGGCAGAAAATGCATCTGGGACATTGGGGCAATCCACGTAGCAGCTATTTCGTTAAGTTAGTACTCGGATATCATACGTATGTGTGTGAAATTGAGTTTAAGGTTGAACAACTGGAGGTGTGTATATGTAAGACAAGTATACTCACTTGGCAATATTAGCCTGACCGGAGCACTTGCAATCCCAATTATCATCGGAACATATTGCAAGTCCCCTTTTCATAGCTTCGACACATGTATCGACGACTCTGTCACTCGTAAGAAACGAATCATCATCATAGAGTCCTTGAGTGCTTTACCTTTGGTCAGCGCACAGCCCGTTGGCTACTGCACTTGCGGAGGGTGTGGGTGCTAGATCCTGAGCAGCGACCAGACTGGCCGATGCCGCGAGCAGAAGCGAAAGGTTTGCGGTAATGAAGCGCATTTGGACGATGAAATCGATCAATTTGAAGGGTCAAAAGTAGGCAGAGAGTGTATTCTATGCGCTCTAACACGCAAAAAGATCCAAGAATCAAGAAGAGGAATCAAACTGGCTCAGAAGCAAGAATATATGGCAAGGATTGAGACCATCAGAACTTGAACGTTACATCTATCTCGAGATAAGAAGGGTACCTCGGAAGGTCCCAAGGTTCTAGTTCCCGTCTAGGTGAATTATGTCTATTTCGGGCAGCACAATGGCAGGAGAGAGCTTGACAGGGAGTGACAAAGACCCCATGGGCCTTCAAATCAGGGGGTTAGTGCCTGGGTACCATAGATGGCTTAGAGTCGATCCAAGGTTGACCACGTTTATGATGAGTAAGTTGCTGTAGATTCCGGAAACGGACTTGGATTAAGTCGACTATACCATCGAGAGCCATTGCACCTTCCGAACAACTATAATTTATAATTCATGAATATCATCCGCAAGCAAAACCAAATAAAAACCTCTCGATTAAGATTGACTCTTCTTCAAACTCAATCATATCTGTGAGCTACAATATGAGTAGAAGGCGAAGTACTGCTTCTAGATCTTCAGGCTCTCCGGAGTCGCATTCCAACAAGAGGGGTTACATTCCTCGGTTGATTCCGCTGCATCAGTCGACCAATGACGAAACGTCATGGCCGCTTCAGGAATGTGAGCTTTTATCTCGCTCTTATCGTTGATCGGGACATGATTCAAGTCAAGTTACCTGCATGGGGATAGTCCTACCATCTCGAAACCCTGGGTCTATCCACTCCACGCTGATTATGTTCGGCCCTGGGCATGCTGCAAATGGCCGGGCAGCATCTGCTCGACGGAACGACCTCGGCAGCAAGAAAACATCCTCATTGAATCATCCAAAAAAAATGATCTAAAAAAGACATGCATGTACAATCATAGTGACGTCAATATCCATGGGTATAAGAACTCAAGAAACTTGAACTTAACGAAAGATTTTAGTTCTATTCAAGTTCTATCAAGCGTCTCTCCTCTTCCTTTACAAATATCTGACAAAAAGCATATACTGAAGAGAAAAATTGCCTCCAACATCTCAAAATGTCGACTTGCGCAAGGAACCCAGAATCGAAAAGTGACGGGATTGCAGGTAGTCCTCGTACGACGAAGAGTCGAGTCCTTGAAGCTGGCGCTTCAATGGTGCAAGACTTTACACCGGTCAAGCAAATATGTGCTCATCTCAATGCATTTCACGTCTACGCCAACGACCCAACTCGATGCGTCGAAGCCAACCACTACTGCACGCATTTGACAGAAGGTATGTAGAATCGCCTGCACGTGCTCACTGTGGTAGTTATGCTTCTCAATTAATTAAATGTTCCAACAGATGTCCGACAATGCCTTATCTATGACTCCCCCGAATCCAATGCTCGTCTGATCGGCGTCGAATACATGGTCTCGCCACGCATATTTGTCACTCTTCCACCCGAAGAGCGGAAGTTATGGCATACGCATGAATTTGAAGTTAAGAGCGGTATGCTCGTTATGCCGGCCCCAGCAGGCGTACCTACCGCCGTGTGGGAAGCTGCCGAGACGGCTGAGATGGCAGATGTTGCCCCGATTTATGGAAAGACATATCATTTCTGGCAGGTCGATCGTGGAGATATAGTACCAATGGGTCCACCGCAGTTAATGGGTAGCTTTACGACACCTGATAGCGTGAAGCTAGCTCACGAAGGCGGTTTAGATGGGCTGCTGAAAGATCGCAACGAGAGGTTTGGGGTCGACCATCATCAGAAGGCGAAGAAGCGAGAGGATATTCCACCCGTTGAGAAACATCCTGGTAGGTCTCTTTCTGCACTATATGGACCGCAGTACTGGATTAAGCTGACCAACTCGCGTTCACTGTTAATAGACGCAGATGAAATGATGAGATGGCCTATGCCATAAGATATATACTGGATGGTCATGGAATAAGGAAAAGTTTCAAATGTTCAGACATCTTTCAATTGCAAATATATATTCATGTTTACGAGATTTATCCCCACTATACCAGCCTCAAAATCCCAGTCTCATAATGAAATGAGGTCAAGATCGAGTTTGGATGGAGGACCAGCCTGGGAGAAGGCCCAGACTGGCATGATTAATCTTGCTTCACTGTCCACACTTGCTCGTCCTGGTGTTTAATTTCGGCGACGGCAAGCTCTAGCAATTTTAGAAGCGAGTGTTCCCTGCAGTTATAGACTGCAAGGAGGGGTAGTATATGATAGGCCAATTGGCATACATGATTCGATGCTGCGGTGACTCCAAGTTTGCAATGACGAACTGCTGGTGCTGCATGACCTAGCGCCCACACATTAATGGGCGATCTAGCAGACCAGCAGGATCATTGCGATGCAACTGGAGTCTCGCATAATTGCGCCTGTGCTTCAAAGGAGAAGTTGTTGACTTTGCTGTACATTATGAAGAAGGAAAGGAAAGGAGAGGAGCCCGGAAAAATCAGACTGCTTATAAACGGGCCGCGGGTCACATGACATTGACGATAATCGATAGCAACAACTTCTCGAAGCTCGAAGCATGTGCTCGAGGAACTCTCCATGGACCGTCTTTTGCGATCAGCGCTGAGGCTTCAGCGGGGTACCATTGCCCGGTATGCCCTCAATGGCACAGGCTTGTTCTGCGCCATCTCTTTGTTCTGGGAGCACGTCGTGACAGTGCAACTCAGCGAGGGACCTTCGATGTATCCGACCTTCAATCCTCGAGGCGACTGGCTCGTCATCTCACGACTACACACCAATGGTAAAGGAATCCAAATCGGCGACGTGGTGCGGTTTAATCATCCGACGTTCCTCGGCACACACGCAGCCAAGCGGGTGGTGGGAATGCCCGGGGACTTCGTCTGTCGTGACCAAGCGTTTAGCGAGGAAGCTGGGAAACAAATGGATATGATTCGGGTATGTATACTTCTTGGACCTACGTTGAATGCATTTGCTCATCCTGCGACTAGGTCCCCGAGGGTCACGTATTCCTTGTCGGCGACAACCTTCCCTGGTCGAGAGACTCGCGACAATTCGGCCCGGTGCCTCTCGGACTTATCAATGGCAAAGTTGTTGCACGACTCTGGCCGAAGTTGGAGTGGGTGGAAAATACCATGCAGCCCGCGCAATTGGACTAAGGCTGTCGCGACTTGTTCTGGAAATTTGCGATCATACGAGCATCTATACGGAGTTTGGGACTTGAAAGGAATTTGGTCTGCTGTGCATATTCATACATATTCAATTGTACAATACAAATCTTTACTCGAACGACGCCTGGGAGAGACTGAATGTGTCTACCGGAAGGAAGAGGGGTTTCTCCGCTTGTAGGGAAGAGGCTCGACCTTCTTCCGGCGCAGCTCCACGTCGGCTTCGTTGAATCCGATCTGCTTCATAACCTCCAATGTGGTCTCGTCCCACTGGGTACGGAACAGGTGCGCACCGATGGCCTTCAGGTGATAGCGGGCCTGCAGGGTGCGGAGAAGAGTGTTGTCGCGGTCGGTCTCCTTGGCCTTCACGGCCGCGTAGTCAAGCGGTTGGGAGTCCTTCTGCTCCATAATGAAGACAGAGAGACGGTGGTAAGGGCTGCCCTTCTGGGCAACCGGAGGAAGCCAGGGGAGGACGACCTGAGATTCTGCCGAAAGCTGAGAGAGATCGACCTTGGTGTTGACGGCCGAGATGGGCACATTGACGGCTAGGTAGTGTGTCTTATAGTCGAAGCTGTCCACCTCAACGTTAGGAACATCGGAGTCGACAACCGCAATAGTAACTAGCTTCTCTCCACGCTCGAAAAGCTGCACGTCCAACTTGGGTGCGCTAATGCTGTTCTTCGCCTCAACGAAATCTCCGGGCTGGACTTGGCGATAGTTAAAATACAGTTTGGTATCGACGGTAGGTTCGCAGTGGGGCAAGACGTCAGGAACGACATTCATCTGTGTAATACGCTGCACCAAGATCTTGCGGCGGTACTCGCGCCACTTGCGGTCGGCCAGGAAGCGGTAGATGGGCTTGCTCATATCGCCTATCAGAGGAGATTTTAGCGTCAATCCTCCATCTTCCGGGTTGGGAGGTTGAACATACCTTGACCATCTTCAAATTTGCGCTTGACCAACGGGTCATTGATATCGGCGTGAATCTTGAGGTGCTCCAAGTGTTGTTGCATCGCGTGCACCCGGGACTTCTGCGAGTTCTTGCCTCCGGCCTCTTCAGGAGACAAAGCCTCCACTCTCGCAATTCTTTGCCTCATTTTCTCAATCTCTTCCAACTTCTCTGCTCGGTCGGCAAGCAGAACCTGTCGTGCTTCCTGGAAACATTGGTAGGGCAATTGCTCGAAGGGGAGGTTGGCAGAACCCTGCAGCGCAGCACGGCGACGACGAGATCCGACGGGAGTGGTTCCCTGTCGCATCAAACGTCTCTCCAAGCGGGGACTTGAGACGAGTTCCGGATCGGGGGACTTGTGGAATGGTTGGCTGTCTGGTTGAGCCTCTCCGACGGCTGCCGTGGAGTGGAAGCCGCGTGCCGAGAGCTGGATGGCCGGCAGGCCTCTAGTATATGTGTTGCGAAGGCATTGAAGCAGCGGCTTGGATGCCCGCTCGCAATGAGCCATGTTGAAGGATTCCGGGGAATTGAGATGGGGTTGAGGGTCCAAGGTGATGTTGTTGTCCTCGGGGGAACTTTTTCTGCTCTAAGCCAAGACTTTTGCTAGCGCCCACCGCCTCCCCGGAATCAACTTTTGCTCTTCCTATCTCAACGCCAGCACACCATATCAGGAGCACTCGACATACGCATTGAAGTGCTTATTGAAAATGCCTGGAAATGAGACACTCCGGGCGCTGAGACTGCTGTCACGCAGCTCTGGCGGACTCCTGTCGGGGTCACAAAAAGTCACGGTACGAACCTTTCATCTTTTCGGGTTGATTCGTTTTAGAACTCAGCTGCAAAGACGCAATCACTGACTATTTTTTGATAAAGCAACGATGCCTTGCACGCTCCATGGCTACTGAGTCTCAAGTCACCGGCTCCTCCCCAGACATCACGCGATCGGCGCCCGCACCCTGGGATGCCCCCGTCACAGTCATGACCTACAACTTCCCTACGATGGAACCCGCTCGTTTTGTGGAATACTCGCCAAAACACCTGTCAATGCCTCTGCGAAGGGACCTCCTCCACCGCGCCATTGTCTACGAGGGTGATAATACCCGACAGGGAACCGCCAGCACGAAGTGGAGGGACGACGTGCACGGTAGCCACCGGAAACTTTATGCACAGAAGGGCTCCGGCCGTGCTCGTGCCGGTGACAAGCAATCGCCGGTTCGAAGGGGTGGTGGTGTTGCTTTCGGTCCCCATCCTCGCGACTTCTCGACCGATTTGCCTAAGAAGATCTACGATCAAGCTTGGCGCATTGCCCTGAGCTACCGCTACCAGCGCGGTGAATTGATCGTCATCGATAACCAAATTTCGCTTCCTTCCGGCTCGACGCCTTATATGCTCGAGTCCATCTTCCGCCAGAACGGATGGGATACCAAGAAGGGCCGGTCGACACTCATCACGGAGCAGGTGAATGAGGAGTTGTTTGACAAGGTGCAGAAAATGGAACGATACGCGTCAATCATGGATCGCAGTGACGTGGACGTGAAGAACCTGCTGGAGACCCAGAGGTTGATTATTGAACGGGTTGCGTTGGACCGGATTCTGAGCCAACACTCGCGGGATCTGAAGAGCCGACCTGCGAAGGCGACTTACTAAACGGACTCAAGACTGGAAGTCCATGGGTGTATTGTGCATTGATATCTCTTTCTTCGTTGTATTCTGGCCATCTGTACAAATAGAACATGATCTACCTTTGACCTCTGATACGTCTGGTCCGCGGGCACGCTAGATGTAAAATACCTGACAGTTTCGGAAAGATCCTACCGCAATTTCTTTCCTATGAGAGTAAACATGTGTAGGTTGCTAACGTGAACTTTTTTGACAAATTCTAGCCGATTCCATAGCAACGTGCCTGCTGCGAAGACATCTGGTTATCGTCGGGGCGGAGAAGCTGCGGCGGTGGCCTCGGACCGGAGAAAACCCAGAAAAACTCCCGAGGTCGACGGTTAAGCGGAGAAGAACATCTGATTGTCCTTTCTAAACCTGTTTCCCCTCATTCTTTTTCTTTCCACCTGTCTTCATGTTGCTCCGGCACTCATTTTCACGGTTACCATCACCGCCGAGCTGGATCTCGCGGTTCCCTTCAGCCGCCATGCCTCTGCGCGCCAAAGTGACCAACCCTGCCTTCTGTGCAACTGCTTCAGTATGACACCATTGAAGATGGACTCAGCTTGAAAGACATGCTCACCTTCATTAGATGTCTACATCCCCCGCTATTCCCAAGGAACTCCCTGGCGACGAGCCCGATGATGTCCTTTTCAATTCCATCTACGGTCTTCGCAGCGTTGAGCTTAACCGTCCTAAGAAGCTTAACTCTCTCAATGGCTCGATGGCACGCAAGATTTTCCCCCGTCTGAAGGTCAGTTTACACGACACGTGTGGACAAAGCAGGATACTAAAGGCTCGGCGAAATAGGAATGGGAAAAATCGCATCTCGCAAATATCGTCCTCATTTCTGGCGCCGGCGAGAAAGCTCTGTGCGCAGGAGGTGATGTTGCCGCTCTGGCACTCCAGAACGAGAAGGGTGAGGAAGGACAGCGCGCATCGACAGATTTCTTCGGACTCGAATACCGCCTCGACCACATGATCGCTACATACTCGAAGCCCGTTATCTCCTTCATGGACGGAATCACCATGGGCGGCGGCGTTGGCCTTAGCATGCACGCTCCCTTCCGTATTGCGACCGAGAAGACCGTTTTCGCCATGCCCGAGACTACAATCGGTTTCTTCCCCGACGTTGGTGGCTCGTTCTTCCTTCCCCGATTGGATGGCGAGGTTGGCACATACCTGGCCCTGACCTCGGAGCGTCTGAACGGTGTCCAGGCTTTGTACACCGGTCTTGCTACCCACTTCCTGCACTCGAGTGTTCTCGCCAGCGTTACCCAACGTCTTTCGGAGCTGGTGTTCCCTGACGACGTCGGTCTTCCCGAGCGCCTCGATACCGTGAACAAGACTATGGCCGAGTTCTCGCTCGGTCTGCCTTCTCTCAAGGAGGAGCCCATTCTGCTGGCAGGTGAACTTCGCAACGTCATCGACCGCTGCTTCAAGTTCAACACCGTCGAGGAGATTTTCCAGGCTCTTGAGGCCGAGGCCCAGAACCAGGAGTCCACCCAGCAGGAGTGGGCTAAGAAGACCCTAGAGACTCTCTCGATCCGCTCTCCTACCTCGCTCAAGGTGACTCTCCGCCAGTTGCGGCTCGGCAAGAAGTGGAGCATCTCAGAGACCTTCCAGCGCGAGCACGAGATCTCCGCGAACTTCATGCGCCATCCCGACTTCGTGGAGGGTGTCAAGGCCCGTCTGATGTCCAAGCCCCCTCGCCAGGCCGAGTGGCAGCCCGCTACTCTGGCCGAGGTCACCCAGGAGACCGTCGACCGCTTCTTCACCATCCCCGAAGGCGAAACCCGCCTGCCGCTGGAGAATAAGAAGGACTACAACCGCTACCCGCACGAGCGATTCTCTCTGCCTTCGGAGGCCGAGATTGAGAAATATGTGCGCAATGGTGTCGAGTCCAGCAAGCAGGTCATCAAACATTTCGTCAACCGGTCGAACCAGAAGGAAGGTGTGGAGGAGAAGGTTTCCGAGGTCTTGAGCAGACGGACAAGGACTGATGACACAGGCTATAAGTGGGTATAAAGAGTGAGCTTTCAGCAATATGCATGTAATTTTTATTGTCCCGATGGCATTTGCTGTCCGTATGTACTAGAATTCACCCCGGCTTTGGATTACAGCAATTGTGTTCTACAGTTTCTTGCTTAGGCTGGAAACAGATCGTATAATAGAAGTAAACGGGATATTAGCCGCTAAAAAGAGAAATCAACACTTAGGTACTCGGCTCGGTCAGCCCACCCGCGGCTTCACGCACCCGCAATTCCCGACTTCAACCTTCCACAACGGCTCTTTTGAAATTCCCACATCACGCTGACCTTGCAATGATATTGAGCTGCAATTAACTGAAGAGCGACATGTATTTTGAAGAGAGGCCCTTAGGGGCAACCCGGGTATCCGAGGACGGCTCTCACTCCGAGCCACTTTTGTCCGCTGCAGACAATGCTGTACCAGTAACGAATGGCTCAGCTGCATTGTCTCGGCCCGTGTTAATACGACTATATATCTCGCATGCTCTCTCAGCATGGAACTCACGGATATTTGAATTTGGTGCGGTGCTCTTCCTGGCGTCTATCTTTCCCGGCACGCTACTCTATGCGTCGATATATGCCCTGGTTCGGGCTCTATCGGCTGTTGCGCTATCATCTTGGCTTGGTGCACGAGTGGATAGTCTAAATCGCTTAGTAGCTGTGAGACATTCAATTGGTATGTGCTGGGGGTGAATAACGACACGAGAAGCTGTTGGCTAATTGATTTCAGTATGGCAAAGAATCCCTGTTGCGGCGTCTTGCTTGTGCTTTGTGTTTCTTTCAGAGTCTACAGATTCATGGATCACTACGTCTATTTTGTTTGTTGTGGTTGGCTTCTTGGCCTGTCTGGAGAAGCTGGCTTCCACTGCAAATACTGTGGCCGTGGAGAGAGACTGGGTACGTGGGCACGGCCCAAGCGGTGTTGGTTCTTGCTAATGTCAACACTTCACTAGGCTATTGTCATTTCGGAGAGCATCAATGTACCTCGGCAAGGTGAGACTACTTAAAAATAGCATGTTTCCTAACCCTTTCTAATTACAATGACTACAGACCTCAATGCATCGATGAGACGAATCGATCTCTTTTGCAAGCTGATTGGCCCTCTGTTCATCTCATTTGTCGATAGCTACTCTACTCGAGTCGCCATTTGGACGATTTTTGGGTTGAACATGGCGTCGGTGCTGATTGAGTATCTTGCCATTGCCCAGGTTTATCGATCGGTCCCTGCCTTGAAGAGGACAACGACCATTCTTCGCCGAGATGACACAGACGCAGCCGCAGCCACGCGAGTTCAACCCCGGCAATGCCAGAGCTTTGTGAACCACTTGCGGGAGGCATCAGAACCATGGCGTGAGTATGTGGCAAGTCCCGTATTCCTCGCGTCATTCGCATTGAGCCTGCTTTACCTTACAGTGCTCTCTTTCGGCGCTACAATGGTCACATACCTTCTCGAAAGTGGATTCAGTTCGCTGGAGGTCAGCTTTATGCGTATTGGGTCTGTGGCAGCCGAGCTATCGGGCACTTGGACTGCACCGCTCATCATGAACAAAATTGGACCCATCCGATCCGGACTGTGGTTCCTGAACTGGCAGCTTTGCTGTGTCGCTGGTGCGACTGCTACCTTTGTGATTTGGGACTCGAACGCCAAACTAGTTGCAGGTAGCCTGGTTGTAGGCGTCGCTTTGAGCCGTATTGGTCTTTGGGGCTTTGATCTGTCGGCACAGTTCCTGGTGCAGGAAGTAAGTCTTTTATTTCTTCACTGTTCCAAACCAATACTGACGTGCGATCTATAGAATGTTCAAGAGCATGCTCGGGCACGTTTCTCTGCCACTGAGGTGGCACTGCAGAACATCTTTGAGATGCTCTCTTTTGCGTCTACTATAGTCTTCCATCTGCCGAGCCAATTCCAGTATCCAGTGATGATTAGCAACGGAGCAGTTGCATTGGCCGCCATATGCTTCGCAACGTATGTGCGTAAGGAACGCGGCCATCTTTTGCACAGATCCAAGTGCCTAGGAGGCGACAAGGTGCTACATCGAGGAACTGGGTCGGCAGCGTAAAGTACCTGGGCGTACCTGAATGGTACCTGACTGGATTTGGGGGCCAAACATTGTATAGTTATAGTTATCAAAATAGAATTCCACAACCAGACAGACGATCAACCATGTGCAGTCCGAGCGTCATGCATATTAGGAGAATAGATCAAGTGCCATATTCATCCAGAATCATCGCGTTAAAGCCGGACCCGGAGCTCTCCACTATTCGCAAGCCGTGGGTCGCGCAATTGCGGGGAAAGTTAGCCACGCACACTGTCAAGAAGTCGCGGTCGACTATGCCCCAAGATATTCAGGGACGAGTTCCATCATGGAGGTATCTGAAGACCGATCACCCAGCACATCATGTTCGCCCCGACTAACGCATGCGCTGCGCTTACAGGTGCCCCAGGCCCGGGGATCAGGTCGGTCAGGCCCACGCCGCCGGACCGGCTGCTTGACATGCAGGGCTCGCAAAGTGCGATGCGACGAGGCCAAACCAAGCTGCGCCAACTGTGATCGACTGCGCCTGCGATGCGTCTACAGACCGCCCATCGCGCTTGGTTCCTGGGCTTCGTCTCGCCGCTCTGTTGAGTCGACCGCTGCGCATGCGCATCGTGTGACACAGACGGCTCCCACGCCTGCCATGGGCCCTGCTTCGGCGGCTGCTGCAGTCGCGGCTGTGTCGCAGCGCTCGCCGGATCTTAACTTCTTCGGAACTGTGCTTCGCTCAGACAACCACCATCGGACAATCCCCGCACCGACATCGCCGATGCGACGATTGCCCGGCGATGCAGAGTCATACCCGTCGGAATTAGGGGGCCCGTTTGACATGCTTGGGTTTATAGGAGGGATTACATCGGAGTTGGAGCAAAAACATCTCGACTTGACAAGTGGCCTGTCAGCGATCACAGCCAGTCCGTCCGCGCAGTCGTTATCTGCGGATATGGCTGCGAGTGCTACGGACGATGGGCAGATTATTGCTGAAAGACGCACGCCGCTCAGTCCTGATGGTACGTCATCGCTAGTGGATGGAATGTCGATTGGCACCGCATCAGACGCCGCGACTACACGTGGGAGTTGGTCCGATCCGGGTAGTACCACATATGAAGAGCAGTTGCTTCAGCATTTTCTTGCCATTGATCCTCCGGCGGCTATTTTTGGACCTGTCTTGATGGAATGGAAGTATGTACGGCCTTCCGTGCTGGCTCATGCGCGGGATTTTAGTCCCCTTCTGAATGCGTTGTATTGCTATTCAGATGTTCATAAAGCTCTGTTAGAAGGAAAGCGCTGGCGCTGGGCACCTACATACTACCGAGTTGCTAGTTCTGAAATGCAGGCTTGCTTACTTGGGGATGTGACCGACTCAACACTGGTCAAGGCCTTTGCGGCTGTGTTTTTCTTAATGTTATCCGAGGTAGGTGTGGTTTACTCCGTCTTCATATGATGTCAGCTCACAAGCATTCGATCTAGCTCTACTCTTCTCCCGAGTTGTCTTCGCCAGGCACATCCTATCTCCATTCATCATACCTTCTTTTACAACGATTCAACGATCGCACTCGACATTGGACGGGTCTTGGACATCTACTAGTGTCGTGGATATCCCTTCTCGACGTCAAATCATTGATTGCAGGCCGTGACGGTGACCCTTTAACTGAACTGGGCAATTTACCAGGCAATTTACCATCAAACCCCCAGCCTTCAGAGACACATAGCCCTCAATTGTCACGAACGTCTTCAGCCGATGATGATAGGAGCGAAGATCCTTTTCGCAGCCCTAGCTATCTGGTCTACGAGGCGATCGTGGGTCCGGCTTTCCGCTTTTTCGTGCAGGCACAGCAAATTGTGCGACGAATAGTCTGCATAGATCTACACCATCGCAGCCGCGGAACACTCAGGGACGAGTTCGAAGTTCTCCAGATAGCCCATAAAGTTGGTGCAGATCTCGAAGCACTATGGCACCGACGACCGTCTGTGATTGATGTATATGAGCAACCGGAAGCTTTGACCGATACACTCTGTCCCCCCGTGGCCCTCGAAGTATGCCGCACATTCAGGCAATACGTGGTCAACTTTCTCGCAAACTTCATCTACTTGCATCGCGTTGCGTTTGCCATCTACCCTCGCACAGATCGTGTCAACGGTGCCGTTGATCAAATCATCCAACTAGCTACCGTCGAGTCTGTAGGAGCAGGTACTGGGCATCTCCCCGTTAGTTTCCTTTGGCCTTTATTCGTCGCCGGCCTAGAAGGTTCACCAGAGCAACGTCAGTGGATTGTACAAGAAATGCAGCGCATGGCGACTGCTGAAGATACTGAGCCATCTGCAATAATGACTCGTCACCCAGCCGCAGACAAGGTCATGTTATTGCTAGAGGAGATGGCGCGACGGCAAGATACCTCGCGTACATGGGCAGACTCACGGTTTGTGCGGCGAGAGCTCTTCCCTGACTTTTTCATCATGATTTAGCGTTTCATCTTGAGCGAATCTTTTACGGTGCATGTGCATCATTAATGCAGAGACGTTCGATTTACATTCCAGAACCGCAAGGCCGAACTGCATGTAGTTAGCTAGGAAGGCTTACTTCCAAGGTTATAGCAAGAAATGTAACTTAAAATAATCCAAAAGAGTAAATCAAAATTCTATTTTCTCATGATATCATTAACTGTGCAAGGTATCATTACATCTCAATATCAGCAACCTGAGCAAGCGTCCAAGCCGTGGAACTCTAGAACGGCCTCTCAGTACGCTGGAAGCGCGGCGGCTCGCGCGTGAATTTCTCAGGCGTATCTCTTGCACCATCCTTCCAATAATCAAACTCCATCCAAGCATTTTCCGGCATCTGCGCCTCGGTAGCTTCCAAGAAATCACCGAGATCAGGACACAGAGGAATAACACCGGTCTCAAGAACATACTGATCCCAAAGCTTGAGGAGTCTCTTGAGATGCTCGGGGTGGGCATCAGCCAGATCGTGAACCTCGCCAGGATCCTTGACGAGATTGTACAGCTGCCATTTCTCGGGACCCTTGGGCTTGGGAATAAAGACGATCTTCCAGTCACCGCAGCGGAGTGCGGCGCGGCCGCAGGTCTCCCAGCCTTGGATAAAGTCCTTCGGGTGGATGCGCTCCGCTTCGCCGGTGGCCCAGGGGTGGAAGCTGACGCCACGCATGGAAACAACTTCACGGCCCTGGTAGTTTGGCGCGGGGTGTTTGACGCCGGCCATGTCTAGGATAGAGGGTGCGAGGTCCATGACAGTCGAGAATTGGTCGGTAATGCCGCCGGCAGCGGCAGTTGCGTCACCGGGCTTGACGTTCATATTCTTAGGGAAGCGACAGGTGAAGGGGACGCGGACGCCACCTTCGGTGGTATAAGCTTTGTATAGACGCGAGGGTGCAGTGGCGGCCTGCGCCCAGCGCGGACCGTACCAGATGAAGGAATTTCCGGCACCGAGGTTCTCCAGGCTGTTGTTGTAGTACTTCTGCAGGTGGGGCATCACGCCGTTCTGCACCATGGGATAGGCCTCGTAGGCGGCGCCCTCGGCACCGTTGTCGGACATGAAACAGACGAATGTATTGTCCAACTCGTCGATCGATCGCAGGTAGTCGACCACTTTGCCGACGTTGGTGTCAATACACTCGACCATACCGGCGAAAACTTCCATGGCTGTAGAGGACTTCTTCTTTTCCTCTGGTGTAAACTCCTCCCAGGGCTTGACTTCCTCGGCGTTCACGTCGTGAGGCTCGACATCCTCGCTGATCATACCCAGCTCCTTCAGGCGCTGCAGACGCTTCTGACGCAGAACATCGGGGCCCTCGTCGTAAACACCACGGTAGTGATCAATGTATTCTTTAGGAGCCTGAAGAGGCCAGTGGGGCGCAGTGAAGGGCAAGTATCCAAAGAAGGGACGATCTCCTTTACCATCAGGGCCCTCGCTACCGCCGCTCTCCTTCCATTCCTTCAGGTAATCAATCATCTTATCGCCATATCCATCAGACGAGTACCAACCCTCGGGCAGCTTGCGAACATACTCGCCATCCTCCATGTGCAGAGCAATGTACGAAGCCTCAATGAAGGTAGGGATCGGGTCCTTGTCACGCAGCTCCGGCTCGAAAGCATAGTGGTTGGAGCAGGCGGGGAGGTGGGCGAACGAACGCACGAAGCCACGCTTGTGAGGTGATCGCTCAGGTGTCAATCCCAAGTGCCATTTACCCGACATCACGGTGTGATAGCCTGCATCACGCAGCACTTCGGGCAGAGCAACTACGCGCTCGTTCAGGTATCCCTCGTAGCCGGGCATACCGCGCTGGGGAGCGGTGCTCATGGCAGAACCTTTGGGACCGTTCTGGCCGGAGATGTTGGTCCATTCGATCAAGTTACCCAGGCCGGCGATGTGGTGGTCCGTACCGGTCATAATCATGGCGCGAGTGGGCCTGCATTGGAATTGGATGGTTAGCTTGTATGTTCCACGCTCACCTCAGTGAACGCAACTCACGAGCATGCTGCCGCAGCGTGGAAATCTGTGAATCGCAAGCCCTCCTTCGCAATGTTGTCAATGTTGGGCGTGCGAATCTCGCCACCGAAGCAGCCCACATCGGAGAAACCGAGGTCATCGGCGACGATAACGAGGAAGTTAGGGCGTTTGGCCATGGTCAACACAGGCAAATAATTGAAAAGGATAGGAAATACAAAATGAGCAAGGAAAACAAAGAGGGGTAGCCGCACGCGAGTCTTATATCCCCCGCTGATCGACATCGGAGTTACTCCCGATCCCTGAGCTACAGCGCCATTGCGACACCTCCTTTCGTGCTCGGCTGGCATCAATCGCTAGTCGGCTGTCGGCTACAATTCCCGGCTATAGTTGAATATATTCCCGAGTGGGTAAAGACAAGGCGCCAACACGCGCCATGTGGATTCCATGGGTCATGTAACCGGCTGTAATATTACATGCGGGGAAGCTGTCGCTACACACATTGACTGCCGGTATTGTCGTTCCACTCTGTACAGACTTCCGCTGATCGCGGGAGCCCTGGATGCCACGCTTTCAAAGGCCACGAACCTCTTGATGAGTCCAGCCGAAGAGGGAATCGGTCCACAATAATATTGAATTGAACCAAAGGTTCACATCTCCGACTACACAGACACTAGAAATGACAACATTGCGTGATGTCTCCACTCCATTGCGCATCGGCTATCGGCAGTCCATGACATAATACAGGCAAATCCGGAGAATCAACATGCCAGAAGCAGCGCAAACCAGACGTTTCAAGCCGCGACACTTCGGCAGTGCCTGCTCATTCCTTAGATGAGCTAAGTTTGTCTCCCGCTTCTCCGCAACTATGCCGGGCCATGTGAGCGCCGGTATATCAAGAACCTCCACCCTCGCCCCGACTCCTGAATCCATTGTCTCTTCTTGGCGGACTCGGTTGGACAGCTGGTGGATCCATACTTCGACTTCATTTACTTCATACTCCCAGCTTCCTCAGAACCACGACGAGGATCAGTTGGGTCAGCTAGATCCCGGAATGGAGGCATTACGCCTCTCCAAGGCCCGATGGCGCACGTACTGGCTAGCCGTCGTACTGTGTTGCGGCGGTGCACTATTTGGATATGACTCTGGTGTTATCGGTAGAGTTCCCTCCATGAATCAATTGATTCCCTCCTAACTTAATCAAGGTGGTGTTCTCACCTTCGAATCATTCCAATCCTCATTTGCATTCAGCAGCGCAAATGAAACCAGTGTAAGCTCCATCGCAGTCGGCATCCAACAAGCCGGCGCCCTGGCCGGCTGCTTCATCATTTGGCCAGTAACCAACCGCTGGGGCCGCAAGATCGCCATGATGTCCTGCTCCGTGGTCTTCTGCATCGGCGTCGTCCTAGAGATCATAGACGCCCACTCCCTACCACTCTTCTACGTTGGTCGAGTAGTATGCGGCCTCGGTGTTGGCGGCTCAGCGACCGTCATCCCAATCTACATGTCCGAAATGAGCCCAAAAGAAATCCGCGGCCAACTAGGTAGCTGTTACCAGCTCACCTACACCATCGGCATCCTAGTATCTTACTGGATAGACTACGGCGTCAAATCCATGCCTTCCACCGCTACCCAATGGCAGCTCCCAATCGGGCTCCAACTCGTCCCTGGCGCATTGATGGGCCTGGGAATGTTCACGCTTGATGAAAGCGTCCGCTGGCTCCTAGCACACGGCAAAACAGACGAAGCATGGCGCAGTCTAGTCTGGATCCGAGCCGGTGATGGTCCCGCCGTAAGGGATGAGTTCGCCCAGATGTGCCGCGGCCTCGAAGAAGAGCGCCACGCTACAGCGGGCTTCAGACCCCGGGAACTCCTTGAGTGGCCGAACATGCACCGCCTGCTTATCGGCGCTGGCCTCTTCTTAGCACAGCAATCAACGGGCTCGACGGCACTGGCTTACTTTGGCCCGCAGTTCTTTTCCCTGCTCGTCGGGCCAGGGGACCAGAACCTACTGCTGACGGGTATATTTGGCGCGATCAAGGTGGCGGCTTGTCTTATCTTTGTGCTGTTCATGTCCGACCGGTTCGGACGGCGCCCGGTGCTGGCTGCCGGGGCTTCGTTTATGGCTATTTGCATGCTTGCGACGGCGGGCGTGGTTAAGAATTATCCGCCACAGGATGGGGTGGTTAGCTCAGCGGGCATTGCGACCATTGCGCTAATTTATCTCGATATTATCGCGTATAACTTTAGTTGGGGGCCGCTGCCATGGCCGTGCACTAGCGAGATTTTCCCGACGCGAATCCGTGAGCCTGGTGTTGCCTTTGGTGTTGGATCGCAGTGGCTGTTCAACTTTGTTTGGAGTTTCTCGACGCCTTATATCATGGCTGGTATTGGGTGGGGTACGTTCCTCTTGTTCGGAGTGCTGGATATTTTTATTGTGGCGTTTACTTTCTTCTGTCTCAAGGAGACGGCCGGAAAGACGCTTGAGGAAATCAACGACATGTTCGATGGTATTGATCCGGACACTGAACATGGTTGGAAGAGCAATGACCTGGATGAGACCACGGGCCCAAATGCGCAAGAATATCTGGACCGCATGGAGACTGCAGACACTGCAGATACCGCGAATAAGCATACCGCCCACCTCGAGTCGACTGCTGGACGGACCTGACTCCGTTATATGAACTAAGGAGTGCATTGCACAGGGAACTGAGAGATGTATAAAGAAGTGCCTAGGTATAGACAAGACAAGAGTACGTGCATGAGCACAGTATCATCCAAATCATTCAAGAACAAGATACATGATCCTGCCCATAATAAACTGGTTCTTCCTCTTTCAGCGGTACAGTGCAACCTCTATTAGCCTATTACGTAATTCATTGTGTTCTTTGTAACTTAGGCATCGGTATTCTAGACCAATGATCCTAAGTTGGTCGGGCCTAGTGTGTCTATAAAACTCTTGATCACGATCAAGAACTTATCAACTATGTCACTATGTTTTGACCTACAAAACAAATTATAAAAAAATCAGAATGAGCGGCTAGCAAGTACGTAAGGTAGAAGCAAGAGGAACATTTATTTAGGATCAGTTCATGAACAGATGGACAGGCTACAGTTACTTCATATTAGCTAGGGTCGTGAGGGGGATACGCCGCAAAGAAGACGGTATCGATCCTGGGAGAATAAACGAGGAATCTCGTCTGAATTTGTCGGACCTGCGTAGGCTGAAGTGACCAATCATCAAGGTATTAGCTAGTATAGGCAGTCAATAATTCGCCGTAAAGCGTTCGCAGATCTTCAAGGCACCTGAACTCAACATCTATATTTCTATAAAGTGGCGCAAATAGAACCGCTAAGGAGTGGACATGCACAAACTACTAAACCTCCATACACCCCTTGACGAAGTTACTTCTGCAAAAGTAGAATAAATATGGGTAGGTAGAGACAATTACTACAGAAGACAAGTCTTCATGTATTTTTGACCGTATATTACTACATACATACTGCTATAGGAATATTAATATGCCGGGGCTATTCCATAAACTCTAGAGCTTATCTAGGCAATTAAAAAAGAAACAACCAAAGAGTGCAAAAGTGGTGACACCAGTTTCGAGACGTACTAACTATGCCACGCATGGAAGCAAATAAAGAGAGAAAGACCATCGAGCCTATTAGCTATCAATTGCTACTTTGTAAACTCCAGACACCCTCCAGCCATCCAGACCAGATCGCAAATAAAAAGTGCAATACAAAGGATTCCATCCGGGTAAGCTTTTTTTTTTATGGTTTTGTCCATCACCCCGACAGAACCCGTCTCCATCATACACACATCTTGTGTTCATTATCTCATTAAACGTTGATCAGGTCATCAAATGTATCGTCCGGCGAAAAGGTATATGAAGACTCGGAAACAAGCGATGCCTCTGAATTGCGACGAAGCTGCTGCTCAAAGGCCTCTGCCGCAGCCACGGCAGCTGGTTCCAGCTGCAGTGGATCATCGAATCCGAAAGAAAGATTCGAAGTTGTCGCAGCCTGGCTCGTAACAGGTGTTTTGGTCGGAGCAAGCGTAGGAGGAGCTCGGGGGGGAGCTCGGGGCGGCGAGACGGAGATGTGGTCCACGATATTGATCGGTGGATCTACTGGCGCCGGGGCCGGGGCCGGGCCATCGCTATCGGTGATCCTCTTCACCATCTGCGCAAGATGAAGTTTGATAGGCTCATCGCCACACTGGGCATGCTTCAGCACCTCGTTCTTGAGGCTCAAGATCTGTGAGCGTAGACTAGCAATTTCTCCTTGTAGCCGCTCTTTTTTCTCCGACTGTTCCTTGTAGCGATACTCCAGCTTCTGCGTATGCTCTTTCTTCTTCTGTCGACATTTGCTCGCCGCGAGACGGTTGCGTTCTAGGAACTTGGCCCGTTTAGCTCGCTCTTGAGGAGGGATGTCATCGAAGTCTGGGCTCAGACTATCTGCTGCTGATTTGGACTCGCGCAGGCGGCGGCGCTTGCTGGCACTCTCGTATTCAAGGCTGGATGATTCGTGGGTGTGATCATCGTAGGGTGGTGGTGTGGGCTGGCCATTGCGGACCTGGGCGTTTTTGAGATCCCGTTCGAGTGCTGAGCCGGCAAAGGCCGCTGCATCTGCTTTGGTATCCCAGGCCATGCCCATTGTTGGAGAGATAGGACTGAGGCTCCAAAAATGTGGTTCGTCTTCGTTCATGGGCAACCCCAAGAACTCGCCGGAGAAGGCATTTGGCGCCGTGAAAGGTGAGGGCCCAACGGCGCTTCCAGTGTCGAGAAGGTGAAGGTCGCTAGGCAGGTTCAAGTTCCCAGTTGACATGGCAGTGTTTCAATCAAGGAAGGTGCACAGTCGCAAAGCTGGGGATTGTTGTTTCCTTGCCTTGGTAATTAGGTAGTTTGGGGAAGTCTTTGTTTCGGTGATCAGGCCAGGTACAGGTAAGCCCACCAACCCCCAATCATAGAGTCTCGTTCAGACCTAGCTTTTGACTCAGGGTTTGGGCAAAAGAAGATGGGAACCACGGTCGATGAGCCGGCCGGTGCCTGAAGAAGTGTAGGCCCAGGTGTCGCTCGGCTGGTTGGAGCCACGGTCGGACAGGACTTCCAGCGGTCCAGCAGATCCGAGCGAATACCCGTGCAGAACGCTCTGGATGTGGGTGGGACAGGGTCAAGATGGCTGAGCTGTTGTACAGGGACGAATCGCATATTAAGCAACAAAGGCAGCCATGGTTGAAGATCGACCCACAGCACCAAGGCACACCTTATTGAATTGGAGGTAGAGTCTAGGGTCCTGACATCACTGAAAGAGAGACCATGGAAAAAACGGGATCTCAAGCCGCCCAGTCACGAAGGTCTAGACGACGATCTAAACAGGGTTTAGAGGTAGAGGAGAATAGTGGAGAAAAAAGAGGGGCTTCGGTCTTGGAACTATGTATACACCTGGTTTGAGAGAGCTTGAGCGATTCCCAGCGACTATAGCTATGGGAACATTTCCCCCAGGAGGACCTGTTCGATAATCTCTGCCTTCATAACAAAACAAGATAACTGTAAGAATCAACGCCGATTGCCTGATCCGCTAGCCCATTCACGCATCTTTCGGCATACGCCGCCCCAATGTTCAAGGAGCAGCCCCGCCACACGTTGCTCCTCGACCTCCCGTTCCACTTTGTCCGGTTCGCTATCTCGAATGTTCGATCCTATCAGCAGCGGACCAAACACCCGGGCCAGCCTATCGGCATCAGTTACGCTTGCCACCGGTCGGAGGGCATTCCCGGACACTTCCTGCTGTGCGAGGCGTTTCATCTCCTGCAGCATGCCAGTGAGCAGTCCGAAAATTGCGCAGATGAGCGCACATTGCATCTCGCTGGTCAGCGCAATAATGGCGAGCGAGAGAAGACGCACCCGGGGACTAGGGGGGTTTCGGAAAAATATATGGACTTCAGAGCCTCATAAAGTCGAGCGGAGCCGAGAATGCCGCCGGGTAGTCCTTCCAGCAAGGCCTTGAGCGCCCAGGCCACGACAAGTGCATAATGCGGCGAGGCGTCGGTCTCGTTTTGCGGCATGGCGATCACCCGCATGGTGAGGGCGATCTGGCTCTTGTCTTTCTCGGCAGACAGAACATGCTTAGCAAATTCGTCGTACAGACTAATGGCCCTCTTGATGCTGCCCGGCTCGATGAAAAGTCTGGCCGAGGTACTGGCACCTGCAGGAACCCGGGGTCAGTTGGCCGCGTCATGACGTAAAGCTGTCGATCACATACCTTGTTTTCTCAAGTACATCACGCACATCACAATACATGCAGGTAGCTGCAGTGGAGAAGGGGCCAGGTGTGAAGGCAGGACAATAAAGCTATGGCCTCCCAAACGAGCCAGAGTCTCCAAAGATCTGCCTTGCAGAGAACTCATGGAATCTGCCCGGCGTCCGAGGCTAGCAAATGTCCTTGCTCGTCGTAGTCTCGGGGCCGGCGGCTGAGAATCAACTCCCAGGATCAGGCTCGACTGTACGGAGCGAACTCGACGGAACAATCGGTGTCGCCGGAATACGTTCTCCTCGTCGACACTTGGCTTCTCGTCAGCGTCAGCTATTGAGATTTGTCAGGTCTGGCTCGTAAAAACAGGTTAAGTCGACTTACAGCCGGGAGTAATATCCTCGACAACAGCTGGATGAATGTGAAACTGGAGATTCAACTTCGCAGTCAGTGCATTGAATGCCACACTCGCCTTGGTTGGGTCGAGATGACTCAGTCGACTGCCTCGACTGGCTTTACTGGCAACAGAGGCATGGCTCAGCATCGAAACCTGACGGGAGCTGGCATGCGACTTGGTTGATGGGTTAAGAGTACGTTTGGTCTTCTCGGACTCCAGTTGTCCCTGCGAATTCCCAGACGATCCTTTCCCATGTTTGTCGCTGTGCTGGGAAGATTCTCGGGTTGGGAGTGGACTATCTGCAACCCTGCCATCAGAGAAAGGATCCGATGCTGTGAGAGGGTGCCCTGAGAGGGTGTGCTGCGGGTGCTGCTCTAAGAAGGGGTAGTCTGAGAGAGGGAGCGCCGAGGAGGGATGCTCTGAGGAGGAACATTGTGATGCATGCTCTGACCCATCAGAGTGCTGGTGAAAGTTCAACATGTTGTTCAACCAGCCTTCTTCCAGCTCCTGGAGGGGCCACTGAGACGAGTATCGACGAACGGTCATGGCAGTGTCCTTGGATTCATGAGAGCCACTTGTCTGGGCGCTGACGTTGCGGTTCATTTCTGCATCCTCAGGGTCAACGGGCGCATTTGGAGGGTTAACTTCTCTCTTGGCAGGGTCGGTGGTCGCCTGAGGGCTATCATCGCCGGGCGCAGTCTGTTTAAGAGCTTCCCTCATTGATAGCGCAGAACCTCGTTCTTGGGATTTGCTTCCCCGCAGGCGGCGCACAAAGCTCTTGAGGCGCTTGGAGCCATGCTGAGACTGAGAAACTTCGTTGGAATCACTGCGCTTGTGAGCAGATGTCGCACCAATGGAAGTTTGCGGGCCGTATTCTGCTTGGGAAGGCGAGATATGATCGTCAGGCGAACTTGACAGTACATTCTCAGCAGGAGAAGTGTACGTCTCCCCGTGGCCGATCAGATTCCACTCTGGGTCATCAGTGATGCTCAATTTGTGCTCAGGTCGATTTGGCAGCGGCACGCTTCTCGAAAGCCTCAGTAGAGGCCAGGCGCGATGAGTCGAACGGGAAGCCCGGGGGGCACTGGACGGACGAAAGAGATCTTTAAAAAATGGCATGGTAATAAGAATGGAGACACGATCTGGTCTCGGTTCAAGTCATTGCAGAACGAGAAACACAAACACAGCGGGACTCGGGTTGCATAGGAAAGTGCATTGAAAAGAGAAGCTGCGGGCTACGCGCAGCTTCCACGTTGTTGTATTGGAATCGAGGTACCCCAAATCACTTGAACCGAATATATGACTAAAGAGTATCAAGGAGTTCAAGAAGATCTATTTGTGCCGTTTGCCCGAGGCCAAGGCTTTAAAAGGCCATGTTATTACCTTTGTACAATCAACAACCCACAAAGTAACAGAGCCCGTCGGGTATTTAGCTTTGGGCGAACAAAAATAGTATCGCAAACGCCGGTATCATGCAAATTTCGGGGATATGTATAGTGGTAGAAGACCCAAGCCGGACTTGATCATACTTCGTCATTTGTCTTCGCAGGGGACCCTCCCAGTCCGGCCCATGCGCAATGCTCTCGCAAGGTGCTCATTCGTCGGTTTCTCCCTCGAGCAGGATGTAGTGGAGGATGTCGCTCAGGGTGAGAACACCCTTGAGCTTGAAGTACTCATCCACAACCACCAAACGGTGAACGCGAGACTTGCGAATAGTGTCGAAGATGGTGTCCAGTCCGTCATTCAGCGAACAGGTGTAGATACCCGGGAACTCCTGCGATGATTGTTAGTCGTTTGCAGCCCAGTGAAGCAGCTGCTACCTTGCTACCTGCAACTTACCGGCGAACGTTTCTTGAGAACCTCTCCCACCGTGAGGCTCAGATCATCGTAGACACCGCCCCGAATCAGCGCAATGACATCAACTGACTCGAATACATTGTACACAACACCTAGAAGGGATGAAAATCAGTAACTACCCCGGTTATCTTAGAACAGGGGATGTCGCATACCCTCAGAGTTCAAAATAGGCATGCTGGATATGCTGCGCTCGACTAGAATGTGAATCACGTCAATGACGGGCGTATCCATTGAGGCCGTGGCGATATTATCGTATGTTCCAATCAACAGTTCACCGAGCGGACGGCGCAGCTTCTGCGTATCGCTCACATTGACGGCGACGAACTTGAGAATGCGGTACTGCGTAATCACACTGAGCACATGGGATCGATCGGTTTGACTATCGTTCGTAACGAGGGGAATTCTGCGCGCGCGGGACTCGAGCATACGTCGACAGGCTTCGTACAAGGGTCTTTCAGGATCAATGGAGATGGTCTCAGGCGGCGCAACACCCAGGGCTTTCTCAACATCTGTTCATTCCGCGTCTCAGGTTAGTATTGAGCGGCGCCTGCACCTGAGGAAAGACGGGACGCACCACGAAGGCTGTCTAGCCGGAATTGGTCGATCTGATCAAGGGCGGCGGGGTTCTGGAAATAGTATTGAATGACGTTTATGTAGTCGGAGGTTGTCAGAAGACCCGCGAATTTGGACGCTTTGGAGTCCCACAACGGGGCTGAAACGATGCCTGTACTTCCCGATTGCCCAGTCAGCCGATGGTCTCTACGTTCACAAGGGAAGTCGTGCCGTTTTGGATGAGAATGTTCAAGCTTTCCTTGACGGAGAGCGAGGTGTCGAAGATGATGAGTCGGAAACTGAGAGGGAGGACGTCGTAACTGGTGCGAACCTTCAGGAAGTTGCGAATGGCACGCTGGGAGGCTAAGTTAGTCGAAGTCTGGATATAAGCCACGAGCCGCCACGAGGGGACGGGGACACGGGGGGGGCCTTCCTGATCCCCCTTCCCCAGTCACATCTTGAAACAGAACCGAGGGCGGTCAAGGAAACAAACTCACCAGACCATGTCGCTCTTCCCGATCGACTGGTCTCTCGGGTTGGGAGGCCATTGGAGGGAGAAGGTACGAGGATGGCTGCACAAAAGGCGCGTGACCGAGGGAGGTGAAAGACCCGGGGAGGTGAGGCCGGGTGTCCGCCTTCGTCATGTCGTGGTGGGGGTCAGTGGAGTCCGGAATGGGGGAGGAAGCATCTAAAGCACTGGCATTTGCCTTAAACGGCCTACTTCTGCACTATATATCTATCTCTCTTGGACCTTTGGAAAGAAATGCCAATCATGGCTTTTCTGCCCCTCTTCTCCCCACCTCCGATGGGCCAATGCTGCTGCCGCCCGATTCTTAAGGCATGAATCTAGACTTCTGGTAACGTGGGGTTCACTCTACATGTACCACAAGTGATCTGTGCAGCGGGCTTCGAGGATTCAATCTCCAATAAGATATCTTGATTAAAACTACCTTGTCAATCTCCAATCACAGTATCAATGGGCCCTCAAACGCCACCACAACGCGCTAAATGCAAGGTATCAGCCGAAAACGAAGCCTATCTCCTATCCAGAGCACATAAATAAAAGCAAATCGTAAATGACCGTCACGGATCACATCAAAGATGCCCATGCAGCCGAATCCGATAGATGCAGGTAATATCAGAGCCCCAATTCGACTTCACTCTGAAAACCACCTTGTCCACCCGGACAGTCGGGATATCAACGATGGCGTTAAGCGCGAACCGCTGGATATTGTACTCGCTGTGAATATCATACTCCATCTTCCCGACGCGGTAGAAGTTCGCGCCGAGGACAGGGTCGTCTGAGTAGCTGTTTTCGGGATCGAAGGCGTTCGAGACGCGAAGGGAGCTCATGAGCACATCGTGCAGCGATTTCTCGCCGGGGATATTGTAACCCCCGAGTCCTTCTTCTCGAGCGGATGGGGGGTCTACGGGTCGGGTTCTCTTCTTTGAGGACAATGGCCACCAGGACCCCTTGGTGTTATCTTCTTGGTCCAGGGGAATGACGCGGAAGCGCGCCCACATTTCGATTTCCTTAGGTGCTGAGTCTGGATGGAGGGTGGTGCTGGCGGGGACGTGTTCGATTATCACCTCCTCAGGAACGATATCACGGCCAAGCAGGACCGCGAGCTGGGATACTCCTTCACGAGGTGTACTGCACCAGCAATCTCCCGTTTCTTCCCATGGTGACAGAGCAGCCACGGGAGGGAGAGGGCCTCGACCAAAGTTGGCACCGAGACGGAACATTCTCATCACGACACGCTTGTAGTAGGAGGGATGGTTTTCGCTAGCGGTGGGGGCGGTGTTGGCTGGGTCGATTATCGCTCCCATGGCTGGGGATAGGAAGTTGATTTTAGGTGGATGCCGCGGGCTCACGACGATTGGAACATGAATGTCACTAGGGCGAGGGGCGTTGGCATGTTCTGATCGAACACTGCTAAGCTCGCGTGAAATGGACGAGATTTGAGTGTTCATTTTCGAAACCTGGTCTGTGAAGCCGTGGAATATTTCGGATTCGGTGATATTTGGAGGTAAATTGATTCGGGGTTGGCCGAAAGGCATAGACCAGCGAAGTTTCGACATTATATCATGTGGAAGCGCAGCCAAAAGACCCCCTTGGAGTGCAAATACAAGAGCCACCGAGAGCAACAAGACAAGACCAGTTCTGATCCAGTTGGTGCGATTTGACTTTGACGTTGGCTTTGGGGGCTGACCATCGCGGCTCGTCGGTCTGATTGAAGGGAACCATTGTCGAGATAGACTATCTTTGGGCGGCTGGGGCGATTTAGAAAATTCCAATTCGGATATGGCTTCGGCAGATTGAGAGCGTCGGAAGATTGAAGGAATAATTGTCCGCACTGGTGCGGTCCATGAGCTGGGAACAGGTTCAGCATCTGGTTCTATGGCAACCTCCTCGGCTTCTTCGACTTTCTCCTCGTCGTCGTCATCCTCTTCTGATTCTGATTTTGATTCTGATTCTGCTGGTTCTTCCTCCTCCGAAGATGGCTCTTCCTCCTCTTCAATTGTTTCCTGGGTCATGGCCAGGCCAAGCCCAGAGGGACGACGAGGAGGCTTAGTGATGTTCTTGCCGTGACGTTCACCACGGTATTTGCTTGGCCGGGTTCGTTGCAGATCATCCCCGTGGATATCGCGTTCCAGGTCCCATGACAGTTCAGATACATTGTCTACCGAACTTTCACGATCAGGGCTGCTCCTGACAGAAGCACCATTCAGACGGTCCCCAGCGCGCTGAAGCGGTGACGGATATAATGGCTCGTTCGACATGACTGACAAGCGACGTTGACGAGGCGGTTCTTCCTCAGGACTTGAATCTGTAGATACTGAATTCCGGACAGGAGGTGAAGGAGTAGGTGATGCGAATCCGTCAAGATCCTGCTGGAGCTGGGTTTGATCGGGGGTGGGCTCCCTTTTTCGCCGAGTCCGCCTCTCGGATTGTCTTCGTTGTCGGCTTGGCGAGTCTCGTTTCTGTGCAATCTCAATACCTGCCTCGATCCTTTTGGCAATGTGGACTGGGCCAACGTTTGGATCTACTGGGGACTGGGTGGGCAAAGCTGATGTTGTTTGAGCACCATAATTCCAGGAGTTTGCGATCGGAACAGCTGGTAAGGCTACGCCTGGGGAGTTACCAAGTAATGTCTCGAACTCGTCTCCAGAAGAGGCATAAGCATACCCCTTACCGAGTTTGTTTGCGGCTTTGAGAGGCATCTGCGCGCGTTAGCTGTGGCTCTTCTGGTTCCTTTCACTGCGCGCTTATGTCCATTCCGCCAACACGTAGAAACTCCAAGTCCAAGAACAGACTCCATAAAAAGGAACAATGTCAAGATGAAAAGCAGTCATGACAGAGTGAGACGACGAGCAAATCAATGGGAGTGAAGTGCCCAGCGATTCGAGGATAGCGGCAGTTTTGGCAGACAGGAATGTTGGAGGGGATACAAGGGCTTATTAGGATGTTCACGCACGACGAGGGTATAGGTGTGCCGAGCGAAAAAACCCAGGGTGTTTGGGCAGATCAAGCATCGCAGACGAAACGATAGGAACCAACACTTACACCAGTCGCAAAGGGTCGATTCTTGACACAGGCCCTGGTCACCAGGGATAAGTCTCTGCTCAGGAGAAAGTCTCACACAGAGTCTAGGAGCTGCGAACATATTAGACTCGGTATAAACAGCAGCTCGAACAAGCTGCATGGTCGTAGCGAGGTATAGGTCAACCCAGGGGACCAGCCCCGGGGGGTTCCTGGCGAGGGATGTCGAGTCCCCGACGAACTGAACACGACAGAAGATAACAAGGACTTACGATCGAAGCAAAAGGACCAATGTCAGTTCAGTTGAAGTGAGACTGAATGGCGAACCCCGAATCTCAAGTGTCGAGACGCGCAGACGCGTGAAACGTGAACAGAAAAGATGTGGAGCCGCGATCCTCGCGAATCAGAGCCTTATTTGGTCAACCTTCAACCTTCAACTTCAACTTCAACTTCAACATCAACTTCAAGATTCTCGCACCTGTGTTAGAGGGGAGATAATATAGTTAAATGTCTCGAGCTGCTATGTTCAAATGGTGAAATATTTGAGTCGCTCAAATTTTATAATTTTCAGGTTGAGTGGTTTTTCGCTTTATCTTTATCCCCCAACCTTAACCTATTCTTTGTCGCTTTGTCGAGTCTCTCATTCCCAGCTATTTTTAATTTTCTTTGGAATCGTCTTCTTCTAAAATCTCTACAAATGCACTTTGCATGCTTCTTTTCAAGCGAGTGAATGGCGCATGTAGAATGCTGAGTTACATACACGAATCGCGATATCATAGTCCATATGTCACTCCGTTTGCGCCAGCGTGCTGGATCCTGCTCTCTAGACATGAGATGGAATACTATACATCGGGTACAGGCGAGGAGGGAAGGGGGCGGGAGTCCGAAGCAAGGATGTACTGGGGGCAAGAGCATGATTATATCGTATTTAACACGTCCAGGCGGCCAGCGTGCCGTCCTTGCGGCCTTCCACCAGATATCCGTCCTTGAGGCGAACGCGTTCCACAATTGCAGGGGCTGGACCCTCGTTGTCATCGATTCCAACGCCGGGACCGCAGTCCCAGTGGTGGGCATCGGCCTTGTCGTAGACCTTAACCACGTTCTCGCCTGCAGCAGCTACGATGCGCTTGGAATCGAACATCATACTGGTAATAGGCTTGTCGTAGGCGTAGGCATCATAGATGGAGCCCATACGCAAGTCCCAAATCCGAATACTGCGGTCGAGACTGCCGGTTACGAGGTGCATATCGTCGAACTGCAGGCAAGTGACAGGGCCAGTGTGGCCCACGAGACTGCGGTGAACCTGGCCACTGCGAAGATCCCATAGGCGGACCATACCGTCAGCTGTTCCACAGGCCAGGGCAGCGTCGAAGCATTGAACTGCTCCAACGAAGTCGGCGGACGCGTCGGGGAGACGGCCCGACGGGCGCCAGGTCCCATCGGTGGTGGTTGTAGACGAGGCTTGGGTAGCGGCCCATAAAATATCGAGTGTCTGAACGCATCGTCCCTTGACCAAATCCCATTGTCGCAGTGTCTTGTCTGCGGAGCCTGAGATGAGTGTGTTGCCCTTGAAGTGGAGGGCAGTGACTTCGTCAACGTGTGCATCCAGGGTGAACACATGGCAGTCTTCCAGGTTAGACGAGGGAGGCACAGGTGAAGCATGCTCCAATGTATCCTCCTGTTCATGACGCTCGTGCTTGTTCAAGCGGCCATCGCGAGTCGTGGGCCGAGCGCGACTCAAATCCCACAGTCTTACAGAAGCATCCATAGAGCCTGACGCCACGATGTTATCTTCCACCTGCAAGCACCGGACTGAGGCATGGTGTCCCTCGAGCAATCCCGAGCATCGGCCAACGTTCATGTCCCATACTCGCACTGTGTCGTCCAGCGCAGCACTGATCATAGTGCCGAAGGGGAAGTCGAAGTCAATCGCAGTGATCATATCGGTATGCGCTTCGATTTCCTTAATCAACGACCCTGGAGCGAAATGCTCGTGTAGAATTGGCATCGAACGTTTCCCTAAAGTTCATCGTAAGCCGGCTTCCCGAGTCCGTAAGATTGAAGAGCTCCATACGTATAGATCTATGTCTTAAGCTCTTTGGTGACGGGTTTGGTAACTTCTCGTATATCGACTCCGACATAAACGATGCATCCATAGCAGGATCACCGGAAGAATCGATTGTATCCTCCGGGGCTTCAGAAGACTTTGGTGTTTCGATGGTGGCAGATGTGTCGGGTGTCTCTTCTGGCTGTAGGTCTTCAAGCTTGTTGTCAAGTTCCGTCACTGTATAACGGAAGTCAGAAATGCTGTTCTCCTGTCAATGACATGTGCGATAGGGAAACCTACGATCATGCTCTAATGCAGCTTCGTCCATCTCCAAGCCCGCTAGTCGATCAAGGACGATTTGGCGCATTTTGTGCAAGTTTGCGATCTTGTTATCGATCTCGTGGATCTCGGCGCTGCACATGTTCTTGCGAACGCCCATCAGATCCAGCTTCTTACTGAGCGTTTTTCGCTCCTCCTTGAGCCCAGCCGGTCCAACTGTCAAAAGTCCGGCTTTCTCACTATCCTTGAGATGTTTTCCGCCCTTGGATGACCGCCTCCGGTGCTTTTTATGGCCACGTTCTTCTTCGGGTATGGAGGCCTGGAAGCCTTGGAATAGGGAGTAGGAGCTGTTGTCTTCGGGAAGGTCGGCGAGGAGGTCGTCGGGGAGAGAGGAAATGGCACGAGACCTGATCTCAGTGGTCGACAATTTGGATCGCATCAGATCGGTCGGGGTCGTCTGGGTAATGGAGAACACATTGCGCTGCGCCTTCGGCCGGCGCAGTTCGCGGTGGATGTCGGTCATGGCATTCTGATAATGGGCCGGCTGGTTCTGGTCGGGCGGTCCCATTAAGTGTCCAGCCGTTGATGTAACTGTTCGACCGAATGCCTCTAGATGGCGGGTCTATACCAAGTGTGTTAGTCCGCGGTGTTGAGGGGCATGACGCGGGCAGCGAAAAAAGCTTACCGTGATGCCTGTGCCTAACAAGCCATCACCCTCAGCGTAATCGGACAGACCGGAAGGCGAATCATCGCGACGGTGATTCTCCATAGCCTGGAGTTGTGGGGGGTTCAACCAAGACCCATGTGTTGGAGAGAAGGAAGCTCGGTAGGTGCAGAGAGGCAATCGTCATGTGTTCACGCGATGAATTACCGCGTCCCCGGGTACGCACGGTACTTCCCGATCCAGTCTGAGACCCGGTCTCGCCGTCAATTGACATATCATTAATTACTATTTTTTTATCCATAGTGTAGCGACATACAAGGTTCCTCCTATATGTGTACTTCTACCTGTTTGGTACCCTGACTTGTGTAGGAACCCAGCAGGGAGCTCGGTACTGGCGAAGTAGCGAATACCCGATATACTGCACAGACGATTCTCTATATAGTAACTAGATGTGTTATATGCGAGGCAAATAGTAGATCGCCTCGAATGGAGAAACTGAAAGCATAAGAACACCCCCTGAACATTGACTTGCTGGCGTGCAATACAAATAGCCGCAGGGCTGGAGCAGCGCCCGAGAAGTCGATGCCGACATCGCAGACCCGCTACTTCTCTTCTCTCCAACTTCACTGCTGCAGCCATGGACACAGCCATTGATCTGTCCGATGCTTCCAAGGCACTGGACCTTGCCAACATCCGCTTCCAGCTTATGTGAGCTTTCTCCAATCTCTAATGCCCGAAACGACAGTCCTTTCCCTCATTATGCCCCGCGGCCCCGCCTTGCATGCTCACTGCAAGAGATATCGAACGAAACACCAGAGCTCGCGCACTCAAATCGCACGTTTCTTAAGAACCGCTGCTAACATACCAGGTCTCCAGTCGACTAGAGGACACAATCACCTTCCACTTGATCGAACGAGTCCAATTCCCCGTCAACAAGACAATCTACGTTCCCGGCGGAGTCAGGATCCCTTCTAGCGAGCTTAGTCTCGCCGACTACCTCCTCCGCGAACAAGAACGCCTGCAGTCACGCGTGCGCCGCTATGAGTCCCCCGACGAGTACCCCTTCTTCCCCGATGTTCTCGAGAAGCCGATCCTGCAGCCACTGCAGTATCCGCGCATCCTGCACCCCAACGACGTGAACGTCAACGATGTGATCAAGCAGCGCTACATCGATGAGATCATACCCACCGTATGCCCGCAGTTCGGTCGGGAAGACCGCGGCGAGACACAGGAGAACTACGGCTCGGCGGCGACGTGCGATGTTGCTTGTTTGCAGGCGCTGTCGCGCCGGATTCACTTTGGCAAGTTTGTTGCTGAGTCAAAGTTCCAGAAAGACCCCGAGACTTTTGTGCGTTTAATCAAGGCTGAGGATCGGGAGGGCATTGATGCTGCGATTACGGATGCGAAGGTTGAGCAGAAGGTTTTGGAGCGTCTGGGTCTCAAGGCTAAGACTTATGGTACTGATCCTGCGTTCCCTGAGGAGAAGGGTCTGAAGATCAATATCGATGCTGTGGTCGCGATGTACAAGGTAAGAATTGACTATCAAAGGGTCGGTCCTTGAAAAACAACTACTGACATGCGCGAACTATAGGAATGCGTCATCCCTCTGACCAAGGTTGTCGAGGTCGAATACCTCATGCAGCGCCTGAAGGGTACCCAGTGGGAGTAAACAGCAGTTATATCATGAAGTAATGAACTTTTGGTTCTTTTGGGGATCTATAGAATCATGCCGCTGGTTTGAAGGGTACTGAAGCAAGCAAACAAAAGAAACCAATATGTGGGGGGAAAAAAGATTCTCGTAAACGGGACATGAAATGAAACGACAATTATCCCTTCACTGCGGGTTCAAGTACTCCGTAACTGCCTTAACAGCGGCCTCGAACTTGGATCCATCGATCAGTGTCAAGCTACCGTTCGTGCGGATACCCACTTCCTGGAACGCACGCTTGGAGTCGGAGTGTCCGTCATCCTGCTGGTGTGTGTACTCCAAAGTACCGGTGCACATGGCATTGCGCTGGAGCACCTCGTCCTCGGGATGGAAGAAGAACTGCTGAACGTTCTCGCCAGCCTTCTTCTTTTTCTTCTGAGGCCGCGACTCTTCAAGGTCGAGCTTGGATTCGACTTCCTGGTAGTTTTTCGAGATGATCACGTAGTGCGAGAAGTTGTACGGCTCCTTGTCCTGGATGGCCCAGGCCATCTCCTCCAGCAGCATGTTGTACATGGGCGGGATGACCTCGGAGGGCATGTTGATCACTCGCTCGGTCAGGATCAGGCCGATCGGGGGCACTGGGGTCTGAGAGATGAGCTCGTGAAGGGCGGAGAGGGCGGGGTTGGCGGCGGCTTTGGTCTTGATGTATTTGGTCAATTCCTGGATGACGGGCTTGTCCTATAGGGCTGTTAGTTCTGCACAATTGAGATTGTGAAGTTCAGGATTATATACCTTGTGCTCTTGGAGGTTCAAGACAGTCAGGAAAGCATAGGGATCCGACTCGTTACCGTCGGTCTTGACAGTCGAGCCCAGTGTCGGCTGCGACAGAATCAGCTCGGCCAGAGCAGACATGTCGAAGATCTGAGCGTCATTGTCGAACAGCTGGCGGAGGAGGTTCTTCAGGCCGTGGAAATCGATAGCAGGCTGCGGGTCGAACCATTCGAAGTCGACATTGACCATTTCAACGTCCTGCAGCGGGTTAGAAGTTGTCTGGCACAGTGCAGCGTAGGGTGCTCACATCGTCGGACTCATCGTCGTCCTTGGTGCCACCCATGGGCACGTCACCGAGATCCTGCTTGCGTTTTCCCATGATTGCATATAATTCCTGGTGTTCTTGAATGGTGGAGCGAAAAGACAGTTTCGACAGCGCTCCGCCCCTCGGCCGCTTGCGAACTTTTTCCTTATCGCCTGTTATCGGCCCGATCTATGATGTCTGGCTTCTGTTTCCTTTAGCAGCTTTAGATGATTATGTACAAATAGTCCGAAATCCGCAGGTTTGAGAGAAACTGAAGCTGCCCTCGCCTGTTAACATGGTTGTTATCTAAATGCGAGGCATATTTTCGGTCATAAAATTCGGGGGCGAATCCATGAAACCGAATATATATCCAGAATGGCAAGCAACCTTAGAAGGCTGAGTTGGCGTCCAACTTTACATATTTACCAGTCACGAGGCACTGAAATTATTATTGGACAGCTGGAAATGATAGAAATCCATTAGAATAATTGATATGCTACGCTCTATGCTAAATGCCACTGTAAATGCTAAACATCATACTCCACCTGCTCAACAGTAGGCACCTTGTTCAACTTCACATCGAAGAAGTGCGCCACAAGCTGCACACAGTCCCAAATAACCTGAACCTCTTCCTTAGAAAGACCCAAGCGTCGCGTACCCCGAATATGCCAGTGCGTCTCATTAGGCAGATTTTGGCTCATGATACCCGGCAGCACAACAAGCTGAGTGTCCACATCATCCAGCACCTGACGATCCGACAAGAACAGCCCATAAGTGATCTCCTCGGAAAGCCAAGTGAAATCCTTATGCGCAGCAAACAGATTCAAAGTACTAACCGTGTTACGCGAATACAGCTTTTGCATCCACCCGGTGCCGCGGTCATGGTTGGCCTGGTCGCATTGCCAGCCTTCGCGCGTGGATGTATAATCTTTGTCTTCATCGCGCTCAACTTGACTAATGGATATGATTGCTTCCAAGGGCTTACAGACGCCGACAATTGGGACGGCTTTGATGAGTGCTTCGCGGAGACGGCGGACTAGTGCCTGGCGGGCGGGCGAGGTCGCGTAGTCTGGCTGGCCGCAGAGGTGCAAGTAGAGCTGGTCTGCGCGCTCAGGATCTGGGCTTGCGGCTAGAGTGGCCGTGGCGAGGACATACCACTTGTCGCTGCCTAGGGTGGTGGTTTTGAAGCGGTTCTCCAGCTCTGTGAATAGCTGTTGGAAGCGGGGCTGGATTTCCGACATGGGGGCGGGCGGACTCCTTGTGCTGTAGGATACGGATGATGTATGATTGATGGGGTCGATGGGTCGGAGGACGGATCTCCTGCTGAATTGGGGAGGCTTGATCAAGGAAACAGGAGCAATGCCGATTGCTTGCAGTGTGCATGATAGTCGTAATCGACTCCGATGGCCGGAGTGGGCCGTGCGTAAGAATGGGATAGTGTGCATTTGGGAGAATGATGATTTCGAACCCATTCGAACCCAATTGCGACATCCGCTTGGTCGGAATAGCGTCGAAGATGAAGGAATTAGAAAACTAGTTTCCTCGACTGTCGGCTCCTACTCCACGGGAGCTCTCACCGGTCCTAAATGCGGTCAAGCACTCGACCCTATAGACTATACCACGAAGTTGTAAAATCTACATTTACTGGTATGGGAGAGTTACTGGAATTGACTATGCTATGTCCATTGGTAATACTAATTCGCAGTAATTGACCATCAAATGAAAATGCCACTGATGAAATCTGAGGCCGAGTGGAGTATACAAAGTGGAGCGATGTAATTGAAACTGTGCATCCTGTGCATCAACGATGTCACCGCGCCCAAACTACCCTGATTAAAGAGGAGCCCTGACGCAAACCCGAAAAAAAAAGGGTCCAATTCACGCGACCATCAAGCAGTGATAGTCGAAATCAAACGAATCTGGTTCTGGACCCACAATATGATCTCAGTGACTTCAGAGTGACATCACCGGCAGGCTCTCATCCGTCAAGTATAAGTTCGAACTTTTCCAGGGTAACTACTGCAAAATAGAATCTACTCAATCACTCATCTCCAAACAACTCTCTTCAATTCCTCCAAACTCCTCAATTCTTCAATTTCTTTATACACACAATGTCTCACAGTGCTGCCCAATCTTCCGTCGGTTCCGGTGCCTTCTACGAGGCCGGTGACCAGCGCAACCCTCCCCGATCTGAGCAGCAGGCCACCCCCTACAAGGAGGGCCAGAAGGGCAGCCACAAGAGCCTCGACTCCAAGGACGAGCGTTCCATCGCCAACAAGCTTGCTTCCCAGGGGCGCAAGGATGACTCTTCCCACCACCACAACAACGACTACAACCCCGAGGCCGAGCTTAGCAAGCAGGATCCCACCAAGCCCGTATGTCTTCTATCCAGAAAAAAATCATTGTGGGGTAACTACTAACATGATTGTTATACAGGCCAAGCTGCACGGCAACGCTCCCTCTAAGGGTGCCCAGATTGACGCAGAGCTCCAGGCTGAAGATGAGGAGCGTCTGCGCCAGAAGGGCATCAAGAAATAAATTGGTTTATGATGTATGGTGTTAAAAAAATATTTCATACCCCCGTTTGGCATGTCTGATCGAATCCGATCAGGAAGGCGTTTGGGGAAGTTATTCATGTACGATATAACGATTTGATTCTCGCTTCGACAGCTGAGGTCTTGAATGATATGATCTGAAATATTTGGTTGTCGACCGTAGAGATTGTCAAATCGTAAAATTTTGGATGTTTGGATATCATACATGGGTGGTTGTGTTTTGTCGTCACACGTTCCGTGTTATATGCCATATGTGCAGCAACATGAAGACGGAAAGCAATTAATTAATGTACAGGATGGGTCAAGCCCATGTATATATGCAGTAGTCATGATAGAGGGTGGTATCGGGTGGGTGTGAAGTAGTGTTTTCTCCAGGACGAGTGAGGAGCTGGTTGCCTGAGGAAAGCATAGTTGTTCCGGAGTCAAACCTAGTCGTCAGTTGTGACCCATTTGAAGGCACTGCTGGGATCGAGCACTTCAACTAATACCCAGGCACACCTGGTATTGACGTAAAGCGACCCGGATTGCAAATGACACTCGAGTCCGAGCTCAACCTTCCCGGGTGAATTTCGGGTCATCGTCGTGCGGCTCAGCAAAGACGTTGTTCCAGTAGTCCTCAACCTTCTGACAAAGGCCTGCCTTGTTTTTCCACGATTCGAAGACCGTTTCATATTTGCAAGTTACCCACTTGATCTCCTCCCAGAAGGCTTTTTCAGCATCGAAACCAAACCGGTCAATAACTTCTAGGGGACCAGACCACGCCCGCACATCCGTCCCATTATCGTCAATCGTGGGGGTGGTCTCCCAGCCCATACCAAAGAGATTGTCTCCCGGATTGAACTTGGGGAAGTTCGCATGAATGAAGAAGATGGCTGGAGGAGGGGCCACGGACGGATCGTTTACCCTCCATTTGCCCTGTGAAATAAGGGCATAATCCTCTCGGGGATCTGACTGAACCATGGCTGATCCCGAGTTCTTGATTGAATCGAAATGCCCGATCGGTTGCACTTTCTCACTCACCGTATAGTATGGAGCTTTGAGTGCTGCAGCAGCGGCGGTGAATGTCTCTTTGTCTCCTTCTCCGGGGCCTCCCTGGGTCAACAGTCGGAAGTATACTGAAGGGCCGTGGAAGTTGTAATAGGCCGCGAGCAAAAGAGGTGTGAAATGTGTCTTCTTGGACACGAGGATCACACCCGATTCTGTAGATTGACGGCTCGTCATGGGTGGGACCGGTTGTTTTGAGACCTGGTAATATAGAGGGGATGCCGAGGAGAACCAGAAGTCTGGCCAGGTGACCATGCCGGTTGATGTATATGGCTCCGAGTCCAGAAGATCCTCGGGTTTATGTAGCGGGAAACAATCCGCATCCATCCAAATCACTTCTTCAAAGGAAGAGAAGAGCATGGCGAAGATCTTAAGTTGAAAGTGCGCGATGGGCTCCTTACCCACGACGTCACCGATCACCAAGCATCGCGCATTCATCTCCGGAAGCACCTCATTGCAGATCCGTTTCTCCCACTCCTCCGTATCTTTCATAAATACCTCGACGGGAAGCGTGGACCCGGAGCGGCGAAGCATGCGTAGCGAGTTGATGACCACTGGCATATACGTCGAACCAGCGGTGGTTACGATTCCTCGCGTGCCCGGGGTATGTCTATGGACTGGCTTCAAGTCTTGATCCGGCTTAGTGATCTCTTTCACAAATTGGTCATGCGCTCCTTCCAATAGCCACAAGCACTCCTCCGTCACCTTGGATAAATCGGGTCGTGGGATACCCTCATTGGGATTGAAATGGACTGCGGGCGCACTGCCCAGCTTCGCTGGAGGAGGGCAACGAGGATTGTATTTAGCGATGAGAGGGTGGAAGACTTTCCAAAAGTCTTTTTGGCGTTCGACCAGAGGAACTTCGAATGCAGTGCTCGGTACGACGGAGACGGTGGATGAGGCTGTAATCGGAGTCCAGTAGAGATAAACCGTACACACGAGGAGGGTAGCTAGCATGGCGAGGAAGACGGACCTCGCCCGGCCCGGCCTAAAGAAGCCCATGGTGGAAGGCGGCCGCGGCCGAGGCCTGGAAGCCGGTGGGTGTGGCTGGTATTGGCGTCACGGAGCCGATGCAAGACGGAGGTGCAGGGGGGGGGGGGGTGATTTGAGCAAGCCTCGGGCGCACGGGCTCCGATCGACGAAGTCTGGATTTCAGACAATCCGAGCAGACTGGGATGGATTTGGGAGATGTGTAATCAGAAGGAAGGAAGGACCAGGGGGGTGCAGAGATGAAGTTGACAATGGAGTTGACAATGAAGTTAGGTGTGCGCGGCCCGCGCCAGGCTTGGCGATGCTATCATACCGACTTGCGTGCTGGATGGACTCAGGCAGCCACATTGACATTGTCCCAGGCGTGCGGGATCAGATGAAACTACGAACCTACGACACCCATGAAACAAAAGGCAACTCCAACCGCAACTGCAAAGCCACCACGTATCGCACTACTGCACCACACTCAGTCAGCCTCGGCCTCATTTTTGATCTGCGGGTTATTGCTATGAGTCGACTCCGAACTCCGCAGATGTTGGGCTAGCGATCCCCGAAGAGGACTAACTTGGGACGCAATGGTGTAGAAACCCCGTAGGATATCACCATAAGCGGCTAGAAGGAACCAGCCGATCCTGGGTCACCCTGGCCCGGTGGAGACTTTGAGCGATTTCCCCCGTCCTGAGGTCTGACTTTCTCGCATTTCGACACTAAGGCGCGGATCATATCCTCCCGGGAAGATCCCATATCCACCCCCCAATTTTCGCTTACTTTCTCCCTGACCCTTTTGACCGTCTTGACCGTCTTGACCGTCTTGACCCTCTATATACCCTCCTCTCCTCCCCAAGGTGATGGCCTCTTGAGCCGACTCCGCCCTCCGCCCTCCGCCCCCGAACCCTATTAAGTGCCGCCGTTTCAGGCCCACTTTCGGACCCGTGCCCCCCGACTTTCTCAGTTCTCAGATCTTCCTGGTCGACACATCCGTTCCCCCGTGGCCAAAAAAAGGCCTTCCCTGATCATCGCCTCATGGGAACCCGACTTGGCGCCTGTCGCGGTACTCGCACATAATGTCCGAGACTGCTCGCCCGCGGGAGCCGGCTCGGGAGCCGGCCAAAAGCAAATCCCGCAAAACCGACCCAAATGCGCCGATTCGGAAACGACGGAAGAGAACGGTGGTGAGCGGTGCTCCGGATGACTGCTTCACATGCTCCAAGCGAGGAGCTCGATGTGACCGACGACGCCCATACTGCTCCCAGTGCCTCGAGCTCGGCCGCGAATGTTCCGGATACAAGACTACCCTGACGTGGGGGGTGGGGGTTGCCAGCAGAGGCAAGCTGCGAGGCCAGAAGCTCCCCGTCATGGACGAAGGGGCTGCAGAGTCTTCCAAGAAAACTTCCAATGCACAGCAGCGGTCGCCTTCCAGCAGCGGAGGTCAAGCCCAATCCTCGTCGCAACGGACCTCGACCACTCCGCCGGCCGCGCCGTCCTCTGGCATGGGCTTCTCTTCCTTTGATGCAGGGTCCTTCAACTCGTTCGACTCAGACTCTCGCAGGCCGTCAGTCGCGTCGAATGTACCTGATATGTCGAATGGCATAGCGTGGACAATGGACATGCCGGATCCCCAGACGTGGTCCAGCATGTCTGCTGCGCATCCACAGATATCTGGACTTCCATTACCAAACCGACCAGCAATGGGCAGTCGCTCAAGCCCAAGCATATCTTCCGAGGTATCACTTGCTTATGCACCCTTGTTAAGCCCGACCGCCAGTTTCGCTACACCAGCGTGGCCTGTTGCGAGAACTTGGCCGGCTTCAAATACAGCATTCCCACAAGATGCAGATGAGGAGATCGACAGGAAAAATCCACAATATTCAATGCTGTGGGATGCTGGTCATTCGCCCTCGTATTCTCAGCTGCTTCTGGCAAGATCCGTAGGACGCACACCCCGTCTGCGGTATCTCATCAGTTATTTCGCCGAAGTCATTGCCCCCATGATTGTTGCTTTTGATACCCCATCAAATCCGTTCCGCACACATGTCCTTCGTTTGGCGCAAGGCAGTGAGGCCCTCCAAGAGGCAATTGCGACCTTGGCCACAAGCAATCTACGACAGCGACGAGAGAAAAATCATATGTCCACCGAGAGAACCCTCCCGGCTCGTATGTCGTCTATGGCGCATCGTGCTCTAACCGACGAGGACTTCCAAGATAGATACGGAATTTCCATGTCGGAGGGTTATATACGGGAAGAGAATCATCACCGTGGCATGGCCGTAAAGGCCTTGAATGCCGATCTGGCAGACCCACGTCGCAGACTGTCGGACTCGGTATTAGCCACATTGCTAATACTGTGTTTGTTCCATGGCTGTGACACTGGTGTTGCCGAATTTCGAACACAGTTTGCTGGTGTCACCAGGCTCCTCGCAATTCGAATGCGGCATTCTCCAGTCTTGACGGATGATATCAAGTGGTTCATCCGCATGTTCTCTTGGTTTGACACTCTCACTGCGACTACAAATGACCGTGATGTACAGCTTCGCGGCAAATGCCTGGAAATCAGCTCGATCACTGATGGTGAATGGGGGTTGGAGAACTTGGCTGGCTGTGATGGACGCCTGTTCAAAATGATATCTCAGCTAGGCCGGCTGAACCTACTGAGTCAGGACCAACAGCCCAACGAATCTCGACCAGCAGATGTGACGATCCCTACCGCCTCATTACCCCCATCCATGATCTTCCCTGGCTGGGATAGTGTTCCTTTAGCCTCTGGATCAGGAGCCATGGCGGGTGATTATGGATATTCTATGCCTACTCCACCACAGAGCAGCGACCAGGCTCGAAGGCCTTCATCTCCCGCATTCTGGACCGAATGGTACTCATTACGGCAACGCCTCGAGTCCTGGCGATTCGACCCACCGACTGGACCACCCGTTGAGGCCTCGTTCTCCTCGCCAACTCTGTCCGCGTCCACTCTGTCCTTCAATCCCTCTCAATTTACACCAACCCCTCCAACCTCGCCATCATACCAGGTGGCCAACGAGAATCTTCAAGACGTCTACCAAATATCTGAATGCTTCCGCCATGCGGCGCTTCTTTACTGCGAACGACTTGCAGAGCCAAGTCTTCCATCCCAACACCCTCGCATCCAACACCTAGTCCTTCTTGCTATGCACTGCCTCTTCGCTGTACAGTCGGATGTCTACCTTCTGTGGCCGCTGTTCATCGTAGGATCAGAATGTGTCCAAGAGGATCACCGTTCCGCCGTTCGAAATCGCTGCAGGGATATCTCCAAGGACTCTGGATTTGTGAACAACATCTCTTGTCTGGAATTGCTGGAAAAGATCTGGGCAGAGCATTCTGAGGAGTCCTCGTATCCTGTATATCCCTCCGATTTGGGTCCTCCGCCACCGCTGGATGGAAGCGGAAAGACCATAACTTCTCAAGCCTTCCGCTGGTCTCGAGTCATGCAGGCGAAACGGGGCGATGGAGAATACATGGTGGCATAATGATAGCCTAGCCTTTGTTGATATTTCCAAAGTTCATCACATGGCACACGGCGTGCGGTGATGACTTCGTTTTGGGCATCTATTTGGCGGGCTGGACGGGTTTATTTTGATATTGGCGACATGGATACCTGCACACTTGGCGGATATGATACCATTCTTTGTGACTTTGTATTGTTCTTTTGTTGATAGAATCTGCCCATCGGCTCTCATATGCAGAGAGCTGAAAATGAGCCGGGGGGGGGTTTGCATTGTACATACTCTTTACACTATACACGTGCATTGACCTATTACCCATTACTCAACCGGGCAGTTTGTCCAGTCTTCCTCCCTGTAATTACCATCCTAAGACCAACTTCGCATACCCGAACCTTATGCCTGCCAGACTTGGATTATTAAGCTCTATCAAACTGCAACCCGGTGGAGCGCGCGTTGAACCTTCGGGCCATGGCGGAACGGGGCAGCCGCTCAAAGAGAAACGTCACCGCCACACCGAGAAGTCAGTCGCCCAGGATCTAGCCCCTGAACACGGGAAACAAATCGCATAGCCCCTATTCGCGAAAATCAAGCATGGACACTAGGGTTCAGGGCAAGGGCAGCCACAGGACCCTCTGTGATCAATGCGCGCACAACGCACAGCATCAGAAATCCAAATCCCCAAATTGAAAACGAAAGAAAGTCAGAAATTAAGAACATAGCCAGACCGGTCTTCGATGCACCAGACGCCCCTAGCACGCAGGTGCCGTCGCCAGCGCGTGTATGTTTTGATGCTCAGATCGAGCTCGAGCAAGGGGTAGAATGATTCATCAGATCTGCCGGCAAAGCCCCGATTTATCTATTTGTTATTGGACTAGGCACCAGAGGGTTACCAATTAATTAAGGCGATAGCCAATCAGTTAATTTCCACCGTCTGGATCATAAGCAAGTCTTGGGAAAATTACATGAAATGTGAGGAACAAGCGTGCAAGGACCATATCTGTATTCGCACGCGCGAGCCCCCTGAAAGGAGGAAGTTAGATGTGAAATATGCTAGGTATTTTTTCAACTTGGTATTCCAGGTGTAGACCTGTTGGATGGACCTGAATCATCTAGCTACTGAATGGTGGCCCTAGAAAGGAAGACAAAAGAATCAAATCAAATCAAATCTTTGAAAAAGTAAAGCATAGAGCCACAGAGGTACAGAAGGGTCGTACAGATCAATGATCCAGAGTGAGGCTGGTTGATATGCGCATGCACCCCGTGCCCCACCTCGCAAGGTTCGGAGACCCCCCTGTTTGCTACCGGTGCTGCTTCCTGTTGGTCCTTATCTCGTTCCTTGTTTCCAGAAGGCGATCACTGCCTCGGCCCCCCAGCTGAAGCTCTCAGCTTACAGTATATCTGCCTGGCACACGATAAAAATAGGATACGGGTCATAGTTGCAGACGACAGGATAAGACAAGCTCAGCTATGTTATGACTGGGCCAGGTCATATCAGAAGATGCAAGACACAAACCGAATGAACGCCATGTGCGACGCTGAACGATCGACGGTGCCTGCTGGTGGCGCAGGATTGTGCTCCGTTTGGCTGGGCGAGAAAGGGCTTTCGAGAAGGCTGTTGACTCATCTAGAACCAGCCATTGTAAGCACTCCTTGATTCAAGGATAGGTCTCTTGGAATTCTCGGTGTATGCCCTGTAAGGATATGCGCCTGGGGGGTTTATTTTTTATTTTTATTTTCTTATTTTCATTTTTTATTCTATTTTCATTGTGTATTCCATCCCTGCGGTTGGTGCGTGAGCATAATGCTGGATGGTCGGGTTGTGGTATTTGCGGTCAGCAGAGCCTTTCCATCTTTACGCTCTTGAGCTATTGGGTTGGAGGGTTTCAGCAGCACCCGTTGGTGAGAAGTGGATTGGACGTCATAGTCCTGTTGTTTCTTAGGTCAGGTGGATTCTAAGGTTATTATGGAGCCTGGTCTCCATCAGGGCATTTTTAGGGCTTCAGCGGTCGCACTGGATAGCTATTCTTCCCAAGACAATCTTCATTTATGTTGCTTGCCGTTATTGAGAATGATCTTTGAGACTTGATCTTGTATCTTTAATTCATTTGATCTATTTTAGTTTCTATTTGTGTCTCCTTCATCGCTTAGATAGTAGGGCTGCATCAACGTAGCCGAGTGTCGGCATTCACCAGCATTTGAACGCTATTTTTGCAGTCACGCGGAGTATTTTGAACCCACACAAAGACGCCCTTTGTGTTATTCAGCCCTCTCGGCAGCCATAGGACTGGTGGAGGATGCAAGTTGCGGTCTGCGAAGCTCGTCTGCCTGTCTCCATTTTGGCCCAATACAGCGATTGCTGCCCAGCGACGCAGCGGTAAAGCCCATGCGTGGTCTGTGATGTTGCCCAACGAGCCGGATTCAATCCGTGTAAATGGGAGACCCTGATGGGGGCTTCTAGTTCTAGTTCGAGAACTAAGAAACTTGCCATGGCAACACCGGTGGGTTGGTTTGTTGGATGGAGTCTGTGGAGTCGAACCGCTGGACGAGACGGGATGATCCGTCAAAAGTCCGGCGCAGCGATCGAATACCCGCGAGCCAACCATGGAACCGGTCACTGGCGTTATCACCGTTATTTCGAGTGTTAAGAGGACATGCATCGTACGCAGCCCATATCACAAGGTGATCCTGTCGCCGAATGGTGAGAGGAGATACATGCCCACCTGGGTGTTCATGCAGATGAAGTGTTCAAAGGAAACGAGGCAGCCCTTATTCTCGAAGCCTAGCAAGCACATGGCGGCCCATCCAACAGAGGCTTGACACGCTTGTCACGCTTGTCACGCTGCGCCGATGCTGCTATCCAGTTCTAAAATCCAAATCCCCGGCCGGCTCAGCCAGTCGCAGCCCAACTTGCACCGAACTTACTTATGGTGGCGACATCAGCCACCCACCTGCCCAGATAGACGAGTCATCGACGTTAGCAAGAGTCATACTAAGCTACGGAGGGTTGCAAAGGCAGCATTTGAGTTGTCGCCCGACGCTGAGAGGCCTGTCAGCGCAGTTGCAGATAGTGCAGTAGCTGGAAGTCTCCATCTGGGCTAGTATGAGGGGTAGCCTTTGGTGGAGGTACTTTGGACTTGTCTTTGCCGTCTACAAACGCAGCCAGTAAATAAGAGTCAACAATACTACCACTCAGTCAGGGGAGTGATAGTTGATGAAAGATTATTCAACTTGAGTCATGATTCAAGCGTGTAGAATGTCTATGTAGAGAGATATAAGATCGGCAAGGGAACGGAGTATAGACGAAATCCGCATACCACGTAACAAAACCGAAACCCACTTAAACGCCACGCTCCACCGCGCTAACTCGCACGCGCCCACATAAGTGATTGGGCGTGGGCGTAATCTATTTCCCTTTCATCTTGGGTTGAATTTTTCCCATCTCCACCCCTTCTCGGCTCCATATACACAAATCTCCCCCCTGGGTCCATCTTCTTCTTACACTTACCTGGACTTCTAGTCCTATCTGGAATCTTCAAACTCTTTGGCATCGCCAACGCCTTCGGGATACCGAATACCGACGTTCAAATGCACTCTCAGCACATTCAGTGTCAACCCTCCTCTCTCCGATCGGAAACCGTACCACGGTGACGGTCCTACTCGACCTCTTTTTGACCTCCAGTTTTCTCTGTCGGCGTCTTTTCTTTTTTTTTTTTTTCTGCTATTGCGCACGATATCCTGTATAATATACTCGGGTCTTTTGTTTCATCTCTTTAGTGTTCTATTCCTCGCAACTCTCCCCTCTCAAACTCCCTGATAATCGGCTCATGCTTGGTCGATAATGTATCATTACACCAGTCCACCACCCGGGTGGTCTTCCTACGACTACACCCAGTCGCCACCCACCTCGCCTCACTACGCCTACTACGCCTCTCAATACGCCAACACATACACATCGCCTCGCGGCACGGGTACGGGCACGGGCACGGGCACGGGCACGGGCACGCGACGACACACTCGCAAAGCCAGCTATACGGCCACCAAAGACTCCAGCTATTACTCGGGTTACCCGCAGCCTTTCTACGAGGCGACGCCTGAATATGGCATGCCGCGCAAGCACGATCATGTAAGTGCTTCTTTCGCGGGCTCGCCCAAACACCGTCGCACCCATACGACTGGTCATCCTGCGGGGGATGGCCTCGGCCCCGGTACCGGCACCGGATTCCACTCGCAATGGCAGCAGCAGCCCATCTTTGGTGTGGTTGACGATGCATTCGATGTTCCGCGCTACGCTTCGCGCGAGCAGCCCAGACGCCCAGGCCGTCCCCCGGCCACGACTCCCAAACGAGATGGCCCTCAAGGCCATCGTCGCACCGCTTCGACTTCTCATCGCAAATCAAATCCACCCGCTGATTCTCACTTTTACTTCAATCAGGTTCCTAACTCCGAGGACATCGAATCAGCCCGTCGTCAACATACTCGTCGCCAGTCCACTTCCACCCGCACTCCCAAGCCCAAACCACCTCCTGCCTCAAAACCGCCACCCGTCGCTACCGAGGAGGACGCCGAGCGCGCCGGTATCCCACCCGGCTACTCGATCAAGAACTGGGACCCAACCGAGGCCCCCATTATTCTCCTCGGTAGTGTATTCGACGCCAACTCTCTCGGCAAGTGGATCTACGACTGGACCGTTTTCCACCATGGCGCGTCAACCCCCATGGCCGACGTGGCAGGTGACCTTTGGCTTCTCCTGATCAAACTTGCGGGCAAAGTCAAGCGAGCCGACGAATGCCTCCCCCGCATCCAGCGGCAAGATGCAGCAGAGGTGGTTGAAGACTTTTTAGAAAGCGGTGATCGACTCTGGAACCGGTTCAAGAAGCTTCTGAAAGCATGTGAGATGTTCATGTGGAAGGCCGCCAAGCGAGAAGGTGGCAAGGGCCCAGTCTCTATGGGCCGCAACGCGGGTTGTGAATTTGTCGACTCAATCTTCGGTCGTGACCGGGAGCTTGAAAACACCGAAAAGTTGATGAACAGTATTCGGCTGTGGAATATGCGATTCGACGCCAATTGCGAAGACATCCTTCGCCGACCGTCTGCTAAATAGACGGTCAAATACAAAAAGAAAAGAAAAAGAAAAAAGATAGGGGAAGAATCAATATCCCACACCGAGAGGAGCTATCCCGACAGAGATTATACCGTTTGATTTTTGATTTTATACCGGGAGCATTTTGATATGCATTTCTGCAGCGCGTTGGGTTTGGCTTCGGCTGGCTTTACTCGTTACATGGTCACTCTGTTTTGGATTCCCATCGGTCTCGTTTTTTTTTGTCTCGTCCCACGATTATGTGCGAGACGAACCCCCAAAAGAATCTTGGTTTCGGCGCCTTTTTTTTTATACTCTGATTTCGTTTCCATCTGGGGGCGGCGTCTACTCTATTTCCGGCGTTGGCTATAATGCCGGTTGTCGAGTTATGTGCTTTTTCATGCGTCGTTGATGTTTGTGTCATTCTGCTTCGATGATACCATCTTGCGATTTCCTATATTACCAGATTTTCCTTTGTTCATTTCCTACTGTTTTTTTCTTTTTGATTGTCCAGCTCAGTATTCTGTGCTACCAGTCCTAGTCCTGTTTTGATTTTAATGTTGGGGCCGGAGGAACCGGGTTGTAGATAGAACCACGACCTCAGCATTTTATAGAACCACATGTTACACTCGTTAATCTTGCATGTTTCTTTCCATGTCTTTCCTTTCCATTCTCATTTCCTTTGGTTTTGAATCAATACATTCCCGTATCGCCATTATTTCCACGTAGACCCTCACATCCCCGCTTTTACCCATGTTACCCAGATAGGCAGTGATGTGAGATAGCGCGGGCTGCGGCGCGTAGCGCTGCACAGTACCTACGTCCGCATTCTAGAGCATGCTTCTCTGTACGCCCGAAAGCAGGTACCTCCCTGCAATGACGCCAAGGCTGATGTCACCGACCAATGCGTTCATACAAATAAGTGCCGGGGGCCTATGCGGTGCATATATGCAGGTGACGATGCTTGCCACTGGTGTTTCCTCGCTAGCTCGCACCCGAGGGGTTGGTGGGTTGGTGTGTGGCGACCCTATCATGTCGAGCGGGGTGATCTTAGTGTGTGCTGCAGTGCGGGGTGCGATTACAGCTTACATCCTAACGCGCAGGAACTCTGCACGGGATTGTGACTGTGCTCGTGTTGGCCATGTGGCTTTGATTAGCGCTTAGTGCAGTTGCCCAGTTTGCCCTATGTGGGCGTTTATGGTTGCGTTTGCCTTGGCGGGGTTGTGGTTGGAGCTGAGATGGTGGCTATAGCCGTTGTCACACCATGGACAAAATTTTAGGCCTCTTTTGGTAATCTACGGTAATCTATGAGTGACGGCTTTCTACAAAGAACAAGGCAATGTTTCCGTATCCCATCGTGCCTTGCTAGGTGACCTATCCGCTTTGTCCTATCGTTGTCGGTCTCTGTGATGCCATTGGCGCTAGACCCAGTGCTCATCGTATGCTCCAACGAGCAGGGATTAGAAATATAACTACAAGTACCAAAGGATCATTTAACAACGGTACCATCAAATAATTGATAACTCAAGATTGGGTCTAGCGGGGATGTCCCCTGTAACACTAAACTGTAAATTATTAGGTAGCTCTTGGCCTAACATCCACTCTGAACTACTTCCGTCGGGTTCTTTTCTGATAAACCCTCAGAACAACGCGCAGCTATCTTTCCCATATAATTCACACTGCTTACAACAACTGTATAACTGTCAACTAAATTCTATGGACTCAAGTGGGGAAGTCACGGGACCTGAACCGCAGATCGAAGGCCAAGGTTTTTTGACAGCATTGACATCATCGCGATAATGCGATTCCACGCGTGATCCTAAGAACATTCTATCTTAGCTCTCAGTATTTTTGTCCTCTTATCCAATATCCATTATCTTTACTACATTCCAAGTCTCTCGAAGCTCATCCGAAGCTCACCACACCTCCTCCAAATCGGGTAATATTGCGATCTACCGTTTAACGGGGACGAAGCGGACCACTAGGGATGAATCCTCAACCATCTCCACCGCGACCAGCTTGAAATTTCACCTCGACCCTTTCGACCCCTGTATCCTGCAGCTCTCAAGCGTTATCCAGGCCCTGGAATAGCCCGCGCCTCGCTCCTCTGATACCCGTGCATGGCCAGGCCACATGAACCATGCAGAATGGATATCCTCTGCACCAGACCCCCACGGACGATCGTGCTGCACGACCGTCCGCATGGGAACGCTTCTGCAGCCTTTTTCACATGAGACCCCCGGAAGACGACGAACCTCAATCTTGGTGGATCGCGTCGACTGCCATTCCGCTAGTAGCGGCAGCGGCCGGACCGCTAGCTAATGTCATGTCGATTGTTGCTCTGGTCATGCCGTGGAGAAGTCGGATCATTTCGAACAATGACGGGCCGGCTGGAAACATAATGCAAGCCGGTTACCCTGACCCTCACTGGTAAAGATCTTCGGCTGAAGAAGTCCGGTGGCCATTGCTGACTGTGATAGGATCACTGCGATGAACGCCGTTTCGCTATTTTGCGGTGTGGTTGGCAATGTGTTTTTGCTGTTTAACTTTACTACCACCATTCGATACATCATAGCGTTGCCGGTGACTATCGTTTTGTGGTTTCTTGCCACAGGAATAGTGAGTGAATAATCCTTCATACTTTTCATCTTGATCTAATTCCTATTTTCTAGTTGGGTGGCCTTACGGCATCACTATCCATATACAGCCCGCCTATTGCGCCAGACCATATCTACTCACAAGGTTACTGGAGTGCTGTCATCGCGGCGAGTCTTTACTTCATTCTCGCTTTTCTTTTGATGATTAACATGCTCGGGTACTTTTTGGGGAGATACCCACAGCATTTCTCTTTGACAGATGATCAACGAACTCTCATCTTACAAATGACAGCCTTCGTGGTCTGGCTGCTTATCGGCGCTGCCATTTTCCAAAAGGTGCTGGGGATCTCATTTGCAGATGCACTATACTTCAGCGACATCACAGTCTTGACTTTGGGGTTCGGTGATGTGGTTCCGACGACATCTGTAGGCCGAGGCCTGGTCTGGCCTTATGCCGTGATTGGAATCATTCAGCTGGGTTTGGTAGTCGGAAGTATCCACCGATTCGCGAAAGAAGTTCACTATGACAACGTCGTCCTAAAACACATCGAACAAAAGCGACAGTCCACGTATGAGCGAACAATTACATGCCAGGAGCTCGACGAAGCCCGCGAAGAAGCGCAGGCGCAAGGAAAAGAGCCCGCTTTTCCGCCGGTAACCCACCGTCGCCACCATCCACATCAGCCCATTCGGAACACCATCCACGCCTTGGCCAATAATCGTCGACCTAAACTTCTTGTGATGAGAGAAGAAAAGGACCGATTTGATGCCATGCGAGCCATTCAGTATGAGACTTTGCGGTTCCGCCGTTGGAATGATCTGGTCATTAGCATTATTGCATTTGGTATTGTGTGGAGTTGCGGAGCTGTCGTATTCTGGCAACTGGAAAACGACATGGATTATTTCGAGAGCTTATACTTTTGTTTCTGCTCTCTGATCACCATCGGCTATGGCGACTTCACACCCAAGTCGAATGCAGGACGGCCTTTCTTCATAGTGTGGTCTCTCATTGCCATCCCAACAATGACAATGCTCATATCGCAAATGACCGACACGGTTGTTGCCGGCGTCAAGCATTCTACCGAGCGGTTCGCCGACTTCTTCGTCCTGCCTCAGTCAGAATCATACCGTACATTTCTCGCTCGTTTCCCGTGTATTTTGCGGATGCTGCAAAGACGGGAGGAGAAACAGCGGGTGAAGCTCGGGTTCCCAATTGGCGCCCAAGTAGGAGATGTCACCGCACCAGAAGACGGGCCATCATCAGCCCAAGATCCAGAGAAAATAACACCGCCCGCACCTCGCAGACGATCAACGGAAGAGCGTCCGACCAGAACGATCGAAGAACTGGCCCGTGAAACGAACCCATCGCCGTTTGAACTTGCAGAACAGCTCGCTTTTGCCATCCGTCGCACCACACAGGATGTGCGCGAAGGTAAACGAAAGCGCTACAAGTACGAAGAATGGGTTGAATTTACCCGTCTGATCCAATTCACCGACCCAAGATCACGACCATCGTCTTCTGGAGCTAGAAGGCACCATATTGGAGACGGTAGTATTTCAGTGGAGACGGATGAATTCGGAGTTCTGAACTGGGACTGGATCGGAGAGAGTAGCCCCATGTTAGCGCGTTTGACTGAGCCGGAGTGGATCTTGGATCGACTCTGTGAGAGTTTAATTCGCTACGTGTCTACTCAAGAACAGGCTCGGGCTACGATGCGGGGTCAGGTTGATGACCAGTCTGAGGAGCCGACGCTGAAGAAAGAGAGAGATCTCGGTATTGATCAGACCTGAACATATTGGATGCATCTAGGATTGCTAGTGCCCAGGTGGCACTTTTACTCTCTTATATACCCATTGTGCATTATATATATTTTGCCCTCGAATGCATACAAGCGACCTTTAGTTTGGAATGAATCCATATGTTTCTTGAAATGTTTTGTGAAATTGAATTTGTTTCGTCCATCATCTCTCTTCCCACGACAGAAGATGGCCAATCTTCATCTATTTCCTAGCACCTCCTATAATTTTCAGTATATCACTGATGCCTAGCCAGATGGCTTAGTTTCATAGTCAAATCTCCGTGATCTCGACATGCTTGCTTATGGCATTGAGGGGCGGTGCACCAGCTCCACTTTCCTCGTGTCAGCCTAGCGCCAAAAGCTCCCCAGAGCCGCCTCTTCTTAGACTATTCCAACTCCTGCAAGTAGCGCGCCATCTCTCCCACCATTTGAAAAGGAAGCACAAGCAAAATGACATCGAAAGTCCCCGAATTCATCCTCCTGTGTCAAGACGCAGCCTTCATAACAGCCTTTAACGAAGCCCTGAGTCACCTCTGGCCGGGGTACAATCCGGACAATATCAAAATCACCACACTCAACGAGCGCCTAAACAGCCTTCCGCCGTCAACAAAATTCGACCTGATCGTCTCCCCAGCGAACTCTTACGGGCGTCTAGATGGCGCGTTTGACCACGCTATCTCGAGAACATTCAGCCCGCCCAAGGATTACCATGCTCTTACTCGTGCGGCGCAGCTAGTTCTCTACGACAGATGGCGAGGCTTTGCACCGCCTGGTACATGCACCTTAGTTGAGTTCCCAGAGGAACTGAAGGCAAACGACTTGGGCTGTAAATGGGTAGCGCTGTGTCCGACGATGCGGGAGCCGGAGGATGTTAACTGGGATCGCGAGGTTGTGTATGAGTGTATCTGGAGTCTACTGTGCCAACTCGAAGGTCATAACCGAGGGTCCTCTGAGCCGATTGAAACGGTTCTCATGGCGCCGTTGGCGGCTGGTATTGGGAAAGTGAGTAAGGAGCGCTGGGCGGCTCAGACTGTCACGGCGATGAGGCATTTTATTGAAGCGGTTGAGAGACCTGATATTTGGAGTTCGTTGCAGTGGGATACCATTGAGAAGATTTGTGATGATGTATCGGCGACCTGGAAGGAGAAATAAAGTATTGATAGTGACTAGGTAGTTTGTTCGAGAAAGATTTTTCGTGGCCATTCAATGATAACTTTTGATTTTGATAATTACATCGACCCTCGTTTCTAGACAAAATTTCATTTGCACTCGTGAGCCGTATGAGTGTCATTTGGTCAAATAAAAGTAGAAATTGCCTGCTGAACCAAACCCTTTACTCTCCATGATACCAGCCACCATGTTCGATCGCACGGCTCGGTAGTATACCAAAACTGGCCGATTATCATAGACTAAAGCAGCAGAGACTACACCATGGTATCTGATCTCATATAACTGTAAGATGTTTATTAGAAAGGGTGGTATGAAACATGGGGGTCATGTAGAGACAGACTTACAGACGCGCTTCCCCAATCTCCAAACCGTATCCTCTCTCCGTTTTCCGCAACAATCAAAGGCGCAACATCTTCTGTAGCTTCAAATGTATTGCCGAACCAGTTAAGCTCCTCAAGTTCCCTCTCAAACGGATGGCCCGTAGTCAAGGCATGGCCATCCCATTCACCGAACAGTTGTTGTGGAGTGATAGGCTTGAGCTCTCGGAAGACCTCGTCGATATTGGCCGGACTTAGAACGCCAGGCCTTTGTGTCAGGACGGCGAACTTCTTGGCTGGACTAGATGGCAAATGATTGAAGTTGAATGGGATGATAGGAAATTGGATGGTCATACTGGATTCGAAGAGACGTGTGTTACACGAGGCCATAGGGTGTTATCCGAGGTGAAACGGTTTGTCCGTAGCTTCAAATTGAGCTTCGCGAGTAATTATGAGCACACTATTTGGAGATTATCTCCTATAGCCCTTATAGAAGTGAAGAGCCGTCCAGGCAAACATTGCGTCTCTGCCATGGGCTAACCCTATATTTATACACAATCCATAACCTGCGGATGTAACAGCTCATCCCTATAGATCTACTTCCCCGAAACTCCGAATTTGCCTCAAATTCCATGACAGGATAAAAAAAAAAGCCATATTCATTCTAGTCCAATCCTCCATGGGGAATGATCATCCTCTTAGAAATGCCACGATGCTTGCACCGCGCTAATTGCGCATACTTTGAAAATCCTTCGTGCCCCACTGAATCCTGCAGACATTTAGTATCATTCCATAAATAGGGATATTTATCTAATGAACGGTCCTAACTCAGAACGATGCGTCTTTCAGGCTTGCAACATTCCAGTGCCGGTCCGCCCCGTTCAACCGCTGCGGTTTCTCGCGTCGTCTATTATGGATAGCTGTGTGGCCAAGATTTGCGGTGGATATCTCGCTTGTCTTTCCTGTTTCTGTGAGGAATTTGGGTCATCTTCCAAATGATGTTGGATATGCGTTCTTTTACCGTTTTGCCTGATTAAAGCCAAAACATTTGAACCAATGTACGCGATTATAATGTCATCTACTGAGACATGCACATCTAAACTCTCAGTATTAGTGCAGCCACTGCTTGAACCAATACACAGCCGCATTCTTCGCGAATCCATGATAAAAGATCTTCAACCCGATGCTAGGAGAGGTATCCTCGCTCATACTGAGGAAGCGGATGGACCCTATGAAGATCATCTATTCACTTGTTTCATTACTTCGCCTGTCGGCAGGTCTTTCCGCATGTCAAACTCAAGCTTGAGCTGCTCCAAGTTCTTCGTGATGCCTTCAAAGCCCACCGTTCTTTCCTTCTTTCCTTCTTTCCTTCTTTCTTTCTAGGTTCCTAGATTTCTGGACACTCGAAGCCTCCACCAGAACATCTCTGCATAAAACATAAATCCAAGAGACATCATGGAGATCTGGACGTGGCCAAGAACCTGACTGAGGGAGGACAAGTGACTGGCACCAGGCCCTTCATGCCCTATGATGGTCCTATTGGCACATTCAAAACAGCTACCTCTCAGAGCTAAAGGGATCAATCCTAAAGAGTGCCTTAGCCATGCTGGTGTATTGGTTTTTGCGTAGGGTGTCTACTCTAACGCTTCAACCATAACACCCATCAGGGCATCCGGCATCCCGGAAGTGAACTTGGACGGAAGCGTCACTGAGCGATTTAATCACAGCCGCCGAGTTCCATTGCCACTGCACGCTTGTTGACTACGAGTCCAATGAAGGGAAATGGCCGAATAGGGACCCAACATGAAAGCTTTGTGGCGAACCTCACCTCTGCTTGCCAGGTTTACCACGGATCCAGAGCTGGGCCACCCAACCATCAATCAAAACAGTACGTCTAGCCGATTGCCCCCAGACCAGTTTCGAGAAAAAGAAGGAATCAGTGGCACCCCCAAAACTCACAACAATGGCAAGTGCGGAGAAGCGACCACAGTGGTGGTAAATGTTGTCGTCACCATGGAATCATCGCCGCCACCCTCCCAGCTCATAAATGTAGACATTGTGCACATGTCCCTTCGTATGTTTTCGATCAACTTGATTATTAACAATCATATTGACACACAGTTAATCTTGGTATGTCTTCACTTTGCATCCTTCTGCCCCCCTGAGAAGCATGAGAGAAGACGGTGAGCTATCTGGGGCGATGGGAGTTCATGCTAATCATAGCAGACCAAGCTATTCAATATGGCACCTACTTCCAAGGCAGATACCTCGCGCTTTCCCCAGAGCCAGGACCCTAAGTCAGCCCGAGCCCAGGCCCAGCAGACCTCGAGTCAAAAGTCTGAAGAAGACAGCTGGTCGCCCAACCAGACCTTGTCCACACATATGGACGCCACCGGCCATCCGGTGCCCGACCCCGTCACCGACACCAAGAGCAAGAAGTCGAAGGAGTTTGACGACGACGCTGACGTGTTCGAGGCTATGACGGCGGACTTTGACTAGGGCCAGTTGGAAAGAACCAGGATGTTCCCAGATTGTGTAAAAAAAATAATAAATCCAATCCAATGAATTATATGAAGTGGATCATATCCGGCCTAACGTATCCATTGATAGATTTAGATCGAGAACAAGTCAAGTTAGTGCACTTTATACAGTTAGTGCTAAGGCTGGCATTGCCCTGGCAACGGCCAACACACCACGATACTCCTAGCTCCCATGTTGCGACCAAAGCACTATCTCTCCAATACGAATAAACGCCTTCTTTTCTATTGTATTTGTTTCAATCCATCTTTTTGCATTGCATTGCATTGCACGAAATGCTCGCGTGGTGAAAGTCGCGCTCGAGTCTGTTTACATCCAGCAATTCCCCGCGGGGACGAACCATTGAACCGCCCAACTTGAAACTTGAACTTCAAGGAAGCAACGCGCAACAGTACCAAACCCCTCCCTATTCACTCGTTACCCTTTTCTTTGACTCAACAACTGTAATCACATCCTCCCCTCCTCTCTTTCCCTGTATTTCACCGATCCAGTGCATGTACAATCATCTTGTTCATCGACGTCGCGAGGCTGTCAACGCTTGTGTGCAGCTATTGAGAGACCATAGCAGGGAAATGGCGCTGGACTCGCGCTTCTTTCGACACATCGGCCAGGACATCGGGCCTGGCTCGATCTCTTCCATGACCTCCTCCGACTCCTCCGCCATTACCGGCATTACCTCCCCCAGTGTGGTCTCGACCTCCGCCTCCGCCGCCTCCTTCATCTCTACAGCATCCAGTCCATCGCTTCGCGCTCGCGAGAGCGTGTCAGTACTATTGCGTCAAGATGGAGCCGCGAGCCCCTCACCCGGCGGCAATGTGCGCGTCGTGGTGCGCGTTCGCAAGTTTCTCCCCAGAGGTACGTGTAGAGGGAGTTACGCAAAGCGTATCGATCCGTTCTGCATCTAACGCTCTGTCATAGAGATCGATCGCAAGGCAGAGTGTCTCATCGAGATGGACCCACACACTCAAATGACGCAGCTGAAAGCACCGAAGCGCAGTCCTGGCGATCTGGGGAAACCGAAGTCACAAGCCCGTGGCAAAGTACTCGACGACAAGTCCTTCACATTCGATAACTCATTCTGGTCACACGACGACGAAGATGACCATTACGCCCACCAGGAGGATGTCTACAACTGTCTGGGTGAGGAGTTCCTCGACCACAACTTCGAAGGATACCATACCTGTATCTTCGCCTACGGACAGACTGGTTCTGGTAAGAGTTACACTATGATGGGCACACCTGAACAGCCGGGCTTGATTCCGCGTACCTGCGAAGATCTCTTCCAGCGCATCGAGACCTCACCTTCTCCCGATATCAGCTACAACGTCCGAGTATCATATTTCGAGGTATACAACGAGCATGTGCGCGATCTCTTGGTGCCACGAACGGATCCTCCGCACTACCTGCGTATTCGCGAGTCTCCATCAGAAGGTCCTTACGTCAAAGACCTGACGGAGGTTACTGCGAGGAACTATACAGAGCTCATGAAGTTCATGCGGAAGGGTGATGTTTCGCGAACTACGGCCAGCACTAAGATGAACGATACATCGTCTCGATCTCACGCCGTTTTTACAATTACTTTGAAACAGATACATCACGATCTTTCTACAGACGAAACAACGGAGCGCACTGCTCGCATTCGGTTGGTCGACCTTGCAGGTTCGGAACGCGCCAAATCCACTGAAGCAACAGGTGCTCGGCTCCGCGAAGGTTCGAATATCAACAAGTCGCTCACTACCCTTGGTCGAGTGATTGCGGCGTTGGCAGACCCAAAGAAGACGCGCGGGGGAAGAAAAGGCAAAGAGATGGTTCCGTACCGCGACTCGATTCTTACGTGGCTTTTGAAAGACAGTCTTGGTGGAAACTCGAAGACTGCGATGATTGCATGCATTTCACCGGCGGACTACGAAGAAACTCTCTCAACACTACGATATGCAGACCAGGCCAAGCACATCCGAACCCGTGCTCGCGTCAACCAAGATCACGTCTCTGCAGCTGAACGTGATGCGCAAATAGCTGAAATGGCGGAGACTATTCGCACCTTGCAACTCAGCGTCAGTCAGGCGACTGTGCACCAGCGCGCAAGTGAGGCGCAGGACGAGAAGTTGGACGAGTACCAGCAGAAGGTCGAAAAGATGCAGCGGCTGATGGAGGAGACTAAAATGGTCAGCGAGTGCAAGATCCGTCAACTCCAGACCGAGAATGAGGCTCTGCGTATGCACTTGAAGCTCGCTCTGGAGAGTCTCAAGAACCCCATACCGGCAATTCCGATTGAAAAGCGACAACCAAGTCTGACTTCATTAGCGGCAGAGAGCCTGCCCCCTCCAGAGGATGATCAAGGTGACCGCGCGGGCACCCCCGATGATCCTTCTGATTCCGAAGCCGAAGTTTGGGAGGATGATGAAACAATCACGTCCGATGACGACGAGGACGATGAGGTACACCATCTGATGCAAGCTCGCATGCAAGATCTCCTCGGCGATCTTAGTATGTTCAAACGTAAGCTTGCAACAGACCACGAACGATTCCGACCTAATGAACAACCGAAAACACGGAAACGTCGTGCTCTTGGGGCTATACCTGGCAATATTCGCTAGTCCTTTACCTTTATTAATCTTCGTTTGTGTGATAATTGGCGTATAGACTCGGTGTTGGCGGCGATCTTTCTTTCAGCTCTTTGTTTGGGCTGAAGCCTCCCTTTCGGGCAGAAGTCTAGAATCGGCTGTGCTTGGATCATCCCTGTCTCTTCTTTTTTGTCTATCTCCATGGTAGCGTGATAACCCCCTTGCGATGAATTATGAGAAACTTTATGAGTTCATGTTTCAAAGACGACTGTCGTTGTCTGTTCCCTTCTAGTATCTGCCTCCATGAGGAAATTTATGTTCGTTTAGTAAGAATGGACAGAGATAGGTTCCAGAGGTGAGCTATTTCAAGACAGTACATAGTTGGACCCCTTTTTTTTTTTTGTTTTCAGCCCAAGATTCACTCGGTTTACGATGACACTGCACTGGCGTCGATTAGGGCTGCGGGACCTGGTGGGCCGCTTATGGCATCACTTTTTCCGTGAGTCAACTCTCCCTCCCCACCAAGGTCAAGGTCCAGCAATAAGCCCCTCGCAACCCGAGATTGAGTCATACACAATGACCGACCCAGTTGACTTGGCGCCAGCTTCTTCGGCCGCCGCGCCTGCCTCGACCCCATCCCAGCCTACGGCGACTCCTTCGCAACCCCTCCCGATCCGCGACTCCAAGTCCGCAACGGACCCCGCACAGCAAGACAAGAAACCAAAGGGCAAGCCTGCTGCGCCTGCTACTGCCTCTGGTGATGCTGTTGCTGCTGGTGGAGAGAAAGTCCTCACTCCGGCGGAATTGAAGAAGAAGGCCAAGGAGGAGAAGGCTGCTCGCCGCGCCAAAGAAAAACTTGAAAGGGAGAGCGGAGCTGGTGCTGCTGGCGGTTCGGCTCCTGGAGGTGCTCAAGGTCGTCCTCCGGTGACACCGAAGAAGGACGCCGCTGGAGGCGCATCCCAGAAGGGACAGAAGGCTCCTCCGCCGCGCCGAGGATCAGGACCCGGAATCGTTTCTCACACTCCTGTCGTTGAGCAAAAGAAAAAGAAGGATGACAAGAAGGTCGCTGTTTTCGGGCACTTGTATGGACAGCAACGGAGGACTACTATTGCTGGCGCTGCCAAGGAAGTTCACCCTGCAGTCCTGGCGTTGGGCTTGCAGTTGAGGGATTACGTTGTCTGCGGCAGCAGCGCGCGTTGCGTTGCGACTCTGCTTGCTTTCAAGCGGGTGAGTTTTGTGCTTCCTCGATGTTTTGCCTCGTGGCGCATGCTAACTGAGAATCTTTCAGGTCATTGAATCCTACGATACTCCCCCAAACAACTCTTTGTCGCGCCACTTGACCACCGTCCTCTCCCACCAAATCACCTATCTCTCCACATGCCGCCCACTCTCCATCAGCCAGGGTAACGCCATTCGTCAGTTGAAGCTGACCATCTCCTCTATCGACCCCTCCACCCCCGAAGCTTCCGCAAAAACGACCCTCTGCGAATTCATTGATGGATACATCCGGGAGAAAATTACTGTTGCCGACCAGGTCATTGCCGCAAGTGCCGCGCAAAAGATTCAGGATGGCGACGTGATCGTGACTTTCGCCGGCAGCTCCATCGTCAAGCAGACCCTCCTGCTGGCACACAGTGAAGGAAAGCGTTTCCGCGTATCGATCATCGACTCACGCCCGCTCTTTGAGGGCAAGAACCTTGCTCGTGCGCTCGCCAATGCCGGACTTGACGTGCAGTATTCACTCATGCATGGCGTCAGCCATGCCATTAAGGATGCGACAAAGGTCTTCCTCGGCGCACACGCCATGACCAGTAATGGCCGATTGTACTCGCGTGTTGGAACCGCCCTGGTCGCCATGTCTGCCAAAGAGCGCGCAGGCGGCGTTGAAGTTCCCGTCATTGTATGCTGCGAGACAGTCAAGTTCACCGACCGCGTTGCCCTTGATAGTATCGTCGTCAACGAAATCGCCGACGCCGATGAGTTGGTCTCTAACCAGCTTCCACAGCAAGTTACCGGCCTGGCTGACCCAGGTGCACACACTCCTGCGCCTGTCGACCCCAAGAAGGGTGGCAAGGCTGCCCCCAAAGAACCTACACCCGCGCCATCTGCCTCTTCTCGTGCCTCATCTACCTCGCCTCTCACTGAATGGAAGGACACCTCCAACCTGCAACTGTTGAACATCATGTACGATGTCACCCCTGCCGAGTATGTCGACATGGTCGTCACAGAAATGGGCAGCTTGCCACCGAGTGCTGTGCCTATCGTGCATCGGATGAGTACAAACATGTGAGATACGAATTATTTGTTCTTTTTTTAGCATACTGCAAAAGTTGGGGATTCCTTGTCTTCTTGATATCAAGGTTCTTTGTCATATTTTATGGGTGTACTCTTCCATTGGAGATGTTTTTTCTCTAGATTTCCTTAAGACCTACATTTGGTTTATTTCCTGGGATGCATTTGATAGGTAACCGCGAGATGGTAGCCAGGAAGGTGATGAAAAAGATTAAACTTATACTTCCTCCATCATTTTATGCACTTGCATAAAAGCACGGTTACATTTCCAGCTTTGCTTTGTTTAACATTGACACGGTACAATATTTTCCCATTTCGGATTAGTGTTTAATCTGTTCGAGGCAATTCGCGTTCATAAATCGTGCGACATCTACAGCTAGCAAGAGGCAAAGCTAGCTTGGTATGGATTACACGGATGCAATTACTGCTGAAAATATAGCTGTGCAAGATATGAGTCGCTCGATATGGTTCAAGGTTCCTATCTCGTGAATACCTACCGTAGCAAGCCTATGTAAGGTGAGGCTCAGTAAATAGTGTGTTCACTATTTCAGTCTGATTACATAACCAATCACAGAACAACACATCCAACCAGTCAGTAGTATGCGCGAGCTTCAAGATTAGCTTCATCTCGACTCCAATCCAATACAACCCGGGGTTTACAATTTTCAACTCACCTAAACACTTCTACCTCAAGCTCCAAGGGGATCCAACTCCCCCACATCCAAAATGGTACACTCTTCAACCTTACCACTTCTCCCATTCCAAAACAACCCCACTGACACGCCCCAAGAGCAAAGACTCCTCCGCAACGCATTTACATATGCACCAACCCCGCCTAGCAGATTTCTTCGAAGAATTCACCCGCCCTCACACATCAACCGCCGCAGCAAGCAACCCTCAAGCCCTAAACCAACCAACTCAAGGCCCAAACGCCGTAACCTACGGCTCGTCCTCGCCCGCCTCAATCCCATCTTTCCTCCCCATTGAAGACATCTACGTCGCCCCACAGCACCAGCCTCCGAACCCGGAAGACGAGGACGACGTCGTACCGGACCAGCATGCTGCATTTGGAATTACGCGCGCGATGGACCGACGACGGGTTGCTATTTGGAGTGATCTCGGTCTTGAGGCGCTTGTAAATGGGCAAGGACATGGTGGGAGTTCCATGGCTGCGGCGGGGCCTAGTGTTGGCGCTGGGTCGGGGCCTGGGGCTACGCTTAGAGAGAGTGCCGGGGGTGCGGCTTCGGCGACGGCGCCGGCTGTTAGGGTTAGGAGTGCTGGGAGGAAGATGGGTGGGAGGAGGGTGGTTTGTTTGCGATGAGATCTGTTATCCTGAGGTTCCAGGTGGCATTGGGGGTTGAATATGGAGTTTGTATTACTGCATTGTTTGGCGTTGGGTATGGGAATGATATCCACTAGGTTGCTACTGTTCCGCACGATTATATGCTTTTTTTCTTCATTGATTCATTTCGTTGGTGCCTTTCGAGAATTATCGAATCCTGTCTGGGCAGGTCCCTCCGGTTTCACCTTTAATGTGCCTCTAACGCCGAGCAAGTAAATGCGATATGATTATACATGGTGTTGTTAACTAGATCCTGTTGATGTCCACTCGGGCTCGCTCGTAGAGCTTGTGGTCGAGCTGCTTCTGCTCGCGCTCGTCGTCTGTGATGCTTCGCTGGTGGATTGCCATCTGGGCGTAGGTGCCTGCGGCACGGCGCTTGGACAGAGTACCGGGGTTGATGACGAGGACACTGTCGACGACCTAAAAATAGAAAATTCAATCAGTATCACTAATAACAAGACAATCAGACAGAAGAGAGAGGCTCAGCTTACCTTGACAAAAGGTGGAAGCATACTAGGCACGATCAGCACGTCGGGTCGCACATTCCACCACTCGCCCAGCTTCATATAAGGCAAGTCCAGCATGGCTCCCGTCGCTAGGCCACCCTCAGACCCGGGCTTAGGGAGATTGGCGCGTGCCGTGGGAGGGAAAAGGGGGAAGAAGTGACGCTGCTCGACGAGATATTTCGGCAGTCGGCTGAGCAAGTTGCCCTCGGCGGGCCTACCGTGAAGAACCTCCTCACGGCGGAGTTCGGAAAGCACATCATGAGAACACATGCCGAAAACAGCCTCGTTGAAGGACAATGTCACGGGATTGGAGACCATGCGGACTTGTTTCGGGAGGCCAAGCTCCTTCTTGGGAAGTTGCTCTTGAGGCCATGACACGTGCCGACTCAAAGCATCACGCACTGACGGCAACATCACAATGGTGATACTGGGAACTGCTGCCGCAAGGCGAGCTAGAGGCGCGGAGATACAGTGACGGAAGACTGTCGTAAGTGTCGCAGTGTCCGGGTCGAGACCCTTGATATCTGGCAAGTCAAAATCTCCAGATGCAAGCAGGGGATGCTCGATATCCAGGAACGGACCCAACAGAACAAGGCTATCGGCATAATTGTCTGCGGCTTTCTGGCACAGTTCTTGCAGAGGCTCAAATTCCAAGTTATCATCTGCTGTGAACGGACCTGCTGCCACCATGACGTTGAGGGGAGGGTTGGCATCTCCATTGTTGAGACGTTCGTTAATGTTATCGAGAGCCACCGCCGTAGATGCAGCAGGAGGCAAGAGAGGAATAGGCAGGATCTCTTTCACGGTGAAGTAATCCCCAGAGGGATTGATTCCTCGGAGAGCGACAATTTGGCCGGGGAAGAAATTCAAGCCCGGAACAGAGTCGACTTTTAGAGGCACTCGTCTTCCAGCACCTGTACGGCGCGACGTCTCGAGAACAAGAGAAGCTGGGTTAAGCTTTCCCTCCAGGGAATCAGAAGCAATTCGTCCAATGGCAATGATTTCGCTTGTGCTTTGTGTGGCCGCGCTGCCAAAAGTGAGTTCATTCGAGTCGTAGTGCTTCTGAAATATCGCAGCAAATTCATCGATTCGATCGTCCAAGATTTCTGAAGTCTCCGACAGTCGCATTCCCATGGGCTTATAGCCGAACTTCTTAAGATCCGTATTGGCCGTGGGCTTGATGCGCGCTTCGGAAAAGGGTGCCATCGGGGTCTCTGACAGCGACAATTGAGAATTGAGCGATTCGAGTGTTTGACCCCGATTTTGGCGCTCAGAAAATGAAACAGATCTATTATCCATGTCAGCATTCATAATTCATCCCAGACAGGCAAATGTATCACATACTGTGTGCCGCCAGGAGTGCCGCCACCATTTGCCATAAAAGCAGGACCCTTCGCCATGGGTGATCCATTCTGCTCAATTCGGCCCAGCTTCGGTGCGACAGGCGAGGAGAAGTTGTTCTTGCGTTTGACGGAGCCAGTAACACTGTGCAGGGACCGGCCATTCGCGGCATTGGGGGTCAAGTCATCCAACCTGGGAAACAAGCACAATCAGTCTAATCATTTGTGGCCATCTGAAGTTACTCTCTGTTCTTACATTCCGAACATATCAGTGCCCGCTGCAGCACGCGGGGTTGCGGTGACGGCGTTCCTCTTCTCATTTTGTCGGCCAGGCTTGCCTCGGGTCTCGCGCTCGAGAGCTTCTTGCACGTCTTGCTTGAAGCCGCGCACAGTTTCCATGCTCAACTTCACCTCATCACCCATCTTGATACTGTAGGACTCCCATTTGTAGAAGAGCTCCTCCGCGGTGATCGAGTGGATTCGGAGGATAGATTGTAGTTCGGCAAGGACATCTTTGGGCAGACCCTCCGGGAAGGTTGCGGCAAATAGCTCATTGAGCTCCGCCGTGGCGTCCATTGTGGTGGTGGAGTGAACAGTCAATTGCCAATTGTCGAGTTGAGAACAGTGAACTCCGCAAAGACGCGACCCAGACGCGTGGGTGGGACGTGTTAGATGACTCAGCGCCTAGAAAAGTAATATCGAATTCCCGAGTTGGAAGGCGGGTCTTCGCCGATCGTCGATTGACTGATTTCTCCTTTTGTACCCCGTGCATCAGGCATTCTCTTACATCATGACCGCCAATGACTCTGTCCAAGAGGCTGCTGCGATGCCTTCGACCGTCAATGGCGAGGTGTTGAAGCCGGAGGCTGTCCCTACCTCTACTTCGAAGCAAAATGACCAGGACTACCCAACCTCCGCCGTCGACGGTCTTATCCAGAAGCCATTTCCTAGGCCGCTCGAGAGCGCCAAGCCCACGAAGCCCGCAGAGCTCACTGCGGACCAACAAACCAAATACGAGGCCGTCCTCAAGACCGCCTCGTCATGGACCACCATCCCCAACACGTCCGAGCGCAATGCCCCCACAGACCCGATCACCACTGATGAACGCATGTGGTTAACTCGCGAGTGTCTTCTCCGCTACCTCCGCGCATCCAAGTGGAATGTCGCCCAGGCCGAACAGCGCCTTCAGAGCACCCTGACTTGGCGTCGGGAATACGGTATGGAGAAATTGACACCGGACCACATCTCAATTGAGAACGAGACTGGAAAGCAGGTCATCTTGGGCTTTGACATTCAAGGCCGCCCATGCCTTTACTTGATCCCCTCAAACCAGAACACCGAGAAGAGCGAGCGCCAAATTCAACATCTCGTCTTCATGCTTGAGCGGGTCATTGATCTTATGGGCCCTGACCAGGAGACGCTGGCGCTCCTCGTCGACTTCAGCTCGACCAAGTCTGGCCAGAGTGCGTCCATTGGACAAGCAAAGGAGACCTTGAACATTTTGCAAAACCACTACCCGGAGCGATTGGGCCGTGCTCTTGTGCTTAATGGTAAGTGAATCGTGACAGCGGTTGACAAACCTCTCTAACATTTTTCTGCTCATAGTTCCTTGGCTCATTTCGGGCTTCTTTAAGTTGATCACACCCTTCATTGATCCTCAGACTCGTGAAAAATTGAAGTTCAATGAGGATCTGTGCCAACATGTCCCGCCCACCCAGCTCATGAAGTCTGTGGGTGGTGATGTTGAGTTCCGCTACGAGCATTCTATCTACTGGCCAGCACTGAACAAGTTGGCCGAAGATCGACGCAACTTGATCCGCGAGCGCTGGATTCAAGGCGGCAAGCAGATCGGCGAGTTCGAGAACTACCTCAAGGGCGAGGACATCCCGAGCGTGTCCCAAACCCAGGGATCTGCCACTGAGCAGGCGTAAATCAAAAGCATTGCTTGGTTCCCTTTTTCGGCAACTTTAATATTCCCACTGTCATTTTCTAGCATTTTCGGCTCATATATACACCACCCTTGCTCGCATGAACCACCTACTGGGTAGAATTTGGTCGATTCACATACCACTATCTTTGCAATTTTGTTAATAGAATTTCATTGGCATACGCAGATTTTCCCCCGATAGAATACAAAGATCCTGCGATATCCCAACATTCCACTCTACATTCCATTTCCATAGTGATGAAGTAGGTTCTCGTTTGCTTTCGCAACTCACGTGATATTCAGCGCCATGATGCGCCAACAAGTGTCGAACAACTGAGTGCGAGCATCGACGTTGCACACGCTAGTCGCGTGACATGGGAACTTAACAGGCTGTTAATAGGTAATTGAATTGATGAAAAATAGAATAATGTCAAATATGTACTTAGGGGTGATTAAGCCATCCAATCATGACTTGGCCTATTCCCGATGAGAACCTCGCCAGCCCGATCGGCCTTGCAATAATGCTCAAGAGATCTGCGCGGGATTCTGAAAGAGCGATTTGCAGCTAAAGAAATTTTTGAACCATGTAGCGTTGTTCTATCCAACTGAAATTCATTTCTCTTAAATGAGCCATATGCACTATTGCAAAGCCCATTGTCCTATCCTAACCTTCTAAATTGCTCTCGACAAAATTCGAGGAGAAGAAAGAGAGCGCGATCAAGCAAAGGTGCCGTATGCTGCGCTATGGCACCACAAGAGAGTGCAGGAGCAAATGCATCACACGTGTCGTTCTTAGTTGTGTTGCTGTCACGCCGTGACCAGAGCCTACTTCTTTGGGTCTGTCAAACGAAGGATGCCGAGTTGGTCATTCTCAAGTATGCAACTGAAGATAAGTCGGCTAAGAATTACTTGTTTGATTTCAGTTTATCACTTACACCCAATGCTCTAGTATAATCTATCTAAACTTCTTATTACTCGTTGCCTGCTATCTCGGGTCCAGCACCAGACTCCAAACTACCATGGCCATCCATACGCTTGAACGCTTTGCGAACTTCATTTTCCCATTGTGTGAAGGCGACAAGAACCCACTCCAAAATGCCTGCACAGTAAAGTGCGACACATTGGCCAACCCAAAGACCTTTGAGTCCCCAGCCATGGAAAGCAAGATAAACACCCAGTGGTAGAGCAAAACAATAGTAGCTCACCAAATTGATAGCGGCACCTATGTGCTGTCGGCCCATACCTCGAAGACTTCCACCACAGCTGCCATTCATACCATCCGCAATTTGGAATAGCGCGACAAATGGCATAATTTCTGCGGTGAGCTCAACAACCTCTGGGTCATCGTTGAAGATCTTCGCAAAGTGGTTTCTCGTGCCCATGAGAATAGCTAGCACAACAGCACCAAAGGCCACGGCAAGAATCGCAGATGAGTGCGCAGCACGTGAAGCGCCCTTGGAATTTCGTGATCCGAGCAAGTTTCCAACACGGGAAGAAGTAGCAACACCTAGGCCGAATGGGATGGTATTCATGATTTGATCGGCTGTCATGATCACGCTCTGGGATGCTAGAGAAATGGTTCCCAGGCGACCGGCCACCAAAGCCACGATCTCGAAGGCCCACCATTCAGTTCCGACATGCAAGATCCCAAGGATTGCCAGTCGAGCGAAGGCCCATAGGTTTGTGAGCGCCGCTCGAGACCAGCCACCCCAGCATTCGGAGCCGGCGACAAACTTGGCATATAGGACCAACAGGATGAAAGAGGTCCAGTAGGAGATATCGGCTGCCAGTGGGGCCCCTAGTAGCCCAAAGTCCAGTGTGTAACAGAATAGATAACACAATCCAGCATTGAGGGGTGAAGTGATGAGCAGAACATACGTTCCGGCTCGCATAATTCCTGAAAATTGAGTGATTAGCAACTGCCCATACATAGTCGCTTATGACAGTCTCTTACCTTGCGCCTGTAAGTACTTCTTCATCGTCTCAAAGTAGATATAGCCAAGTCCCCCGGGAATCAAGGCCGTCAAAAATTTAGAGCTCAAATAAGAGAGTTCGGGATCTTGGCCAAGAGCCTGGAAGATAGGGTTGGAACAAGCCCAGATGACAGCGACTGGGATATAAAAGGCTCCAAGAACCAAGAAAGCACGTTGAAGAAGGATGCCTAAATCGTGCTTATTTTCACTTCCGGTGAAGGTTGACGAGGCCAGGGTATCCATAGCCGTAGTTCCTCCCAATGCAATCATCCATCCAGTGACCAGAGCAAACATCAATGAGAAAGCGCTGACGGCCAGGTACATTGGGGACAAATGACCGACAATGATTACTGGAATAGTCTGCAAGCTCATCTGTAACATGTAGGCCATAATGACGGGCACTGAGCCCTTTAACAGCTCCCAGAATTCTGTCAGAATCCGCTTGCCCCGTGGAAGCTCCGAGGCATCCTTGTCAACCTCATCATCCCAGGGAAAATCATCCCCAATGGGCTTGGGGGTAGATTCGGGAAGGAGTCTGGTATAATCGTTTGGCGTCGATGTGTTCGAGTCAGAGCAAGTAACAGAGGAATGAGAGACATTGACTTCGCTGTTGCTCACGTTGCTACTGACATGGCTACTGACATGCATTTTCGCGACAGAGTGGAAGCAAAGAATTGAAAACCGATTTTCAGAACTCTTTCGAGAGAGCCGAGACTTATGTAGTTGTATGGAGTGTTCATGATGGGACGGTCAATGCAGTGGGGTGGATTGGATTGCTAGCGGCAATGACATTAAGAGACCCGACGTCAAAACCCGTATCAGGCTGAGCTGAAAGCTGAAAATTTCAAGGGCATTCCGTGGAGTACACGGCAGGGATCTACACCCCATCGATCTACACGGTAAAAGTACCAATTTTATGACGGCAGATCGGGTGCCGCGGTGGAACTGCCCGAATGCAAGTTCACTAGTCGCTTCGAACCCATCAACAAGCGCCTGTGATTGATTCCGACCTCGGAGCACGAGGCAACTTTTGCCTACCACCGTCAGTAGGATGTCCGAAAGATAAGGAACTGAAAAGAAAAGAGCGGTCTAGGCGCTATGAAAGGTAATTTTCGAATGATCTAAGCATTCAAGAAAACGAGGGACAATGTCTGAGAGTGGGGCGTCGCGGGGGTGGATTCTCAAGACTTTCTCCTAACCTGGAAGGCGGAGGGATTCATGACTTGTGCGGGATTGTAATTTATACACGCCGTCGTTGTGTAACTATCGGTTCGTGTGGAATGGTGAGCATGTTCCCAATCGACTTCAATCTGTCTTGTTGAGCGGCGGTCTACCAATCAACATGATATTTCTAATGTATGTACAAGCGTGTTACACAACATGCACCTGAAATCGCTAGTTAACATGGATCAACGCGTTACACCATACGAGTCAATCCATGAGCTCTTTCTTGCTTGGAAACTCCAGACTTGCTTTTCTATTCTCGCTGACAGCTCCTCATAACCGCCTGGTACCCTCTGGGATATAAGATGACCTAACAAACTTCTTAATTCGTATATTTGATCAGCACGAAGAAGCCGTTGATGCGCCATAATTCTCTTCTTGGCTTCATTGATATTACTCATATCACTCTTAAGCCCTACCACAATATCTTGATGCAAAGCCAGTGCCAAATTCGGTCTAGGTATGCGCTTGTGCAGTACTGAATATACATTGTCAGACTACTGTCATTGTGAACTGTCTAGAGGTGCCGCAAATTTCAAGCACTTGTACCATTTGGCCTCGGAAACTGTGAAGTGGCGACCTGGGGTTTCATCCAAGTGGCTCTAGCCTAAACAAAACAGGGACCTCTTAAGAAAGGAATCGTCTGAGCGCCAAACCCTGGGTTTTTGGTAATAACACTAGCTTGTGTAAATTCAATGCACGATCCAAATGTTGACTCGGGCCACAATCGCCCCCTTCGACAGATAACGACCACGTAGGTTCTCCACTAGTTGCAGTCATCACTCACTGTATCAAATTATCCAGTAAGACCTAAAAGGAAGAAGATAGCATGCCGAGGACGACAGAAAGAGAGACTGGACTAACTCAAAACGGAGTTTAACGGGAGTGGGGACCCTTGATGGGAGTTCAGATCTCGATCTCGCCCGACTTGGAGTAGAAGTTACTAAGAAATTCAAATTTCACATTGCTTGATGATTAGTGTGTGCGTTGTGATTCGTTCAGTTCTGTTTAATGTTTAGCGCGAAACATGCAGCTAGCAGACGTCACTGATAAGGGCCCTATCCTTTACACTCCGACCCCTGCATGGGGTGATTCGCTTCTATAAGCCATCGAACGGAAGTTGAAGATAAGGGATGGAATTCTGGACAAATGAATTAGATAATTATAATATTCGAGTCGAGGTCTATAACATTGTCTTTTCTTTATTTTTGTTGTTTGTCCCGACCGTCGTATTTTGAGGTGGCGTGTCGGTCAATCATGGATGAAAAGCAGATCCACAAACGCTGTCAAGGCCATAGTGCCAATAATTCAACCGATTTTATGCCGACCTCTATTGAGGATGGTCCTCAGCTTGCTGCCGATGAAACCGTCGACAAGAATGGGATCAGGCTTCATCCGCAACCTACATCCGATCCGCTGGACCCTTTGAACTGGTCAAGTCTCCAAAAACATGGAATTCTATCTATTGTCATGCTCAAGTGAGATCTATTGGATTTTCTTTCTTTTTTTTGAGGATTGGATATGAAGTGCTTACCCTGCTTGAAATCTAGATATTTCTTGTTTACGTACCTGACCACAACCACGGTCCCATCCTTCACAGAGATCCAAACTCAATATTCCATCAGCTATTCCCAAGTCAATTGGACTGTTGCTATCCCGGCGCTTGGCCTATCTGTTGGTCCTTTGATATGGACTTCGCTCAGTGACATTTACGGTCGCCGACTTATCTTCTTAATTGGTACGGTTATTGCCTTGGTCTCGACAATCGGAGCGGCAGTAGCAGACACATACGCAGGCTATATGGCTGCTCGGTTTTTCCAGGGATTTGGCGTGAGCCCTGCTTCAACTGTTGGCATGGCTGTTGGTATGTTTTTATGATCTTCGACTTTCGCACCCGGCTGATGAAGTACCAGTGAATGATCTATTCTTCGAATATGAGCGGGGACAAAAGCTGGGCTTGTGGGTGTTGGCAATTGACTCTGGACTTCTACTGGGGCCGACCTGTGAGTTCAACGAACAGTCAGCATTCGTTTTAGATTCTAATCGGTGTAACTTCTCAGTTGGTGGCTTTCTGAATCTCGTCAGCGCTGCGTGGATCAACTGGTTCAACGCCATTCTATTCGCATGTCTCTTGGTTTTGGAGGTATTATTCATGCCTGAGACCTTATATCCTCGGCAAAGGATGCTACTTCAATCCCATGTCGTGGAAGGTAAACCGCCTCTTGTAGCAGACATTGAAAAGCAAGTAGCAGATCAAAGCCCCGCACCCCAACAGCCGGTTTCAGGAGAGCTTCCCTCCGACGGGCTACCCAGGACAAAGAAACTTCCATTTATGAACTTCATGCCAGTTCCTGGAATGCGCCATCCAAAGCCCTGGGACTCGATAACTCGTTTCGTGCTTACGTTCCAATTCCCTGTAATCGTGATTGGAGTTCTCGGGTATTCATTTGTTTGGTATTGGTGGATTCTCTCCATTATCACCATGGTACCCGCAGCTTATGAGAATTACTCTCCACTCATACAAGGGTTACTTTTCTTGGGTCTATTTCTGGGGACAATTGTCTCGGAAATATGCTGCTCGGGGCGGCTTAGTGATTACATTGTGGAACGACTAGCAAAGAGGAATGGGGGTGTTCGCGTCGCAGAAATGCGATTATGGTTGGCTTATCCTGCTATTTTGGTTACTGCAGGTAAGTACTTTAACAAATCCTTCCAAGGTTGTTCCAAACTCTGACAAACAAATAGTTGGCTCAATTCTTTGGGGCGTCAGTCTCGACAAAAACTATCATTGGATCGTTGGCCAGGTTGCATTCTTCCTCTGTAAGTATAATTTCTTCTCAGAGACAAATGTTAGTTTTGACTAACCTATTTTCTAGTTGCTGCAGGAGTCCAGGTTGGCAACACGGTCATCAGCAGTTACATTGTCGATTGTTATCCGTTGCAATCGACCAGTGTAATTACTTTCTACGCCGTGTTTCTGAACTTGAGTGCCTTCATCAATCCGGTATGGTATCTTCGGCTCAAGCTTTCGAGAGTTGGATGGCATTGCTAACATTGACTTGATTGATAGTTTTTCATTGCTTCTTGGGAAGCATCGGTTGGCTGGACCTGGACTTTTACCACGCAGGCTTTGATTGTTTTTGCTGGAGGTGGCCTGGTCTTCGGGGTTTTGCATAAATTCGGTGCATCTATGAGGGCAAAGGCACCACAACCATCATGGGTCAATCCAGAGTATGATACAGGGGTTTAGTGCTTAGTACGTATATAAGCGGTACTCTCAAATCCCTGGAATGAATATAGAAATTGTAGTAAACCAGCAGCGTAGGGGTGAGCGTAGAGGGGAGGGTTTGAACGGGTTGCCCTGTCACTGATATCATTCAGTAATTGAATTCAAATGCTTCTGCGGCCGAGTGATTCGTACTAGACTGCGAGGCTCTCCAAAGTTGAGCTTCAGAAAAGAAGGAAATGAAAGTGAAAAGAAGTTAGGTCTATGAATTAAATCCGTGAGCCAAAGGATCTCCCGCAGGAGGTCTTAGACTTGGCTCTGCTGTTCTTCTCGTGAGGTCTTCTTCAGTCTTTTGAGCCTGTATCTTTCTACTAGGCCACCTGAAATCCTATTAGGAGGTGTGATCTGAATCCGAATCATTACTTCCTGTAAAGTCTTTGGTTTTTTGTTCCCTTAAGCTCACCCCTCACTAGTCTCCTCTTCTCTCTTCCTCCCTGTCTCTCCTCTTCTCGTTATTTACTTGAATCGCGTAACTTTTGCAAACTGAGACTACAAGCAGCCACCATCATATTTTGGGGAAATTCAATGATGCTCTCTCTAGAAAGGGAGAGAGAGAGAAAACTAGTCCGGGAAGTGGGCTACATGTGTCGGGGAAATAACGGGTTCCCAGGGGAAAGAGCGGGTATAGAGCGCGCAGATGCCGGAACCTTACCCCACTCCACACAATTGACTACTTATTAAGCGGATGTTGGTGATCTTTATTCTTATATTTGCATCAACAGGCCTTTGAAAGGCTTTCTAGTATTGCTCCTATTGGTTTCACCTCTATGTAGAAAAGAAAACCGACGATCTTTCCTCGTTTTCCGGTTCTATTAATCTTGCAAAAAAGAGCAATCAAAAGGGACCGAATCACCCAGAGATCATCAAATCATTTGATTCCTCTGCTTCTGTCATACCTCAAGTTCATGACAGTTAAACTCGAAAGCCGGTTTGACTTCGTTTTCGTCCTACTTCATGACTGGCACTACCTTAAAGCCGCACTACGCGGACAAGCCCTATAAATGGGTCAAGCAAGAGATTGAAGCCTCGGATCCTGAAAAAGATTATGAAAAGATTTGGAGGCTTTCAATCGAGTATACTGGGGGCGGTGCTTTCATCCAAAATATGATCTATGCCTTGACATTTCCAAACTTTATCGCCAACGAGTGGGGAGCCCAAGTCGTCTGGCGTGATGATGGAGGCAAAGTCCTCAGCCGCGCTACCGATAGAGTCAACGAAACACAATATCATAACTCTGTATGGTGGTTTTATGGACCGCATCATCCTGAGACCAAGAAATCCGCCCATACGATCAACAAGCGACACGAGTACTACACCCAAAAATATCCTGGAAGCTTTACCCATGAAATTGACTATACATATGTATTGTGCTTCTCTGCAATCTCGGTGCATCGGCTTCGACAGAGACTACGCCTTTCTGGCTTCGATGAGAAACAGAAGATTGCAGCCCATCGGTTCTGGAAAGAGATGTCCCACCTGTTCTTCGTCGAGGTTCCTGGGAATCCTCTTGAAGAATGGTTACCTCTCTCTGACTTTCCTGAAGACTGGAACGCCATGTATCGGTTCTGTGAAGATGTTGAAAATAACAACATGGAGCAAACAGAGAAAGGTCATCTGATTGCTGAAACCATATTCGACCAATTTGCATACCGGTTCTTCCCACCTAGTCTTCGCTCTCTGGGTCGAGCATTCCCCATCACTCTTTCACTTCCACAAACATTGAAGGCACACCAAATCCGACCAACCAATCCCATACTAGCAAGAATTATTATTTTTGTGGTAGGGACATTTATGTGGTTCATGGAAACATTTTTCCCTGATCCGAAGATCAGCTATCAGGAGTCCATTCGGCTTCAGACAGCGAAAGACAAAGCAAACTTCAATGCTCAAAAGAGAGACATGGATCGCAGATTCCCCGCGGTTTTCGGTGACAATCATCGGGCATCTCCGACTTTCTGTCCCTTCGCGATGAAATCTGAGAAGACTGCATAATATTGCCTAGGGTTTTACGTTCCTACCTCGAGGTCATCTATCTCTCATGTGCATTCAAATTGTTGTGTATACAAATTCTTTTTGGCCGTTTATATCTAGTGTCTCATATTCTCTCATATTCAGAGGTTCCCTTTCTCAATGTTCATTTCCTTTCATTGCAACCTTCAATTAGTTATACTCAACACTTGGTGGCCCTAGTAATAAGGGAATGAAGGATGTAGGACATTCGCGGAGGAAAATGTACAAATGCCCGCCTCTTAATGGTTGGCGGAATTTGGCGACTCAAATACAAGATGCATAGATGACAGCGCTTTCGAACAATTTACCCGAGCGCAGTCAAGATATTGTTGATTCGTATCGTCTTCAGTATCTATGTATTTCCTATGCCAAGTTATGTATCGACCAGTTTGTTGGGATCTACAATGTGTACTCCGCTTCTGGACTTTAGTGTACTGATAACATACTAACAGATGGTTCGTCACAAATGCGCACCGATAAGCCACGAACAACACACCAAAACTCATGTTGTCTTATCCCCAAGACTTGCTCTGTGCTTCTCCCCGTTCCTTCCCTTTTGGTAAGTTGAATTGAGTTTCAGGCTATCCTTGTATATGACGTGCGTCCTATCGTTTATTCCCCGCCATGTGTAATCCTAGCCGGGTTTCTCAATTGGGAAGTAAGATAGAGCAGCATACCAACCCCACAAAGCTCGTGTTGTGTAAATTTGCAGTTCTGTTGGTATTAGGGTATTGGGGGCTTTTGAAAGATACTTCTTGATCCGTGATCATCAGTCAGTCGCCGAATTTGGCTGTTGAGGGGAGTGGGGAGATATTTGGTCATTGAAGTGATGCAATCCTGAGGTTGTACGAGTGACAATGATTCCCTCTACGCGAGTATATCTTTCAAAGCATAAATTGGAGTTAGTCTGCGAGTAATAACTACATATAGCTCAAGGTACCCCCGTAGTCTGTCTTTGTGTAAATTGTTATGGTCCTTTTGAACCTTTTCGTCAAATATTAGACCGACCGCAATGATTGCTTCTACTATTGGTTTCCTCGCTCTCTCGAGCCTGGTGGCAGCACATGGGGACCATAGCCAGACCCCTTTGGCCGGACCACACCCAGGGCTGTGGTATAACACTCTTCCCGGTGATGGAGGTACACAAGTATGAAACAAGCTGTCAATCTTGCTCGACAAAAGGCTGATTACCTCTTCAATCTTTTCTAGGCCGACTCAGTGTTCTCCGGAATCTCGACTTTTGGTCGTCTACCCTACTTCCCATGTCTCTCAAGTGAATCTGAGAAATACGACATTGCCTTCCTAGGTAATCACTTGAAATCTATGACCTAGTTGTTGAGCATAGGACTTATTTACTTACAGGTGCTCCATTTGATACTGGTACTTCTTACCGACCCGGTGCACGTTTCGGACCAAGCGGTATCAGACAAGGCTCTCGTCGTCTCAATCTCTAGTACGTTTCAACCAAGCTCAACACTTGCATACATGCTTCGGTTGCGTCAATACTTTTTACTGACTATGGAACTACAGTGGCGGTTACAACGTACCCCTCCAATCGAACCCCTTCACCAGCGAACTAAGAATCATGGACTGCGGTGATGTCCCTGTGACATCCTACGACAACGCATGGGCGATTCAACAGATCGAGGAAGGACACAACAGCATTCTCATGCGCAAGCCTTTCACCAACGCGGACAAGGTAGGGCTCTCACGGGCTGGCAAGACGCTGCCTCGCGTTATTACTCTGGGAGGAGACCATACCATCACGTTGCCTCTGCTGCGGAGCATCAACAAGGCCTATGGCCCTGTGACAGTGATTCATTTCGATAGTCACTTGTGAGTTACGATACACTTGAAACTGTGCGCTATGGTGACTGACGATTTTGATGTCCAGGGACTCTTGGAAGCCCAAAGTTTTCGGTGGATCCCCGAGCCAGGTTGCTGCCATCAACCACGGGACTTATTTCTACCATGCGGCGATGGAGGGTCTGTTGAGGAACGACACCAACATCCACGCTGGTATTCGCACAACCCTGTCCGGTCCTTCAGATTATGAAAATGATGGATATTGTGGATTTGAGATTGTTGAGGCTCGTGAGATCGATACAATTGGTATTTCGAGCCTGCGATCTTTCCATCGTGACCTGCTAATAGGGTTGTCATAGGTACGGATGGCATCATCAAGAAGATTCGGGACCGTGTTGGAACTGAACACCCGGTCTATCTCTCCATCGATATCGACACTCTGGACCCAGCATGTAAGTGACTCAACATATTCCTTCGTGGGGCTTTCGTTTACTAACAACCCAATTCGACAGTCGCCCCGGCCACTGGAACGCCCGAGACCGGCGGCTGGTCCACACGCGAGCTACGAACCATCATCCGCGGCCTTGACGGATTGAACTTCATTGGTGCGGATATTGTCGAAGTCGCACCAGCATATGACACCAATGCCGAGCTCTCAACTATGTAAGTAATTTCATATCAAAATGAGGAAGGAATGCGGCGGAGCTTGGCTAACGGACCGCAGGGCGGCTGCGGATGTCTTGTATGAGGTTCTCACCATGATGGTGAAGATGGGGCCACTTTCCATTGGCGAGAAACATGAGCTGTAAAGCCAATCTATTCTGAATGGGACCATGGAATGTAGATGTGTCTGCATTCCATGGCGCTTGATGGGTATTCGGGTGAGGTGGGTGGTCCCGAGGCGTATCGCAAGGGGAGGTGTTGATTGAGAAATATGTACAGCAAGATCCAAATCGGGGCATCCGGTCGATCGGGTCTGAAATGATCGAATCCAGGCTTCATAGTTTCTCGCGTGGAATAGCTACCCAAGATAAACATGGAATGTGGAGCACGATCGAATATTTGAAGAACAATGTGTTAAAAGCCGAGGAGACGAAATATGAATGATTAGCCTACCCTCTGCACATTTGAGCAGTAGAATCAAGAGACACGGTAGCAAAAGGGACCGAACAATTGGGTGGTTCACAATATTAGGCTCAAGGTAGGGAGATCTTGAAAGTATGGTAGATCCGGAAGAATGTGGCGTGGCTATCAAGCCCCGCATCGCGAGAGGTACTGGAGCATTCGCCCCGCCTTCAGCTCAATCTTCAACCAAATTTAGCTGATCTTCAAATGAATTAATTTGCGTGTATATCTCGTTCACTATCAAAATAAATTTAAACAAGCACTAGCTGGAAACCATCTATTTGAAACCCGAGCACGAACTGCCGAGTCTGGACCGCCGAAGAACTCGAGAACGGCTCGGGGGGCAAGTCTAGGCTTTCGAAATAACATCAAACCCTGAAGCGTGTAGTGGGCCTTTGAGAATGCGGCTGCTTCGGACGCGATTCAACAAAGAGTCGGGACGAGTCTGGGCGCACCTGGAGGAACCGGGTTCGATCGTATCAGATCAGCTGGCTGAGTTGGAGTGGAGCGTCGCGTGGCGGCACAGGACGCTAGAGCGAGCATCTGAGAGTGTGCAAAAGGTGAGCTGGAAATGCACTCAAGAAACACATTCGATTCCACCATGTGTTTTAAGTATGAAGCAGTTCAACATCTTGGTAAGTTCACGGGAAGAGCTACCGGTTTGGTGAACCTTAGTGACAGTAGGGGTTCCAACGTTGGGCTAGCCAAGGGTATGAGAGAGTGGAGACGTGTCGAATTGCGATCGTTACTCCATGCCCTAAAACCCGGCTTGGTACAGTACAGGTCCTGAATTGTCGAGCTGGGTCGCAAGGCATCCACCGGGTTGCAGATGATAGGCCGGAATATTACTCATCCCAGCCATTTGTCTCCGTGCATACATTGGAACCATGCATGAACTCACGTTTAGCTGTCAATATATCGGATCTTAAGCTGAAGAGGATCATCATCAAAATCTGGGGCGCACAGTTCCTACGGAACCGTGTACCTCAATTTCCGGGCCATGTGGGACATGGGACCCCCTTTTTGATGTGCAACCTAGACGATAGGGGAATCTAGGCCATATCGACATGGGTGACACGAGCACTGAATCAATTCATCCAGAGTGGGTCTCAGGAGAAATTGCCAGTTTGGAGCAAGGCCGTTCTGACTGTCTCCATCCGCGGGCAACGATCGGCATTCGGAAGCCCAGCCTTTCGACCTGGAGAGTGACATTAGAACCGACAGGGTATGTTGTAGCGGAGATCAGAATTCCATTTGATTGATCCACTCTGATAACCTAAATCGGTCAAACCTGAAACAAACGTTGTGAACGGCTGTGTAGTGTAAGCGGTTGGAACGCGTGGAGGTTCCGGGGGATTAATTATGTCCGAGTTGAACTCGGCACGGACAATAGGCAGGAACAGACAGGAACAGACAGGAATAGACAGGAATAGACGGGAATAGATCCATTCATGGGTTCAACGAACCGTGGAACGGTAGAGCAATAGTCAGCGGGAAGGAGACTTGAAGTAGTCAAAAAGTAGTAAAAAAGGACCCCTGAGCCCCTCGCTTGGCCAATGGCCCCATCGGGTTCCACTGAGAGCAACGCGCACCGAATGCTCCTTCATCTTAATCGCTGCTAAACCAAACTCGGATTTAGGGTGCACGGGCTCTACTCCAGAGGTTGTTCTCCCTTTTTTCCCCTGGTTCTTCATTGTTGTCATCACATCTTGACTTGTCGGAGAGTCAACGATCTCCAGGTATGTGGATTGCGATTCCCTTATCGGTGTTGCGATGTTCATTATCACTTCACCCGCGAAGACAGAAAAAAAAAAAAAAAAACTTAAAAGGGGTCGAGAAAACTGACTATTGCACTCTCCACAATTCTAGACAATTGCTTCGCCATCACACATGCCATTCTCAACCAACTCTCGCTATCCCTGATCACCGTCCTTTTCTCCCACCAGGCGTGGTTTCTCCTAGGGAGATGACCGTCTCACCGCCAGCGTCGCCCACGGGGCCTGCCCCGCGACCCATCAGCGCGGTGATGCGCACGCCGCGCAGTAATAGTCGATTAAGTATGAGCAGCAGACAAGGTGGCAGCCGAGCCTCTGATGAAGATGGCAAGACCGCAGTCAAAGTCGGTACGTGGTTCCTTTTCCAATACATCCGGACTGGTTGTTATGCGCACACGCCGTGACACCGTCCGACAGAACATATATCTCTCTATGCCCGGATGATGGATGACCGATGGCGGCCTACTGACTTGCGCAATAGCTGTTCGAGTGCGACCACCCCTGAAGCCCACCGACCCCGGTTACGAATTAATTCCCCAGCGATTTCAACGATCCATGGTTCACGTTACGGCTTCGACCAGCTTGGCTGTGGATGTTCCTCAGGGCCGCAAACTCTTTGTTTTCGATCGCGTTTTCCCCGAGACCGTGGATCAGGACGGAATTTGGGAATACCTGAGCGACAGCGTCAATTCGTTCGTGCAAGGTTACAATGTTTCCATTCTCGCCTACGGCCAGTCCGGTGCGGGAAAATCATACACCATGGGCACAGCTGGCCCCAATGAACAGGGTCATTCCGAGGCGAACGGTGACTTTCCCCTCACATGTTTGCGACGAAGATGAACTAATCGCGATTTCTATTATCTAGGTATCATCCCCCGCGCTGCACAGGCCTTGTTCGAGAAGCTAGACGGCCCCAAACACAACCGCAACGGATCCACCTCGACCGGTCTCCGAACACCTCAGAGATATTCTATGAGTTCTGCATCTAGTTTCAACAAGCATATCGCCGAAAAGAATTGGCAAATGAAGGCGACCTATGTTGAGGTACGAATCGTCTCAAATTGCTGTGGCGGAAGATCTAACATTCTTTCTCCAGATTTATAACGAACAGCTTCGGGATTTGCTGCTTCCCGACTCCACACCCGCCAGCGATCGCGGTAGCGTCGCCATCCGCGAAGACACTAAAGGCCGCATCCTTTTGACCGGTCTGCACCAAGTCAACATCAACTCCTATGAGGACCTGGTTGGGGCTCTAAACTTTGGTTCTGCCATTCGTCAGACCGATTCCACCGCCATCAACGCCAAGTCATCTCGTTCCCATGCAGTCTTCAGCTTAAACCTCGTCCAGCGCAAATCTTCTGGCCCGGCAGCTTCTTCTCCCAAAGAAAAGCGCATGTCCATGCCTGTGGACTCGTTCTGTAACGGTGACTCATTTACCGTCGATAGCAAGCTGCACTTTGTGGATTTGGCAGGTAGCGAACGTATGAAGAACACCGGTGCTTCCGGTGAACGTGCGCGCGAGGGTATTTCTATTAATGCCGGTCTCGCGGCTCTTGGAAAAGTCATTTCACAACTATCCTCCCGCCAGTCCGGTTCTCACGTTTCTTACCGTGACTCGAGACTCACCCGTCTGCTTCAGGATTCTCTAGGCGGCAATGCCATTACATATATGATTGCTTGCGTGACCCCTGCCGAGTTCCATCTGAGTGAGACCCTCAACACTGTTCAGTACGCTCAGCGCGCCCGAGCGATCCAGAGCAAACCCCGAATCCAGCAGATCGCAGACGAAGGCGACAAGCAAGCCTTGATTGAACGACTGAAGGCCGAGGTGGCCTTCCTTCGGCAACAGATCCGCAACTCCGAAGGCTCGGAACGCCGCGACGCCTCTTCCGCTGAGCGCAATGAGCGCAAGAACGAACGCGAAATTAAGCTCCAGAACCAGCTGTTGGACGCTCAGGAGAGTTACAATGCTCTCAGTCAACGTCATACGAAGCTGATTTCGACCCTCGCCAATGACTCCGAGGCGGCCAATAGCGTGGCTGACGATGCGGCCGCTGAAGTGGGCGTGAGTTCGATTGAGCGAATGCAGCGATCAAAGTCGTTTGCAGAGTCTGTGGAGCAAGTGGTAATTGAATATGAAAAGACTATCCAAAGCCTTGAGGCTTCCCTGTCTGACACCCGCTCTTCCCTGGCCACCTCTGAAAGCACCCTTTTGGAGCGCGAGACTAAGTGCACTTATGTTGAGGCTGTCAACCAACAACTTCAGTCTCGTGTGCAGAAACTTTTGGATCGTGATGTCAGCAATGAGACTTACCTGCACGAGCTGGAGTCAAAACTTGACGGTGCCTCTACTGGCGAGGAGAAGCATGCAGCTATTGTGACCGAGCTGCGCAAGGAGCTCACCCGTGCTCGCGAGAACGAGGCGGGCTGCGAGGAATACATTTCCACATTAGAAGACCGACTTGCAGAGGCTGACCAGGATATGGAGCTGATGCAGCGCGAGGTCCTCCGTTTGGAGCATGTTATTCAGCGCCAGCGAGGCCTTGGAACTCTTGATCACCTACTCCATGACCTGGACCAGCGTCGCCAAAATGGCGAAGACTACGATGGCACCAATGGAGTCGACCCATCTTCCCCGACTCCTATCAGGCCCCCGCAGTTCCACCGACACACACCCTCTTTGAATGTCCTGAACGAAGCCACCGAGACCGCCATCCCCGAATCAGACGAAGATCTCGGAGAGCCGATCCCAGAGGAGGAAGATGAGGTTGTTGAAGCTGCCGAGAAGACCCCTGATGTACCTGGTGATGATTTGCAGGTGCTGCAGACTGTAACCAGCAAGCTTGAGGCTCGGCGCTCTCAATCTATGTATGAAGAACCGCTTCACAGCCCAGCCCAGTCCAAGTTTGTTGCCGACAAGCTTGAAACTGTTACCCAGGAGCTCTTCGATCTGCGCATGAATCACGAGACTACTCTAAACGAGTTTGAGACTCTCGAGTCCAAGTACGAAGAAGCGTTGAAGGCACTGGCCGAGCTGCGCCAGGACAAACTCGATGAAGCCCGCCACCCTGATACCCAGAGCAATGCTTCTCGGCCCGTGTCTTTTTTAGACCACGGGCTCGCTCTGAACACGAGATCTGGAGCACAACACTCATTCTCGCAGTCGCTCTCCTCGGAATTGTCCTCGGCCGGGGAATCAGCTGTATTGCGCGACTCCTCTGAAATTAAGGCAGAGACTCCTATCACCCCTGTCGCTTCCTCTACCCCGTTCCAGTCTGATGAGGACACCGAGAAGATGCGCAAAGCCCTTGCTGAGCACCAGGAAAGCGCCGATCTTATGAGACAGAAATATGCCGAACTTGAAGCTGAGCACGAGGCCATTCTTGGAATCGTCGAGAAGCTCAAGGCCGAAGCCGAGGTCCAGCGCACCAGGACTAGCTCTCCCACCACTCCTGGTTTCAAGATGATTCGCCGTATGACCAGCCAGAATCTCCTTTCTGGCGTCGACCGTGCTCACCGTTCGCTTACCGCACTACGCAATCTGGCGAACGAGGAGCTTGCCAGCCGTCCCGAAATTCTTCAGAACTTTGAGGTCCACCTCGATGCCACCATGCACGAATTGTCAACTCGCATGGAGCGTCTTCAGTCGATGGAGGCCGAGAACCAAGCTGTGAAGAAGGAGATGGAGATGAAGGCCACCATTATCTCCGGTCTCACTCGCGAACGATCTAGCATGCAAGGCACATCTTCAATGGACATGGCTATGGTGTCTCAGCTGCGTGACCAGGTCGTCGGCCAGGAGATCCAGATTAACGAGCTCCGGGCTGCCCACGAGGCCCGTGAGCATCAGCTCCTGGCTGCTATTGAGAACCTGAACAGTCTTTTGAAGAGCCAAGAGATTGCTACGAAGGCCATGGATGCTGGCGCTGAAGAGCAGGACAAGAAGATTAACGCTCTACAGGGCGAGCTTGACCAGTGGAAGAGCAAGCACCAAAGCGCTTTGGAGTCTGTGCAGACATCGGAGAAGCAACTCACCACCACCCTTATTGAACTTGAAAGTGCGCTTGCGTCTGTTGAGACCATGCGCGCAGAGCGAGCCAACTCGGGTGACGCTTCGGCCGACAAGGAAGCCGCTGCAGAGGCTCTTGAGAGTGAGCGTGCCAAGCAGCAGGAGCTCGTTGATGGCCTGAAGAAGGACATTGATGAGCACAAGACGACTATTGCCGCTCAGCTCGCAACAATTGCTGGCCTTGAGAAGTCTCATTCCGATGCTAAAGAACAGCTGTCTGCACAGCTCACTTCCAAAGAGGTTGGCAGCGACTCCGCTGACACCCACAGCGCCCACATTGCCAAACTCGAGCAGGAAATCTCGACCCACAGAACTGCTATTGACTCACACAAAACAGACTTGGGTTTGCTCCAGGACACTCACAAGCGCGAGCTGGCTGAGCTGGAGGAGCGCACTAAGGCGGCTGTCAAAGCTGAGCAGGAGTCCCGTCTTGCCGAGAAGGATGCCGAGCACGATAAGTCGATGGCTGCTTTGCAAAAGAAATTGCCGAGTCTCGCGATGAGTTGGTGAAGCTGCTTGGTGCAGTTTCAAATATTCTCAACTCGGAAGTCACTGCCGAGACGATGGCAGACCAGATCCAGGATGTTCTGGCCCAGAAGCAACACTTCTCTGAGAAGTATGCGGAGCTGATGGACACCAACGAGAGTCTGCGTAAGCATCTCGAAAGTGCCAATGTAGAGGAATTGGCAAATAAGAACTCCGTCCAGGACGCCAAGGTTAATGAGCTGGCTCTCTTGGTTGCTACCCTGGAGGATTCTCTTCGTCAAAAGGACGAGCAGGTGAAGAAGAAGGAAACCTTGGTGGAGGAGATTACCGCCGAGAAGGAGAAGAGTATCCGCTTGGTAGAGGAGCTCGAGGAGCAAATCACCAGCAGCTTCGATCAGCACCACAATCGTCTTTCTGTTATCCAGCAAGAGCGTGACCAGGCCCTCGAGGATGCGAAGGCCAGGATCATCGCCCTCGAGTCAGACATTGAGACCTACCAGATGCGAATCGAGCAGCTTGACCTTCAACTCAAGAACAGTGGCGGCCATGATGGCTCCCACGACCGCAGCAGTTCGATGACATCGAACCTCCGCAAGAGCTCATCCGCCGCATCTCTCCCCTCGCCGCCCCCGGCCATTCCCCTTCCTCCCCTCCCGACCATCGCTTCCAACGGTAGTGTGTCCCCACCCAGCTCTCGCCACGCCAGCAAGGAGCTGGTGAATGCGCAGATTGTCGAAGACCAAGAAGCTCGTATCCGCACCATTGAGAAGCACCTGTACGCCGAGAAGCAGCTGACGGCCACCCTCGAGGAGGCACTCGGCGATCTGGAGGCTCAAAGCAGTAAGGTCAAGACCGACTGCGAGTCCTGGAAGAAGAAGGCCTGGCAATTCGAGGACGAACTGTCCACTCTTCGCAAGGAGCGCAACTCCGCCCGACTGTCTCTCCAGGCTGTTGAGGAGGAGCGCAGTGCTCGTAAAGAAGCCGAGGCTGCTCGCGCCCAGCTGGAAGAGCGAATGAACGCCCTCAACAAGAAAAAGAAAAAGAGCACGCTCAACTGCTTCTAATCTTGTGTCCATTTTCTTTTCTCCATTTGCGAATCTCCCACAAAAAGCGTGTCGCTGTCGCTACCGTTTCCCCTCGATATGTACACTTTTGTCCGTTGATTTTTTCTATCTACTTGTTTCATACCCTTTTTTTTTCCTTTTCATTTACGCCCATGCAACTACCCGACACTCCTGTATTATGACATACGCTTTTAACCCTTCGTCGTCTCTTCGATACCTCTTTTGCCTTTCTCCACTTGTGCTATAGTCAACCCTTGATGAACATGTCTTTTTCTTTTCTTTTCACATATTCTTTGGTCTCATTTCTTGCCCACAGCACGAACAAACCCTGAGGACTGGTAGATTTAGAATCTCTCTTGAAATCTCCACTGTATATTTTTTGTCTCCGTTAGCTTTCTTTAGATTGGCGCAAATGTCTACACCCCGGTGGAAGTCTCTTCATTTCTATTCCCTCGCTTCATATTGAACGGCAACCTTGGAACACTTTTTCCGTCTTCCAAGTAGCGGGTCTGGTCGACCTGGAGACCTTCCTTACACGCTCAAGTATCTAAACAAACTTATTGAAATGGAATTTGATTGAACTTCAAACACGTAAGTATGCTCAAGTACATGACAAGAGGCTGGGAATTATTGCGCAAAGGCATCTTACAGCTTCCATGTCCAGGCTTTCCCGGCCGCGCCGGTGATTCTCACCCAGAGAGTTGCCATACTAGCTGCGAAGAGCAACACTCCAACTGTGATGGTTGCTCTCTCGTAGTTGAAAGGAGCAGACAGAGCCGACTGCCCGGGCAACAACAGTCCGGTCAATGGTGTTCCAACAAGCGCACCCATGCCTCGAATGAGATACAGAGCGCCGTTTACCGAAGTAAAGTGCTGGACGCCGAATAACTCAATCAGACTCGCAGGGAACAAGGCAATATAGGCACTACCAAAGCACCCATAAGCGATCGTGAACATGATAAACAAGCCGTCAGCAGAAGTTTGCGAGACAGTAGTCCCCGCAAAAGTAGCAGGCAACCAAAACGCAAAGACCACCACCGAACTCATAATCGTCGTGAAAAGCAGCACGTTCAACCTCCCAAGCTTATCCGCTGCATAACCCACAGCAATTCGCGACACAAAGTTCGACGCATTGCTAATCGTAATAAAATTATCCCCCATAGTATCACTATAACCCAACGATCGCGCAAACGCCGCATAAAAGAACAACGGCGTCGCATATCCAGCCGACTGCAAAAAACAGCCCAGCGCCTGCGCAACAAACTTCTTCGACTTGGCCACCTGCCAATTCACAAGCGGCACCTTAAGCCAACCCGTCGTCTTCGACAGCCCAGCAACCTGTCCCCGCACCTTCGCTTTGAAATTCGGCTCCCACCTTAACGCAAAGCCCGCCAACGGCACAAACAACACAACCAAACAACCCGAGATCCGCAACGCATTTCGAAATCCGATCGACGAGGTAATAGCCCTTAACACAGGCGGCCAGATCATAGCTCCGCACGCTGAGCCGGAAATCACTATCCCCATCGCTAGACCACGGCGTTTATCGAACCAGGTCGGGGCAACGGACATTGTCGGCACGTATGCCATACAAGTGCCCAGTCCGACGAGAAGACCTTGCGTCAGAACGAATTCCCACACATACTCGCTTAGACTGGCGAGGATGCAGCCAAGTCCGAAGACTACGCCGCCGACCATGATGACAGGTTGGGGACCGTAGATTTTCGCCCAGGTCATGATGAAGGGCCCGCCCATGGACATGATTGCTATGGCTAGCGTGCCGATTAAACTGATAATTGAGGATGAGGTCCCCGTGAATGGAGTGTTGGGTTCTTTGGCCATTTCTTCGTAGATGGCTTGGTATACACCGTAGGTGAATATGATGGCGCAGGTCATGAACATGGTTATGAAGCCTGCGGTGACGATCATCACCTGGCGGCTAGATTGGGGTGTTAGTTTGTGAATTATGCTTGATGGTTGATGTTTGGCGGTGGACTGAGCATCGAGTTGATTTTTCATGTCATGTTTTTGGATCTTGAACTTACAGTACTGTTGGCTTTGGGAGCTCATCTTCAGATGGTGGCGCCTGGGCGACTTCGCGTTCGCCCGCGTTACTGGCTTCAGGCCTTCTTTCTTCGTCTTTCATCTTGTCAGACTGTGAGGGTTTTGTACAAGACAGAGAAAGAATGGATTTATCTTGCCAGGGGAAGAAACCCCCACGGCGTTAACGGGGTTCTAGTCCGTTGAGTTGAGTGGATGGTCTAGGTTCTGGTTCTCCACAGCTTTTATCTGATCCAGGTGCCCCGGGTTTTCAGGGTTCAATGTTGCGAGATGTACGCGGGGGAAGCTTCTCTCATTTTCATTTTCTTTCAACTTCGGTTCAGTTGCGTCCCTTCATTTTATGCGCAGTCGGCAGTCGGAGTTGCGACAATTGGGGTAAGTTCGGCTCAGGAAATACCCACCGGCAGATATTTGTTGTGCCGGTATCCGAGAGGAATAGCAGTGATAAGACAGCCGGGGTAAAGAAAGTTCATCAACTTCTAAGCTCAATAACATCAAAGCTATGAACTATAGACCAGTAGATTAGCAAAGAACAATCGAAGGCCTCAGGTTGTACACGAACGGAGCCTCGTCATGTGATGACGTACCCCACGTGTCTTTATCGCAGTCAACAGCTTGTCGATTGTCGATTGTCGATTGTCAACTCATGCAACATGTCGGGTCTCGCGCCCTCTAATGTGGTCATTATCCACCCCGATCTGGGAATCGGTGGTGCTGAGCGTTTGATCATTGATGTCGCTCTGGCCCTGCAGAACCGCGGCCACCGTGTGACGATCTACACCTCTTACCGCGACAAAGCTCACTGCTTCGACGAGGCGCGCGATGGCACCCTCGACGTTCGTGTTCGCGGGAACACGATTTTCCCTGCTCATATATTCGGTCGCCTGCACATCCTAATGGCATCCCTGCGCCAGCTACATTTAACATGGTCGCTACTTACAGAGCTCGAGTCACGCGATGAACCAAGTCAGTTGAAGGACCAATCGGGGGATGTCCGAGATGATATCTTCATTGTTGACCAGCTGCCCGCCTGCGTACCCATCCTCAAGGCCTTTGGTCAGCCGCGAAAATCTCGAACTCAACGAACTCTCTTCTACTGCCACTTCCCCGACCAATTGCTCGCGCGCCGCAATGAAGGCGGCTCTCTCCTCCGGCTTGCGAAGCTACTATACCGATTTCCGTTTGATTGGTTTGAGGGGTGGGCGATGAGTGCGTCGGATCGTGTCGTTGCAAACTCCAATTTCTCAAAGGGCGTCGTGAAATCGGTGTTTGGGGCCGAGAAGCTCGGTGATGTGGAGGTCGTCTACCCGTGTGTCGATACAAACACTGGCCTTGGGGCACCAGAGACCAAACCCGCGGATGCGCTCTGGGGTGGAAAGAAGATCTTGCTGAGTGTCAATCGCTTCGAGCGGAAGAAGGATATGGCATTGGCGATTCGCGCTTACAATGGACTTGGCACGGAAAAGAGGCGAGGGACACGGTTGGTGATCGCTGGTAAGTGAGCGATGTGCGATGGTGGCTTCTCTATAATTTCTAATTGGAATTCTTCACAGGCGGTTACGACAACCGAGTCCAAGAAAACGTCCAATACCACCAGGAGCTCGATGATCTTGCAAAGAGCTTCGGTCTTGAGACTGCAACCGCGAAGACGGTTCTGTCGGCGCTTTCTATCCCCGATAGCATCGAAGTCCTCTTCCTCCTCTCGGTCCCAACTACCTTCAAGAACACGCTCTTGGCTCAATCCAAGCTTCTTCTTTACACTCCGATCAACGAGCATTTTGGTATCGTACCTGTCGAGGCGATGCTTGCGGGTCTTCCTGTTCTAGCGTCTAATACCGGTGGTCCATTGGAAACAATTGTCGAAGGTGAAACGGGCTGGCTCCGGGACGCACATGCAGTTGACGAGTGGACAGCCGTTATGGACAAGGTGCTCTACGGAATGAGTCAAAAAGATATTGACAGGATGGCTGCAGCCGGCAAAGAGAGAGCGGAACAGGAGTTTTCGCTCACTGCCATGGGCGACCGACTGGAGGAGGAGATCTCGACCATGTTGACAGCCGAGAGGCGTCCCTTCCACGGCTGGCAGCAAGTCCTAGCCATGCTGGCTCTTGCTGGGGCCCTCCTAGCAGTAATTGCTGCACTTTTACTTCGTGCATTGTATTCTAGCTACTACGATCAATAAAATACCCCCTCGATTACTTCTCACTTCATCCCGTCACTTTTACTTCAATTTGTAGATCCGCGATAAGAGTCACCTGACTTCGTGACGTCGCGTTCCTCTCCGCGTCGCATCGAATCCCTGCCACCTTTCACCTTGGGCAAGATGCCCGATGTCATTGACCTGATCTCGTCAGACCCGCCGCTACCAAATGAGTCGCGGTTGCAACCCCAGTTGCAGCCGGTGCGGCGGCCGTCGCGTCAGATCCCTGCGCGACCATCCAATTTGGGGCTGTTTTCGTCTGATTCATTAGACGTCTCGTTCTTCAATCACGATGATGTCTTCGACGAGCCTGCGAAAAAGCGGAGGCGCAGCAACGAGAACCCGTCGCCTCTCAGACAGACAACTACAGCACGCGAAACGGCACTGCCAGAGCGACGCCCGTCATGGCTGTTCTCCGACGATGACTTTGGCCTCCCACCTTCGAACCCCGCCGTGCTGAAACGACAAGGTGGACGCGATATAGAAGAATCAGATCCGATTGTTTTCACATCATCTGCTCCGCAGCCCGTATCCAAGCCCAAACCACCTACACCGCGGAAATCTAATCACCAGGACTACAATGTGATTGCGCTTGATGACGATGACGATGACGATGACGATAACGACCCTTTCTTAAACCCCACAGTGATGAGCAAAAGCTCGAGCAGGCCCCGGAATACACAGGACACGATAGAGGAGTTTAGTGATCCGTTTGCGCTCCCGGGATTTACAGACTTTCTTGATGTTGATGACGAGCCAGAGCCGCCAGTCTCCAATACCGTGTTTTCAAGCAAGACTGCTGAGCTGCTTTCCAATCTGAGAGCAAGCATCGCAAAACCTAAACCAAAGACCACATCTCGGTCCCAGAAGCCCAAAGCCAACACAGTGGGAGGTATGTTATTTTCTGATTTCTCGGACGGTGACGAAGTGGAGGAACCCGTAGAGCCACGACGGGCTCCAAAGAAGTCGACCAAACTTCCACCTGAAGAGAAAGAAGCCAGGGCAAGGGCACGAGCTGAAGCCAAAGTGCAAAGAGAGCTAGAACGGGAGCAGGAGAAGAAGCGAAAGCAGAAACTCAAAGAGGAGAAAGCTAAGGAGAAGCAACTGGCAGCTGATATCTCAGAGGTGAACAAGGCCAAAGTAGACAAGAAAGATTCTACTCCGGAGATGATCGTTGACATGGCTAGCTCCATGGAAGACACCAGCGTCGGCAATCAGACCATCGAGTTCATGAAACGGCTGGGAGTTGATCACAATTTCGTCTCGGGGTCGATCTCCAACGTGGTCAAATGGCGCCGGAAAAGAAACGCCAGATACAACGAGGCCGCAGGTCACTGGGAACCGTGCGCATTCTACATCCAAGAAGAAACCCATGTCTTGTGTTTGGTTACCGCACAAGACTTTGTTGATATGGTGATTCCGGCGCCGGGTGGCGAGGAACGAGAATCCTTAGAATTGCATGTCCTCCGACTCAAAAGCGCTTATCCAAATCATGCGGTTATCTACTTGATCGAAGGCCTGACTGTCTGGATGCGCAAAAACCAGAACTCTCGCAACCGGGCGTACCAGGCCGAGGTATTACGACAGTATGAACAACCTAGTACGGAGGGATCCACTACGTCTCGTGGTCGCAGCAAAAAGACAAAGAAAAAACCAGATACCACCCCACTTGTCGACGATGATACGATCGAGGACGCCCTTCTGGCCCTGCAGGTAACACACTCGTGTCTTATCCACCACAGCAGCGCGCCAGCCGAGTCGGCCGAGTGGATCAAGAACTTCACGGAGCACATTTCCACGATTCCGTACCGCCGCGAGCGTATGGAAGGCAACGACGCCGCATTTTGCATGGACGTTGGTCAAGTGAAATCTGGCGAGGACAAGCTCGATACATTCGTGAAGATGCTCCAGGAAGTGAACCGCGTCACGGCCTCAATGGCGTACGGAATCACGAACCAGTACCCCAATGTTGCCGATCTAGTCAGGGGCATGCGCATACATGGGCCCACGATGCTTGAGGATGTCAAGGTACGTGCCTTATTTGCTAACCCTGCCAATCCTCGCCCTCTTAAATTCCTTAACCGTCCCTCGATGCAGCTAACAGGGCTGGTCTAGAAATCGGCGAACAAAAATGGCGCACTTACCGACTCTCGTGTTGGCCCCGCCGCCAGTAAGCGCTTGTACAAAGTTTTTACAGGGCTGGATCCGACATCCACTGATGTTTAACGTTTGGGGTTGGGTTTGTTGGATTAACTTCATTCTTGCCATCCATGGATCTTTTTGTGCATAGCAATAGAAGCATAGCTTAAATCTGCAGTGCTCCCATGTTGACATAGAGCTCCTCCCTGTATGAGTGAGTGCCAGTCAGATTGGCACGTAATATTGTTGCCTGGTTCCTCGGTATTGAGTGTGGAGCCAAATGGCTGGGAAAACAAAATGATAGAGTGGGATTTGCCGAGAGGCCGGCAAAGCTTACCCGAAGCTTGTCTTTTCATAGGGCTGTAAGGCTGTAAAACTAGGACCTTTGTAACTTACAGTGGATCCGTGGGAAATAGTGCTGGGACTCGGCTGCAGCTTCCCATGTTCCCCGATCTGATTTTGATTTATCTCATCTTAATCATATCTGATTGCCATCAGATTTGATTGATAAAACCTTTGGAATCCGCCATTTAATTTTCAAGGATCTCTTCCTTGCAAAAATGGCATTCAAGGATTGGGGCATCAGCCCCATGCTGATGTTCTCTGTTGGCGTCTTGGTCTTGTCGGCTTTTAATTATGGCTTCAGTGACCAAGCTTTCTCCACAGGTCAGGCTATGGACTCTTTTGAGCACCAGTTTGGTTATTATGATGCGGCGAAGGACAAGTGGGCGTTGAAGCCACTTTTCAAGTCTCTCTATAATAGTTGCAAGGCTGGTGGACAGATTATTGGTTTGTACCCGTTCGTTTCATCGTTGTCTTACGCTGGTTGCTGACATTCTCTCGTGTTATGAGGTGTCTTTTTCGGTGGCTATGTGAGCAACACCTATGGACGTCGGATGTGTGTCTTTATTATGAGTATATATGCACTCGGTAGTACATCTGTCGTGGTTAGCTCTTCGACAGAAGCTCAGATTCAAATTGGCAGAGCCTTACATTGTGAGTAAACCTTGACCCATCGCTTAATTTACAATGGTCCATGATCACTAACTGGGTGGATCCTAGATATCTATCTCGGTATGCAGATGGCCGTCATTCCCACCGCTCTTAGTGAGCTCGCACCCGCCAAATTTCGTGGTGGAATGGGAGTCCTTTACTGGTTGAGCATCAAGTGCGGCGGCCTTCTCGTGACAGGCATTGCCCGCGGAACTGAAAATATCACATCCAACGCCGCATGGAGAATCCCCTTCGGTCTTATCCTCGTCATTCCCTCCATAATCTGCTGTGCAGTCTGGTTCACCGTTGAGCCGCCGAGATGGTTTCTCCTCCGCGATCGTCCGGAAGAAGCATTCCAAGCTCTCAGACGCCTCAAACCAAACATGCCCGATGAGGAGCTCCGTCAGGAGTTTGACATTCTTTCCTACAGGGTTTCTCAGCAGCTTCAGAAGCGCAGTTTCAAAGACCTGTTCACCAAGGAGAACCGCCAGCGCACTTTCGTCGTCGCTGCTTGTAACTTTTTCCAGCAAGCGACCGGTCAAGCGTTTGCGTCGCAGTACGGTACTCTCTTCGTGAAACAGCTGAACACCATCAACCCATTCAGCGTCACACTAGGTACCAATGCGGTTGATATTGGAGCAATCATCATTTCGGCCCTGCTCATTGATCAAGTCGGGCGCAGGTAAGTGCACAGATTTCCGTTTCATTTTCTGACAAATATTGATGCTAATCCAATACAGAATAATGTTTTCTGTCAGCTCGACCATGCAAACAGTCTTCCTAATGACAATGGGTGGCCTTGGAACCGCCGATTCAAGCAACATCGACGCCAAAAAGGGAATCGTGGCTATGTTGCTTCTATATAGCTTCAGTTGGTCCCTCGGATGGGCACCCCTCACCTACGTGATCGGTGCAGAGCTTCCTTCGGCGCCTTTGCGAGAGATGACGCTGCAAATCGCTTATACCCTCAAATTGGTTACTGAGTAGGTATTCACTTCCCTGATATATGAGCCAAAAACTTAACTCCATTGATAGATTTGCTGTGACTTTCTCCTACCCGTACATGGAAACTGCCGACACACCTGGCCATGTCTATTTGGGCGGTAAGCTCGGGTTTATCTACGGCTCTATCTCGTTTTTGGCTATCATCTTTGGGTTCTTGTTCATTCCTGAGACTAAGCGCATGGAATTGGAGGATATTGATAAGCAGTTTTCTGTTCCTTCGAAAGATGATCTCAAAATTGCTGAGAATCAGGCCTATGAGGAGGAGACTACCATCAGCGAGGTACCTAAATAGATAGAGGCCGAGGCCCAGAGTTGTAGTTATGCATATATGCGTTTAGACAAATTAGCCTTATTTGGATGTGCTGTAATTATTACAGCAGTATTATTATTATTACCATTGCCTGTATTAGCTGGTGGCAACATCCATCAGAGGGTGATAAATAGCCCCATTTTCATATATCGTGACTTATTCAATCCAGAAACCTGTCAAGACGCATCACAGCTTTGATTCTACGCATCTATGCAATTGAATCTAGCTTTTAGACCCGGACTCTATGCGGTTCTAAATCTAGCGGCCAAACGGCCTCAATTCGGCACCACGAGAATTGAAATTCCGGATTCTTGACTTTAGGAGGGGTGATTTACAATAAGTGCAAAAGCTATAGTTTTCCTAGCTGGCCTTCATTTGCACGTTATACGAGGGGACTCAAGCCTACTCCAGCCTATCTAAGCTTACCCTACTCGGGATTGCGGACCAAGGCTGATGAGTCTCGGCCAAAATGCAAAGCCGAACGAAGACACTTCTACGGATACCTTTATATTTGTCCTAGGTTTGAATGAAAATGAAGCTTTGAGATTACCCTCTCGATGATATTTGCCACAGGGTATATTGACCGCTTGTGAAGTAAATCGACAAACAAGTCTATAGCCACACTTACAATGAACCCCGCAAGACCGCAATGCAAGTCTTTCAAAAGATATGTACATCCCTCCAACTTGGGACCTTGGAGGTACCATTCACAAACGAAGTACGCTAAAAACAGCTTCACAGCACAACAAATCCTCTAAAATGCTCTACACTTCCCGAGTCCGCAACTTGGCGTACTTGGGAACCTCAATCTCCGTCTCCATCTCCAACCCTGAGAGACTCGGGAATCGACGGCTGAAGTTAGCCTCCCAGTCCTCCCCACTGGGCGTCGCTTGGGATGATGAGCTGGGTTCGTGGCCAGTGCCGGGTCGGGAGGTGTCTCCAGTGCCTACCCGCAGGTTCTTGGGCTTTGGAGGGGCTGCGGGGCGGCTAGCTGGGCGAGAGGTAATCGAATACCCCGTGGAGTTGGAGGCGGCGGATTGCGGGAGTGTCGCGGGAGCACTGGCTCCTTCGTGGCGGTCTGGTAGGATCGGATGCCCTTCGCGGGTGCCGTAGATGGGGCCTGGGGTGCGGGAGATGGGCACTTTCCCCGGCGTGGGAGATTCCACATCGTTTTGCTTTGCCGGCAAAGCAGATGTGTCAGTGTATTTTCCGTAGCCGGAGGCGGTCTTGGGAGGAGGCGGTGGCTTGTTTGACTCGCCGAGCAATGTTTGCATCCTGTTCTGGATGGCTCGGGACCGATCTGGGCCTGCTCTTCCACCTTCGTTGTCGGCGACCCTGCGCCGGTACTCGGCCGCGGCAGTGGCAACTCGCTTCTCCTCCTGGGAGAGTCGGCGGCGCTCTAGCTCACGGCGCATTTCGGGCGGGATATCATCGCGATCGACAACGTCCATGTCGGCATATTCGAATTGTGTAGGACTCTCGTTGGCTTCCTCATAGGCCTCGGAGTCACTGACGAGGGCCTTTTGTAGCTGTGGTTGGTCTTCAGCTGAGGGAGTCGAAGGCTTATCCGGGTTGCTGCTCTCGAAGCGGCGGAACGCCTCGCCAAATCGGCCCGCAAGGAGGTTTTTGCTTCCTGAAAATGAGAGCGAGGACAGACTGCCGCGCTTAGAGTGCTTAGCGCCACTGCTAGAGCGTTTCTCACGCTTGCGGTTGCTCTCCTCCTCTTCCTTGGCGCGAAGATAATCAAGTTCCGAGATCTTGCTCTGCTCATCTTCGCGCTCTACCTCCGTGCGCACTGTTCGCAGCGGTGCACCATCCTCATATTGGACAGACAAGTCCAGCGAAGATCGTGAGTGCTCGTTGTGCGACAAATTGTGCCGGGGTCCAGCCTGGACGGAGACAGGGCGGGCCTTTGCGATGGCGGACTTGGATCGTCCCATGGGCTCGCTCTCCAACCCAGACGGGCGTCGTAGTGTTTCCATGGAGGGGCGTGCAGAGTTTGACTGGGTTGAGAACCTATCGGATGACAAGCGCGGACTGGCCTCCGGTCTTAGTCTAGACGATGGAGGCGACGTGTCCTTGTTCCTCTCCTCCTCGGCCCATTGTTGGCTCGAAGGTCGCTGCTCATCTGATGGCGGGAATCGGTAGATCGGACGACTAGATACCTTCGGTTCTTGCAAGCGCGGAGTTTGACCAGGCGAGGTCATGGTCCCTGTGGAGATCATGGCAGGCCGCTTAGGGGTAGGTTGGTACAGCGGCACCGTTGGCTTGATGATGGTCTCTCGAGGAGTTTGTGGACGCACAGGTGAGGTTTGAGATTGCCGGGCACCCCGTCGCTCAGGCGAAGCCTGTCGGAAAGCATCATCTGCCAGGGCATTGGTAAGTCTTTGCGACAGATGCTCGTCGTCCGATTTGGGCTCCTGGGCTGGCTCGAACTCAAATTTGTCGCCTTTCTCATGCAAGATATCGAACTGGTCCAGCGACGGGAACCGCTGTGATAGCTCTTCCGCAGTCTTCTTGCGAGATTTTCCGTCCAGAGTTGCAAACGGATCACTGGCCGAGCTCTTCGTGTCGCCCCGGTACGGAGAAGGACTCGATTTAGCAGAGCTATGCGTGGATGGCTGGATTTTTCCAGGACGTCCTCGTCGCATTGGTGCAATCTCGGGGATGATTGCGGTCTCTTGCATGGGGGGCGAGAAAGTTGCTCCAGCCTTGGGAGCTTCCGTGGGCGTAGGCGGCAGCTCTTGGAATTTCCGCGCTTCAGAGACAGATCGGTTAGAGTAAATCTAGTTGAAGATCAGTAATTTGATACAGAGCATCAGAAGCATTTTAGGACGAACGTCTCGGATAGGGACTTCTTTGCCCTGCATTTTACACATTTCCTGGACCACCTCGTATATATTCGGGCGCTTCAGGGGGTTCTCTTTGAGCATTGATGCTGCGGAAACAGTCAGCCATGAACGTCTAATGGCATGCAGATTATCCACTGCACATACCAATCAGCTTCTTCAGCTGGTCCGAAAACTTGGGATATGATGGGAATTTGAAGCTAGCGTTGAGAATCGCCATCTGTCCAACTTCTTCAAATGGAGTCGTGTAGTAACATAATTTGTACAGTAGCACACCGAGTGCCCATATGTCACTCTTCTCGTCAATCGGCTGCTTGCGATACACGTCGATCATCTCCGGACTGCGGTACTGTAGAGTCGTGTGTCGCTGTACGTCATCTTCAATCAGTCGGCCTTCTGCAGCAGAAGTAGCAGCTGGACGAGGCGGAGCTGTAGAACCAAAATCACACAGCTTGTAAATAGATGTGCCTCCGGAACGCGAGATCAAGACATTCTCCACTTTCAGGTCACGATGCAGCAAGGGCGGCTTGAGATAATGCATGCAGGCCACACCCTCGGCGACATCCGAGAAGATTTTGATGATCTCAGGCTCCGTCAAACGGTTCTGAAGCCGGGTGTTCATGAAGTCAATCAGACCACCGCCCCCGCAGAACTCCATCAGCAAGAACACTTCGTATCCGCCCCCGTGCAGCTGCGACGCATGCGAATCGATGTATTTGACAATATGCCGGTGACCTTTGAGTTTCTTCATCGTTTCCACCTCGGTGCGCATGCTGGCGAGCGCCGACTTATCAGGTACGGCGACCCGCTTCAGGACCGCAGTCGGCGTGCCATTGATCGGCTGGGGCAGCCGTACGACATAGACATGGGCAAACCCACCTTCGGACAAGTATTTCTCAACCACAACACGGTGACTGCCCACCTGGACCTTGGTCCCGGGGAGGAAAGTCCCCGCGGGTGCAGTCACAGCGGCAACGGGGTTGTACGCGGGGAGGTGGCGCGGCGCGGAGGGGCCCTGGTATGCTTGAGGGGAGGATTGGAAGGAGGACATGTTGTGGGACATGCCTTGAAGGGGCAGGAGAGTTGGATCGAGGAGGTCCTGGGCTATCGACGCGGCATAGGAGTAGGGGAGGGGGGATGGATGCCTGGGAATGGGGCCGAGAGGACAGGTTGGCGGGGAGCGGAGTAGATGGGGGTAGTGCCTGACTACCGCGAAGGTAAAGCAGAAGAGAAATAAGGAAAAGCCTCCACGGAGGACAAAGGGCTCAAGGCTCAAGACAGATGGAAGAGAAGGATGGGAATCTCGAGGCGGAATACGATCCAATCACCGGGTGCGGGTCACGTTCCTGGGGATTTGTTCTTCTAAGAGCCGCTTTAGAAGTAGATGTGTGCTTTCCTCTCGCAAATCCGTCTCTACGCCGTCCTTCATCTAGTCTCTTTCAAGAACTCTCTCGAGTGGGTCGTGACTCAAGGCTTGCAAGTGCTAAGTGCCACCCTGATCATGGTCCCGCATCTCATGGCCGGATCATGGGGCATTCCGCTATACTGGCGAACATGAGGACCAACCCTCGATGCCCGTGGCTGCTTATTTATGACTAGGGACGGTTTTTATGTTATCTCTGACAACCTCACACATGACGGGCATTCTCTGGATGAAGGCATTCCCGAGTACGAACTCCGTTCGTGGCTCCTGAGTGCCCCGTTGACCTCGAAGATCACGACGGACCCACCACGCTCGAACTATCGTCCCCAACCTCTTGACCGCAATGTCAACACGGGCTCTCGTCTGCGCTACACTACACCTGGCTACTGCGGGCCGTATGCTGAATGAGCCACATTATCCCACTTTTTTGCCAATTGGCGGGGCTTCAGGTCTGAGTGACTGACTTATGGACAGCGGTCATGGGTAATGTGCAAATTCTCCGAGAGAGACCAGGGGCACCGACTATTACCAGCGCAGTCCGCAGCCTCCAGGGGAACCGACTTTGTGGTCCCCGTCCGTTCCCTGTGTCGTCATTTTCACTGCCTGAGGCCACCATCGGCTTCTTTCAGGCGAAGATACGATGACATAAGCCACTTTCCCCAAAGGGAAAAACGTAAACAAACATTTTTGCGTCGCACTTGCGAAGCATTCGGTGTAGCCAGTGTAGCCAGTGTATTCTAAAGTTGATTTTAATCAATACCCGACATCTATAGATCTCGATGATGGTTTAAACACAGACATCACCTTGGAAGGAGGGGTTGCGGGCGCAAGCAAGGTTCAGACCAGTCTGATATCCCTTGATGCTGTGCCACGGATGCCATCCTGCCCAGTAGCGATAGGGCCTACGATCGCGTGGCTGCCCAGGCATTCCAGCAATGAGCAAGCGTAAAGGAATCCAAGATCGATGAAAGGGCCCCAACGTAGCTGGGACCTATTGGACACGCTCAATGTTTGTGTGATGGCCACGTCTACTCTGCATGGAACCGCCGATCCTTAGCGGCTCCCACTTCTCCTAAACAAACTTCCCCCGAACTATCCGCCTCACTTCTTCCACATCCTCCGCGTTTCTCTGGGGTTCAGAGTCGAATTTGCTCGGTTTCTTGCATCCCCCTTATTTCGCATTTACCACTGGCCTCGTTGCTCAGCACTGATTGGCCTAGGGCCTCAGTGCATCGTCTTCTACTGAACATGATCTGGCTTTCGACTCACATTTGCGCAAACCTGTTCAACTAGGGTCTAGTCGTCTGTTCGCAGTTGGGAGGATTCGCTTGGTATAACGGGACAGGCACCTGAAGATCGATATTGGGAACTTGGGATTCCACCCACTTTCGATCCCATCGCATAAATTTATAATCATACGATCGCGCTTTAACGTCACCCTCACTTAACGATGGATGGGCCACCGCCGCCACCGCCGCCACATGGCGAGAACCCTCATACAACCGACGGCGAATACCGCAAATCCTCGGACCTACCACAGGGTAACTACGATATCTTCATCGTCCCTCCGCACTCCGCCGGCGGAGGCTTCCTCTACCTCCCCTCCCTGCAATGCAATCGAAACAGCTTTCTCGCGGGCGTCGCAAGCACACTCCTCGTCGGCCTGGTGTGGACTATAATTTCGCCGGTCGTCAGGACGTGGTATATTGCCGCCGTTTCCAATGGCAATAGCATGGGTATTGTGGTGGTAGCACTTGGAGTAGGTGTGGCCGGTTGGGCTTTTGGAATGTCGCAGTCGAATGGCTTCAAGGCTAACAATGATGGTAATGGCAATACTGGCGGGGGAAAAGGATTCGGCGGCGGACCCGGGCCTGGAGCTGGCGGTCCAAATGCCCATGGTCAGACTTCCGGTGCCAATTATGGAGGTGGGCCAGGACAACAACAATACGGGGGTGCTGGTGGTTCGGGACAGCAACAACAGCAAGGAGGAAACTTTGGCGGAGGGCAGCACCGTGGCAACCAGTATGCTGGCAACCAACACGGCTCTGATTCTCCTCGTTCCGAGCCTCCGCCAAAGCAGGATTCGAATAACCATGGACCGGATGGGGCTGAATGGGAGAAGGCGCGGGAAGAAACAAAGCGCAAGGAGGAGTTGCGTAGAAAGATGGAGGAATTCAAACGCAAGCGTGAGGCAGAAGCCAAAGAAAAGGAGAGGAAGCGCGAGCGGGAAGCAATGGAGAAAGAACTGAAGGAGCGCCGCGAGCAGCTCGAGAAAGAGATGGCTGCTGCAAGGGAGAAAGCAGAGAGAGAAGCCCGTGAAAAGGCCCAGAAGGAAGCGGCTGAAGCTCGCGCAAAGGCCGAGAAAGAGGCCGCAGAGGCTCGTGAGAAAGCCGACAAAGAAGCCGCTGAAAAGCTCGCCAAAGAGATCAAGGCTGCTACTGAAGCTAAGGCAGAGGCCGAGAGGCTTGCAGCTGAGGCAAAGGACAAAGCAGCCAAGGATGCTGCTGAGAAGGAGGCTGCAGCAAAGGCACAAGCTCAAAAGGATGCCATGGCCAAGTTCGCTGCCCTCAAAGAAGCCGCTGCGAAACGATATGCCGAGAAGAAGGCCGCAGACGCCAAGAAGGAGAAGGAGGCTGGCATCAAGCCGCCTGCCAGTGCAGCAAGCGCACCTCGGACACCCTCGCCCAAGAAACAACCGCCCTTTCCTACAGCCAGAACGGCTGTCGAGGAAGACGATGCATATTCCTTTCGGCCCTATGACCGCCCACGTCGGCCGTATGGCAATGCATCCGGGTCTGGGTCGGCATACTCTGAGTCTTCTTATGCTCCATCTCAATCCACCGCTCGCACCACGCCTCCCCCCTCACATCGGGGTGGTTATTCCACCAAGGATCCAGATAAGATTGTGATCCAGGGTGTGTACCAATTCACCAATGCTTTTAACAAGACCCCAGTCGCGCAGCTTGTCTCCGGCCAAGGAATGGTGACTGACGGGCTCGTTCTACGCATCACCACGGAAGGCCTGTTCATCGACGACGACCTCCGCGGCATCGGGCAGCGCGAATGGGACGTCAAAGCCTGGACCCTCAAGCTGGCTGAAGTTTGGTGTCCCCAGATGGGCAAAGTCCCATCCTCAAAGCAGGGCTCCGGCAATCCATTCTCCTTCCGCCGAGGCAACTCCGTGCCCACCACCGAGGAATCCGATGCCTTCCAGGCAACTTTCCTCAAGGTGTGCAAGAACACCTGTCGTCTGGCGTCTCCGGCTGCGTTTTTCCCCCGTAGCGCTGGGGCGAGTGGTGTCAGCGGCAATGGTCCTCCCCAGGCGGAGTTCCGTGGCCTCCACATCTTCCGCGCCAGTGTCCGCGACCAGGAGGGTAAGCGATACGTTTTCGTCGTGCAGGACACGGAAGCCTGGAAGGTTGCCCTTGGACTGCAACGTCTCCGAGCCGGTGCTTTGGTCCGTGCTCTCGGTGTATCGCCCTTGCCAGCCCCAGAATGCAAGACCATCCTGGGCGGGCTCGGCTATATTTGAGAAATGAGATATAAGATATATGGGAACGATCGTGCAGCGCAGAAGCAAGTATAGCTTTTTCGGACTGCACTATTCGACAATATCTTTCTTTCATGAGCGTTGTTTGCTTTTGCTGCGTTCTCGACCTCGCGATTTTATTTCTCATCAGCGGCGGAGTTTGCTGCATACTCTTCTCCTCTCGATACATTCATTCGCTTTTTTCCCCATGGCTCATAGCCCCTGAGATTCCCCCCCTTACCTACATTATGTTTATTGTTTTTTTTTATTTAAGTACAGTTGACGAGCATGTGGATGATGAGTTTGATTGGGGACGTACATAGCACACCATTACCGAAATTAGCGATGACGCTTTATACCTTGCATTCGGCTACAGGGAGGATCGAAATCAGTTTCACCACTTGTACACATAGACTCTTTCTCGAACCCCACTCTGAAACACGCTAATCTATATCTGGCTTAATCTGGTTTCAGGTGGTTGACTCGTATTGAAAGGCAGTGTCATAATGACTGAATCTGATCAATAACGTGAAATAGTATTACAATAATTACGATCATGACGTCGTCCCCCGGTAAAAATATCCGCCATTGCTCCAGTCAAGTCCTTTCCCTCGAACTGAAATTCAGTATAATAGCTTATACTGGCTAATGAAATTCAGAGAATTGGTGAATGGAATATTATTATATAAATTGTTAGATAAACATACTGTACCGAGGCATCTGCTTGATTCAGAGGTTGACATCTAGCGCCTTTGCTATTCCAGCAATGGACCAGAATGAGATAAAGTTTCTGGGTGGTTCAGGCCTAGTATCTGTTTATGCCTACCTGAACAGGTCTGTAGCAAATCTATGGCGTCGGCACTGCGACCTGAAATTTTCCAGGTAAATGCAAGATTAGCCATGCTTGTCAGCGTGTCAGGATGATCTGCGCCGAGTTTCGTCTTGCGGGTCTCCATCACCTGCACCTGAAGCTGCTCGACTTCCTCCCATCTTCCTAGGTTCATAAACGTCACTGCTAGGCTGGTCATGCTCGCTAGAGTGTCAGGGTGATCTGCGCCGAGCTTTCTCTTGCGAGTCTCCATCACCTTCACCCTAAGCTGCTCAGCCTCTTCCCACCGGCCCTGGTTGTGATATGTCGATGCCAGGTTAGCCATGCTCGTCAGCGTGTCGGGATGGTCTTCGCCGAGCTTTGTCTTGTGGGTCTGCATCACCTGCACCTGAAGCTGCTCGACTTCCTCCCATCGTCCTAGGCTCATAAAGATCACTGCTAGACTAGTCATGCTCGCTAGAGTGTCAGGGTGATCTGCGCCGAGCTTTGTCTTGCGAGTCTCCATCACTTGCACCTGAAGCTGCTCGGCCTCCTCCCGCCGGGCTTGGCTCCAGAACGTCCATGCTAGATTGGCCATAGACTTTAGCGTGTCGGGATGGTCATCACCAAGCTTCGTCTTGCGAGTCTCCATCACCTGAACCTGGAGCTTCTCAGCCTCCTCCCACCGGCGTTGGAACCAAAATGTCGATGCCAGATTGGCCATATTCTTCAGCATAGAGGGATGGTCGCCGCCGAGCCTCGTTTTACTCATCTCCATTACCTGCACCTGGAGCAGCTCAGCCTCCTGCCACCGGCCCTGGTTGCAGTATGTCAACGCCAGATTGGATATATAGGTCAGCGTGTCGGGATGGTCTTTGCCGAGCTTCATCTTGCTCGTCGTCATCAAAGGAACCTGGAGTTGTTCGGCGTCCTTCCACTGGCCTTGCTTCCAAAACGTAAACGCCAGGTTAGATATTGACTTGAGCGTGTCGGGATTGTCGTGGCCGAGTTTCGCTTTGCGAGTCTCCATCACCTGTACCTCAAGCTGCTCGGCTTCATCCCACCGGCCTTGATCACAGTACGTCAATGCCAGGTCGGCCATGCTCGTCAACGTAACGGGATGATTGTCGCCTAGCCTCGTTTTACTCATCTCCATCACCTGCACCTGGAGCAGCTCAGCCTCCTCCCACCGGCCCTGGTTGCAGTATGTCAACGCCAAATTGGATATAGAGGCCAGCGTGTCGGGATGAGCTTCGCCGAGCTTGATCTTACTCGTGTTCATTACTCGAACTTCAAGCTGCTCAGCCTCCTCCCACCGGCCTTGGTTCCTATATGTTGATGCTAGGTTGGCCATACTGGTCATCGTGAGAGGATGGTCATCGCCGACCTTAGTCTTTTGTATCTCCATCACCTGCACTTGCAGCTCTTCGGCCTCCTTCCACCGGCCCTGGCTATAGTATGTCAACGCCAAATTGGATATATTGGTCAGAGCCTCGGTATAGTCGTCACCAGGCTTCATCTTGATCGTCTTCATTACTTGTATCTGGAGTTCCTCGGCTTCCTCCCAACGACCTTGATTCCAAAATGTCAACGCCAGACTAGCCGTACTGGTCAGCGTGGAGGGATGATCTTCGCCGTACTTCATCTTCCAAATTTCCCTCGCCTGCATCTCGAGTCTCTCGGCATTTTCCCAGTGGCCTTCAAGCGACCATGCTCTCGCTAGTATCGCAGTGCTATTGAGTGTATCTTCATGCTCTTCGCCTAAGAGGCTTACTCTTTGCTTTCTTGACATTAACGCCATGTCTTTCGCGTCTGTGATGATACCGCTCTCCAACGCATACAATGCACCATTGAAAAGCAGCGCAGCCCAGTTCCGTAGAGATTCTTGTGATTTTGGTCGCTGTGACATCGCTGCTTTAACATGAGGAAAGAGTGGTCGGCATATTTCCCAGTTTTCATATTCACCGGTCGGAAACTTGTAGTAAAGGTTACCGATGAACCTCTCCTTCCATCGCTCCGTTTGACCATGACTCTTCAGCCATATATGCGTAGCCAGTTGCACTAGCCTATGCATTGTGAAGACTAAGCTGTTTTTGCTTACAGAAATGAATGAAAAATCCCTCAGCGTTGTTATATCATCTTCAAAATCGTCGAACGTATCGGGTTCAGATACCTGTTCGTCATCACTAGAGTTATTTAGAAGCTCCGACCTTGATGTATGACTGTTCCCGGACTGAGCCCGTATAAGTTCCTCTGGAATCCCTTGTCGGTCGTAAAAGCTCATGTGAGAAAGTAAATCCGCAGCCGACGGTGTTTTTTGGCAAATATGATCAAATGATATTTGCCACGTCACCAAAATAGAGTTATTTGCTTCCCAATCCCGGTAGAGGTGACCTGCCTCGGTTTTCAGAAGCTTTGTCGCTTCGCGGTCATTCTTTTGGAAGTCTCTCAGATACTGTGAGACTGAACAACGAGGTGCCCGGCTCCTAATATAGCTTGCTGCCTGTACGATCGCTAGTGGCATAAGCTCGAGCTCTTCCACTAAATGTTGACTGCTTTCAAATTCCCCTTGTTGCTCAAGCTTTCTTTCGAAAAGCTCCAGCGCCTCGGACCTTTCCATTGGTTTGACTTCGATAAGGTCCTTGGAATTGACCAGTTTCAATGCAACCTCTCGAGTCCGACTCGTGATAATCACAAAACCGTTCAACCTTCTAGGGAGGTATTCCCATAGTGGCTTTGTGGAGACGTTCATTGGGCTTTTTCTCGGGTCTCCCTGGCTAGTCGCCGGTGACTTACGAAGGAACTCATGATCATCGACATTATCAAGCATAAGAACCCATCTTCCTCTTCTCTCACCCTGGAGCCAGCTTTCGACTAGATTGAATATATTGGCTTGCGGATCCTTGCGCCCCGGTAATTTCACCTGGTCCGCTATGTCTCGGAAACTCTGCTCGAATCTGGTTGCGTTGCTCGCATGGACCCAGAGAACCCATGTTGCCGGGGATTCAGATCGGACCTGGTAGGAGTATTCGATAGCAAGTTGCGATTTCCTTCGAGTTATCAGCAATAATCAATAAACCACGTGCTTGTCTCCCTATACTCACCCAACACCGCCGAGGCCAACCAGCGCTATTCTCGACCCTGGCACTGAGCTTTTCTCATGAATCTGACTGAGCAGTGTGATGCGATTGACAAAGTCCGGATCGCGCGCGAAAGGGACGGTTGATAACGGCTTAGGTGGAGTTTCCGGTCGCTCTAGTTCGGGACACGGCGATTAGTCATAACTAGGAGCTTGTCCCGTTTCTCTAACTTACCTGGAGGCAGATGAAAGTCGATTGAACCATGATTATCTCCGACCTGGAGCCCATTATTTTTGCCACAGAACGATATCGATGTCATAGTCGAGTAAATGTGCCTCGGTTTTAGTCCATGAAAGGCTTATTGTCTGCTTCTCAGCTGGAGGCGGGGTACCTCCTCAGGTTCACCATCAGGTGACTTTCACTGCGCTAAGACACCCGAAATAGATTGGCAGCAACCCACATTGAAAATTAGCCCGAACATGTGTGGGGTGAAATTAGCATCTTCCAGGAACTGAATCGGCCCGAGCCCGAATATACAGATCAAGGTGCAGCACGCAGTAAGCAGCCAAATACAGTCGTTCTCGAAATCGGCTTGACCATTACACTCTTGATAACTCTTTTCTGGCCCCACTGCCAAGGCCCTAGCGCAGATCAATTATTGAGCAGGCCGCGTTAAGCTGAGGAACGCCGTAAGATGACCTCGTATGGTACCGTATCTTTCTTCGTAATATTACTTGACGCATATGAGAGTTCGGTAGGATTACATACCACCATCGAAAGACAGCTCCTGATGTGGTCAGGTCTGTTCTGTCGGGGAAAGAAACTCAGGTTGAGTATTTGCTTCAACTACATACAGTATGCCTCTGGGACACACAGCTGACGAATAAAGAACGAACGCGCAAGTTTTCCGTGTGTAAAATATGATGAGCCATGTTGAAGATGTGCACTTGGGGAAGCCCCAACTCGGTGAAAAGCCGGTTTGTCAACATCGTCATTGCTCTCCGGGAGGGAGGGGCTTATTCTTTGACAAGATAATGCATTTAAGTCACGTGGCACTGATCCATAAGATTAACCTCCGTGCATTTGTCTCACTCTGGTTCGGGGTCTTGCAAGATACGGACCGTTCAGCATAGCCTCACTATACAAAGAAGATTCATCCAGAGGAAATATGAAAGACTCGGCAATTGCTATTTTTAGGCAGTTCCCCACATCAATTTTTCCATCCCTATTCTCACTTCAGCGGCGCAAACGCCTCAACCTCAATCTCAATCAACATCTTCTCGAGCCCCAACCTCGGTACACTCAACGCTGTCCAAACGGGCCGGTGCGCCGGGACTCTCTCCCTTATCTTTGGCACCAAATACTGCATGGCCTCATCCATGCCCACCGCATAGCTGCGCCACAAATACACATCTTCCCAGCCCCTCAAGCCATGACTTTGCAGCACTCGATCGACGTTGGCGAACGCGAGGTCGATTTGAGACTTCATGTCGGGGGGAGGAATTGGGAGCTGTCCCAGCCGCCTTGGCCGGAGACTTTGACGATGCCCGAGGGGAGAATGACAGATTGCGAGTAGTGGTATGTCTCGCTGGCTTGTTGGCCGGGGCCGGTAGGGTCGGTGGTGTAGGTGAGGGAGGACATTTCTGGGAGGGTAAGTTGTGAGATGTGGGTTTTTTGGATGGGTTATAGAGGGAGTATACTTAATGGCTTTTATTATAGCGTTGTACAATGTCGTTGGGATATTTTCAGCTTGCTTCTTGCGATTTGTAGATGTTCAGAAGAGAACCAGAGACCAGATGAACTAGGGAGGCTTATATACATGTCAAGCGTCAGCTCTTTTTGGGGAATGCTTGTGGATTTATAATATATGGCATTATTCAGCCGACCGGCCGCTAAGACACCAGAAGGGCTAGTCACTCAACGAGCCTCTAGTGTGATATTTCATACGGGATTTTACCCATTATATGTGGTACTCCGACAATAGCTATGTTCTTAACGTAGTTGGCCATGCTTAAGCTGCATCTCTTATGTCCCTAATGGATAAACTGGAGGAAGTCGCAAAGGACAAGCGTCATGCTCTTGTTCATGTCGTACTAGCTTTACCCCTACCCTTCTGTCTGATGTCTTCGGCGGCGCGGGCGATATGGAAAGACCGGAGTTACAAATTCATGCTTATGAAGCAACTAAGGTAACGGTGACAGTGAAAGCATTCTCAGCCAAGACTATTACAAAGCAGCTACGTCGCGACGAGACGGTCACCTTGCCCACGTGTGACTGGAATGTACGCACGCGCGTGTGGTGCCTAAACAGCCCCCTAACCGGCTTCTCCATAGCAAGTAAGCAATGTGCTTGGTCCCAAGCTAAACAATTATTCAGCAAAAATGTGTTGATTAAGTTAACTTACCAAGCTTGGACAATTATTCAGCAAAGAGAGATCTGCGGTAGTGTGACGGTCGGGCGATATCGATTCCTTGGTTAAGTATGTCGCTTTCGCCATGGAAAGTGGAGGGCCAACAACGCTTTCGACTCAAGCCTAGACTGCTCAACCTCATACATCATGCCTGTCCACACTATCCTCGGCGCAACTGGTGGCGTAGGCTCGGCAATTCTGAGATGCCTTCTCTCCTCGCAGATACCCGACCTTCGTATCAACATACTGGTACGCTCGAAAAGCAAACTCCTCCAAGCTTTCCCACAACTTGAGTTAACCTCATCGGCCACCATCACTATCTTCGAAGCCCCCATCTCGAACGAAGATACCCTCAAAGCATGTATTAAGGACGCCTCAATCATATATGTCTGCGTCGCCACCAACCATGCCAGCCGTAAGGTCGACATTGCTCTTACGACGGCAGTACGTCTCGTCGCAGCTCTCGGTCGTCTTCGCAAAGACCAGGGATCCGAGTACAAGACACCAGTCGTTCTGTTCAATCGATCCTTGGCTCTGAATTCAGATGTCCAGATGCCCATCCCAGGTTTTGCGAAGAGGTTCATGGTCTTCGCAATCTGGGCCATCTACGAGGATCTTCTGAAGGCCGGTGTGCTATACGCTAGAGCCGAGAAGGATGGACTGCTCACGTGCATCACCGCGGACCCACCTGGATTGATGGATCCTAAGGGGACGAGGGCCACTGGGTATAAGCTCGTGCAGCGCGGCAAGACGACGGCATCGATGAACTATGCGGACTTTGGCATAGCTATGGTAGAACTTGGACAGCGCCGCGAAGAGTTCGGAGGTAAGATCGTCGGCGTTAGTGCAACCGGCGCAGTGCGGATCGTCATCTTCGCTAACCTCTGGATCATCTTCCTGGGCCTGAAAAGCCGACTGATTCCATTTTAAGATCGGGCAAATGGTAGGTGGTTCGGGGTTCGGTGGACGGCTGTTGTGTATAGCTTATTGGTCACGCTATAACTCCAATGGGCAGTTTAGCAAAATGCACAGTCTTCACTGTCGTCTTGCTTTTCACGTCACTTTCTTGAATAGGACTGGTACGTCCACCCAGGATCTTGTGTCAAAAACATCCACCGCCAGCCTATAGAACAGCGAGATCTTCTCCAAAGGAACCGATACCAACACCAGCGATACCAATGGATGGACAGCACTTCAAAGGACTTGAGTGAATGGCCACGAGGCGGTAGCAAAGCTTTCTAATTGATAAAGGAGCCAATATCAACATTTAGCGAAAATGATGGATTGACCGTAGGATCAAACGTTATGCTTTGTTGAACGCCATAACCGTCATGGCTAAGGAGAGAACTGGGGACTTATATTTCTGGGCCTACCGTAATGACAGGCTTATGGTGAGTGACTATTAGTTGAGGCGGACGCTATCGGCTGCCATTAAGGCTCTTGTTCGCTCGTAAACAACCGAAAACTGGTAGAGACATTTGTTTGCCGATAGTACCATTCGTCATGAGGTTGTCTGAGCCAGAGATACGTCTTAGTAGTGACGACCGGCACATACCGCACAGGATGAGAGGGAGAATCGAAGTCACCTAGCAGATCAGGATGTTACATGACGCCAGGTGGCCTTCTCCACATGATTTGCAGAGATCCACCATAGGTTTCCAAACAATTCCATTCAATTTTTGTACACGTCGTGTAATATTACGTAGCAAGGTACTGTGCCATACAGTACTAGAGCAATACTGTAGAAGACTGTTCTTTTGTGAAGCAGTTTGTTTTGGAGAGGCGTAATCAGCAGGGGTGCAGATTGCGATGCATCGTTCCATAGGTCAAACGGTTCACTTTGTTGAACGTCCTAATCATCATGGCTAATAAACGGACTGGACCTCATTTTTATGGCCCAACTGTAGCGAGAGACTTATGTTAGTGATCATTAATTGAGGCTTACGCCATGGGCTGCCGAAAAGGCTGTTATTCGCCCGCAAACAACAGAACCTGTCGGTGACAGGTTTCTGCCGATAAAATCACTCGTTTGATTGAATGAATCCTAAACTAAAGAGACACCTCACAGGAGTGATGACTGGCAAAGAGGATACGTGCCAGGTGTCCTGAGAGTAAAGTCGGGGGGACCTTTGGGGGGAGGAGGGGGCAGCAGATCAACACTAGGCCTAGCGGCTCTGTTTGACTGAGAGAGATCCACTCTGGGGTTTCCATGGAAGTCGACGGGATTCTCATGAGACCAGTGTATTATTACTCCGCTAGATACCGTATCATACCAGGTATATTTTACAACGTCCCTCAACTAAGTGTGGCTAGGGCAATGACGGATCTACACTAAGGTCTTGGCGGTGGGGCTAGAAGAGAGAGTGTGAGTGTGTACCGGTCAAGGCGATTTCGAGAACGACTGTACCCCACGTTTTGAGTGGCAGTATGGAATTATGTTTCATTGTTGCAAAACCGAATTCAACGTATGGTTTTTCAGCCTAGCAACCGCCTTTTTGAGGTCCGCAGGTTTAAGATGGCTCCCAGGCTCCCAGGAACAACGAGACTGTCAAGTCACGTGCATTTCCTAATACCTAGCATCCCCCAGGCTTTTCACCTGAATTCATTTCACCTGCTCACTGAGCAAAGGGGTGAGCAAGGGTGAGCAGATGGAGTCGCTCCCCACCCCTATCCCCTCCGCGATGGTTGACCATCACCCCTCCCAAAGCTCTCCTCCGTCAACGTCTAGATTCTGTTCGCAATATGGCGCCAAGACTCCCTCTCTCGAAGCTCGAAATGATCCAGAACATGATATCAAGCAAATCGCTGACTACCTCGCAAATGGCTAAAGCTGCTGAATGTAGTAAGCGTTCTATCATCAACATCAGCAATAACCTCCGCCGATTCGGAAATGTCAGAGCACCCCCAACTCGAGTCGGTCGACGACGAAGCATAACACCTCCGATGATAGAAGCACTATGTGATCGCCTCCTCGAAAAACCCGGGCTATACGTGGACGAGATGGCAATCTTCCTATGGGACGAGTTCCGTGTTCAGGTCACAAATTCAAGCCTTAAGCGGGCTCTTGCATCGGTAGGTTGGTCCAAAAAGGTGGCTCGACAGAGAGCGAAGGAACAGAATGCGGATCTACGAGATTCCTATATGCACTATCTATCGGACTTCAAGTCGTATCATTTAGTCTATGTGGATGAGTCTGGATGTGATAAACGGATCGGGTTTAGACGGACAGGTTGGTCTCCGTTAGGCACGGCACCATTGCAGGTAGCCAACTTTCATCGCGACCAGCGATACCAGATATTACCTGCGTATTGCCAAGATGGGATCGTCCTCTCTCGTGTTTTCCAGGGCTCCACCGACGCTGCAGTATTTGAGGACTTCATTGATCAGCTTCTGAGGCACTGTGGAAGATGGCCTGAGCCAAAGTCCGTTCTAGTCATGGACAACGCGTCTTTTCATCGCTCTGATCGTATTAACGCAATGTGCACTGCAGCAGGAGTCAAGCTAGTGTATCTGCCACCGTACTCACCCGACCTGAATCCGATCGAGGAGTATTTCTCGGAGTTGAAAGCATTCATTAGACGGAACTGGGTACGGTATGAGGAAAACTCAGAACAAGGGTTTCAACCCTTCCTCGACTGGTGTATTGAGGTTGTTGGATCTCGAAAACAAAGTGCTTTGGGTCATTTCAGACATTCTGGCGTTAATATCCAGGTTCGTAATTCAATGATAGATTAGACCAGCGACATAGGAACATCGCATATATATATTACGAATTACTAATGAAACCCACCCCTAAAGCTCTACTCACTTTCTGTCAACCGTTGTGTTCTATTTATATTCCGAAGCAGGTGTTTGGAACAAGTAATTCATCAATAAATATCGCGACTATTCTGGCCATCCTACTCCTTTAGAGTACTATCTACATACCCTCAATCGGCAAAACATTCCTCACACTTCTGACCCATTTCACCACATCTCTTACGAATTGACGGGCAATACCTACCATGATCCCTTGGTTGATAAAGAATGACGGATCTTGGTCCTCATAGATAAGCTGAAGATCGAAACCATTCGCCAGCGCGATATCGCATGCTTGACGAAACTGAGCTTTCAAATGGTCATCAGCGACATTCGCCTCATGCCATGCGCTATACTCTCTGACCGCAACATCTCGAGGTCCTGGAATATTAAACGCGTCATTGACTTGGGCCTTTGGTGACGAAGGCATTGTTGGGAAAGTGGAGGATTCAGGCGTCTCCAATTGAGAGGAAGGTTGCACCCCATTGAAATGTATATTGATGGGACAACTTCCTGGGATGCTGGACATATTCCTCTTCTTGGATTGTTGGTTCTCCAGCCGCTGCTGTTCTTCCATAAATAGTTCTTCACGAAAGATTTCCGGGACGTCTTCATGAGACTGCAGGGTGTTGCCTTTTTCCACAAATGCAATTAGACGTTTTAAATGGTGGCTCCTCAGCGCATAGTGCTTTTTCCCGTGTGGGTCTTGCCAGCAATGTGGGCCAAGATGGCACGAGGAAGAAGGATAACGCATCAGGTTGTACACAGCTCGCCAAACGGATTCTTGCCCAGATGAATTCTCTTCGGCATCCACTTGAACGTCTAGTTCGTTGAGCATCCGTTTAGTGACCGATGACCTTCCTCTTTTCTCAATCCTACCTGAGGTAGTTCTGTGGAGATTTTCATCCTCAACATATTTGAAAGTAATACTCAGCCTTAACTTCTTGTCTCGAGAAAACAGTTCACCCCACCTACGGAGTTGTTTTTCCACTGCAGTCCAATCAATGTCAAGATGATCAAATCGTTTCAGCAGGTCACGTTGGGAGCGATCATTCACCGACACAACGATCGAAGTGTCATCCGACCTAACCCCTCCTTTACCTGAGGTCTTCCCGTGTATCAATCTCTCCAACTTACCCTTCAGGGTCAAGGACCAGTAAGCACTCGGTGCCAGGGCTACGTCCTCTTCCGTGTCTCGTGAGATGACTTTCTTATTTATCGTCACTTTCCACTCTATTGTGTACTGGATGCAGCTTGCCGGAAGCTCATCACTTGAGATCCTGCTGTTCCATTCAGATAGCTGGAGTAGTCTAGGCCTAGTAGGCTCGTTTCGGGACAGTTCTTCTGGGTCATCGGAGTATTCGTTCGGTGAAGGACTAAGCGTGCATCTTGACGTGGGGGTACGACCGAAGTATCCTGGAGTGGGGGCATATTGCGAGTCCTGATCTACAGGATCGAGGTCGAGAGGATGACAATCGTTATCATTGCAATACGAGCTAGCGGTCATCGTTCGATTCAAGGCTCTGACCGATCTGACAGATCTAATGTCAGCACCATCCGATCCAGTCAAGGTCTAGTCGCTGATCAGACCTGTCACACAAAGAAGGAAAATGTAACCCACTAGTACTGTATGGCATACACCTCATTCATACAGACCCTCTGGAGTTGCGTGTTTGACAGACTAAGATCCGAATTTGGGCCTGGTAGCCAGGTTAAGGAGATCCCCCTTTTGTTTACCTTGTTTGCAGGGTTGACATTCTAGAACCCCCGAAAGCCATACAGGCGTAATACCGCATCTATTTTTGTACTGTTATTTACAATTGTACTGCAATACTGCCAAGAAACGGAGTCAGGGGTAGAGTAACTGTAATAGGCATAGTGTGTTTTGAGAGAGGGTTCGAGAAAGAATCTCCGTGTGCAAGTGGTGAAACTGATTTCGATCCATGCTGTATTCGAGAGCTTAATCTAAAATGTTTCTTTACGGCCAGACCAATGTGATAATAATAGTGCAGATAGCTGCCTATGTAGGCAGTCAGTTAGCCCCGTAAATAGTAATTATTTCCGCAATTCCTCTAAGAGCATAAGAACACCAGGATCCGATCTATGGGCCTCAGAATACTGCACCACAATCTCAGAAAAGCGATACGGTGACGCAATCTGGGCACGGTATTACATGGACGGAAATGTCATAGATGGTATAATCACTGATATTCGCGAACTCGGCGATGGCTCGTGCGGAGAGTACAGGGTCAATGTATACGATATGATCATGAAAGATGCAGACGAGTATGCGCTAGGGTGTCCAGGCATTTATCGTGAGGTTCTGGAGTTTTACAGCCATACAAGTGCGGATGATTCTCGGCAGAATATAATTGAGGGTCTTGCCAAGATGAAGGTCAGCTTGGTATGCCATCTAAAGATATGAGTAATGATTTCCACGACAAGTAAGAAACAAAAAACCACCCATTTATCATTCTTGTTCCGTGGGTGGTTTGAGGAAACTCTCGCGTCATAGTTGTGAGCATCCGTTATCATATACTGACTTATAGTCAGAGCGTTAGCAACGGTAGCTGTAAAGGATTGGCCATATCGAAGCTTGAAGAAAATAAAGGTCTATCGTATGCAATTCACGATTTGATTTTAAATTACCTCAAGCTCCCTTCCAGCTTGTTTAACCTTGACGGTTAATAGAAAAAGAGCATGCAATTTTATTCAAATGTTAGAAGAACAAACGCCAATGATGTCTGGTGTATGCCTGTCGAGTACATGGAAAAACTCAGTCCATGAAGATGCACCGCTCATTTATTCATACCCATCCAGCATTCATATAGACACATCAAGATAAAACGAAATGGAAAAGAAAAATGTAATGCCAAAAACAGGTTCTATCATATGGGAATCATCCTGCTTCCGTATACCCGTGGAAGCATCGCATATATGGAGAAGACATGGCTGGAAACAGACGAACAACGCCTTTTTGCAGTGCTGGAGCCATCGAGTCCAGATCAAAGAAATATCAGAGTACAACCAAGAGAGCGAGCGACTCCAGCATAGAGGGGTGGAAACAACTGCAAGATCGAGGCGGGTATCAGGGTGTCTTTCCCCGACAATACCTGGTCCGTGATGCTTGGCTTTCGTTGTACGCTGGCTGGCTTGGAAAAGGTGTTTGGAAGACGTGCAGATGGTGGTTTCATCTAGAAGGGGAAACCGCCGGGGAATCCCTGGGCGCCGCCGCGAGACTGGCCGCCGAAGGGGTGACCGCCGGCTGAGGCGAAGCCGCCGCCGCCGCCGCCACCGTTCATCATGTTGAACAGGACGTTCGGGTCGATGTTGATGTGTGAACCGCCCATACCGCCCATCCCTCCCATGCCTCCCATGCCTCCCATACCGCCCATGCCGCCGAAGCCACCACCACCGCCGAACATGTCAGACGGGTCCATCAGGTCGTCTCCGTTGTCGAAAGCGGCACGCTTCCTGTTGAGAGGGTTAGCAAAACATTGCCAATATCAGATAAATCGAATGCACTTACTGAGGATCGATCAGAGTCTCGTAGGCCTCGCCAACTTCCTTGAACTTCTCGTCGCCAGCCTCACCATCACGGTTCTTATCCGGGTGGTACTGGATAGCCATCTTGCGGTAGGCCTTCTTGATCTCCTGATCGCTAGCGTCCTTGCCAACCCCCAGGATCTTGTAGTAGTCCTTGCGCTGGGACTTCTTCAGCTCGAACTCAGCCTTGCGAATATCCTCCGCAATGCGCGGCTCAGATGGATTGTTCTCTGCAACGCTCTTGTAATCACGAATAGCCTCCTCCCAGTTGTCAGCGCCCGCATGCGCCTTAGCACGGGTTTTGTAGGCCTTGACATATCCGGGATCCAAACGCAGGGCTTCAGTGCAGTCCGCAATAGCCTCATCCCACTGCTTCAGGTTAGAGTGGGCTTGGGCACGGTTACCCAAGATCTTGGCATTCATGTCCTTGTTGGTGGGGTCGATCTCCAGAGCCTGGCTGTACAGTTCAATGGCGCGCTTGTAGTCCTTGGCCTTGAAGGCATTGTTACCCTCTTCCTTGGTACGGTTGAGCTTCTGAACCATGCGCAGCAGCTTGATGGCCGCCTTCATATCCGGGTCCAGCCCGAGACACATCTTCAGGAGCTTGAGCGCCTGCTCCGTCTCACCAGAGGCATAGTACGCCCGTGCACGGATCATCATCGCATCCGGGTCCTGGCTGTTCTCACGGAGCAGACCAATCGCAATGTCCTGTGCCTTGCCCAACGAGTTGCTGTTGTTCATCTTCAGCTGCGCCTCGGCGGCCAGCAGGGTCCACTTGCGCGGCTCCTTCACACCACCGCCCAGCCCTTGCCGGGCCTGGTCCAGGCAGAAAACGGCCATAGAGCCACCTCGGTCTTCGGCAATGGTCTGCTCAGCCTGTGTGATGAAGCGCTGCATCTTCTCCGCTGCAGCCCGGTCGGTCGCTGTCGCGGGGGGATCCACACGTGACAGCACATCGAGCGCCTCCTTCGGTCGGCCCAAACTCGTCAGGATCTTAGCCCAACGGTGGAAGATCTTGGGGTTTGTGGGGTCGAGGACGTGGGCACGCTCGATGTCCTCGAGCGCATTAAGGAATTGCTTGGCAGAGATGTTGGCCGCCGCGCGGTTGGACAGGTAAGCCGAACAGTTGGGGTTAATCTCAATCGCTGCAGTGAGAAGTAAGGTTTAGCGCTTGCTCTTCAACTTCTTGTGTTTCAAACTCCATATGGACACCGGAAAGGCATACCTTTGTTGTACTCCTCGATGGCGCGACGGTAGTCGCCATCCTTGAAGAATTTGTTACCGGCCAACTTGAAGTTGTCGGCCTCATCAGTCGAAGAAGAGTTGGACCGGTGGGGAGGCGGGGTAGGACTCCGTTCCTCGGTGCCGTTAACACCGTTCTTCTGCTGAGCCTCCTGAGGATCGATGTCCATGGAGCTCCGTTGGTCGTCTCGGGATGCCGCCATGGCCGACAGTCGACGGCGCAGCTCGTCGGGCGGGAGATTGAGTGGGTGGGATTCTTTCTCTTTTGAAGACTTGCCGAACCGGAAGGAGGCAGTCGGGATGGAAGTGGAGGAAGAAGACCGACTGTGGGAGAAGCGGTTCTTGGTGGGGGATTTGGAGGGAGAAGGTTTAGAAGGTTTAGAAGGTTTGGAGGGCGACTTGCGCGCGGTGGAGTAGGACGTTCGGGGTGAAGAAGCGGGACTGTCGGACTCCTTTTTCTCTTTCTCTTTTCTGTCGACTTGGGTACTTTCGGGGGTTTGTTTCTCCTTGTCCTTATCCTTTTTGAAAATGTGGGCGAGTTGGACCATTGGGGGGCGTTAGGGTTTTCCCTGGTACTGGTAATTTTTTTTCCTGGGGATCGAAGGACAGCGAAGGCGGTAGAATCTGTAGAATCACCAGAATCACCAGAATCACCGGTTCGGGGCGAAGGGGTTCAACCACGGCAAATTGTTGGAATGTATTCTGGTTTCTTCACAGAATAGCAGCCATGATCAGCATAGGTCTAGTCATCAAGCGTCATCAGGAGCAATGTCCACTGTCCGGGGTATCTCCGGGTGTGAGATGCGAGGACAAAGGGCCGAGAAAAAGATCCTAGGAAGAGATTGGACCGACCGGAGCACTTTATAACTTCTCTATTTGACTAAAAGGTTTCTTTTTTATTCGCTACTGGTGGAAACGCAGGCAATAATCCAGAGGCTGGAGAGCTGCTGGTCTGTGTTAGCGCGCGACAGAACTGGAGCAAGTCACCGAATCCTGTCAGGATGACGACTGCTCTCCAAGACAGCACTGAATCGATTCGAGAAGCTTCCTCGGCTCTGCTATCACCGAGACTTTTTACAATCGGTCTCATGTCTCTCTACTCAGAGGATGGACTCGTTAGGTGCAAAGTCCGGCGAACCTTTCGTGCAGTGGAGCGGTGGATCCAATATGCAGTTTGCTCGAATCGAACCAGACGGTGCTGAGCCGGGGTGTTTGGGCCCTAGGGAGAGGCGAGTCCCTGCGCAATAGTCCTTTGTCAGGGGAATGAATATCTGTCATCTTGATGATCTTCCGAAACATGGCCTCGTCCTCGGTTTATGTTTTGGATTCAATGTTACTACCACGGTAGGTGCGGAGGACACGCAAATATTTCTGACTGGAGCAGCTGGTCTGTGCTAGACACGAGAACTGCAGCAATGATCACAGTGTGACCAATTGCGCCAATCGTTCTCTATCAGTATGTACTCAGCTGATTTGAGACAGGTCCTGCATGTCATGTTAGGCCGAAACTCGTATCACCGATCTCGGCCCTGGGCCGATCGTGAAGCTTAACTCCGAGGGAGCTATGGTTTTTGAGGTTGATTCCATTCTCAATGTACTATCATTTTGAGCTATCACGAGGCCTGATCTATACAGATGAAGTAGAGAACGTTCAGCCGATGTTATGGCGACCGTTGGGTATGTATTTATGTGCTCACGATCAGCCAGTACCAGGCTCAGACATGATACATAAATACATAATCCTCCACCATCTCTGTGTTTTATAGGTTTTACAAACCTGGGGAATTTAGACTACGAAACGTCATCCGACAGTAAAGTTTGTCACCAAGCGGGTGCCTGCCATATTAGGATTAGCATCCGCTCTCGAGCGCCCTCTATCCGAAATGTGCGCCACGGTTCAGTCACTTAACAGTCTTCCGCCTTTCCAGAATTGTAACTATCCCGTCTCTCACACAAATTTTGAAGTAATAAAATATCTAATGGCATCAGATCGTGTCAACAAAAGATGGTCAAGCCAATCTCAGATACCCGGATCCTTCTCAAAGAAGGCCTGATGAACCCACCTAGGCGGGCGTTATAACGTCACAATACACATGACTCTCATAGCATATGGTGAGCGCAAAATACGAAGAATCAGATTTCAAGTGTCTAGAAACTAAACAGAAACACTTCTTAGATTTCGGAATTTGCTCAGGCGTTGAGAAGAAATAGCACGACACAAATGAATTACATTGACGTGCTAAAAACGCCAGGGTATAATGCCGCATGCAAGAAAAGGACTATCCAATCCCGTCGATAATCACGACCTATTACCACCCAATTCTTCAGTACTGTCAATGGCTCGTTTCGGACAGGCTATGTATTCTCACGCTCACTAGCCCTGATCCTCGAAGCCGGTCCAAATGTAAGACGCATAACATGAGTCGGACTAAAGCCGTGACTTTCATAATCAGGAGGTCTATCATGATCTTCCACTTCATCATCATGATTGTGGTGCCTCTCTGGTGTGGGACTGGTTGCATTGCGCAGTCTAGTGGGCAGACGATGAATCTGAGGTTGAGAAAAGCGCGGCGCGGATGAATCAACAACTACCCATTGTCCTCTACTCTCATGCCAGAGGAGTGAATCAAAGCTGTGTGATAGCGGGCATTGTGTCTGTCGCGGTATGATGGTACTTGTTGGTCTCGGCCGTTCGGAACCTGGTGATAGTCTGCTTTGCTGGCGCTCCTCTTCGATGTGAATTGACCTTTCTCGTCGGACTGGGGATTGAGTGAAGATGTTGTCGCTTCTTAATATAATACCACTCCTGTTCGGCTGAGGGTACGGTCTGTAGGTTATTGGTTGTTGTCGCGAGAAGGCGAGTTCTGTAGAAGCAGGTCGTGGTGGGAGAGGTCTCCAGAGAAGATCGGGGGGTGTATTGTTTGGGGCTGCATGGTCTACTCGTATCCGAGGGATTGCTGAATTGTGTGTGTTCGTGGCCCTCATGTCACTGATGGGAGGACCCTCGAGGGATGATAGATCCACGAGGGGGCGCGGTGGTCGGCGGGACCTTGGAGGATTTTGGCTGGAGCTTGCGGCTTGCTGAAACTCTAGAGGATCTGGTAGGAGTCTCCGATATGGAATATTACGTCCCCGCTGTGGTGACATTGAGAGAAGACGTATTGGCGTGGTGTCAAAAGATTGTTGGTGAAAATGAACTGATGATTGAAACCCCCGCTGTGTCGGCTCAGGCCTCCCAGATTCTGGCTGTGATGCCTGGTGTGCATTCTGGAGCTTGTGGAGGAATTTGCACAGCCGCATCTCACATGGCATGGTGAAGTAAGACCATGTAGTATCAGTAACGGAGCTAAGTCGTGGATATAATGATAGTTTTGATGAAAGTGAATGGTATTCCACAAGGACTCGTTTTTGGTGCTGAAAAAGACCTATGAAGTCTTCAACCCTTGTAAGCCGGGGAGTGCTTCTCGGTAATTGAGGCTGTCAACAATGGGGGAGTCAGTGGGTTTACTAGGAAGGAATGTCTGCTACTGTATATAGTTCAGGGGCCCAACTCGGAGAATTCCAAGGCTGTCCATCGAAGCGAGTAGCGCCTCGTGGGCCCTCTTTGGGACCCAGTACATTACTCCTTCGCAAGATGATTTGCCCTATTAGTTTCGAAGAGGACTTTTTGGGGGCCAGATTCCCAAACCTGGTAAACTTTGTACACCGCTAGGCCCATATACGGGCAGCGCGAGATTCCTGAAAAGGGTTAGCATGGCCACCGTGAACTGAAGCAGATGTTTTCTCCGTTATCTGTAGGCGATTGATATTGCAGTTGTGTTCCGTGTTAATAACGCCAGAGTCGCGCTGAAACTAAATTTGGGGGGTGGGTGGTTCGGCCCCTTCCTTCGCACCCACCGCTATCAAAGCCAGCACAAAGGAATGTGACTGCGAGTGGAGAGTGCTCAAGATAACCCCACTTGGAAGGCTCATGCTCTCGGGCTATCTACCGAGCCCGAATATCGAGCCAACCCTTGGAAGGTGGAATTACACAGCCACTGATCAGGCGGGGGCCGTTATTTTTGGTTTCGTCGATTACCACGTCGCGCGGCAAGATTCTGATCACAGGATACAAGTCCGTAAATGTGACACGGGTGTGCTTAAGGCTATATCTAACTCGTTTCATCGTGAGGGTGTGTGAGATCTGAAGGCTTAGACGTTTCGGGCTCAGGATCTTGAGGCGTGAGGTCGCTGTTCGAAAACAAACTTCCAAGAAGGGCAATCGAACAGAGTGGAGCGTAGTAGGAGTGACTTCTAGCCATGCATGCCTAGGTGTCTTCATTATCTCTAAGGCTGCTGCATAATGGAACAGAGGCAGTAGCTGAACTCGCTCCAAAGGGCTCCCGACTATGAAGTGCACGGCCCAGCTCAGTAGCCACATCCGGACTCCCAACATATATACAATCACAATATCACACTCAGCAAGCGGGCACGTTCTACACCTAAATGTTCCAAGTCTATATCAGAATTTTGCAATTAGTATGGATGAGCTTCTTTACTTCGCCAGGTAATGATGTTCCTGGAAGCACGCAAACTTTGACACCATGGTCCACATTACTCGGATCCATGGATGTAATGCGGGTCTCTAGAAATGTAGATTCTGCTTTCAAGTAAGCACATGAAACGAAGAAATTAGTTCCCAAACACCAATGTATTCAATATTGAATAAGATGACTAGCTTCGTAAATATGTGAAATGCAGCCTTATTACGAGACTCAAGGTGACCTAACATTCACTGCATTACGCTCGCCATGCTCGCCCAGCCTGCAGCGACGCCTTCTAAATGGGGCGCAATGGAACTGTAACGATGAAACAGCCACAAACATTTATATTCAGCCTCCAACAAGCAATACTAGATAATACTTAGTTCCGATACATCTATTCTCCACCAGTGTTTCAACTGGACCTTGTGTGGCACTAGCAACCGAACGAAGTAATCACATTCGAAGAGACAGTCAAGTTCAAATATAATATAGCATTGACACATCTAGTTAAAATGAAAATAGATAGCAACGTGATATGGATACATTGTCAAAAGGGTTACGGGTATTCGCTGGAAAGTAGGGAAATGGTGAAAGCTGTCATGGTTTACATTAAAGTCGTGCTTAAGCCATCAAGCGCTTCACACAACTCCGAAGCTATCCAGGAAGCCCAAGAAATGGAAAAAAAAATATGTATAGCAAAAAAACAATCAGAAAAGGATAAAGCGTATCCGATCAGAAGCAAGTAACAATATTGGTCAGGTATTACCGAACCCAAGTTAAATAACAAGAACCTTCTCTTTCCGTCCCCTTTCCATTCCTCTGCAACGGCAACATACCAACCAGGCCCTAAGGCCAGCTTAGTTGAAGACGCCCATTACGGATGGAGTCATTTAAGCCAGGAAGAAGGCGGCAGCGGCGGCGGCACCAGCGAAGGTGAGCGAGCCGGAGACGGCACCAGCACCGTTGAAGACGGGGGTGGCGGAGGGGGAAGCGGAGGCGCTACCAGCGGGACTATAGATGAATTAGCTTGGAATTCTTTTAGGCTGCAGGACAGGATTTTAACTTACGCCCAGGCCTTGGAGGAGGAGGGAGCGTGGGGAGCACCGGAGCCGGAGCCGGAGCCGACGGGGGAGGAGCCGGAGGGAACGGAGCCAGCACCACCAGCGGAGGGGGTGACAGTCTCGTACCAGGTGGAGCACGAGGTGTGGGCAACAACCGAGGGGGTCATGGCAGGGCCAACGGGGACAACACTGGTGGCGGAGGTGACAGCGGGAGCGGGGGGAGCGCTGGACCAGGCGGGAGCAGAGCTGGAGGAGACGGGCATGGCACCACCGGAGGTAGTGGGAACAGCGGTGGTCACAGCAGGGGTCTCAGTGGCAGCAGCGCCGGAGGGGACGGAGGAGGTAGCGCGGGCGGGGCAGTTGGTAACCTCGGGGCCGCAGGAAGTGATGGTGACCTCCTCAGTCTGGTAGACAGTGGTGTCGGCGGCGTTGGGCATAGCGGCAGCCAGGCCGGCGAAGAAGGCAACGGTAGCAGCGGTGAAACGCATTTTGATTGATATGAGAAGGATAACCGGAAGGTGGTTTTTAAAAGTAGTTTAAAAAAAAAAAGCGTAGCTTTTTGTAGAGAGTGAGAGTAGTTGGTTAAAGAGTGGATGACCGAGGTCGAAAGAGTGACTGATGCGAGGCAACGAAGATAGTACTTGAAGAAGGAAAGAAAAAGAGTAGCACGGGGGAGACCAGGGGCCTTTGTATGAACGGGGAGATTAGTGCTAGTCTGTCTGATCGTCCGCTCGCGTCTTCGCCCCCCTCGAGAAAAGGGGAAATCGAGCTCGATGTGCATTGCGGAGTCGACTTGTTTCGTACCAGGTACATGGAAGTCGCGGTGAATGTGCCGCTTGCACTAGGTTATCGGTACATCCTCGTACTTGTTAATTGGCCCAAGTGGGCGCGTGGGATGAGCCGTTTCGTCCGTGACCACCACTTAGCATGTAATATTACTTGCCGCTAAATGAGTTAGCGCAGGAACTGTGCCGATCGAGCGGATTCGGAAGGTGAGGTGTGAGACACGACCTTACTTGCGCCTTGCCGCGATGGTTTGATCGACTCTACGTTGGTTTTCTTACATTTCTACGATGCTAGCAGTGTAGCAGCATAGCAGTACTAGCGAGCTACGTGACCGTCTGGCCAGCATTCAAAAACCCTACGATACTACGAACCGAAACCAAATAAACAAAATAGAATGAACCAGTTCTCGGCGTTTCAGCCCGCGCTCTGCCAGCCAATCCACCGCCGATCCACTGCCCGTTCCTGACAGCGTCCGCCACTCTGTGTTTCCCCCCGTGGGTCCCCTGCACTCCACTTTACCCCTGAACAACCCGCCGATTGATTACACTTTCTGGGCACGGCTTATGTCTGTTTTTACGGGAATCCTTACTCCGGCCTTTACACTTGGAGCCGAGCACTTGTTCCCCAGGCGATACACATCGTCACTGGTGGGCTATCAATACGCGCCCCAGCGAATCGCCCTTTAGGGTGTCATTTCTATTCTCATCACCTTGACCCTCTTGACAGTGGATCCCAGTATAGAGTTTACTGTATCGTCCGCTTCATCCGAGTAGAATCTAGTCCTTGTTATGATCATTGTCGGTTCGTGTATTATTCTGCTCATTATTTGAATGTATGCTTCCATACAGTGAGGTCTGGAGCTATCCTTCAATCTTACCTGAAAAAAGTAGTGCACTTTAATATCAGAATCCGATTCGACTGTAAGCGAAACACACTCGGTCCCCGCTGCGGCGCTAGCCCTCGGTTTCAGCGCCATTCCCACCCCCTAACGGCCGGACTGTCCCATTTCATGTTGCTTGGAGGAGCTTAGCCACGGCGCGGGGGCTGGGCTTGAGCTTTGGTCCCCAGGTGCTACACCGTCATCTAACATTTCATCGGGGAAAGTGGCTCGCGCATCTCAACCTGGTGCGCGAGATTAATCTCCCCCGTGAATGTCTCGTAATAATTTACTGCTCTAATACACCGAGTGGCATGGGCGTAACAGTAACAATTCGGTATCTGTGCGCTTTGTTGATCCCCATCTCTGACCTGCAGTTCGCGAGTCTCGACCTCGGGGGACTCACTTCAAGCGGTGCTGGATCGCTAGTCTCAGCGACATGTTTGTCTCCCTGGACCAATGATGTGAACTGTGTACCTTGTCTTTAATGGTCCAAGGCTCCATGATAGGGGTCACTTCGAAGCCAGACATCAGCACGAATGGCCTCGTGGCAAGGCGCCCAGGACTCCACTCCACATTCCGTGCGACTATTGATTCTTACTTTGATCTGGTTGCTTGTTTCTTTCCTCGCTACTTCAATGAATCGGCCTTTGATTGTTGTTCTTTCTTTTTTTAGCTAGGCTTGTAATGTACCCCATATCTTTGCTGTGTTCTATAGTTAGACTTGACTTTGATTTATTTGTGGGACCCGTTCACACCGATATTGAGAAATAGGGGTATTTGCATGTTCACCTGATAGTGGTGGACCTGGATTCCGTACTTCGTACTCCGTCAAAAGTATCCCGTGTTGCAATACAGCCATTGGTCCTGTTAGGTCTATCTGAGATGGCGAGAGAAAGGGGCTCGTTCGTCCGGCCAAGTCCCTGAATCGTGTCGACTATATCGAGGGGCGCCCACCTGAGACCGCCAGCGTCTCTATTCCGTAAACCCCCCGGTCACTTGAGACATGCAAACTCAGGATCTTGTTTTTGAGGCAATCCCATTGCAGAGTGTCGGACGAGGATACTTGACCTGCGGATCAGGCATCAAGTGAAGAATCCGACGCCCTGCCGATCCATCGTCGTCCTATCTTACATATTACACTCATCGATCGAAACCGACTACCAGGGCCGTTACTTGACAACATAACGAGACCTTTCTAGTCGCGAATATACTCGTGTCGGTCGTCAGCAACATCTCTGCCCTATGCCTTGACTTTACACCTCACCGTGGCGTGGTATGCCGAGAATCGCCCAGGAATTATGGATCAGAGATCAGCGACAACGCGTCAGTCATAACCCGAACTATGTACTTTGGCGTTCCGAGAATTATTGGCGGTCGGGGGGCGAGCAAGTTAGTGATTCAACCGCGACCGCCTATGCGTCAAGTGATTTTCGTTGGACGGCAAAGCTTCTGGCAATGGGACAATCCCCTTGAAAGTAGTGAAGCGGCACTTGATGGAAGATAGGGCCCAATCTGGTACAACGCAGAGTGACTACGACTCTAAATCTCCGCTGTGTTTGTTTGGCCGTGGTGGTTATCGCAGGCATACAGTGACTATTACTGCCTCGCCGCGCAAGTCAATCCAAACAGAGACGTAGGAACGATGACGTCGATATGCCCCAATGGAGCCGACGTCTCTGCAAGGGTTTCTCTAGATTGTGGCTCTCGATCTGTGGCTGTCTGTACCGGGTTTCCAGAGGGCACTGCCCACTCGAGAGCCAAGATTAACCGACTCAAAATGCGGAACAATGGCACAGCCACAGGGGACCATGGAGAGCGCCCTTGCCGTAGCCGAATCGTATCTCACCCTGAGACACTCGAATCGAGAGGCATTAGCCACTTGAGCCCTACAGTAATTTCCAACTTTCCAGTGATCGACGCTCCATGTACTCTACGCGCTGATGACATCGTTCTCATCACGCCAACTACATGCCACAGCCACAAGGGATTACAGTACGATCAGAGTCTGATATATCACACATTGGATCGCCTCCTACAAAGCACCATGACATCTGCATGGTCCAGTCCGGGTACCTTTTGCATGTGGGGGATATTGCGCCTTGGATATGAGTTGGCAATGATGTCGACGAGCGCCACTAATATTCGGGCGACGCCTGGTTGGCGAGAGTGGAGTCTCGGAGAAGGATATTTGCGGCTCCAAGGCAACAGCATATTTCTCCGGAAATGAAGATGATGTACGCGTAGGTTGAATAGCAGGTAGGAAGTAGGAAGTAGTAGTCGTAGGTACGGAGTGTTGGACGACCTTTGAGAAAACCGAGATGAAAAGTGTGTGTGCGTGTGTGTGCGTGTGTGTGCGTGTGTCTCCCTAAGTACCTAGTACCTAGTACCTAAGGTACGACAACACATTTCAATCGCAACCGTGGTTCGCCGTGAGAATTCAGCAGGAGATTCGCGGCCAACCAGAAAATACAGGTCTCTAAGAGGGACATGAGATTAGACAGACATAACGTAGACATAAAAGAAAAGTCACGGCCAGCCTTATGGGAGCAAGTCAGTGCGATCGCCGTGTTTCAGCTGGAGCGCCTTCTGAAACAGCCCCACCATCTCGACCACCCGATCTCTCTCTCTCTCTCTCTCTCATTCTGTCCCGCTCGGCGGCTGTGTTGTCTATTAATATTCACATGAGTCTTGCTTGATCCAAATACGTCGAGGCTTAACCGTTGGCAGGTGGAACCATTACTCGAGTCACCTGCTCTTTAAGCTCCTCAATATTCAACTTCCCCCTTCCACATTCGTTTCGGGGTCACGATCTTTAGCACTCTCTTATCTGTCCAGATCGCCCTCTTAGGTGGACGAGGCCCCATCGACGCTGTGGCTACTCTCGCTGATCCTAACGAGTTGTTCCTGCCCGGGGATAGGCAGAACAATCTCGCCATGTCCTCCTCCGTTCCGCTTCTTCGACCGCCGGTCCCTGGCAATCGCAGCAACGCCGGCAGCCCTCGTGCTCCCAAACTCACCTTAGGAATCCCTCCGTCCCCCAACGCCAAGCCCGTCAATGGCAATGCTGCCACCGATGCCCCGCAGCCGCTGTCGCTGTCGCAGCCTGCGACTCAACCGCAACCACAACCTCTTCAAACCACCCGTCCTACCCCGCCCCGCCTGCAGCTCGCGACTCCCATGGGCAGCAGTCAAAATGTCCCGCAGCAGACAACCGTCAAACCCGCTGGTCGGCCGTCGTTAGGTCTGGCCACGAACGGACTCAGCGTGAATGGACAGACCGGCTCGCATGGCAAAAGCAGCGATCCGGCATCGGCGAATTCTCAATACTCTGCCCTCAACTTCGCCATGGGCCTCCGCCAGACCGGAAATGGCAATTCAGACCCTTCCTCGGCCATCGGGTCCGTGTACTCAGACCGCGATGGTGGTTCGCAATTAGAGGGGGAGAACGGCGTGAACGGACTACTCCCCGATCTTGACAAGCTGAGCCTGGAGAAGGGTCGGCCCTTGGATGTAGAGGATTTGGACGATGAGGGCTGGCATGCGGCCAGCGAACAAAAGAAGATTGACGAGTTGGGGAGTCTGGGCGAGGGCGCTGGTGGTGCCGTCACCCGATGTAAACTCAAGGATGGCAAGACCGTGTTCGCGTTGAAGGTAAGACGTTATCATGGGCTTTATGTCGAATTACGCCTGGCCAGTGTTCTCGATGAAAGCTAACAATTCACATAGATCATCACTACAGACCCGAATCCGGATGTCAAGAAGCAGATCGTCCGCGAACTCAACTTCAACAAAGACTGCGCCTCAGACCACATCTGTCGCTACTACGGCGCCTTCATGGACAAGTCAACAGGCACCATTTCTATCGCTATGGAATTCTGCGAAGGCGGAAGTCTTGACAGCATTTACAAGGAAGTCAAGAAGCTTGGTGGTCGGACTGGAGAGAAGGTCCTCGGAAAAGTTGCCGAGGGTGTGCTGAACGGCCTCACCTACCTCCACAGCCGCAAGATCATCCACCGAGGTATGTCCATTTTTCTCTGTCAGACACCGAACAAAAGCTAACTGCCATTCAGATATCAAACCTTCCAACATTCTTCTGTGCCGTGATGGCCAAGTCAAACTCTGCGATTTCGGTGTCAGCGGCGAGTTCGGCACCAAAGGCGATGCAAACACCTTCATCGGAACATCCTACTACATGGCCCCTGAACGCATCACGGGCCAATCTTACACCATCACATCCGACGTCTGGTCCCTCGGCGTGACATTGCTGGAAGTCGCTCAGCACCGTTTCCCCTTCCCCGCCGATGGGACCGAGATGCAACCCCGCGCCGGGTTAATAGATCTACTCACCTACATCGTGCGCCAGCCCATCCCTAAATTGAAGGATGAGCCTGAGAGCGGCATTCGCTGGTCGGATAATTTCAAGTACTTTATTGAGTGCTGGTATGTATGCACTAAGTCAACAATCACATGTTCATCCGCTAACCATCTTCGTTCAGTCTTGAAAAGGAACCTCCTCGACGAGCAACTCCTTGGCGGATGCAGGAACATCCCTGGATGAAGGATATGAAGAACAAGAAGGTCAACATGGCGAATTTTGTGAAGCAGGTGTGGGGATGGGAAGAGTAAAAAGGAAGCCAAAGTTCGCTCTGACCTCGTCCTTCATTTCTTCACCCGCAGAGTCCTCGAGTTTTGAGTCTGAGTGGCTGGACCCCAAGAATTGACCTGGCTGTCAACACTCAAAACGTACGACCACCCATCACGACACTTCATTTATTTCTGCTGGATTCATGTGTTGGCGCTATCCATTTGTTCATTGTCATGAGATGCCCGCCGGGCCGGAACTCGGCGTGCATCAATCATCATACCCTGTCATTGTCTGTTTCAGCGACTAAGACCTTTGTCTGGCTACTTACCCATACGATCCTTACGGCCTGATATCCCCGTTCGCATTTTTCCATACTTCATCCGATCCTTTGAGCCCGAATTCTTGCAACCCTGTCACATTCCCTCAACTCCTCTTGTGCGATTCCCACCTCATTGTCATATTTTGAGCCTGGACATATCCATTCATATTGTTTTCCCAGTTCGTGTATAGCCAATCTTTTGAGGATTTTTTGTTTTATTTTTTGGGGGGTTTGCTCCGCGCAGTGTATGCAATGCATTGGAGCCTATCCTATCCTGGCACATACCTAGGTACCTAATACCAGCACAGCTGTCTAGTGTCTGCTTCGCTTGTAGATATAACCTGTTTTCGTAAGCATAGAGGTAAGAGAAACTGATAGGAAGAAAAGCATGTCAAAGTAGAATTGTTGCTAATATAGTCATCGCTTGCATGATACACATATATACTCCCTTTCCACCATTCGAACTATCGATTCACCGGCTCAGCACCCAGAACCCACCCAAGTCCACTCGCCAACCCACCGGTCACCATATTGCTAACCATATCTCTCTTCCTGACTCTTCCCTCCCCCTCGGGCGAAAGTGGCCGTTCATCACCACCAGAATCACCCTGTCCAGCCGCCGCAGCGCGCAACGGGAACGCATTCTTATGCAGCGCCATAGCCGCGCCCCCGCGCAACCTCAAACAACCCCATTGGCGCCTCATGCGAATGCGAATTTGCGGCACGGGCGCGAGCCCGCCTAGCTACGCGCTGCTGCTCCGTGTCAAAGGCGTCGCGCTCCGAATCAGACGGGCCGAACCCGCCTGGTACACTGGAGAGGGTATCACCCTTTGTATCCCAGGCGTCTTCTTCTGATAGTTCGCGAGCGCGCAGGGAAGTCATTTCTTCGTCGCATCGGCGCCAGGCGCCTAGGATTTCGGGAAGAGGGTCGGGGGATGGGACTAGGACCAGGGCTAGGGAGAGGAGTTCCATTCGCTGGGAGAGGTGGCTGATTTGGGATTGGAGAGAGGTGGAGGGGTTTGGTGTTGTTGAGCGATAGCGGCCTGCATTGTAGACTGCGCGCCAGGAGATGTCATCTGGGACGCTTGGGGTGTTGAGGAGTGGGGATGAGGTTGATAGGAGAGAGGGTGGTGTGAGACGGGTGAGAATGTAGGAGTAGGCTGTGCCGAAGTCGTTGGAGTTTAGAGCGGATGATATGGCGAGGGATGTGATGCGGCGCTCCGCTGTGACGAGGGCGTCTTGTTCGGTGAGGGACTCTGGTGTTTGGGGGGAGGGTTCGTTGGGGGCTGGCTTTGTGGATAGGCCGGCGAGAACTAGGTTGCGGCCGATTGAGAGGAGGTCATCTAATTTGGTGTAGCTTTTGGCGTTCTGGTCTAAGACTTTCTCGACAAGAGACAGGGGGTCGTGGTGCACGCGGATGCTAACTGGTTGGAACGGGACGCCGTGTTGGAGGGTTAATGCGTAGAATGACAGTGCATGTGTGGCGGCTATGAGTGAGTTGGTCTGTTTGAGGGAGACAGAGTCCGGGAAGTGCGGTTGGAAAGCTTGCAGGCTTCAGGACCGTTAGTTATCGAATCAAACATTTGTTTGGGCTAAAACTCACATATCACAAGCTCTCTTCATCCCACCGCGAGTCCGATTGCCATTGCTAGCATTGTCGTAGGCCGCAAAGATAGCCTCGACAACCGCATCTTCTACCTGCTTCCTACTTAAGGGAGACGGCTCTGACTGACTGTATATATCCACAGCAAGTTGGTATTCTGGGTAGAGTTAGCGTTGGGCACAATCCATGAGAGCTTGGTGTCTAACCTCGAGCGACGAGTAGAGCTTTCAAGATCTCTGTCTCAATTGCGTCTTTCGAGATTCTCCAGAAAAGTCCATGGTGGGTCGATATTTCATCCCAGCCATTGTCGGAATGCTCCGCTTGCCAATCGCGAAGCCAAAGCAGTTGTTCCCGTACTTCCTGCCACTGCTCTTTAGACCGAGGTTGCTTAACAATAGAGGCCACCAAGTTATTCAGTTCCACCATTTGCATCTCTTCCGTGCTATGCAAGCACATGTTTGCCACGAGTCGGCATGGAACAAGATGGCCAAGATTGGTCAATATGCGAAGAGAAAGAAGAACAGCGCTCAAAAAAGAAACCGAAGATGGCGAGGGCTGTGTCAGGGGATTATCTCGAGCGAGAAGAGAGTTCTGAAGTAGGGAGACCCGGGTTGTTGAGGAGATCAAGTTGGCATCATAGTCCACCGATGGAAGCGGTGACTCGGGCGAATCAAGGTATGAACAATCATCAAGGGTAAGTAACATGGCAACTCGATCCAGCACTTGGCATGACCTCTCGATTGCCGCTTTTGATGAGTCCGCATGAGCATAAACCACAGCTAGGCCCGACTGGCAGTAGCGTGATAGCAATTCCTTTGCCTGGTCGGACGATGCCTTCTTGTCTGTCTCTTCGTATCCTCCCAGATCCGTGTCTTCGGGGCCATTCCAGTTGTTAAAAGCATTCACAACACTCTGATGGTCCACAAGACTCCGTGACAAAAGCCATTCGTTCACGTATTCCCATCCGGCCATTTCAGTGGGATCCGGTTTTGGCGTGCCTTGGATGTAAGAGATCGAGTTCTGTCGCGCCGTTTCGTTGAGTCTCCTTCGCTTGGACCGGTTGCTTCCATAGAGCCAAGGGCCAATTAGCCCTCTCAGGTTGTTGACCAAATCCATGTTGCTTCTTTCAGAATCACCAATAGACAAGAGAACGTTAACAGCTGCCTGATCACCCATCAACTCCAGGGTATTCAGCGATATTGTCTCGTCCCGGTTCGGGTAATATTCGTAATTAAGTCGGAGCGCAGGCAGTAGGCTTGAGATTAACCATGTTCGAATGACCGGGAATTGTTGGTAGAAGGGAAGGACCAGCTCCAGAATGAGAGGTTGGAGAGAAGTTTCGACGTCTATAAGGTGTGCTCGGTGAATGAGGAATTGAGTCAGGGCATCTGATGCCTCCACTTCTTCTTCCTCGCCGTCGCGCCGCAGTGGCTGTAAACGGAGCTTGCGCACACGTTTCCTCGCTGCCGCCTCGGATAGGTCTCTAACCGCAGAGGTATCAATGTCTCGGTCCGAGGGCACGAGAGAGGAGCCACTAAGAAGCTCCTGGAGCACTGGAACGTATATAGAGGGTTCGGCGCTCTCGGGCAGGAATGTCAAGATGATGCGTAGGAGTCGTTCGAGCGGAAAACAATGGGGGTATCGCGCATGCAGAGCAGGCAAGTCGGTCACTTCGCCGCTTGCACATAGACGGGTTGCTAAAAGAATCGCATGAGCATCCGATAGCCTTTCCAGAGGCGCCATGGCGGTCGAGCGGAGGAAAGGAAGGTTGTAAGGTGTCCTCATACTAGCGACGTCAACCCAAGTCGCATACGGCGGGGCGCACGGACCAGGTCGGAAACGAAAGGGAATGCGTAGCATCCGCCGGCAACCTCACCACTTTCTTGCTGCCTCTCAGCTCACCACTCTGCCAATTCCTCTCTCTGTTCCTCGACAATGGCTTCCGGTTTCGGTCTCAAGGGCGGTACGTGTCTCCCTACCACCTTTCCCGCGGCGTTGGCCTGGTCCGCGGGGTGTCACCTGCCGGGTCACATCTTGCGCAGACCAGTCCCTTTCCCCACGATCGTCCCCCGTCTGATTTACTGACTTGTTTGGGCTCTTTCCAGGCCCCGGCCGCTGCTATCCCTTTTGGCAGGAGGTTCTTGGGTGTTATGCGGTGAACGCTGGCGAGGGCGAGACCGGCAAGAAGCAGTGCACCCCGGCTCTTGAAGATTACTACGAGTGCCTCCACCACCGCAAAGAGGTATGTTATTGGTCGTGGTCTGACTTTGATTTGAAAGACTCTGAGAGAAATATCTGACACTGGGACTCGGAACATAGGCTCTCCGCACGATGAAGATGCAAGCCGCCTACCGCAAGGCCGAGGCTGCTCACCCCCGTGAGAACGAACCCAAGGCCGAGCAGATCCGCAGCCTGGGCCTGCTTGGAAAGGAGGAGGAAGCTGCCGCCGTTCTGACCCAGCTCGGGCAACAATGAAAGACGACGTGGGAATAAATCCAGAGCGCGGTGTTTCTTTTTGTTTCAATACGTGTGATCCTTGTGTCTGCCCCGGCCCATTCTTCCGGGAGCCTGTGACTGTATAGAAACGCTCAGTTTGTTGGCCTTGAGGCCTTGTCTTTGAAAATGATACTCCAGATACATGACAAGTTGTTGCAATGCTATCGGGCATTGAGCTACCGACTTAGTAGGGCACCCCATTACTGAGAGAAGGACCTAGTAAATTGGATTCGACCTCGAAGCCCTTCTAGGTCGATTAATGACTGAGATTATTCAGGTGCTCTTCTCACCGTGTCGCCTGGTAGTTTCGATATTGACATTCCATAGTTCATCTCACATGCAAAATTAATCGGTAGCATCCATCAATCGGTTGATTGCTTGGTGATTCTTTGTTTGAGTTCTCTGAGTATATTGTATATTGCAGACATTACTTCCCATCGTTCATAGTCTTTCGATCTTCATAGTATCCCAAGTAAGTTGTGAAAGTGACAAGGATTCTGTAGATATATATTCGCGTGACCACTGAGGGACGATTAGATGTGGATATATAGTTCCCGCCAATTTGCAATGGAGACCCATCCATTGGTGAATGTGATATTTCTTTTTCCATCCCACTTCCGGATGACATTGAAAGAGAATATCAAAAATGAAGTGAAGACGAGGCTATCTGCGGCTATTATTGACTACATACTCGGCGATCCCTTATGATCACCGTCAGAATCCTTGACTCTGATGAGGCCATCTGGCATGTCTTGGCGCTACTCCTGACTAGACTCTGAAGAGCATCAAACCCAGACCACTCTTTAACAAGACCGGTCACTACACAGGACAGACCAAAGGACGGGGTTCGTATCAATTCACAATCCAGACTCTAGACTCCTTACAGGTCAGTGCCCCCGACTCACCAGATCTGGAAACGCGTAGTTCACGTGATCTGAAAAGCCCGCGAGTGGAGGCCCAAGCCCGCTAAGCCATATGCGGGCTAGCGCCACACACCCAAACATGGGCCGGCGCGCCGGGCAGAAGCCCCCAATGATATAAACCCGGCTGCGTGACCTCGAATCTGCTCTTGTGTACTGAATCTAATCCTCTTCTGCTGACTCAGCCTCGGATCCTCTCTCGGTGGTGTTGGGCGTTTTTCAATTTCGGACCGGCATTCCTCGAGTCGCTCTCAGTGACACGAATGCTCGCGTCCCTTTCTTCCCTTTTTTTCCTGTTTTCTCACCTAATTTAGGCGGTGCTGTTCACTCGGCATCAGAGTGACGGCCCGCCATGACCTCCCGGTAAGTCCCATCGCCCAATCATCACGCGTCTGTCACGTGAAACTGACCCAATTTCTAGCCTCGACCGATTGGTCACGTGAGTAATATAGATCGGCTTTCTCCCTATCATCGTACTAATATCGATGGCAGATTACTCGAGACTGGCAGTACTCAATTAATTCGAAACACTGCTGCTCAACAACTAGGAGATGTGCAAAAGCAGCATCCAGATGAGCTCTTCAACCTGCTGGGCCGGATTCTCCCCTATCTCCGGTCAAAATCATGGGATACTAGAACTGCCGCCGCCCGGGCCATTGGCTTGATCGTCTCCAATGCTGATGTATATGACCCAAATGAAGATGATGGTCTGCAGATCAAATCGGCCGCAGATGAAGATGAAGTGGAGATCAAGTCCGAGATCAAATCGGAAGATCACACCCCGGCAGCCGATGGGTTCCTCCAACTGGACACGCTAGACATCGCCTCCATCCTGAAATACGGCAAACGACTTCTCGGTAGTGCCGGAAAAGAGTATGAATACTCGCTGGCTTCGATGGACCCAGCAGCACGCCTCCAGCACCAGAAGAAGACTCTGATGGGCCGACTAGGCCTAGCTGGCCAGTATGTGGAAGAGGAACCGATTGATGTCAAGGAGCCGACTCCCAAGCCCGAGACACCAGCTCCAAAGAAGGAAGCTCCCGCTGCGGCAATCTCCCGCGAAAACACCTTACAGGATCTGGCAGCTCAGCGGCCATCTTCGCCTGGCGATACCGCAAAGGATGAATCGGGTTTGAGCAAACGCCAATTGAACCAGCTCAAGCGGAAGAACAAGCAAAATGCGAAGATGGGCGCCAACAAAGTCCGCGTGGTAGACCTGTCTTCACGACGAACATCGGAGAACGTCACCACTCCTGTGGCCACCCCTCATCCTGTCAAAGCCGAGAATGGCGACGAAAAGAATGGCGACTCCAAGCCTGATTATTTCTCGCTTGAGCCATCCGCGGAAGATGATGACTCCAAGCTTGTCACAGAATTCAAGGGACCCATCGCACCCGAAAAGCCCATCATTCAACCCGAAATCGTCGACCAAGGCTCCGGATGGCCTCTAGAATGCATGTGCGAATTTCTGACAATGGACATCTTCGATTCAAACTGGGAGGTCCGACACGGTGCAGCGATGGCTCTTCGTGAGGTGGTTAGGGTTCAGGGTGCGGCAGCTGGTCGAGTCGAAGGTAAAAGCCGAGAGGAAAACGACTGCCTCAATCGCCACTGGCTGAATGACCTGGCTTGCAGGTTACTTTCTGTTCTCATGCTGGACCGTTTTGGTGACTACATTTCGGACAATGTTGTTGCCCCAATTCGAGAGACCGTCGGCCAGACCCTGGGTGCCCTTTTATCTCATTTGTCGCCCAAGGCCGTACGCCAAGTATACCGATGCCTTTATCGGATCATCATGCAGACTGACCTTGGTCTTGAACGACCAGTATGGGAAGTCTGCCATGGCGGTATGATCGGTCTACGGTACTTAGTTGCAGTACGAAAAGATCTACTGGTCAAAGACTCCGGCATGATGGATGGTGTTCTCGAGGCTGTGATGAAGGGCCTGGCAGACTTCGACGACGATGTGCGGGCTGTGAGCGCCGCAACTCTTGTCCCGATCGCGGAAGAGTTTGTGACATCACGGACTGCCACTCTTGGTCCGCTCATGAACATTGTTTGGGATTGTCTATCCAATCTGCAAGACGATCTTAGCGCCAGTACCGGATCCGTCATGGATCTCCTAGCCAAGTTGTGTACCTTCAACCAAGTGTTGGACGCAATGAAGGCAAACGCCGCGGATGACCCTGAAGCTTCATTCGGCAAATTGGTTCCTCGCCTATATCCTTTCCTGCGACACACCATTACCAGCGTTCGCTCTGCGGTCCTCCGTGCTCTCATGACCTTCTTGAAGCTGGAGGGAGAGGGAAGTACAGACTGGGTGGATGGCAAGGCTCTTCGTTTGATCTTTCAGAATCTGCTGGTAGAGCGTAATGAGGGTGTTCTTAAGCTTTCTCTCCAAGTATGGTCTGAACTGCTGAAGGCAATTGACAACCGTGGTGCTTTTACCTCAGACCAAGAACTTCCAAGCGCTGTTCAGCCTCTTATCACTCTAACACTGGGCGCGTTTGGTGTCCCCCGTTTCCCTATTCCCATGAACGCTACGCTCTTTATCAAACCTTCTGGCGTACCATTCGCCACCACTCCTGTCCCACCTCCTGCCAAATCATCACCACCAGCTCCCACTCCCGGCGGTGCCGAAGCCTCCAAACCCGGTCGCAGACGCAAGTCGGAGAAAAAGGAAGCACCGACGCTGCCTTCAGCTCACAATGTTGATGGACACATGTTGTCGGGAGACATCGATCTCGTCGGTGCAGACACTATGCTAAGATCCAAGATTTATGCTTCAAAGGCGCTGGGCGAGTTGCTGAGTGTGTGGGATAAGCACGGTCTTCAAAGTTTCTGGCCAGAGATTTTGGATGGCCTCAATCTCCCAGCTTCAACATCTCAGCTTGCCTCAGCCATGGTCATGGAAGAGTATGCTCGTCTTTCTGGACCAGAGAGCAAGCACACTTCTTCCCTATGCGAAAAGCTTTGCCCAATCGTCGAAGGCGAACGTCCGTCATGGTACTCGGATATTTCGTGCTATCTAGCAGTTGCGCGCGCGCAGTGCCACTCGCTGCTTAATACTTTCCGGGACCACGCGCATGTTCCACCATCTAGACTACCAACACTGGCCGTCGTTGTCCAGGGCGATGCTGAGGCGGGGCCGAACGCATTCTGTCTGGCAGATGCCGAGAAGATCGTTGGTCCCGATTTTGATCGCCTAAAGAAGAACCTGACCCCAGCGCAGCGTATCACTGCCACCCAGGTTCTGAACGACACGCGTGCCACGGCGCAATCTGCTGTTAACGAGGCAAACCTGATCAGAGAACAGCGGGACATGCGCGTTGTGGCAGCCGCTGCTGGTGCACTCGTCGCCCTGCGGGATATTCCCAAGCGACCTGGTCACATTATCAAGGGCATGATGGACAGCGTTAAGAAAGAGGAGAACTTTGAGCTCCAGCAACGTTCCGCAACAGCGGTTGCAAGCCTCATTGAGCACTACACAGCGGCCACCAAACGTGGACCAGTTGATAAGATTATTAGCAACTTGGTCAAATATTGCTGTGTGGATACATCCGAGACACCTGAATTCCCCCACAATGCTCAACTGGAGCAATCCATCTTGTCACTTCGGAAGGAGGAAGACCGACGAGACCACCCAGATGCTGCCAAGTTCGAGCGGGAGGCTAAAGAGGCCAGGATCATGCGCCGTGGTGCAAAGGATGCACTGGAACAGTTGGCCGTAAAGTTCGGTGCCGACCTCCTGGAGAAGGTGCCCAACCTTGCATCAGTGGTCGAGCAACCGCTGAAGACTGCCCTTGAGGGTGATTTGCCTGAGGATATCACCAACTCAGAGAACGAGCTTGGCCAGGAAATCGTCGATGGGCTGTCTACATTACGGGCTCTTCTTCCCAAGTTCGACCCCGGTCTGTATTCTTGGGTTGTCGGTCTCATGCCAATTATCGCGAGAGCTCTGCAATGTCGTCTTTCGGTGATTCGCTACGCCGCCGCAAAGTGCTTCGCTACCATCTGCAGCGTTATTACCGTGGATGGCATGACAATGTTGGTGGAGAAAGTGTTGCCGACGATCAATCACCAGTTGGATGTTCACCACCGACAAGGTGCTATCGAGTGCATTTACCATCTTATACATGTGATGGAAGATGGAATTCTACCCTATGTCATCTTCCTCGTTGTTCCCGTACTGGGTCGCATGAGTGACTCCGACAATGATGTCCGTCTCCTGGCAACTACCTCATTTGCAACCCTCGTCAAGTTGGTGCCTCTCGAGGCCGGTATTCCAGACCCCCCTGGTTTCTCTGAGGAGCTGCTCAAGGGCCGTGACCGAGAGAGGAAGTTCATGGCCCAGATGCTGGATGCACGCAAGGTGGAGGCATTTGAAATCCCAGTCGCCATCAAGGCTGAGCTTCGACCTTACCAGCAAGATGGTGTTAACTGGCTCGCCTTCCTTAACCGGTATAATCTCCACGGTATTCTTTGCGACGACATGGGCCTTGGAAAGACTCTTCAGACCATTTGCATTGTCGCCAGTGATCACCACATTCGAGCGGAGGAGTTTGCCAAAAGTCAAGCTCCGGATTCTCGCAAGCTTCCGTCCTTGATTATCTGCCCGCCCTCGCTCTCTGGACATTGGCAGCAAGAAGTCAAGCAATATGCTCCATTCCTCAAGTGCATTGCCTACGTCGGTCCTCCGGCGGAACGAGCAAGGCTCCAGGCCCAAATTGCCTCGTCAGATATTGTCGTCACATCCTACGACGTCTGCCGCAACGACAATGATGTCGTCAACCCGATCAACTGGAACTACTGTGTTCTTGACGAAGGTCATCTGATCAAAAACCCCAAGGCAAAGATCACGACTTCAGTCAAGAGGCTGCTCAGTAACCACCGCTTGATCCTTTCTGGCACACCTATTCAGAATAATGTTCTTGAGCTCTGGTCTCTGTTTGACTTCTTGATGCCTGGTTTCCTGGGTACCGAGAAGGTCTTCCTGGACCGTTTCGCCAAGCCTATCGCAGCCAGTCGCTTTAGCAAATCCTCGTCCAAGGAACAGGAGGCTGGTGCTTTGGCCATTGAAGCCTTGCACAAACAGGTGCTGCCATTCTTGCTCCGTCGTCTGAAGGAAGAGGTGTTGAACGACTTGCCTCCGAAGATTATCCAGAACTACTACTGCGACCCAAGTGACTTGCAGAAGAAACTCTTCGAAGACTTTACTAAGAAGGAACAAAAAGAGTTGCAAGACAAGGTGGGCAGTGGAGAGCGTTCCGACAAGGAGCACATCTTCCAAGCTCTGCAGTACATGCGTCGTCTGTGCAACTCGCCTGCACTGGTTGTCAAAGAAGGCCATAAGCAGTACAACGAAGTTCAGACCTTCTTGACTAACAAGCGCTCGAATATCAGGGATGTCTCACACGCTCCCAAGCTTACTGCCCTCCGTGACCTTCTCGTCGACTGCGGCATTGGCCTTGATCACTCAGCCGAGGGCGAGCTGGATACAGGTGCCAGCTACGTCAGCCCACACCGTGCTCTTGTCTTTTGTCAAATGAAGGAGATGCTGGATATTGTTCAGAATGACGTGCTTAAGAAGCTACTTCCATCCGTCCAATACTTGCGCCTTGATGGTGGTGTCGAGGCTACTAAGCGTCAAGACATTGTCAATCGTTTCAACACCGATCCCAGTTATGATGTGCTCCTTCTGACCACTAGCGTTGGTGGATTGGGTCTCAATTTGACTGGAGCCGATACCGTCATCTTCGTCGAGCATGACTGGAACCCGCAGAAGGATATCCAGGCCATGGATCGCGCTCATCGTATCGGTCAGAAGAAGGTCGTTAACGTGTACCGCCTGATCACGAGAGGTACCCTGGAGGAGAAGATCTTGAAGTAAGTCCTACCTAAACCGTACTAAGTATCATTTCACAATCGCTAACAAGGATCTCTTTACAGCCTACAACGATTCAAGATAGACGTCGCCTCAACAGTAGTCAATCAACAAAACGCTGGCCTAGGCACAATGGATACAGACCAGTTACTAGACCTCTTCAGTCTCAGCGAAACAGCAGAAACGGCCGAGAAACCTGGCGAACAAGCCGGCAACGAAGTCGACATGGTTGACATAGACGGCGAAGTCAAGGAGAAGGGCAAGAAGGGCTGGCTCGACGACTTAGGCGAACTTTGGGACGACCGCCAGTACCAGGAGGAATACAACCTGGATTCATTCCTGGAGACGATGAAAGGTTGATCCCGTCTACCTAAGTCAACTTCCGGATGTATCATGAAGTCTCTTCGCTCTCCTCGAAACCCTCATTTCTCATTCCTACTCTCGCATCTACCTACCCTCCTTCCTCCCCATGATCGTCACGTTTCACGTGCTATGCTTCTTCGATTCCCTCCCCAGGAAGGAAAAAGAAATTACTTCGTGCATCAGCGACTAATACTTGATTTTCTTCATCTTCCACGGCTCTTACAATGGGTGGTTATCTGGTTTTTTTCCCGTGTTTGTTTTTTTATCCCTTTTTCTTCGACCCCTTCATGTATTTCTAGCTTGACTTTACCCATGACGTACGATATTGCATGTAAATAGAGAAAGAAACGCTTCTCAAGTTTTCATTATGGTATTTACCCCGTAGTCGATCGCTCTTGACAATCAGAAGCATCTTCATGGTCAACATGGGAGGGGCTAATCTCAAGAGAACATTAGAATAGAGTATGATGCCACTTATTCACTAAAGATAGCCTGTGTCTATGCGTACAATTCCTACTGAGGACTAGGAAATAGAATAGTAGATATTCTTGAGTCATTAGTTCATAAGATAGGCCTAGAAAAGCAGCCAAGCCGCGAAGAGCCACTTCCTGCATCCACTCCAGCCCCTTGTTGACATTGAATCAAGCAACACGCACAGAAGTCTCGAGCGAGGGACAAAGAGACCATTAAAGAGCATGACGAAGGCAATAGCCACCGCAAGCAGCAGGCAAAGGCTCCAAAGCAAATAACCCAGATAAACACCGCAATCGCGCCCCGATGAAAAGAACTTGTTGATGCATCCCAGGCGCCAATGAAACCCACCCGACAGTCCGGAGAGCATAGGAAAAACATGTCAAATTGAAAGGTGAGGAAAAGATCAGACATCGAGAAAAGAAAAAGAAGGGCCGTCGAATGAGGACTTGAGAAACAAATTATAGGTACACATGAAAGAAGAGAAGGCAAACCGGTCCCGTTGCAAGGTAGTCAGCCGCGGGAAAATTGAAATGGAAAGGAGAATGATAAAAGCGAAATGTAAGAATCGAGATCAATATACTCACTGAAGGGAGTTCATAAGCACGTTGTGTCCTGATTCTTGCTTCAACGCACCAGGCGTTTTTCAACCGTATCAGACTTAAGCACCAGTGCGGCTCTTGGGCTTGGAGAGCATGTTCAAACGACTCAGACTGAGTACCCCACGAGCCTTTTGTTTCGCACTAGCAGTAGTACTGGTAGGAGTACCCAGACGACCGGAGATGGAGCGACTGGGAGTCTTGATAGAGCGGTTCTTGACCGGACTGGGAGTGGGTGGTGGGTTTGCCTTGAAGCGCTTAGTGCCACGCTCACCGGTGTGCGCATCAGCCGGGGGCACATTCTCGCTATCAGCACCGGACTCGTCGTCGACCTCACCACGATGTCTCTTCTTGTTGATGATGCCATGGGCAATGCCGTTGGCCAAGACTGGCAGTTCAGGATAAACAGGTCCCTTCTTATCCGTATCTGACTTGCGGACGTGTCGAATGCTGGGGGACTTAGGCGGAACGGGGCTTTTGTCGGCCGAAACAGTGTTGTGGTCTGGAGTGAGCGTAGGAAGAGTGGGATAAACGACCTCCGACACGTTTGAGCGCGAGGGCGTGGTGGGGATCTTGGAGCGCGAAGGCGAGTGGACAAGCTCGTAGGGCGATTTAACGCTCGGGGTGAACTCAACGTGCTTTTTGGGCGATGGAGTCGGCGCGGAGTCAGTGGTCTCATCTTTGGCAAAGAGCACATCGGGATTGAAGTCGGGAGCAGCCACATGAGTGCCAGAAGCGATCTTACTTGGATCACGAGAGAACAAGGGCTGGCGCCGGCGCAAGATAGATTTGAGGTTGCTGAAGCTGGGCAAGTTGCCTTTGATTCTCGGATTGAAGTCTGTACGCGGGGTTCGTGGAGAAGTCACAGCCTTGGTTGAGGGAGAACGCGCCAGGGAGGGAATCAATGTCGTTTTGGGTGCTTTAATGCTGGTCGAAACGATGCGCGCCATGGATGCTCTAGTGGGAGTCATGAGGGAACTGCGCATAGTCGCGCGGGAATGAGCACCAGTAGGTTTCGGAGCAGAAACATTGCTCGGGACTTCAAGGCGGCTGGTCGATGCATCTTCAGATGAGTTATGCTTGGCGCGCTTGGTGGTAGCAGCAGGCGAGATTGAGACGGCAGAGGACTTCGAGGGAGAACCTGGCAGGGACGAGCCTGGAGGAACACGGTCGTCTAGCTGCGCCTTGGACTTAGTCCGCTTCAGAGATTTACCAGTGGTAACAGGCTGGAAGCGACCGGGCGTGGCCCGGAAAGAGGAGGGATGGTTGGCAATAGAGTCCATCTTCTTGAACTCGACCATGTGTACATCGCTGAAGCGGCTTGCCCGACCCTTGGGCATCGCGATCTTCCGGTCGCCATGGTTCTGCCCAGATTTCTGGCCCTCCTCGCTCTCCTTTGACTTGTCGAAGATCATTTGAGATTTAATGCGTGTAACTTCGCCTCGAACACTATCCATGAGTCTCTTAGCTTCCTCGCTGAGTTGCGAGTCCTGGCCGAACTTGAACTCATATCCAGGAGTGCCGAATAGCGAGGGAGCCGGGGAAGCTTTCGACTTGGAAGGAGTGCTATCAAACGCGCCAAGTGGGTTACCATTGGCGTCTTTCTTGATAGGGTTGAAACCAAGGATCAGACCCGAGTCGGCCTGCTTAGTGGTACTTTGATGTGTCTTGCTGGGGTGCATTTCGGAGCGAGAAGGACGCGCAGCAGACCCGGTGGTAGGGGTACGTGCCTCTGACATCCTGGCGGCGGTGATTGGAGTCTTCTGGGGAGTTTTCTTGGTCACTGGGGTGTGGACGGTAGGGTAAACATCACGAGCAGTTTCGTCGCGTTCTGCGACCGAAGGGAGGCGAGAATTCGTTTCGGGCTGAGGGGATGATTCCTGGGGCTGATGTTAGATGATGGTGACATTGACACCTATCACGGTGACGTCTTTAACCCCTCTTATCACGGGCGTTGCCAGGCCACTCACCTCGGGCTGAGAGCTGACGCTACGAAGGCGAGCGGAGCGGCGAACCGCCATTGTTGAAGATGAAATGTGACGAAGATGGGTGAATTTCAAGGGCGTAGAGGGATAAGTCGAGTTGAGTCGAGAAGTCGAGAAGTCGAAAAGTGGAGAGGGTAATCAGATTTAGTGATTTGAACGTAAACAAACCATACGCGCTTGACGTCACATGACTAAGCTGATCTATGGCCTGAACTTTGGCTTTGACCTTTCCACTTGCGTTGTTTACAGCACCCTTTGCTTCGTACGAATGGAATATATGCCCTGAAAGATTTTGATCCGTTGAGCTCTGGCTATTTTCCCCGGTGTCGCAGATCACCGTTGCGGAGCCTCCTTTTGATCGCATACCCCTGCGACTCGTCCTTAGTTTGACCCCAATACTATTCTGACGTGGCCTCCCTGCATTTTTTCTTTGCTCTGCTCCCCCAGAAGAAGGCTTGTTCAAATCCTGGTTCTTCAAAGTCCGCAGCCATGGAGTCTGAAAAGCCTTACGTCTACCGCCCACAGGGCCAACACACGCACACCTTCATCATGTCACCTGGACGCGAGGGCACAGGCGGCTCCGAGTTCTGCGAGCAGCTGTTCTGGTCTGTCACCTCGCAGATGAAGAGCTTACCCGAAACTTTCCTGATTCCCGCTGGGTATTCCCAAGCTCAGAGACACGTTACAGTACTATGTCACAGCAACAGGAACGATCTTGGTTTGATATTTGTTCCCTAACGGGACACCGACGCACAGCAAGAACTTTAAATGGATGGCCTAAGACAATCGGTCTACAAAATCTTGGATATTCTGAACGATGAAATCGACCTCACTGGTGACCCAACACATGTCTTTCTCGGAGGCATCAGCTAAGGCATGGCGACTGCCTTGTGGACCTTCCTTTGTGCACCAGGCCGCATCAAAGGACCCCTCGGAGGAGTGGTGGGATTCTGTGGCTGGCTGCCATTTGGTGAGCTGGCAGAGAACTTGATCTAGCGTCAAAGTGCAGAGGACCTGCTACAGCAATACTCAATCAGCAGCAGCAGGACTTTGAGTCGATCCAGTATACTTGACAGACGACTCCAACTATCCAAACTCTTCCTCGATGCTATAGCTGACCCCAACATCCACCAAATTACCGAAGAAACTGACAAGTCTATGTTATCAACCCCAGTATCCTGAGCCATGGCTCAGATGACCGACTTGTTTCCGTCAGGCATTCCCGCCGAGTTCTCCATATTCTACAAGATGTCGGCATTGCTGCAAAATGGAAAGAGTTCGCCGGTGCAGAGGCTGAGTGCCACTGGATCAAGCAGCCAGAGGGCATAGAATAGATTGTCGAATTCCTTCAGTGGCAGAAATCAGATGCGAAGCATCCCACATATCCGAACAAGGTGCAATAAAGATTTTGTGATCCACAACAAGGCCGGCTGGCCCAATGGCAAGGCGCTTGACTACGAATCAAGAGATTGCAGGTTCGACCCCTGCGTCGGTCAATCTTTTTGGTGTTTTGGATATATCTACGTCGTCCCAGTTCTATTCTATGGGAAGGAAAGGATGGAGGCCGTGAAAGTTTCTTTTTAGTAGATGAGATTTGGGGGCGGGGTTGAACCCTGGGTTTTCAGGCCACAACAATCCGGCCCCGAGCACCTTTACCTTACACTAAGACGCCCTCAACCTTTCAAACTCCCAATCTAAGATCATTTAATTTAAATTTATTTGTCTTACATCAATTATTCATATGACGACCAGGGAATGAGTCCTAAAGGTGCTAAGAGGACTCGGTTTCCACCGGACGCCCGGTCAACTGCACGAAAGCGCGGAAGAAAGATTACCTCCTGCTCTGAATGTCATTCCCGGAAGCAAAAATGCAACAGAGAGATGCCATGCTCCCGTTGCATTCAACGCGGGGTACCCAATCTATGTCAGTGGCCAGGCGATGAAAAATCCCCACAAGTAAGACCTCAAGAGAGAGGGTCAACTACAGGTAGGCTATCCTACCCCTCAAAGGGACATCGTTAATGAGTGGTATTTGAAGCGGATTCTCAAGTAACAGAGATTGGACAGATATATTTCGCTCGAGGAGCCCCATCATTCTTTGGAAATTCATATTTTGGGCACCAGGTTGCGGCGCGCATGATTCATGAATCTGCCCCTGATCTGCCAGGGATGAGCTTGCTTTCCACCAAAAACTCCTTACAATCGTTTAGAAACGATTCCGGGCCATTCTCTCAAGTTTGGGACTTGCTCGGTCTTCTTCCTCGGAATAAAATGACCGTTGACCGATTAATCGAGAGATTTCTGAGCGATATCAATTGGGCCATCGATGCGGTTCACCCGGAGACGTTCAGGTCTCAATTTGCAGAATTCTGGGGCAGAAAATTTGGATTTGACGAGATTGCTAGTGTCGATCTTCGCTGGCTAGCTCTACTTTTCATTATTCTTGCCTTTAGCGTCCTCTTGGATGGCCCCGAGACCCCTTCCCCTGAAAAGGCAAAGGAGAACGAAGAAGCATCACTGAGATTCTACTGGGCATCCAGAAGAGCGATCGTTATCTCCCCCTCCTTTCATGGAGAGAGTCTAGATCTTGTCAGAGCTGGTCTGATGGTGACTCGTTATCTGCTTCATACACGACAGGTTGCAGAAAGCTGGCTCACTGTCAGTTTTGCCATGCGCATGGCTCAAGCCCAAGGTATGCATATTGATGGCGAAAAATGGGGACTATCAAAAAAAGCCACTGAGATCAGACGACGATTGTGGGGGAATTTGTACATGCTAGACAAGGCCATCGCACTGGCCCTTGGAAGACCTTATGCCATATCGGACCATATGTGTGTCATTCACGCACCCGAAAATGTCTGGCTGGATGATATGAGCGATGAACAATCATCATTGGCCCCCTCCAAGCCGCTAACTAGCCCCACGCGCAGCACAGTCACACTACTAGGTAATGGGCTGGCCAAGATCTCGGGAGAGATCCAAGACCGATGCTTTGGATTGTATCCTGCGTCTTATGATATGGTGACCGAAATGGACAAAAAGCTTCTTGAGTGGAAGAGCCAGCTTCCGCCATACTTTGCGTTAGATGATTCAGATATCTCCTTTGACGAGATACATACCTTCTTGCCCTGGCATCGCCTTTACCTACACTCGGCATTTCACTTTGCCAGAATCACACTCCATCGGCCCTATCTTCTCCGGGAATCAATAAGCAACAGCTTCCGCCTCAGCCACGAAGCGTGCACCTCATCAGCCTCGTCAGATCTCAAAGTTCGGTTACGTTCACTCAATTACAGGATCGCGGAAAATATGAGATGGACACTGGGAACGCACAATATGTTCAATAGCGCCTTGATTTTGGGAATTATCGCAGTTCGCCGTCCGAAAGCCCCACAGACTGCAGCAATTATACACGACCTACAAGTATACTGCGAAATATTAAGGACAGATGCTTCCTTAAATGCATTTGGACTAGCCGAAGTGAAGGTCGTGGAGCTATGCATTGACCGCGCAAAGGGCTTCACGAAAGCCACTGATCAACACGCCAACGATTCAAATGTGGATTCGATTAATATCATGCCAAATATGGCATCGCAATGTAATAATTCAGGGAACGGCATGAATGATGTGATGTCGATGGACGATCTACCGTCGAATGCCCTCGAGGCTTCTCCAAATCATCCACCAGGATATTCACCGGATCTTATATGGCCGGCAATATGGGAAGATCAGAACTTTGCCTTCCCGCAAGCTGCGGACCTTGAGACTTGGGAGCAAATGATATCGGAAATAACTTATCACGATTGAGTTTACCGATTTAACTACTTAATGAAATCACAAGATGTAGCGGAAATCCGGATGATAGTCTCCTCCCTTCTTCTCGTATGACCCGGAGTTGATGATGGTTTCGCGCTCTTCGTGCGACATTCTCGCCCGCTTATTATTGTGGTATCTCAAAAGAAGATACATGCCGACGTTTCCAAAAAATGCGACGCAGATGGCGGCAAGAGAGACGGAATGGCCGAGAACGTAGCGGCCGTTTACAGTTGACTTGTAAATTTGGCCAGCCTAGAGTTGAGTTAGATATCAAATTTGTAGAACCACATTGGTCGACGCATTTTGGATTCACTGACGATCAAACCAGCACAATTTCCGATAGTCTGCTGCAAACCGACGGCCATGCTTCTCTTATAATAGCCAGCATGGCTATTGGCATTCCAAGATACACCCAACCCAACCACGGAGTATATGCTATTCATGAAGTCAGCACACCACCTGGGCAGACTTTAATCCACAGCAGCCTTTACACACTTACCCAGTCACACAGACATAGGTTGCAAAATAGAGTGGACCCCTATCATGAACAGGGATACTTAGCATCATGGCATAGCCAATTGCTGTGACCCCACACAGCGGGACCATAAAGACCGCTCGCCCGCGGACTCGATCGGATAGATTTGCCATGGCAAGGTAGAAGGCCGATGCCCAAATGTAAACAGGAACAGTGAGAAGCTGCGTTGTCACTGTACCATACCCAAATCCCTTGATGATAGTTGGCAAGAAAGTGCTGAATCCAAAGGAGCACACATTCACACTAATTTGGTTAAGAGACGTCAACCAGCTTTTGGCATCTCGAAGAGTCTTCCAGACCTCGCGAATATCGAATGGATCAGTGTCAGCATATTGTGATGAAAGCTGTGCCCGAATACGCATAAGCTCTTTTTCTTCTTCCGTAAGGAAATATGCCGTTTCGTAGTTGTTTGGCAGGAAGAAAAATGTTGCGACACCAACCACAGCACTCATCAACCCTTCAACAATGAAGAGCCAACGCCAGCCTTCAAGCCCAGCTGTTCCATCCAGTCGTAGAAGACCGAAAGCGAGACTGAATTTTCTTTAGTACGCCGACAGATCGGTGGGAGGCTACCATCTCTTACAGGCCACCAAATCCACCACTAAGAGCAGCAGACACAAACAGGTATGAAATTCTCTGTGCTTGCTCTTCTCGCTTATAGAAAGTTGTCAGTAGAAGAGTCAGACATCTGTTCAATAGTTAGTTGTAGATCACAATGCCGGAGAGGAAAGTTCCATACGGAAATAAACCACTCTCAAAGACACCGAGAAACAATCGAGTCGTGTAAAGCCCGGCTACATTCTTGATGAAGCCAGCAGATATGATGGTGGCACTAAATCCGATAATCAAGATAGCGATCAACCTATTCGGGCGCAATTTTTTGAGGAGCATTGAGAAAGGAATCTCGAAGAAAACATATGTGGCGTAGAACAAGGAAACCGCGTCTAAAATTCCATATTAGATTGACTATCGTGAATAGGAAAAAGCAACTCACTTCCAAGCTGGTTTCCAACTAGACCAATATCCTCCTTGAGTTGGAAAAGAGGATGTCAATACATGCGCCTGAAACCCAAGGAACCTAGACTCACGGGCATCCCAGCGACAGCGGCATTCCTAGTTCGAAATCAGCAATAAGTCTCAGTTCAAAGCAAAACCAATGACCCGTACCCTACGTTACTTCGATCAAGATAGGCCACCAAGAAGATGGACATGACCAAAGGGCAGATGCATAGATCAAGTTTCCAAAGTAGTTTTCGCTCCTTGACGGGATCAATAGAGAGGCTCGCCATATGTACATCACGATCAGATGAGGCTTCGGCCTTCGATTCAATGTTTAGCTCCTTTTCAGTCATTTTAAATTTGAGAGAGAACGAGAGCGTGTGCAAACACAAACAAGAGTACGTGATACATTAAAACTAGGCTTATTGTCCTTTTTAAGTGAGAATCTTGAAATGGGAGATAACACAAATCGTCGGTACAAGGGTGTATTCACCGATAGATCGCTATTGGAGGCGTCGGGGGAAGTGTAAACACTAATCAGTCAAGCGGCCCAGATTGTTGGAGAACAGAGATAAGTGCACAAAGAAAGCATACGGCTTTTCTTCAGTGTCCCCTTCACCTTCGGAAAATTTTCAGTACTTTCTATTGAAATTTTTAATTGAATTAAACGCAACAATTTCAAATTGTGGGCAGTGCTTGGTTATTATTATGCTTAACAAGACTTGGTGCACACTCAAGACCTCGGCCGCCTGCCGAGCACTTGCTTTTCATCCTGATAAGCTATGCTTGTCCCCGCGTTTTATCATCTTGGCAAGGAAAAAAGATATTCCGAAGTGAATTTCCCGATGAAAGCATATGAATTTACCGATCCTAGGTACTCGCATTGTTTTTGGGACTTAAGAAGTCCCTTTCTCGCAGAAATAATCTTCGAATCGCTTCTTTGACATGAAAATTACAAAATGGGGATTTCTAACGGATTTGACGACACCAAAATTAGCCCAAGGCTGACGCCCGGATTAGCATATCCAGTAAGACTAAATGAAATCAATTCATGAAGATAGAACCTGACAATGAGCAGATTTGGAAAAGATGGGTTCGATTCAAAGCTGCTAATGGTAGCATCTATGGTGGCGAGCCTGTGGATGCCGACGTTGATGGTAATGTTAATTTTTCATCTTCGGACTTTAAAGCTGATACAAAAGCTTAGTGGGGCTTGCCCTTGCAGAAAAGAGGGATGTGGCTGTGAAAGTTGTGACTGGAGCATCTGCCTTGGACTATGATGTTTCCTTTACTGGGGAAGTGAAGTTCATTGATGAGCTTTTGTCGCCAGTTTCACAAGCAGAGGCTGGGACAGTTCGATGCATTGGACTTAATTACAAGGAGCATGCGGCTGAAATGAAGATGGCCCTGCCAAGTATACCGACGTAAGTCTTGTTTTATGGCTGCTGGGATTTTAAGCTAATTAACTATAGGGTCTTTCTCAAGGCAAGCACTTGCATCGCGTCAGCATCAGAGCCAATCCTGTTACCTTCTACCGTGGATTATGACGAAGCCGACTATGAAGTTGAGCTTGCCATCATCATCGGAAAATTTTGCAAGAATGTATCTGTTGGTGATGCTAGCAACTACATCCTGGGCTATTCTGTTGCAAATGATGTGACTGCTCGCAAACATCAAGAGAAGACCTCACAATGGTCTTATGCGAAAGGGATGGTACGAATTTCAATTCAAGGCTATCATATACAAAGTACTGACTTTATCAGGACGGCTTTTGCCCTCTTGGGCCATGCATTGTTTCGATCAAGCAAATCCCAAACCCTTCTGTCCTGCAATTGCGCACATACCTAAACGGGATAATGATGCAAGAAGGCTTTGCCGATGACATGATCTTCAGTATACCTGAAATTGTGTCTTATTTGTCCCAGGCATGTGCTGCTAAACAAAACTATAATACTTCTTTTCTAACAAGATCAGGGGCACACGCTATTGCCTGGAACGGTTATCATTACTGGCACGCCTTGTGGAATCGGGGTGTCGCAAAAGCCACCGCGCTTCTTACAGCCAGGGGACGATCTGCGAATCAACATAAGCCATGGGCTGGGTACTCAACTCTGCCCAATTGCCAGAGACTGAGACGACGATTCAGAACGCTACAACTTGAGCCTTTTAGATAGATAACACGACAATATGGATGCAGAATGTTACATTGCTTGAGAATAATTTAGGGAATGGGTAACTGTCCGGCTGCTTAATGCCGGATTCATGATGACCCATCATTGCGTAGATCAATGATGGCATCGTCGACTGAAGGTGGGCCATCATACTTTCTCTTACCCCACGCCCAGTACCAGGCCATGGCAATAACTGCGAAACATACAAAGACAACCGGTGCATAATTGACTGTATCGGCTGTGACAGGAATGTAAGAGGGCATACAGAACAATGGTACGGCAAGCGCACTCCAAGCTGGAGTAGAAATCGAATTAGTACTTTGTAACGAAATTATAGAAAGAATACATAGCACTTACCAAGTGCGATAACGTTGCAAAATGCTCCCAGCTTTCCTAAATTATAATTGCCATTCTGTATTTGCTTTCGACCACCCATGAAGGACACAGCAATTGGACAGGCATAGCTCACAGTTAGAGTGATGACACCAACTCCGGAGAAGGCGTTGAACGCAGTGGTTGATCCAAAGTAGATAAGACCAAGAGCAATCTCAATTACCATCCCAAGCATCATAGCATTGAACGGGACATTCATTCTCTTGTCTACCACCCGCCAGAGATTGGACCATGGAATACCTCCATCTCTCGCGAAAGCCCAAAGAGACCGGGAAACAGCAGTAGTGCACCCGATACCGCAAATAAGAGCGAGTACGCACAACGGCAAGAGAAGAAGGAATGCTCCGGTAGAAGTTCCAACAGCAGACTTGACAATAGTCGGAACCGGCTGACCAGATGCAAGATTAACAAGCTCTGTAATATCAGGTAGGACGAAGATCAAAGGGATCATGAAAAGAAGCCCAGCGAGGAAGTTCAAGATGATGGTGCCCACAATTGCCTTTGGGACTTGGCGAGATGGGTCTTGTACCTCTTCACACATCCTAGAAAACACTTAGTTTGCAGCTCCTTTATGACATGGAAATGAAAACATGACTAACGAAATAACCATCCCGGTTGATGAGGTAGCGTATGCAGCCTGTAAGAGTCCGACGCAGAAAGACCAGCCAACTGGCCAGCCCGACTGTGGCTCAAATGTGGTGAACACATATTCACCAGAGTGTCTTCCTTCTTTTGCAATAGCCAATACACAAACAATAACTACCAAGATACCGACGAACGTCCAGAAGATGGCGAATGTCTACTTTCGTGTTAGCAAGACAAAGATAGGGGTCAATCTTTAGTCAAGGCCACGGGACCCACATCAAGATAGGGCAGCCATTTGTTTCCCAGAGCTGAAACTGCATTACACAGAAGCGTAATGCCAAGGAAAAGAAGGAAAGTCTGATATGCCTCTGCTTCAAAGATACCAACACCTGGTGAGACCTCAAACACGTTGACGCAAGCGATGATGAATTGCGCAGAGCCGAAATTGACTGCGAGTGTGATCATAATGTTGCCGACCACGTAAGACCAGCCGCATATCCAAGCGACGATTCTTCGATAAGCGGGCGGAGACAGCATGTAAGATTGATAGTATACACCACCGGCAGTGGGATAGACCGAAGTAATCTCTCCAAGTGATGCGCCAACGCAGAGAATAATCGCTGACACGATTACCCATCCCCATATGATATTTACGGGACCCCCTCCAATAAGAGGGTAGTAGAATGTTGTGGCGAGACCGTATGGAATGGCTGCAAGGACAAAAGACATAAAGGCGACTTGAAGGGTTGAACGGTTTCGCTGAAGCTCGGGCTCATAGCCCAGGGCTTCCAGCACTCCATTCGCTGCAGTCGGCTCTGATTGTTCAATGTCGGCTTCATATTTTATACTGTTGGCGTCGAGGTCGTAAGAAGGGGGCTTTTGTGTGGAAGAATGGTGCTGATGGGATTCGGGTTTACTCGCCATGGTCGAAATGTCGCATTGGTCGCCAATGGTAGAGGTAGGAATTAGCAAATACGTGGCTTTCGGTAGAATAGAGGATAAAAAAAGCCAGAGAGGTCAAAACACGTTTTGGGATCGACTCATTTATACTCCATCAACCCGTGATGAAGGTGATAGTAAATTACATTTTACAGCGAAAAACATGGTTTCGTACGCATCTTGCTGATAAGCAGTTTACCCCGCAAAAATCTAACTCTTAGAAGCTAGCGATAATACCGACGAGGAGCTCTGCCGTTCTTGCCTAGTGATTTCCGGGCAATATGCACCGACATCGTGAAACATGAGATGACTTGCCTATCAGCCAGCTCTGATTGGGCTATAAAAGATAACATATGACGCAGGCCCCCCCCACACGGCGAAATACCGATAGTAAACTAACCCGATGCAAACCGGTCTCAAAATAACGGAGCTTCCATTTGACTAGGGATATTATTTCTAAAAAAGGCAAGATCGCTGATACAGCCCCTAAAGGCTGCAAAAAATGCAGTGAAAAGATAGACCCCGTAGCACAAAATATGGACGTAGAGGCTTTTTCCGGTCAGTTGTACGGAATGGAAAAGTACAAGCCAAGCATAAAAGTATTTTACGAGCTCCCCAACCTCAATATCAATTTCACTGAGCAGTATAGGTTAGTACTAACCAAGCATACATTGATGAGCACTAGCCGTCAGTATCCAGCACAACTGCTGATGATCTGGTCTTGTGGAAGGTGGCCTGATTTGCTGGGTGTCGACTTGCAAGATGACTACGGCACTACTGACCAGCCCAATTGAACTGGCTTGATTGCCAGAGCAGAGCCAAGACAAATGGGGGGGGGGGGGGTATTCTGTTATATTGATTTCATAGCCCGACGCCCCTTTAATTCTGACTCCAAAATCCGAGTCAGGGAGAGGTGTATAGGTGGACCTTGACACCTTTAAGCGGGCTTTCTGTAGTACTATGAGACCTAGAATTTGCTCGACCTAAGCGTAGTAAGCACTACATGTATAGACTGGATGTAGGCTTTCTAGATCTCCCTGGATTTAGCCTATTGGTAGTATCAAACATGCATATCAAAATAAGTGGTAGTGTAGACGAAAGTATTGGGCAAGCGAGATCTTTCAATTATCTTTTGGAATTAGATATCAACACATGGAAACTTCCTCTCAACCTCCTATAACACTAAGAATGGCTATAGTAGTATGAATTATATGACATTGATAGTCAATGCCTATTAGTTTTAAGACTGCGTGTCTATGTTACGATGTGAACTGGAAGAGCGGTCTCGGCTCTAGGTGGGCCTAGAGGTATTTCAACGTGAATTATCAAATGGTTTCATGAAGCCCATCATCTTATATCCACATGAAACCTTAATGAATGCTGATGTTCAATCAAGAGGTTTCAGAAGTTTCCCGTGGGAAGTTAAGTGCTTGCAATATTTGAAGATACGAAGTAGACAGGGAATTGGGAGGGCAAGTAGTCCCGAAATGGTTCATCTTTCCCATAGATGTATGCTACGATACCTATATTGCCTTGATGATGGATTTCAGCTGTTTTAAACATTGAATGATGCGTTCTATGGCCACCTCAAGCCATTGAATTGTATCTTACCATCCGTGCCCCAATCAACGAAGTATCAGCCGCGGTTACGCTAATGCACGGCGGCTACACTATTCCATAAATGGTCACCCACCAACCAGTTCCACGGGGCTAAGTAAATTGCAATCGAGTCAGCCTCTGCTTGGTATACACTAGTATCAGGGATGAAGGGCGGGATATGGCAAGTTTCACGCACGATAGCGCCCGGTAATCCGTTGTAAACCGCTCTAGAGGTCTGGGCGATCCCCCACACGTGAACCAAGATCCACATGGTCACGGATAGGGCGGTGCCCAGTGGTAAAACCAGAAGATATGGAAGATAGGGAAACGCACAAGAGAAATTAGAAGAGAATGATTATGACCGACTCAAGAGCCCCTGACAAGGTCTTGCTAGCATGCAGGATGATGTCAAGTTCAATGTTTACGCTTGTTTTCTGTTTAGTCTCACCGCCTTTCCCTTCTGGCTTGCTTTCTAGATACATTGTAGCTTCTTCTCTTCTTCTTTCTTCATAGCTTCAATCTATCGCTTTCTTCTCTTTTTCTCCCTTTTATTCATTTCCCCAACGTATCAACAATTTCTCATGAACGGTTCACAGCTAGGTACCTTGGCAGATTCACCAAAGAGGCTACTATGATCTCCCAGCAAAGTAAAGGGGGACTGACCCAGCTTATCACTGGAGAGAGACAAGTTTATCACCGTACCACAGCACCTGTATTATTTCCGCTCGGTCAGTCAAGTCATCGGGCACTCAAGAAGCCTTTAACATTAGAAGAAAAGAACCAGGCGTTTATAAGGCCTGATTTTATTTCGAAATATCGGAATATGAGACAGTGTGTGATGCATGAAATGCTCCTTTATTCCGGCCAGACAATCTTAAGATCAGTCGGGTGTATCCTAGCCATAGGAAGTGAAGCCTGTGGAGCCGAGAAATTGCAAATACTGCGTAGTCAGACACTACAAAGGCAAAGATAACAGATTAGATACCGGACTTGACTGGCAATTCCAATATCGCTTGTACAGTAAGAGATAACTGAAGAAAAGCAGAACAGACATTCAGTCCGATATCCGCTCATCCATCTGATAGGGCCAGCTATGAGTGAAATTAACTGCATCACGTTGCACCAGCAAAACCAAAGTATACACAGAATTCTTAAATTCCCATCTTATGGGGGAGCCAACACTAAAGTGGGGCGGATTCATCGCCCAAAAGGGGAACAGAACCCGCCGGCAAATGGCGGCGAGCAGATGCCACGAGACCAAATTCGTGGAACCAACCAAGATAGCAAACCTCAAGTGGCGTGTTTGCCAGATTCCGTGGATTTAAAGCACAGTCGTAGCTATATGTGGCCAGGAAGCAACCGGCGAGAGATCCTATCTACCGGCTACGTGCGGGGTAAACGGGAAGGAAAGCCGAGCCGATCACCTGAGATCTATGAAAACAAGATAAGGCTGAAATCAGTCCGTCATCGCGTGTTTCCCTCGAGAATCGAGTTTTATTGCCTCTTTCGTCTCTCAAGATGTCGTCCACTCAATCTAAGCCAATGGGTGTACAAAAACGGCAGAAGAATCCGAATCGTTGCAAGCCGAAATCTAAAGGTGGTTGTCAGAGATGCAAGCAGAGGAGGGTAAGTTGAGGTGAACCTTGTACAGCTATCGCTGATATCCCACTTGTTCCATTTACTGACTCGTTCCAAGCGTAGATGTGATGAGGCAAGGCCTAGCTGTCAAGAATGTGTGAAGAAGGGCTTTGAATGTCCTGGGTATCAGAAAAAACCCCTTCAGTGGCGATACGTGTTTCAAGAAAGCGAGGAAGAAGCCTCGCCAGAACAAGAGCCACTTTCATTTGTGCAGCCACGGCTTGAGACTCAAATACAAAATGAAGATCATTTTGAACATGTACAAGAGTTGCAAGACCTCTGGGATGAGGCCAGCTCATCATTATTCAACCAATTACCAGGCTTCGATGCCTCTGTGAATATCTGGTCAAAAGACCAGACTGCATCAAATGGGCCGCCAGCTGTCAAAGATGGACGTCGATCAGACAGTCTTGCAATACTGCACCGTCGCCTAGCAAATACCGCAATTCCATCTTTTCTTATCCACACGCCGGCCATTTTAGTGCAATATTACTTCGACTATGTCTGCAAATCCTGGTCATCATTTGATTCACCATTGAACCCGTTCAGAATCATAGTCAGTCGTCTTTGGAGTCGAAATGCGGCTATCTACTACGCGATTCAAAGCATGGCAGCGGCATCACTGGCCAATGACTTCCCTGGAATGAGGGCGATCGGCATCCAGACGCAGCAGCAAGCGATTGCCTGTCTCCGGAATAATCCAAGAGTAGGATCTCTACATCGCGACAATCAAGATGATGAGTTCTTTCTGGCTCTCCTAATGATCGGATGCACAACATCTTGGCACGATGCGGCTGACTTAGGACTTGAATATCTGAAAGAGGCCAAAGACTACCTCGAACGTCAAAAAGGCATGTGCCCGAGTCCTGAGTCAACACTTGCCAAGCAATATCCTTTGTTTCAACAATGTCTTCTATATTGGAACATGTTGGCTGCTTTTGTAGCCGAAGACTCGTTGCTACTTAATGGAGAGAGCGTTTTAGAAAGACCGAATTCAGAGACATCCGTGTATTTAGTTGACGGACAGGCCCTTCCTCACCCCTGGACGGGCCCACTATCCAAGGCGCTGAGTATATTCTACCAGACTGCACGAGTAGTCCGAGCTGCACGTATCTCGTCTCGGACTCACGGGGCCGACATCAATCTGTCACTATTTGACTTCGACTCTCTAGTTGAAGAGCTTGATCTGCAAAAAGATGCGGGGCGCCTTGAGGATGAGATTCTGTTCACTGGTCTCTCATCATTCTGCGGGCCTGTCGATACAGGCGATACGGACACACCTCCTGCCCATTTCATCACCCTAGCAGAGGCGTATCGATGTGCTGCACTCCTGCAAATATACCACGTCTTTCCCGACATTCTCGATGAGCGACTGCGACTGAATGAGAGACATGGGGTCGAAGTCCCAGCATTATTCCTACTCCTCTTTCCTACGGGCGAAGACAATCAGGCTCCATCAGTAGAGGAAGCTCGTCGCATTCTAGCGCTCCACATTGTGTCACTTCTGGACCAACTACCCGCAACATCAGGGACACGGTGTATGCACCCGATTCTCTTTACTTGCATTTCTAGCGATCTTGTGTTTTCAAATCAGTCTCTACTTGGACCCACTGCGAATGCGATATCTTACCTTAATACTCTAGATATTGAGATCGCGCAGGCTAGAAGGAAAATTAGCTTGTGGTTATCAGAACTCAGTTTGATACTTCCTAAGCTACGACTACAGCGTGTAGCGAAGATTGTGCATGGAACTTGGGATCTGGCGGACTGTGGCATGGCTCAGTATTGGCTGGATACTATGATCGATCGGAACCTTGAGACTATTATGGGATAATACCTTTTTTCAAATGGCTCAGCATAATGTACTTTCACGACTAGATAAATTGATAAAACCGAGGTTTGCTTCACGTTTTTGTTCTTGTTCTTGTCGATTTTCCTTTATGGATGCCATGGAGGTACAGACTATAGATAAAACCCCTCAACAAATCAGAAATAGTTGGTTCTGGTGCGTGAAGAATCTGTTGACAACATCTTGACTAGGTTCAAGCATCCATATTTCCTCCAACTGGTTCAGAGCCGTTGACATGACTCCCATGCCAAACGTAGTGATCAGGGACTTGAGATATGATCGAACCACTTCCTTCTGCTGAGGGTTCTGGGCATGTATGCCGAAGGCAAAGAACGGCCAGGTAGCCGTAGTCGCGATAGGTGATTGTGGCGGTAAACGCGATATGAAAAATTCTAGGTTGCGAAAAGCCTGGTCAGCAATGCTGCTGGTACTTTTCCGGGCAAACCGTGAATCCAACAACAGAAGAAGGCTCTGTCGGTATAGTTCTGCGCAGAGTACTAAGTCTTCCTGGTCACTTGAAGGCTTCCAAGCTACTATCTGTGTCCTGAGAGCATGATAGTCATCGATGAGGCTTTCTCTATGGCCAGCTTCTGATGATGTTTCGGAAGTGATGTCCCATAATAATGATGAAACTCTGGGAACGAAAATGAAAAGATCATGGGCGCATCCGCACATCACGCCAACTGGGTTGACCGTACTTGCAGATGTATTCGCCCATGTCTCTGACTGTGAGGTTGATATGGGTGAACAATTGGTTGTAAATGATGCAAGCCCGGCGTTATACACATAAAGATCCGTAGTGAATGATACGATACTCAAAGGAGTAGAGGTCAATGGGAATCGCATCACATAGGCCATCAGGTGATGGGCACCATCTAAATGTCCCTGCATGGCTTTGGGATCACTTCCTCTCGTGGCCTGATGTAGTGTTAGTGAATATGGTCGCAGAAACAAGGCACGGTCGCACCTACCTCTAAAAGGTAAAATATCAAAACAATTATTAATGCACGCCATGCGCCGTCTACACTGCTCCCATTCCGAGTTAGATCGGACAAGGCAACTCTGAGCTGTTTCAATGCTCGAGTGTAGCTGGATGAGGCCAAGGATTGAACATTAAGATCCAGTTGAGGAACGCGCTGCATCAAATGCACACCGGAAAGTGCGAGTATTGCATTCATTAGAAGCTCGTCATTGAGAGCAGCTGGGAGTATGGTATGGAGAAATGGATTCTGACTGTCCTGCAAACAGGCCAATCGGTTCGCAGTATCTTTTAAATAGTGATCGAGAAGCCTCCAGGTTCCAGATCCCGAAGACACCACTCCAGGAAGGGCAAAATTGGACGGCGCTGCAGGAATCGTCAGAGTTAACAATTTTGAAGGTGCGTTGGTGAGCGCAAGGGCCCATGTGTCCGACTTGGGTCCATATTGAGATCGGGCTCGTGTCTTCTGTCGCGTTGATCCAACCTCGACTGATGCTTCATGTGGACTAAAACTAAATTCTGGCCAGGTGCAGCCGAGACTGTTGCGCAAGCAGGCTGTGCAGATCGGTTTAACTTCATCACATTTCTTTTTGCGGCGCCTGCAGGAGAAACATCCTTGTCGAGATCGAGCCCCCATGGCGAACAATGCTTCATTCCATAGTATTTCACATCGAGGACAACTTCGATGCAACGTCGATGCAGATTGGACCCCACGGCACAATTCGACGATCAAATTGAAAATCATGCGTGCCTTCCGATGGTTTCCTGTTTACATTCGCCTTCCCCCGCGCAACCCGACCACGTGATCGGCTTGAATGGCCCCGATCTGAATTAAAAATGGCTTGGGGTGAAGATGTGAGGATCTGTAAGCTTCGAAAAGTTTGTTTCATGCGAGTCAAAAAGGAAACGAGTCATGCACGCGTGACCTGGTCTGTTGCCCTGCTCACCTGACCCTCCAGACGAATATCGGACGATGTGTTCGGCGGGTTTCAAGCAGTTGCTGAAACTAAGACAGACAGAGATTAGTGCGGATCTGATTCCCCAAGCTTAAGATGATCCAGGGAACAAATGGACAGCTAGATTCGATTGCGGGGGTTCATTTTTCGCCCTGTGCAGGGCCAACGCTGTCTAAGCGCCTACAGCGCCATAAAGGAATCGAGCAATTCAGAGAATCCTGGAAGAAAAAGCAAAAAGCAAAAAGCAAAAGGCAAAAGGCAAAAGGACTAGAACCTCTTGCCCAGCTGAAGTCGGGAAAACTTCCCGACATTATGACTTATAAACAAGCCAAAGCACAGAAACACGACAAAATATAGATTTACACATTCCAAACCCACCACGTGACGCAACTCCAGTACTTTTGTGCTTAAATTGCTTATTCTGGGATAATCCCTCGGATTGCAGCTCTTTTTTGACCGGTCATGCCCTTCTCACGCTCGATCACCGTTGTTGGATGCCACTCCGAAGGTGAAGTAGGCGATGTAATTACCGGAGGTGTCCTGGACGTCCCAGGCCACACTATGTACGACAAGCTCGTTCACATTTCAACGAAGAAGGACTACATTCGCCAAATACTGTTGAATGAGCCTCGAGGTCGCGCATCGATGAATACCAATCTCGTTCTCCCACCTTGTGATCCACGCGCGGATGCCGGCTTTTTGATCATGGAAAGCGAGGAATATGCGCCCATGTCGGGATCAAACACAATCTGTACCACTACCGTGCTATTGGAGACTGGAATGATACCGATGAAGGAGCCCATCACTGAAGTGACTTTGGATACCGCTGCAGGCCTGGTCACTGTAACTGCTGAGTGCGAAGCAGGAAAGTGCAAGAGCGTTGAGTTCAACAATGTACCTTCATTCGTCCTTGAGCTCGATTTCAAAGTGATGGTTCCCGGGATCGGTGAAATTCTAGTCGACATAGCGTACGGTGGAATGATGTTTGTTCTGGTGGAGGTGGCCTCGCTAGGATTGGCAGTCAGCAGTCAGCATTCCCGTCAGCTAATCGAGATCGGAGAGCGTATCAAACGAGCAGTGGAGGTAACTTACACTCCTATTCATCCCGAAAACTCCGGTATCACAGGGTTCAGTGTGATAGAATTTACCGAGCCTTTGCAAATTGAAGATGGTTGCAAAGTCGCAGGTAACGCAGTGGTTGTCTCCCCTGGGCGGTTTGACCGTAGCCCTTGCGGTACAGGAACATGCGCTCGACTGGCCACAATGCATGCCCGAGGTCAGATCAAAGAGGGAGAAATATTTAAGCACAGAAGCGTCATTGGCACTGAATTTGTCAGTCGAATCCGTGGAACAACCACTGTCGGTGACTACCCTGCTGTCCTACCCGCCGTGAAAGGTAGAGCTTGGATTACCAGCTTCAAGCAAGTGGTTCTTGATTCAACCGACCCTTTCCCTCAAGGCTTTAGAGTAGGTGACCAGTGGCACATGCCACCGAACTGAGACAGTCCATTAAAACCGGAGTGCACGAAATGTGATACCGGTCTGCCTCGCTTGTTTGACAAGATGGGTATGTGTATCTGTATATGAACCTCATTAAGACAGCAATGAACAAATCCGGTTTATTCAAAGGATAATTGATGCGTTTCCCAAAATACCAGTGTGATTGTCCGAAGCTAAAAGATCACAGAGGGAAACTGAAAGAAAGCGAATCAAATGTCTGGTGGTTCTTGAGAAAATGCCGACAGGAGAGGCAAACACCCGGCCAAATGCTGACAGAGATGAACGGTCACAATGAAGTTTCTGGAGCTAGGGTCAAGGGCTGAACTCATCACCGATGTCACTTGTTACTATAAGTAGCCTGAATATTTTCGCCTAATTTATGCCTGAACTTGATCAAGGGGAAAGTACGGAATCTCCTTTTGCAGAAGTGACCGGCTGGGGCGATTTTGACTTTCTTGTGCTCACAGGGCTTGGCCATCTCTTCCAAGACTCATACGGGGCTTCAATATGATATGATGGTTGTGATAACCAGGTATCTTTGGTTGTAGCAGTAATGAAATCTTTGAATTGCGATCTAATAAGCCAACGGGGACATACATGGCATTGAGAAGAGAGGAAAATACGAAAGGATGCGTTCTGCCTAGCAGAACGACTAGTAATAATTAGGTTTCTATGACCTTCTATTTGGGGAAATATTTTTTCTTTAAAGAACTTTCTATCTATAGCCCTCCCGAGAAGACAAGTTAAAAGAGCCTCCACACTTAGCGCTTAGCTTTTCTTCTATGTCTTTCTGAGCCTCTGTCTCTAGAGTTCTAAAAAGAGGCCTCTGTATTCATTTTCCCAAAATGTCCCTCTAAATAGTTTGAAGTACCTCTGGTAGGATTTGCGTGAGCATGTTTTAAAGCCCGAACGGATATGTCTCTCCACGTCCCAGAGCTGTTGCAGGCTGTATTTTCTCCAATGATTTCACAGCCTCGGTATGATCGAAGAAGATGAAACCGTCAAATTGTTTATGAAGAAAGGCTTGAGAGTAATGAGAAGACTTCTCGGTCTTGGGCTTATAAATCACGCCAATGAAGCGCTGCAGACGATTCTCCTCCGAAAAGGCAGCACGCAGGCCAGGGTCATGATGACCACGTCGAAGGTCAAGAAGAAAGCGTTCGACCCCAGTATCGTGCGCCATTCTTTCCCAACTATCATCTCTTGACGGTCGCACATTCATAATTTCCATGTCCTCGTCCCACTCGCGTGCGGCAGCTACTGTGCCTGTATGAGTACCGCATCCAATGATTGAGACATTTTCAGGGCCCAGACGTTGCCGACAAAGCTGACCAATGTTTATCTCACTGCAATGAAATCCCATGCTAGTGTAGCGAGCATCCCCAACGTGCGAGTTATGCGCCCACACAACCGCTTTATGGAGAGGTGAAGGGCAGGCTTGTAGTATACGAGCCAATGTCTCGAACATGTGTGTATCGCGCAAAGACCATGAGCTGGTGGAACTCCAGTACATAGCTTTGTAGTATTGTTCCGCGTCCCGAACAAGGAAGGCGTTTTGCTTGCCACTCTGGAATTCTTCGCCGTCGAGACTGTCGCTCTTCATGTACTCCAGCCGATTGTTGAGAAAGTCTCGCAAAATCTGTATGACTTGAGCTTCACAGTCTCGCATTCCTTGCATGCTTGCCAGACCGTATGCTACCGGGTCATCGGCCCACGGGTCCAGACAGCCGTATAGTTCCCGAGCTTCTTTGCCTGCTGCGGGATGCACTCGGTCAAGATAGTCAATAACCGCTTTCATCGATGCGCCCATGCTGTAGAGATCAAGGCCATAGAATCCCACTCGACATTCCTCTGGTTGATCCTTGTTCCATTCTCGCATCCACTCCACCAGTTCCTGCATCTCGCGGTTGCGCCACATCCAGGTCGGAAATCTCTTGAAGGGCTCATGTTTTTCCTGTCCGCATGCTACGCCTCCAATACTGGCTTTGGGGCCTGGTCGCATACGTACATGGCGGTCAATGGCCTCTGCGTCAGGCCAATCAGCCTCGACGGCGACTATGGTATAGCCGTGAACTTTGATAAGACGCTTGGTGATCTCAGCACGTGCGCGATAGAATTCCGATGTGCCGTGTGTTCCATCACCAAGGAGAACAACTTGTCTACCTGCAAAGCTATCGAGGTGAGGCGCGAAATTCTCATCGTCGATGGGCGGAAGTGGCTCTATAGCAGCATTGAACAGCTCCTGAAGGTCTGCCATGGACGTTATCGGACGACGAGAGTTGATTTGAATACAAGAACAAGAATTAAGGGTATTTCTTAGCAATGACCGGGACATCGATCTTCACAGCTGTCAGCGTCACAAATCGACAGTTTGGCGATGGGGTTGAACATGAGATCACACCCGAGTAACTGACCAGTCATGATGATCTCACGTCAACCCGATGGATTCTACCCTTTTACCAACATCAACTGTAGCACCAGGGGGCAACAATCGTGGCTTGGTCTTGTCTATGAAGAGCCTCAAATCAACTTTGTCACAGCTCCTCTCCAAAAATAGCCCACAATCTCTTCCTCGAACAACCAACGTCCATACACTCCACGCGACAATCTTCACAAAGATGGCGCTCCCAATCAGCAGTCCATCTCCAAAAGTAGACCGTTTCCAACAAGCAATGGAATCTATTTACGGTAGATTCGCCAACATTCGAGATCCAGACACCTGGTCCCCGCCACTCCGATCTGGCGGCCACCGCGGCCGATATTTATGGACGGATGCGTTTGGTGTACTCAATCTATTAACCATGCACAAAGAATACACAGTTGCAGGCGGGGGCAGCGATGACAAACGATACCTAGTACTAGCCCGACGACTCATCGAAACCGTTCACGACGTATTGGGTCACACAAGAGATAATCGATCACAACTACCAGGAGCAACCGATGCCAATCCACTTGGGGGAGGATTGCGAATCGGGAAGACTGATGAGCAAGGTTCGGACTGCGATGGGCAATATCATCATTACTTGACTATATGGATGTTTGCGCTGAACCGTATGGCGATGGCATCTGGTGATATGGATTATAATCGTCTGGCTGTGCAGCTTGCACGGGCTATCCATCCGAAATTCTTTCAAAATCGCTCTACGTCACATCCGCGGGTGGTTTGGAAGATGTCTATGGATCTATCCACGCCGCTGGTTACATCCGAGGGAAATCTTGATCCGATCGCTGGGTTTGTCGTTTTTCGGCTACTTCAAGCGACTGCCATGAAGGCCGGTGATGGCGAAGTCTTGTCTGAAGAAATAGCGGATTATAGACGAGTCATGGACCGCAAGGGAGAGCATTTTGTCTCGAGTGACCCGTTGGATCTGGGTATGACCTTGTGGACAGCGCATTGGTTCTCCGGTAGGGAGACTTGGGCTTCGAATCTTGTGACGAAATGCTTTGAGCACTTGTGTGAGTATTTGGTTCTCGCGTAGTAGGTCCCGACACGCTAACATTTTCGGCAGATAATCTCTTCGAGATAGATCAATATCTCTTGCGAAATACCAAATTTCGCTTGGCTTTCCGCGAATTTGGTACTGCGATGGGTCTTCAATGCGAGGCAGAACAAACTACGGAGAAAGAGCGAAGTGTTGATCTTAAGAATTGGGCTGATTGCATTATCGCAGAATGGGATCCGTACATGGAGCTCTCCATCTCCGAAGACCAGACCCCGGAGGATATGCGACCCATCACGCGAGTGATGTATGCATCGGCATTAACTCCAGGTGGTAAGTGACTCCGATTGTCAGGACAACACTTGCTGTGTCGGCACTTACAGGTTCGTTATCTACAGCTTTCTGTTCGGGGTACTTGGGCCCTGAGCCTAAGCCTTTGGATAGGTGATGAGATTGGTTTAAATATCATACATCCTGTTCAACACAGGGTTGTTCATTTGTTAAAAGTGAAGTAGTGTAACAATGCACGGTGTCTTCTGTATGCAACTTTATGGTACAAAACGTTCACCAGATGCCGAAGCAATGCAACCTTGGAATCTATCGGAGAATATGTTCACAGAGAGAGAAAAAGGCTGATGTACGCACGTCTATACCCCCCGGAAGGCCAACGATATCCTTCCACGGCGGAAGTCTCCTCGGGAGAATGTAAATGACGTATATCGTGCTCAGAGCGATGGCCAAACCGGACCACTAAAGAGTTTAATGGTTAGTATCGAGCGTAAATAAAGGAAGCGTATTGAGTTCAGAAGGGTCTTGAAGTCGAAATACCTTTTCTAGCCATGTGTGGAACCAAATAGCCGTCATGAAGAGCATCCACCAACCCAGAACCACCACTCCCCAGACCAGGCGCATCGACCAAGTCCTCCCAGTTCCAAAGCTGGCATCCTGGTCACCGTTTGGGAGTGCATTAGGATCACTGGCCTTGCGCTCGCGACCCGCGCTCTCAGGTGCGGCGCTGGGAGACGCAGCAACGGCACCAGCGCCGACCGCCTCGAAAACGAGAAGTGCTGTAACCAGGACTAGCATAAACACGTGTCCACTGATATCGTGTCCTCCCTTCCAAGCACCACCGGCAGCTTTGCAGGCAGCGGCCGTAAAAACCGTTTCCAGCTGAACGGACGAGCTTTCCGAGTTGGCCTTTGCCACCAGGTCCAAGGCCTGTCCACATTTTCCACCCGTGATCATGAAGCTGCGATCAATAATAGCTGGGCCAAAGAACCATTGCGTCGTCAGATACCATACAATTGTTGCAAGGCACCAGCGGAGGAAAGCTTGGATGGAGCGGCGGAAGCGGATTTCTTGTTGTGCGTGCGAAGCAGAAGAAAGGTTGTATGCGGGTTGGAAGAGGACCAGGGATGCAAAGGCGACAGTCAGCCATATCCAGCCGACCTTGACGAAGTAGAGATTGAAGATGTTACTCTTGCGCGCGAAGTAGTTGACCGGACTCTCGGAGAGGTGGAGGTCGGCGGCGAGGGAAGGTGCTAAAGGTGCAGCGGGGTCGTGTGAGGAGCTCCTCGTTGATCGAGCGACGGGTGAAATGACTGAGAATAGAGATCCCAGTAGTAATGTCACTGGGTATACCAGGAGGACGACTGGGGAGGGAGCAGGTCGGGCGGGCGCAGGCATTGTTGTGGTCTACGAGACCGGAGTCGTACAGATTGTTGCGATCAGCTGCGTATTTGTATAGAGTGGAAAGTCGTAGGTATCAGAAAGCCTTGGCTGAAGAGTATGCCCGGTCACAATTAGAAAGACCGGGGTTAGAATAAAGTGGGAAGTTGACGGTCATGACAGTTGGAGGGATGACATCAACCTTCACCTGCCGAGGCACCAAATGACGCCTTAGGTCTCAGGCATACGATTCCTTTCTAAGTATGGCGCAGTCATGCAGTCATGAATAACGACAAAAAATATTCAATTGAACTGCTTCAGCAATCATGAATTCTATGTTTCATATTTCATTTGGCCTCCTCGTCCTTGCACATGGCCTACACCTGGCAGAAGGTGTCTTGAGGTCTTAGGGCCAGGCAAGTGCTGGTGGCTTGGAAGGTACAAATGTTGACCAGATCTCCGAGCTACGTACTTTGTAATCAATTACCATCCATATGCAGCTCTCCTAAACCGTGTGCTAGGTCATGTACGCGAAGCCTCATGGCTTTTACTATCAATACGGAACCCCACTATCAACATTACGATCACGGCGACCTTATATCGGCGGATTACTCTGTTGCTGTGAACAAGCAGGGGCCTTGAATGTAGACGAACTCCTTTTGGATCCTTTCCAGGTCCTAACTAGTGAATCTGACAGGCTTGGTGGTCAGACGGGGAATATGCCATGAACCCTTGGTCTGAACCGACAACAGCGGATCTTCGCATGCATTCCCGTTGAGCCGTTCCGCGGCAGGCGGGTTTGAATCCGGTGCACGACACCTATATGCTGCTGTCTAGATCAGTATGAATCGAACCCCTCACAACTAAGCGAGGGCGAAACCACGCCATTCCACGTGAGGTGCATATGTCGCACGAGTCGGGATCTATGTAAGGGTAAGGAAAACATTACCATGGGTTCCTATAGGCACACGGGAACTAGTGCACATTACACATGTTTTCCTTGGTCACGAACGTGTGGCTCCCGCGGTATAGGCTAGGTTCAAAAGCACCGAATGCGGATTGTTGGCTATCATTACGGTGATGGGTAACTTGAGCGCCATTTTATCTCCGCTTTTAGTGGCAACCACCCAATCTACCGGGTCCATCACTGCATAACGAGGCGACTAGGGCACACACCGGCTCGAGCCTGAGAGTTTCTCGTTGGGGCCCGTCCCCTTGTCCCCCTGAATCTCTCCTTCTTGAGATCAAACCCTCGACATATCTATCGCATCTCGATCGAAGAGGCTCTTCATGATCGAAGAGGATCTTCATGATCGAAGAGGATCTTCATGATCGAAGAGGCTCTTCATGATAAAAAGAGCCTAGCGTGGAGGAACTGGCGGTGGAATCGGAGGGAAAAAGCCCCACGGTCTCGCGGAGTGCGTAAAAATGGTGTATCACAGCGTTCTTGACTCGGCACGACCCACCTCGGCTGTTGATTGGACGAGGAAAACCACCCTTTTCAGGTCCTGCGGATCGCGCTGTCGGACAGGCTAATCAGTGCAACGCATTGACAGCACTAGCCGTCTACTGTAATACCAGAAAGGCCATCGCCCGAGTCCTTTCCAGTCTGCACCATACTGCTGGGACGTCCTTTTGTGCCAGCGTCGGGACAAGTGAAAAGGAGTGCGACTGAGAGCTGATTAGTGCGCGACCCGACAGCTTGGGTCACTGGCAGCCTGTCGAGAGGCTGGAGGAGTCATAAGACGCCCGCTGTGGCTCTTTTCTTTCTCTTTTCTCCTTTCTAGTCTCCCCCCCCCCTTCAAACTTTCGCGAATCCCACTCCGAAAACCGGGGTTTGGTGATACTTCCCGACATGGCGCTCAACTCCAATACCATCGAGCCCGACGTTCGTCACTCCGAGAATTCATTGCTAGATATTTTATTGACACGCTTTAGCTATCGGATAACGATTCGTCTTATCCCGGCTCGTATGTCTCCTGGCTGGGGTAGTAATGTGTATAGTACTAACCTTGTTATCAGCGGCGACTCTACGACTTACACAGAGAGCCTCACTTCGAGTGCCTTGAATTACCAGTAAGTGTCACGGATCAAACCTATGGTTTATTCTATTTCTTCTCAATTTATGGAACCTAGCTGATAATCCGTCAGATATGAGGTAGGACTCTTTGGCATGCCCTTGCCATTAACCCTTGCTTACTCTTCACCTAGAACGGTCGCCGGTACCATTCGTATCACGAGGGCGAATATTTTCTGGTATGTGATCCCTCTCGATATTCAATCAATTTTTTGATCTGATCTGATCTGATCTCCACCCAGCCGAACGATGAACAGGAACAAGATCGTCTCGATCTGGTTAGTGCTTACCCGTCTTTTCATATACCCTGAAGAATACTGACGAAAACAGAGCCATCACATTTATTTGATGCTTCTCAAAGGAGTTTTACAACTAGCACCTGCCAAAAAGTCTGGGCGAGTGCTAGATATCGGAACAGGTACCGGGATCTGGGCAATTGAGTTTGCGGAGTAAGCTTCCTTCCAGGACAACCACAAAGCTATGTTGCTAACTGGCTAAAGTGAGAACCCCGAAGCAGAAGTTATCGGTGAGTATTTTTTTTTGGGCTCTCTTCAGATTAAACCACCGCTGACATGGATACCACACGATAGGGATTGACTTGAGTCCCATCCAACCATCGTGGTAAGAATCCGGAAAAAATCAATGTGACTTGAAATGCTAAACTGCCAAGGGTGCCACCAAACTGTCGATTTGAAATCGATGACTTTGAACAGCCATGGTCCTACAACAAACCATTCGACTACATCCACGGCCGTGAACTAGCAGGGGCCGTCCGAGACCATGAAAAACTATTCAGGCAAGCCTTTGAAAACCTCAAACCAAACGGATGGTTTGAGATGGCTACCATGGAACCGGCCACCTTCTCGGATGACGGCACTCATCTCAAAGCGACGTGTCTTGTTGAGAGCGTAAAGTACATTCAACTGTCATCAAGGATGTTCGGGAAGGAATCAGACGCAGCATGTACTTGGAAGGAACTCATGGAAAAAGCCGGTTTCATCAATGTTCATGAAGTGGTTTATAAGGTGAGTGACTCGCTCCCGATCGTGAAGAATTCGCAAGATGCTAATTCTCCGACAGCTACCCCAAAGTCCCTGGCCGAAAGATCCCAAATTCAAAGAACTTGGAAGATACCACCAGCTCAACATGCTCGAAGCGATGCCGCCATACACGTACGCATTGTTCACTCGCATGCTCGGGTGGCCCCGTCATGAAATCGAAGCCCTGCTGGCAGGTGTTCGACGTGAGTTGAAAGACCTGTCGAATCATTTGTACACAAGAGTATACATGGTGTACGGGCAAAAGCCTGAATGATTCGGGCTGCTCAGGGTAATGTAAATACAAGTAATAATAGCTATGGCAATATTTCATCACCAATATACGCGGGCTTCGAAATTCAAAACTTTCTGCATGTCGAGAAGTCGTTCAAACCCCCATCATCAGATGTAATGTGCCATTTGTGAATGAGAACGTACTTCGGGACTCAACCTTTGAACCATCGGGGCGAAATTACCTTTCGATCTTTTGCCAGATACGATGGCGGCTTTAAAATTGACACAATGAGAGTTCATAAAGCATGACTATGTTCATATTGAATTCATATTTTCACAGGATAATGCCATCCGCTTGCTTCGTAATATCTCCCCTTGCCATTCATATGCGTCGTGATGCCATAAAAAAGGTGCAAGCCAATCCCTTTCATCACTGAGTCCGGTTGAGATCCATCTTCGCAACAATACCCGCAAGAGACTCAGATTGCTGCATTCGAATATTGTCGCGTATCTCATCCCAATACAGCGTCCCATCGAGTTCATACGCTTCATACATGTACTGTTCGTGGTCGGGGAGATCAAGGCGGTCAAGCATTATCTCATCAGGAGGCTGTGTGACAATGATCTTGGGTATTGGGGTCAAAGGCATAAGTTGAACCTGGGGCCAGTCACCGGGAAGTTCTGCGAAGCTTAATGCGGAGTCGGACTTGTAGGTTAAGCGAGCAGGGAGCTCGTCGTAGAATGGCGGGTCATCATGAGTATTGGCAGGGAGCTCGGCAATGGTAATTGAATCACCTTGCTGGTGGGATTCCCGAGGAGAAAGCTCGGCATAAACAACACCGTCGCATTGCTGCGGGGATGTCGGGGGAGTAATATCACCGGTGAGGTGTTTGATAGATCGGTCCAGTCTATTCTTGAACCGACCTAGTCTAGATCTCTTCTCGAGAGCGAGTTGAGAATCCGCTATTGCCCAGCGCTTCCGAGTGGTGGACTTGAGCTTGCCTTTGCACTTCAAAATCTCGAGTCGGTAGGGTTCCACGAGCTTGGCCAAATCTCGTGCCGCGTTGTCTGCGTCGGAAATAGTGGAGAAGATCCAGTTATATTCGATTTCGCCGAGGAGCTCGGGTTTGAAGTCTTTTAATTGCTTTGCGGAGGCTGCTTGATACAGCACTTGATCCGTCAAGTTGATGATTTCTAGTACTTGCTTCTCCGGTGTCGTCTGCGAGAAATCGGTTGATGTGCTGGTCTCCATCATGTGAATAGTGTCTGTGTCCATACTGGAAAGAGATGTGGATTGTTGAGATTGTTTGGCGGGCGATGACCCAGATGATGAAGATGTGGGGGATTGAGATGGGTGAGAGGATAGCGTTGGACGAGCAGACGTGGATGATGCTTTGGTTACAGATGGCTGTTCCCCAAGATGTCTCTCACTTTTCGCCTCTGAAGGAAATGAATTTTGATAGAATCGATTCGTCTTCTGATGCAATTTACTCGCAGGTTTATTCAGAATGTCTGCAGTTGACTGGCGGCATCGACTCTTGGAGTGTACCCAAGTATCTGCTGATCGATGCCAGGCTTCCATAGTCGTCTGATGACATTTATTCTTGGAGTCGGACAAAACACTTGTGGATCGACGCCACAGTGCGCGACTTGACTGCTGCCATTTATGCGTTGATTGCTGCCATAGTTCCCCCGGTCGGGCTTGCCCATTTGAGGAGCACATTTTGCAAGATGATTCCTAGTTCCAGTCGCACGGTGTGAAGGGAAATGGGCTAAGACAAGACACGACAAGGACGTCAAATAAGCACCTTCGTGGAAGCTGGAGAATGAGGTTGAAATCGAATTTTCCCCAGGCCTTGTCCCTTAAGCTTATTATAAAGAGTCCGATGTTTACTGTGCTTACTCGCGTTCCAAGAAGCGAGTGGGGCGCTGTTTTGAGGCTTAGACCGTATTGAGTGATCATCGCGGGAAATAAAGCGGTGGCCTGGTCGTTTCTTCGATCGAGATTGGTCGAGTCGTCTAAGTGGCTCACGCTAGACCGGGCGAAGTTTGGGGCCAAACCAACCTCTCACTGCCACAAATAAGATGCGATTGGCCCCTTCGAATCATTCCGACCGTGGAAATCCACGGGTTTCCAATTTCTATGCGGGGTTGCTATTTTGGTTATACGCCGCAGGGCTGATCATACCCTGAACTTGATTCGATGCGCCGTAGGTTTGCATCCATCTAAGCTTTCGATATGATTGCATACCACTTCCCCATGGTGTTTCGAATGAGGCCATGAGAGCTTCGATTATCGAATCCCGATGGACTCGGTAGTTGGGTTTCTGTGTAAGGCTGTGTCCACGAAGAGGTCAGTTTAGACCCCAAATGCTGCCTTGTGCCACCCTAAACAATCAAATACGACTAACACACACTAGTACTCAACAGGTCTAGGAATGCTTAGTCCATGAGGAAGCTAGATTTGAATGCAGTCTCCAAACTTAATGATCAATCTCTATATGTACTGCAAAACGCTATTGCCCCGAACACGAACTCCGGAACAGAAATGTCAAACAGTAATCGCAGTATCTTCAGTCCTCTTCATATTATCTCTCTAGTTCCCTTTTCCGGAATAGTATTCCTGGGCAGACCCACGCTGGTAGTATGAGGGCGGTGCATCTTCTCTGTCCTTCGTTTGAGGCTCAACACTGCGGGATTGTGACTGAGGGCGGGTATTGTTCCCCTGGTTTGGGTACGAATATCCCATTTGCTGATTATAACCCGGGTTATATTGCTGGTTGGGATAGGACTGAGGTTGGTTTTGGCCGTAGCGCTTGTCCTTCTTGTCCTCGTATTCATGTGCAGCTCTGTCAAATAACTATCGTTAGGAGGTATAGCCCTGAGAGGTCCGTAAGGAAGTAACTCACTTGGAGGCGGCTTTGATAAGGCCGTAGCCCCCAGCCAAAGTAAGACCAGTTTTGATGAGACCCATGATGAAGATTCAAGTTGAAGTAGAATGAAAAAGAAGAGAGAGAGAGATGTCGGAAAGCCTTCGGGTTGGATGGCGCTTGTTGAATTGGATGGGTTGAGGTCAAGACTGGGGGGATTGAAGACGTATTTAAGCTCGAGGGTTTTAACTCGGTATCTTCATTCTTGAGGCAGTGCGTGACCTTCCATTAGGTAGCACGATTCTATCCTGCAAATAGCTATTTTCTTCACTGCCAGTGTCCATGATAAGCGTCCGATCGAGTGACTGGTTCCCGCACAGCCTTGTGGGTCTGGGCACCACCCTGAACCAATTGACCGCCTGCCTTTTCCACGCTATTCCCAAAACTAGGCAACAACCCGAAACCGAAACCGAGCTGCCCTCGGGGCCAAAAACCCTTGCGCCTCCTTAAGTGACAAGCCTGCTTCTTCACCTCCACCCGTTCTAAATAAACTGACTATCCCGAAACCGAGTTGAAAATTGCGAGTCTGAATCGGAACCCAAATCCGAATCCGAAGCGTTTTATCTCCTTCCGGTGTGATCTACTGATCTACTGCAGAGCCATGCCACCCCGGTTGAATCATCGGAAATCTACCAGGGGATGTCTTCGGTGCAAATCACGCAAGGTCAAGGTAAGATCAGGGGAGGGCGCTTACTTCGTCGGAAATGCCAACATTTCAGCAGTGCGATGAAACACGGCCTAGATGCAGTCACTGTACCCGCCACGGTGTAGCATGCGAGTACCCTTCATTGACAACTCGTGTTTACGATCCCACTCAGCCCAAGCCATCCAATGTACTATCACGAAGAATAGCCCAAGTGAGCCCTAAGCCCTCATTGCCTTCTCCAGAGCTTGGGGAAATGCGGGTCCTCGAGTTACGCCTCATGCATCACTGGGTAACCGCTACCGCAGAAACGATGAGCTCGGCCCAACTAGCGGGCGTTCGTGATATGTGGGGTGTTTCAGTTCCTCAAATGGCTTTTGAATATGAGCCTCTTCTTCACACATTACTTGCTCTTGGTGCAGCGCATCGCGCCACACTCCTTCCAAATGAAGCAAGTTCCTTGCGCCCCATACATCATTCTTACATCGATTCTGCTCTTCAGCGACACCGTCCGGTGACAGCCACACTTGACGGGAGTACAAGTGAGTCAGTCTGCTTGAACGCTGTCTTGATTTCACTGTACACTCTGTTTCTACGATCGGAGTCTTCAACAGAACCGTATGAGCCCCCATTATTATGGCTTTCAATAGCACGTGGCATTCGAACCGTCTTCAAGGACTCTTATCATATCTTGGTACAGTCAAAGTCACGTCTGTGTCCTTTACTGCTGGCTCAACCAACGGTTTGGTTCCAAGGACCGTACAAGAGCCCGGAAAAGACATTCCATTTTCTCCTCGAATATCGTCGAGATGAAGAAGTTATGGATGAGAAGACAGAAAGAGCATACAGTGAGACAATCCACTATCTAGAGCGCTTATACATATCCGTGCAAAATGAAAAGCCCGATTGGGTCATTCGCAAGCAGTTCACCGGGTTTCCACCAGTTGTACCTGGCGACTTTCTTGACTTTTTCTACGAGAAACGACCACGGGCTTTGGTGATTTTGGCATACTTGTTTGCCTTGGCGAAAAAAGTTGAAAATATATGGTGGCTTCGCGGAATTCCCGAGCGAGAGGTCCGTGGTATCAACAGTATCTTGCCTCCTGATTGGAAGTGGACCATGGTTTGGGCCCTGAATCTGGTCTCCGAAGAGAAAGAGGCACCGAAGAACGGGCCTATCGTTCCTCAGCCGAATTGGAGTATGATCGACGCTTTATATTGATTGGAAATGTACAATAATACGATAATCACAATTAACTTCAAACTGAACGTACTTATCCCTAACCAGCACATTGACGGCAGATCGTAGATAACCTCACACTTTGGTCAAAGGGTGACTACCGCTTTAGCGATAACGAAGCAAGGCTGGTGACTGCTCGGTCCCGTTTCATACTATTTGGCCCAACTGAAATCAGACCATTTGATTAAGTCAATGAAAGGCCACATGTGGTGAGTGGAGTACAGCCTCCTGTCCACAGATAAACGCAAATCTGGCAAGCGCTAAAACCCACGCTAAAATTCGGGTTCGGTTTCGGTTTATTGTCCATTCCCTTCTGTGTGGCTTTAGCTCTAATGCTCCGTGCTGCCAATCAAAACCTACATCTGACAAGAAACCCACATCGGCCTGATCTGCACATTCAGCGCTCAGCTTATTCACAGCCCCAACGGTAGGCTCAGTGGCTAATGAAAGAATATATCAACAAAAAATACAATTATAAGTCATGTAGACATAAAATGGCTGCAATCTTCCCCAATATTTTACCTCTCGGTTTTTTTTACCTCATCTACAACAACCAAGCTTTTTCCAAATTATCATTCGAATCTAATATCCTACAAAAACCACCTTGATCCGTGGCACATCAATTCACTATGACATCAGCAGCCGAATCTCTTGAACTAGCCAACATAGTCTTCTACGCTATGGCTGTGCTTCCCGCAATTTACTGCTTCATCCAGCACGGCAAGCACGGGATCGTGGGCTGGCTCTATGTGATACTCATGTGTGGTCTACGCCTGGCCGGTAATGGCATATCCTATCATGCGATCTCCACAACGGGCAAGCCCAATACCGCTGCTTCCATTATCGTCGGAATTGGTCTCTCTCCTCTTCTTTTCTCAGCTCTGGGTATATTGCACGAGTCGTAAGTTCTATGTTTTTGTACCTGTGAATGTTTTGAGTGCTAATATGATTGTAGAAATACCTCTATCCAATCAGTCCTTTCTCCTTTTCTGGGATGGGCTGGCATGCTCATTCCTCATCTCGTTATTGGCGCTGGCATCGGTCTAGCAGCAGCCAGTGGCAATAATCTCAATTTGTTAAAAGTCGGCATGATCATCTTGGCCATGGGCTGGCTTATGATCACTGGAATGATTGTTCTGTCTTTCAAGGCAAAAGCACACAGAGGCCGACTTCCAGGAGAGAGGAAGGTATGAAATCTCACTTCCTCGCAGATTTTATGATTTCCTAGCTAACACCTTCATAGCTGCTTCTTGCTCTCGCCATTGCTATACTATTTATTGGGGTACGAGTTGTCTACGCCATTGTGACGGCATTCAGATACGGATTTTCATCTAGGGCCTCCATGCCCGTGCAGGTGATCTTTGGCACCCTACCGGAGTTTCTGGTCATGAGCATCTACCTTTCTGCTGGCATTGTGACTCGGAATCTACCTCGTGACCGTATGGAAAAGTCGCGGGTAACCGACAACACAGCCTATACCTCCGTCTCGGATCCGAGCTATGGCACCACCTACTACTCTGTTGCGCCTCCGCCTCAAGTCACCGGTCACACAAATGTGTAATATATGTATGAATGACTCTTCTTGTGATATTCTGGTTCCAACTGGGTGTATAAGTGCGACTTTATTTTATGCGTGACATTGGACAGCGAAGGCGTTAATTAGAATCAATGACACACATCTACAGCAGCCAATAGAGACAACGGGCTCATATTTTTTATCGAATCATTTTTCCTGCTTCGGTCAGCTTATATCTTATATAGCCGAAGCAGGAAAACGATAAAGATGGTTTAAATAAGTAGCCGTAATTTAACTCCCCAGACTCATTCGAAGACATTCAAATGGACATCTTAAAGAACAAAGGGGGAGGGAAGAGTCCTCAATAAGGGCCTTAAGACGATGCTTAGAAATTTATTAAAAAGTTCAATTTAACTGTTCCAGCCTATTTATCTTACAGTGACGGGTATCAAATGTAGGTCACTCATGACTCATAAATTGTCATTTTTACGAAGTTGAAGGCCTGACATCCAGGCGTCGGAATATATGCAGAATAGAAAGAAAAGTAGAGCTTTCTCCCCACAAATGTGTTCCAACATGAGCAATGGGTTTATTCTGATAATCTAGTGACGAATTTCGTAGAGTCCAATACGTACCAGGTTACTCCTGGATTAGTCGGGCTCCTAGGTTGGAATGATCGACCAGGGATCCACCACTCACGTTGCTCCCTTGTGGACCCTTAGACCCACATTGGGCCAGGCATCCGTCTGACAACCCTCTTCAATTCAGCCCCTGCTTAACCTGCTTTATAAAGTCACTCTGTTTCCTCATGAGCAGCTGGGGATCTGCAATTCTCATGCTTTCGCCATCGCCATCGCCATGAAGCTCGCGTCACTAAAGGTCCCATGCTCCGTGGCTGATGAGGACCTCTTCGGCCCGGTAGTTAACGCGTCTTGTCACAATGGCTTCGACTTTACTTTGCTTTTTGAGGAATTAATTCTTACTCTGATTCCAGCCTCTCTCTTCTTTTTGGCGGCGTCTGCTCGTATTTGGATTCTTCGTCGCGCCTCGGAGAAGGTCAATCGATCATGGCTGTATGCAGCGAAGGAGGTGCGATTTCCAATCGTATCGTGACACCAACAAATGATTAATTGAAAAGCATCTAGATTTTCTTTCTACTACATTTAGCTCTTCAACTCGTTATGTTGATTCTTTGGGCCCAGCCACCCACGTCCAAGACGAGGGCTACGATACCCACAGCCCTGGTCACATTATTTACTTTCCTCTTCGCCATATATCTGTCACATCTCGAGCACATGCGGTCCCTGCGCCCTTCAACTGTCCTATGTGTCTTTCTAGGGACAAGCTCGCTTCTTGACCTTGCGCGTATGCGAACGCTCTCTTTTATGCCACATAATCGACTGGTGACGATTTTGTTCGCCGTGGGATGGCTTGGCAAGGTCATCATTCTTGTTCTCGAATCAGTAGAGAAGAGAGCTTTACTGAAGAAACCCTTTGAAGGAAGCTCTCCTGAAGCCACAGGCGGTGTTTTCAATCGCAGCTTGTTCTGGTGGTTGAATGGCTTGTTGCGGAAGGGGTCAAAGACAACTCTCACCGTAGAGACATTGCCCGACCTAGATGAAGACATTAAGCAAGCATCGAACCCTCAAGACCTAATTCAAAAGTGGAACAAGGGTAAGTTTGAAGCTTGTAGATTTGACTTTCTAGAAACTGACATTTTCAAGCCGACAAATACCGGCCAAATTCATTGCTGTGGACATTCGCTTCCCATTACAAATGGGATTACATGGCGGGTATACTGCCACGCCTTGGCTACACTGCCTTCACTTTCACGCAGCCCTTTCTAGTTTCGCGGGTATTGGATTTTATGACTGAGCCTGAGCACGTCAATTCCGATTACTACGCTCGCGGCCTCATTGCGGCATATGCGATCGTGTACGTTGGTATTGCGGTAGGTGAAAACTTCCTCCCACAATTGTCTTGAAATCTTGGAAGGCTTATTTACTCTCTTTCAGATTTCATACGCTGTCTATACGCACAAAGTATTTCGGTTCATCACCATGGTCAGGGGAAGTCTAGTCACGATGATCTTCGACAAGACGCTTCGGATGAGTACTACGGCCATATCAGATGCGACAGCCGTAACTTTAATGAGCACCGATATTGAGCGCATTGGAAGTGGGCTCCTTGACATCCACGAGGTTTATGGAAATTTCATCGAGGTTGTGATAGCTCTCGGGCTGCTTGCGCGTCTGCTGAATGTTGCAACAATCGCATCAACGGTCGTTGTCGTCCGTAAGTAAATATCATGAACAAAAACTACTCAGTTCATGGACTGACTGAACAGTGTGCTTGATTGCTGGGATTCCACTCGCACTTGCGTCCGCTAATGCGCAAGGCACGTGGCTTGAGGCTGTAGAGGAACGCGTTGCTGTGACCTCCAGGGTTCTTGGAGTGATGAAGAGTATCAAGATGACGGGTCTAACAGAGACAATTGCCAACAACATTCGAGATCTGCGGTCGCAGGAGATCAAAGCATCATTCCTATATCGATTATACACCGTCATCATCATAACTGTTTGTGAGTTCAAAGTTCCCAATCTTCTCGCGGCCTTTCTGATTGGAATTTCATAGCTTGGGCATCCACGGCTCTGGCCCCAGTTTTTGGATTTGGTGTCTATGTTCTGCTGTCTCAGGCTCATGAGAGCTCTACCTTAACAAATGGTATTGCATTCTCGGCATTGACCCTGTTTTCACTTTTAGATCAACCAATGATCTCCTTCGTCATCGGAGCAGAGGACATCATGGCCGTTTCCAACTGCTTCCAAAGAATTCAGAAGCATCTTCTCGAGGTCGAACGTGCTGATTGCCGGTTGACACATCTCTCTCAACCTGCTCCGTTAATCGATATGCAAACAGACGGCAGCAATCTCACTCCAGGGCAATCTTGTGCGGTCATCCGCAATTTTTCGGCGGGTTGGTCCGTCGATGACGACCCGGTTTTCAGTAACTTGAGCGTTGATGTTCCAGCAAAGGGAACTACCATGATCGTTGGTCCTGTTGGCTGTGGAAAGTCGACACTGCTGAGGGTGCTACTGGGCGAAATCTCAGAGAGCTCTGGCACTATATCTACTACCTATCGAAACGCTGCTTATTGCAGCCAGTCTCCGTGGATCACATTTGGTACAGTAAAGCAGAATATCGTCGGTGCATCTCATTGGGACCGTCGTTGGTATGATCGCATCGTTCAGGCATGCGCCCTGCAGACGGACCTACAACAACTTCCGGCTGGAGACCAGACCAAGGTCGGTGTACGGGGATCTCGACTCAGCGGAGGACAGCAGATTCGTGTCGTAAGTGAAATCACGTCTTCATTAGATTTGTTTTATGGCGACGCTGACTGCCGCTCACTCACCGCAGGCTTTGGCGCGAGCTTTGTATTCAAGAGAATCCATCCTCATATTGGATGATGTTCTGACAGGCCTTGATCGCCACACTGAAAATTCCATCTTAAAGTCGGTTTTCGGACCCCAGGGCCTTGTGGAGGAGACTGATCAAACCGTCGTTATGGCGACAAATTCTGGTTCGAATGACTTACTTTTTCAATTGAACTTCATCTGACAGCTCACAGCGCACCATCTCTCACACGCCGACTTTATCGTTTCTCTTGACCAGCACGGGAAAGTTATTGAGAAGGGCTCATATGAGGAATTAATGGCTTCCAGCGGCTACGTCAGTACTCTTGCCAGCACACCATCAAAGGCCAATACGTCCAGGGCTCCGGACCTCTTACTTGATGATGAAACATTGCAGGATTTGAACCTTGAAGATGAAGAGACAGACACCACTAGCCGGCAAGCTGGGGACTGGACAATTTATCTGTACTACTTCCAGATCATTGGCTGGCCGCTACTCTTCTTATTCTTTTCTTGCGCGGTGTTGTTCATTTTTGGACTGATTTCCCCACGTATATAGATCAAATTCTTCTTTGCGATTGGGCATCAGCTAACTTGAAGACAGAAATTTGGCTCCAGTGGTGGACCACTGCAAATGAGACTCGACCGAATGAGAACGTTGGCTATTGGCTCGGTGGTTATACTGCGCTCGGGGTCTTGACGCTCCTTTCATCGTTCCTTGCAAACTGGTATGTTGGCACTCACGTTGAATAATTCTAGCTGATTCTAAATAACATCTAGGGTCTTTGGAATGATAATTTTGCCCAAGACAGCTCGCAAATTCCACGAGATTTTGCTCAGCACAACCATGAAGTATTATCATCTGACATCCCCTTCATGGAGCTATTTACTGACGGTTCCATAGAGCCACCACCTCATTCTTGACTTCGACGGATATTGGAGCTACTACAAATCGGTTAATTCCATCGGATCTCTATTCCAAACTTGCAACTAACAGAAATTGCACTATAGTTTCAGCCAAGATCTAGAACTGATCGATGAAGAGCTTCCATCCGCATTGGAGCTTACAAACCAAGCAGCTCTTAGCTGCATTGTTGAAGGTTTCCTTGTCTTCTTCGGTTCTTCGTACATCACCGCAGCTGTGATTCCAGTTTGTATTCTGGCGGTTTACTACGTCGCAAGATACTACGTTCGCACATCGCGCCAAATCCGAATCCTGGATATTGAAGCCAAGGCCCCTCTCTTCTCTCAATTCCTTGAAGCACTCAGTGGTCTACCGAGTATCCGTGCATACGGGTGGGCGGAGCACTATCAACGTCAGAATCAAATTGCACTCGATGCTTCCCAGCGCCCGTACTATATGCTTAAGTGCATCCAACGATGGTTGAATTTGGTGCTTGATTTGATCGTTGCAGCTATTGCTGTGATTGTGATTGCTGTTGCGACATCGATGAGGGGAAACTCGTTGAATCTCTTGGGTATTGCGCTGTTTAACATTGTTAATTTCAGTTCTACATTGCAGACGCTGGTCACGGAGTGGACGGGACTTGAGACTTCCATTGGTGCCGTCTCTCGGATTCGCTCCTATGTTCAGACTACCCAAACAGAAGATCTGGACTCTGAAACCGAATCTGTCCCCGATTACTGGCCTGGGTATGGCAATGTTGAGATATCGAACGTGTCAGCCTCATATGAGTAAGTGCAGTGCATGAGCGCCGATCATTGATACTAACTCGTCTCTAGTGAAACTTCAGATCCAGTACTTCAAGACATCAACTTGAAGATTAACGCCGGTGAAAAGGTCGCTCTGTGTGGTAGAACAGGAAGGTTTGTTTCATCTTTTCTAGCCCTTTGACTTTCCATAATGGCTCGCTTTTCTGACTATTTGCAGCGGAAAATCATCACTGATCTCAACAGTTCTGCGAATACTCGACCTTAAAAGTGGAAGTATCTCCATAGATGGCGTCGACATCTCACGAGTGTCTAGATCGCACGTGCGCTCTCGCTTAAATACCATCCCACAGCAAGCCTTCTTCTTGTACGGTACCATACGGCTCAACGCCAACCCAGAGGGGAATATGGAAGATGAAGACATCATCAATTCGCTACGTGCGGTCAATCTATGGTCGCACGTGGAATCCAAAGGAGGCTTAGATGAAGAGATGTCTGAGGGCTTCCTTTCCCACGGCCAGCAACAGCTATTTTGCCTCGCCCGAGCTATATGCAAACCAAGTCGGATTCTCGTCATGGACGAGGCGACCAGCAGGTATGACAGCTTTCGCTTTTTTTGTCGCTTTTTTTGTCGCTATGAATCTGACTAGTACATTGTAGTGTGGATTCCGAAACAGACAAGCTTATGCAACAGGTAATTCGAACACACTTTAAAGACCAAACTATCATCGCTATCGCACACAAGCTTGATACAATTCTGGACTATGACAAGATTGCATTTTTGGAGCAGGGTAGGGTGGTTGAGTTTGATACACCCAAAGCGCTTCTTTCAAGGGAAGGGTCGGCGTTTAAAGCTATGTTCGATAGCTTCCGCCATTCCTCGGAGTGAGATTGGAAGGAGAAGACGATCGATAGATAGGCAGTGCGGTTAGAATTTCCTACACATTTTAGAGAGAATCTTTTATTCGTTCTATTTTTGAATCCTATTTTTTTAATTCTCCAGAAATTATGAGCAATGGCGGCTATCGGGGTATTGCGGGCACAAGTCCAGACTAGCGTGTGTCACACGGCGGCTGACACCTTAGGCCCCCGCCACTTCGCCTGAACAGTAGTCGCGAGCACTTTGCGCCTTCTCTCTCCTACAGACACCTACCAAATCCCCTTTCCACGATGAGTGTAACCATCAACACGCTCCGCCTGTCCCTCGGAGGCTCCAAGAGCAGCTTGTTGGCGCGGCCCCCGATCCAACCTCCACTCTCCACCCGTACCCTATCTACCATTCCCCGCACTCCACTCAGGCAATGCAGACTACCGCCGTCGTCATCCACATTCACAACACATGCCATCCGCATGAACGAGACACATGAGCAGCCTAAACGAGGCTCGGATCTGGGGTCGAAGCCTTTCGACTCCACATTAGCCATGACTTTTGAAAATCTGGGCTTTCGCAAGAAGCTCAAGCTCCTTGTGCTTGTCATTTTGGGGACCTCTGCTGTCATTGAGACTTTGATTTGGGGCGAACATGCTTGGGTCTGGTGGAAGGGGGAGGAGGGCGATAGGATCGATTAAGGTGTGGTTTCTTCAACTCCGCTCCTGGCTGCGATCAGTGGGGTCCTTTGCATCATTCGCCGTTTTTGTCTCGACAGAGCATATTTCTCGTTTTATACCTCTTATGAATTGATGGTTTGGAAATTATCATATAGTCTAATCGTACAGTGAAGCTGCTCCACAGACACAAAGGGGAACAGAAAAGAAAAACGAAATTTGACAGAGTGGGTATCAAGTAACACTAGTATTGGAAGCAATGTAGTAATGTACAGAAATCTGGAGGATTCATATAGATTCCATTCGATGGCTGTCCGAAAGCCACGAGTGGTGCGTATGAGTAGACGAATCTTTGCCTGTATTTCGCCGGTGGCTTTGATCATCAACGCCAAAAGCGGTGGTGGCCGTAGCTGAGCGGTCAGAACGGTCTCCACTCCACCTCGGCTCTATGTGGAGACGGAGATCATCCGTGCGTAGTGATTGAATGTCTTCGATAGCTGACGAGTTCGTGCGGACAACAGCGAGCAGACTGTTGAGCACTGTGAATTCCATTTTCAACTTGACGCTGTAGACGACGGGTTTGTAGGTTGTCTGTATGTCGAAATTGCCGGTGTACTCGGTCGCTAGGAGAGACACATCTAGCAAGACGGCGATCACGTTGATGAGAACGATGTTCGTGATAATTCGTTGACCAGTGCGGCCTTTCATGGCCCATAGGGGTCGTAGCCCAGTCATTGTCTCCCAGATGTAGAGACCGCTGATGATGGTCTCTTGGACCGAGAAGCCGGTCAATTGGACGCGCTCGTAGATGTTGAATGGCACGACAAATTTGCTCACACCATGGTTACTTCCGAGGAACAATATAGTGGTGGGAACGTGCAAGGCGAAGAAGTCGAAGATGATCATGTAGAGAATCCAGCGAGAGTATCGCACATGGGTGGTCACCAGGTGGAGGCGTGAATAAAGCACCACCGATTGTCCGGTCACCATGGCATACCAGCCAATGCAGATCAGGACACACATGAGAAAGTTGGGGGCGAGGTCGAAATAGCGAAGGAATCCTGAAATGGCGTGGAGCAGAATACCCACTGTAGCGATCACCATACTCCAAAAGTACAGACCGCTGCGACGTCTGAAGGTGGAAAAGATCGCAATGGAAATTTCCAACACATTGTAAACTGAGAGGGTGAACAATCCTGCCATCACCATGGCTATCGCCCGCGACACATCGATTGGACCGGTTTCGCCAGCCATTTGGACTGTCCTTCCTGTCGAGCAGGGAAAAGGGGGCCTCGTTGGCTATATTCAAATGCCCTTGGTGGTTGTCTGACTGACCGCACAGGGGGGTTGACGGGCAAGCTCGCAATTCAACCCATTTTGAGGGTCACGATTAACAGCTGTGCAGTTGTGCTCCAGACTGAGCAGAGAGGACTGCCGGGTTAACATAAGTCTAGGTCGCGGGACCGGGAGGGGCCTGTGGGGGACGGGGACATTTCATAATTCCCTACGTTCAATAGACATTTTGTACTAACGGCATTGGGACTTTGAGACCTGCCTAATCGGCGGAACGGACCCAGTTAGAGTTCTGATGGATGCCGGGTTCGGGGCGTGTTCGGGGAAACCATTAGCTCTAGGCTTCTGAGGCTTGTGGCCGGTTGGCTATCGCACCCCCGTGACATCAGCGATTGCGCCGATGGTCGATCCCTAGTGGAGCCTTCATCTTTGCTGACACTTGTCAGATTCGATAGGAGAAAGGATCGTTGAAGATTCTCCTTTTCTTGGCGGCCGCATTTGGCACAGCGGGGCGGTCAGGCCCCCTTTTCCTATTTTTCAGATCAGACCATAGACCTTATTCGGATTAATGGGAAGCTAATGCGATCGTCTGAGCACAAGGCGGTTGTTCGTTTTCCCCCTGGAAATCACCACCAATTGGCAGAGATGACATCGATGATGATTGCTATCCTTGGATATCCTCTCTTCCGATTCTCTCACCTTTGCATTTGTTCAGTTCGGGGGGGGGGGACTGTAGTTTCCTGTCTACCTGAGTTCCACCCACGTCGATCCCGGGCCTCTCACTCCACATGGTCAGGAGGGAATGGCGGATGAGAATCACCAAGATACAGTAGTCCTGATCTGTTCTTGATTTGCAGAGTCTATACGTGTACCTGCATGATGGAGCATCAGCTATGACGTGGCCTGAAATATTTTCAGTCGTCAGCTATTTGGGCGCAGCAACTTCTACATGTGAACTCAGTGCCACCTAGACTGAATCCTCTCAGATCACCACTCAGCACTTTTCATATAATTTTTCAATTCAGTTCGGCGACTCGACGCAGCCTTCGAGTCTCAAATGGATTGATGCATCTCTATTTGGCCACAGACAATATCTAAACCTCACGTATGCATCCATTCTATGAACTCGGCCAATTCAACCACACACATCCTCAATCTGTCAGGCTTTGACTTCATGTCCACTTTCATCGCTGTCAAGCTTCTCACCGGCGACGTGTACGTCAATGCCATCATGGCGGATGCTCTCGCGGCGGATAGCCTCTTCGAGATACTCCGGCTTAAGCTGACCGTGCTTATCGTAGCGGTAAGGCTCCTTGATGGAGATAGACACGACGTTGAACACGTTTGTGGACTTCTTGAAGATGGCATCCATCTCTTCCAAGGAACGATAGCGCGTCTCTGGGAAGAAGAAGTACACAAAGGGGAAGATGAACGCGTTTCTGCAATTGTCAGTCCGAGCTTCAGGCCAGTTTTCTGAGCAGTGAAACATACATAACAGCGAAGATAAGGTACGTTTTGTATCCAATGCTGTCGAACGCAACTGGAGTAATCATCACCACCATGAAGTTGAAGATCCAGTTGGCGCTTGTGGCCAGCGCATTAGTTGGTGCACGGATTCGCAGCGGCACGATCTCTGCCGGGTATAACCATGTCATTCCAAGCCAACCGATGGCAAAGAAGGTGTTGAAGACGAAAAGGAAGACAGCTTGGCCGATGCCGGCCCGGCTATCTTTCAAGTGGGTCAGACGATAGTTGGTGCCCGCAAGAACGGCCATCGAGATCGACATGCCTGCGGCCTAGAATGCAAACGTTTCATTAGTCGATCTGATTTTGACAAAGCTCGTAATGATCAACTTACTCCGAAAAGCATCAGAGGGCGGCGTCCGACTTTTTCAATGATGAAAATGGGAATGAATGCAGCCATCAAGTACTCCGTGCCGTTGCAAGCTGCTAACAACTTCGGATAATTGCCTTTTCCAAGACCAATCTCACTGTACAGTACAGGTGCCTGATTCATCGTGTTAATATTGGGCAGACATGGACATATGAATAGGTTGAGGAGCTCACATAGTAGGTAATTAGATTGATTCCAGAAATCTGCTGGAACATCTGATTGATGTAGGCCAGCGCCACGCGATGAAATTCTCGATATTCACTCATATTAAACAGACTTCTGTAAGAGCCCTTGGACATTTCCTGGACGGTTGCCTGGATGGAGATGAGCTCATTGACGATATATGGGTCATCTCGAGGTTTCTCATTGAGGTACTCGAGAATTTCCAAAGCCTCGTCGTTCCGACCTTGCATCACGAGCCATCGTGGAGACTCTGGCAGGTTAAGGATAGAGGTGAAAATGACCACAGCGAAAAGAATCTGAATAGCTAGCGGGAAGCGCCAGGCTACCTCTCTGTCTCCGATAAATGAGAAGCCTATGCGGTCATCAGCACTTAATTCCAGCATGTGTCCAGCCCATTTCACTTACCGTAGTTAATCCAATAACTGAGAGTAATACCCGCCGTAATGAGCATACCCTCGATCATAACCATCTTTCCGCGATCGTGGGCCTTCGACGATTCTGACTGCCATGTCGGTACTGTACTCGTGTTCATACCATTTCCAAATCCGGTAACGATGCGGCCAACAATCAGATGAGGCAGAGAATACGCAGTTGCTTGTAACAAAGCTCCGGCGGCCATCGTCAAGCAGCCGCAAAAGATAGTCCGTCGCCTGCCAAGTGGATTGCCGATGAAGATGGTCAAAATGGAGCCAAAAAAGCAGCCCAAGTTATACGAGGCAACTGAAATGCCTTGATTCAAGCTTCGTTGCGACTTGGTAGCGCTGTCGATAGTCTCATCGGCTGTATTGATATCGGGGAAATATTTGATAAAGGATGGTAGGTCTAGGAGACCACCTGTTACACCTTGGTCATAACCAAAAAGTCTAGTTGGTCAGTTTACTATCAAGGAGTTATAAGTGCCAAGTGAGAATAACATACAGGAAATCAAGACTTCCAAGAGAACTTATAGCCAGGTTAAGAGACCTGCCTCTCCAACCAAAGAACTTCGGAATACCGAACATATTGTCCAAACACGGCGCGAACAGCGAGGATCAAACGAAGCACTGAGGACGGCAAACGGGCCCCTGACGGTCAGCCGGTTATATACCATGGACGACCATACTAGTTCAGGTCCTCGGATTGACAGATCCGGTAACCCGAGCTGCTTCGAAATCTCCAGTGCATGGGGATGGCCAAGATACGGGGAAGTCATCGGGGCCTGGGGATTCCACGGTTGTTCGGTTTGGGGGCGGCTCGTGGGGAAGGCTGTAACTGGTCAGAATTATTTCGAAATATTAATTTCCGCTCTGTAGCCTTCGGAGAAAACCCTTGGCGGAGCATGTAATAACTTGGCGGACTCTCGGAAAGGTATAGTATCTCTTGGCGGCGGTTTGGCCCAGCTTGGCAGTGGCATGGCACACGTTGGCGGCTTGCGCAACAAAAGGGCTTGTATGTTTGTTTCCTTTTTCCTCTTTACTCTGCTCTGGGCCGAATATGTTTCCAGGGCTAAGAGTTGTGGTAAGTATAGCACTGCCACTGCCTCGGAAGTTATTCAGCACCCGGTAACTTAGATGACGCCGCCAAGTCCAATTCAACGAGCTGTTCGCAGACAAGAAACCCCGTCAAGTTGAATCTTTTGGTCGAATGATCCATGGTGATACCAACGTCATTATATTGTGTAAGCTCGTATCCCTGTTCGATCTCATGCGCCTACTGTAGACTGCCTCGCATGGACTGACTGATCTAGAATGCCAAGACGTTGCACCGGGGCTTGTTCCTCGATAGGGCACGCGAAGTGCGCCTTTCCTTGGCTTCCACAGCCATTCCCGGCAGCCACTGCGGTCCGTAGCCAGAATCTAGGTCTGATTGAACCCGAGAGTAATGAAGTGCATGGTGTCCAACAGTTGAGTTCGTTGATCCTGAGGTTCACATGTTGAACCATTATGCGGATCCTATCTTCGACTTCAATTGACTCTTCTTGGAAGAAACAAACAACAGAAAGATTACCCGGTTTGTCTTAATCATTTTCAGGAATATTCCTATTCCTGAATGTGAAGCAGCTCAACATCTAGGTACCATCAAGAACCTTCCCATCAGAGGATAGACCACTCTAGCCTAAGTCGTCAGCGGGCAGGATATGGAAGAAGTCTTCTTCGACTATACTGAACATTACCAAAGAATCAGGGAAAACCAGTAATCATTCACATCACAGTGGTTGAGTCATAAGCTCGCAGGTCCCAACCCGGAAAAGTGAAGCCAAGAGGCCAAGAGCCAAGAAGTCGGAGAAATTCGGCCTTTGATTCAGCTTCGGGTATTACACCATAAGCACAACTTCGCCCCGACCGCTATGCTAATCGCTCGCATAATCATATGCATATCTCGCCCGACCCATAGGAAAGCTCTCGGCAACAGACGACTTCAAGTCTCCCAGATCCACCAATTCCGCTAAAGCATACAATGCTCTGCTATATCCACGGGTACTAACTAAAGAAAAAAGCCTTAGCACTATCGTTTGATATTAACGCGGACAAATGAGTTTAATATCTAGGCTGGAGAGTCACTAGACACACCGAGATACGTCAGAATCCAAGGACTACGTTTTGCCAGTACTTAGTTATATTATTGTTCATTTTTGGAATAAAGTCCAATAATCACGGCGACGAAACGCCAATGAAGCTATATGCAAAAAGCAATACTATCTGTACATTTAAGAAAAATAGGCCTGAAGCCAGGTTTTATCCAACTCTGGGAGGAAGATCGAATGATCTTTACTGCACGGTAGGCAGGTCGGCCGAAAGAGGCAGCTTGCGCGATGAGCTGCCAACGTACACCTTCTTCTGGGCACTGCTGACAACCCAGTTCTGCTCGGCAACGTCCCAGTTGGACAGGTCGCGGCGAGTGAGAGTGGCTGTCCATTGCAGCTGCTGGCCGGGGGCGATGGTGACACGGTCGAAGGCACGCAGGACACGAACTGGGTCTTCATCACCACCAAGGGCCACGTAAAGCTGAGGGACTTCGTCACCGGTGACGGAGCCGGTGTTGGTGATGGTGGCGCGGACCTGGATCAGCTCGTCGAAGAGACCAGAGTTGCCTCCCGAGGGTCCACTGGCGGGCAGAAGCTCCTGAGGGTTGCCGTTAGTGGCGCCGGCGGGAATATAGTCCTCGGTTTTCATGCCGTAGTCGGGGTCACCGGAAGACTCTTTGAGGTTGGTCGAGTTGAGCCACGGGTAGAGGTACTGGGTGACACGCTTAATGCCGCTGGGGAACAGGTAGTCAGAAGCCTGGCCGACCTTGCCGAGGACAGGGGCCTTCCTGGTCTTGCCGATGGTGGCATGGTACTTGTCGGCGTTTAAGGCGGTGATCTCCAAGTCAGAGAACTCGAAGCTGGTATAGCTCAGACCGTGACCAAATTCGTAGATGGGCTCCTCGCCATCCTTGTCGAAGCGGCGGTAGTCAATGAAGACACCGTCGTTGAAGTCGTCCTGAGGAGCTTCAATGCCGTTGTTGGGCTCTGTGAGAATAGCCGCACCATAGGCCTTGCGGGTCTTGCCCCACGTGAAAGGAGTCTTGCCACCGGGGTTGACACGGCCGTACAGGATGTCGACCAAGCTGCGTCCGCTTTCCTGGCCAGGCAGGCCAGCCCAGAGAATAGCGGTGATGTTGGGGTTCTCGTACCAGTCGCCAATGAGAACGGCACTGGGAGTGTGCATGATGACGACGGTGTTGTTGCAGTTCGCGGAAGCAGTCTTGATGACCTGCTCGCCGTTCTTCCAGAGAGTCATGTTCTTGCGGTCACCCTCGTTGCCGTCGACATTGATGTAGCCCTCGCCAGAGTCGGCGTTGACGAAGACCAGGGCGACGGTAGACTGCGAGGCAATGTCGGCCATCTGTTCCAGAGCGCCATTGTCGGTAACAGAGAAGACGTTGGTCTTGCCAGCGCTGTAAGTCAAAACCTCATTCTGAATGGCCTGTTCAGGAGTGATCAGGTAAGGGAAGTTGGCAGTGCCACTGCCCCAGCCCATAGCCAAGGTACCGTTATCACACCCGCGATCAGAGCAGCCGTTTGCACCGTAGGGGTTCGAGCCAGCATCCTCGCCGATGATTCCAACCATGGCCTCTTGGTGAGTCAGAGGCAGACCGCCAGTGTTCTTCAGCAGCACAGTGCTGTCGGAGCCGATCTTTCGGATCACATCAGCGTGGTCGCGCTGAACGTTGACGCGCTCGTTGAGCTTGACGTAGTTCTCGCTGACCATGAAGTGTTCGTAGCCGTACTCGTCGCGGGTCCAAGAGCTGAAGTTGGGAGGAGTGCGGTAACGGTCACGGCCGACCTTGTAGTAGGCAGCCATGATACGGACCGCCATATCATCCACACGCCACTCGGGAATAGTCCCGTTCAGCACGGAGATGGTCAGGTTGGTACCCCAGTATGAGTAAGGGCTACCCAGGAGAACGTCACCGGGCATAGACATGTCCAAGCCAGCAAGAGAATCGCTGACACCACTGTGATGCGCACCCCAATCACTCATGACAAAGCCCTGGAAGCCGAGTTCGCCCTTGAGCAACTTGTTCAACGTGTAGCTGTTGGAGCAACCATAGCTGTTGTTGATCTGGTTGTAGGAGCACATGACGGATCCCACGCCGGCACGGACTGAGTCGACGAAGGGCCAGAGGTACAGCTCGTGCATGGTCTTGTCATCAATGTTGGAGCTGACACTCTGAGTGATGTTGTATCCATAGCCCTGGGCCTCGCCTGCCTGCCGGAAGTGCTCTTGCTCGTTACCTATATAGTGCTTGGCACAAGCAATGATACCAGCATCTTGCATACCCTTGATGGTCTCGGCCATCATCACACCGGTAAGGACGGGATCCGGGGAGAATCCTTCCCAGACACGGCCACCGTCGGGGTTCTTGCCCAAGGGACCAGCAACGGGGCCCAGCTGAACATCCACACCCTTGTCGCGGTGTTCCTCACCCATCGCCATACCACGCTGGTAGGCGAGTCTCTTGTCCCATGTCGCAGCAACATTGATACCGGCGGGGAAACCCGAGTTGTAGTCAGCTGTTCGTGGTTAGCGTCTTGAATGGATCAAACAAGGGTATTATCGGGCAATATCGTACAGTCGCGAATACCGAGGGGTGAATCCTGCATACACATTCCCCACATTCCAAGTCTGTTCACACAATTTTTGTCAGTGATTCCGACTCAAGAAAACTACAATTCCATTCACCGACTTACCTGGGGATACCACCGGTTTCACCGACACATCGTTCTTGTTCCCAACTGTGGTTGTTAGTCTCACATGGAACTTCCCGATTAGGAAATGTGCTTACCCAGCACCAGTAGTCAGGTTGACCTTTTCGTCGAGAGTCAGGTTCGACACGAACTCGACGGCGCGCCTGTGGGCATCAGCCCAGTCACCTGCACCAGTCGACCAAGGCGAAGGGTAGTAAGGGGGAGAGTATGCCAAGTCCTGTTCGGCGCGACACGTCAGTTTTTCAATCTAGCCAGACACTAAAGTCAGACCACTCACACTGGCACCGGCGACCGAAGCCGTCAGGACGGCAGCTTCCAACCACCCGAGCTTCATGATTGCAGGGGTGTGAAAGGCTGGACCAATTCAGGGACTCAAAGAATGAGAGAACTGAATCTCGCAACTGTGGAAAAGGTCGTGGAAGGTTGGCGTGAACCTGGATTGCAGTGGGAATCTGAGTCGATTTAAATGTTTTTAGCAGTCAAGGAAGGGACCAACAGGGATGCCAGGGCATGTCGTAATTCTCCATAAAAATCAATAAACGGGGAAGCTGGAGGTGTGGAGAATGTAGCAATGATCGACAAATAGCCGGACCGCCACCAAACTACGTGACATTCAGGCACGCGTTGTTTTCTCTGTTTTCTCTGTTTTCTCTGTTTTGGCCTTGGCACCCCATTGTGGTTTGTACTCGCTTGGTGGGAATCTCCCTGGGACAGGGAGTGTGCAACTGTGAGAGGCTGGCAATGTGAGGGAGGTGGAATCCATGGACCCCTTTTGCCCTGAGATTCAAGGGGATCTGGAACCCCAGCACCCTCGCGTAACATCATCAGTGCTGTTACAGAGACTCTAATGTAAGACAACTTTGACCATGCTACTCCGAACATGCCGAACACGGCAGCCGCCTAAACTTCGGCGCCGTAAGCCATTTCTGCCGCACCCCACGTCCGTGCCCGCGTCTCCAGTGGTTCTGTACTTCTCCCGCTAATTCTCCGTTCGAGGCATGTAGCAGCTTAGACTCTCTAGCAGTGTGCAGTGTTACTGTCAGTTGGAATAATATTCATTCACATGTATTGACTGCAGGGTATAACGTACATTTCATGGCAAATGCACATTGAAAGAGGGCAAAGAGAGATCTGGAAGATCTGGAGGATCTGGAGATACTTGGTGCAGGCGATCTCCATCTGTCTTGCCCGATGGGGAAACTCCCCGTTGCGATGTGAGAAAACATTACCCAGGTACAACGCGGATAGTGCCTTCCCACAGAAACGACCTGGTCCTTGCCGTCATTCCGCGGGGCAAATGGGTATTGGTGGCGCTTTCAATCCCACATGGCTTACGATTTTGTCTACCCAAGCCATGGGTTCCGACAGAGCACTCAAGCTTAGGGCTATATGTACTTCCTATTACCACCTGGGTTGCTTGCTGGGTTCAATAATTAGTACTCAGTCAGTCTGATTTGTCTTTTTTTTTGAAAGGTGCACAGTCGACATGGCCCTGGGCTGAGATGGGGCTCGAGAGCCAAGCGGCGTAGGCGTTGCGACCCGTGGGGAGAAAAGTGCGGGGCTCCAGGCTTCAGGGATGCCGATGTACCCCAGGTCCTGGTTCCATGCGGCATTACTCCGTCAAAGAGGGGTCAATTTCTCGGCCGTTCTCGACCGGCTGCCACTCGCGAAAGAGTGTCTGCCCACTCCCGTGCCAAGCTCAACATATCACCCGACCAACGCGCATTGTCAGGCTGGCCTGCTCAACTAAGCTTATGCTGACTTAGCCTGCTGGTCAAGTCTTTGTCTCTCTGTTTGCTTCCGGTTAGACCTGCTGTTGGAAAACGCCACGGCATTTGGACGTCTGCACCGAAAGTGTTCCCCCATGCTATGCACGGGCATCGGGGAGGGAATTGCCGGCCAACCGGTCCCCGTGGGTCAATCCAGAAAGATCAGCATATGAAGCCATCAATTGCTTAGAATCATAGTTGTAACTTATCCACCGTCTTGAACACTACCCGGAGCCGTAGAATCACAATGGAGCCTTAATTTTCGCTTTTCTATCGACACTGGTCCGGCGCCGTTCCTTGGTGGGGACATTAAAGCCGAGCTCGATACATGATTGGCCTATACTCTATTCTCTGAGGACTGCGGAGAGTGGGCACGGGGAAATTTCAGGGAGTGCGAGGCCGGGTTTCCCCCAACACACTTTAAACTCTTCCCGATGGAGCTGTTTACCATGGAGACTGAGCCGATCCCTGCCCGATTTCCTTGTTTCTTGCTCGGTATTACGACTTGCTAGGCTGAGCTTGCCTTTTTCCATGGCTAATCGTCGGCAAATAGTCTATTGTTGTCATTTTCCTAGGGAACGAATGGAATAAAAATCAAGTCTTTCTCCGGGCTTCGTCGAGGTGGCTTGGGAAACAATACTAAGACGATTGCTCCTCTGAAGCATGATATAATTAAAAGATCTCGATGACAGTCTATCGCGGGGTCCTCAGATGCTCAATCATTCCGATCGGACAACAATATGGTCCGATCATTTGCAAGTAGGTAGACTTGTGTTTGGGCAGGATGACGACGGTCTGTGCGAACCACCCTTAAGAGCTCAATGCGTATTCAAATTTTTGTCGTCAAACTCAAACACTTTCCATTTGAAAATTTTGAACCTCAAGATATTATACCCTTCGTTTACACTGCTTCACTGCCCGTATACTATCTCAATGCATGTCTATGCGTGTCGTGTTCATCCCAGCGTAGGTCGGTTTAGTCACGTGACAGTCTGGGCAGCGCATGTCACTACCACCTCATGATTGGCCAGAGCAACTGCAAAGACAACATCTAGTAGAATTTGCAAGATAAAATCTAGAATACGATAAACCACGTTGTCTACTGTTTAATTTTATATCTTATTTGGGAAAGGTACAATTCAAGATGCCTGACTTGGAGGCTAACCCTCCCACATATATCCCCAACAACCATCATCATGACTCCAAACCCAGAGTTAGTGACAACGATGATGAAGAGAGTCACGCCCATGCGTCCAAACACACATCCGCATTCAAAAAGCTCGGCATTCTTGATCGCTTCCTCGCTGTGTGGATATTCCTGGCCATGGCAATAGGAATCATTCTTGGGAACTTCGTCCCCAGTACAGGTCCGGCGCTACAGAGGGGAAAGTTTGTTGGCGTATCCATACCGATTGGTGAGCTCCAAGTTTTTTTTACGGACTAGCCATATATGAAATGTTCTGACTGATCACTCTTATAGCCGTCGGCCTGTTGGTGATGATGTACCCGATCCTATGCAAAGTGCGATATGAGACTCTGCACCGAACATTCCGTGCCAAGAAGCTTTGGATCCAGGTTGCTTTTAGCGTGGTGATGAATTGGATCGTGGCTCCTTTCTTCATGGTAGGTCTTCGTCACGAAATTTATATTCTATAATTATTGACAGCAAGTACAGCTGGGCCTGTCGTGGGCGTTTCTTCCTGATGAAAAGGGACTAAGAGAAGGTTTGATAATAGTGGGAATTGCCCGATGCATTGCAATGGTATGTTCATCTCCACTGAAATGGGATACATTCGGCTAATTGAAGTAGGTTCTCATCTGGACAGGTCTTGCCGGTGGAGATGGAGAGTACTGCGCGATCCTCGTGGCGATCAACTCTGTCTTGCAAATGGTGCTCTTTGCACCTATGGCCATCTTCTTCATCCAAGTCATAAGCGATGGGGACATCTCAGGGTTGCAGTATTCCTTAGTGGCCAAGAGTGTCGGGGTCTTTCTTGGGATTCCACTCGGCGCCGCCATGGTGACTCGATTCGGGTTGCGTGGCTTGGCAGGTGAGAAATGGTATCAAGAAAAGTTTCTGAAATGGATCAGTCCACTGTCTCTGATCGGCCTGCTATTCACAATTCTGATCTTGTTTGCCTCGCAAGGTCGGCATGTGGTGCATCAGATTGTCTCCGTGGTTCGAGTTGCTGCCCCGTTGATCGTTTATTTTGCTGTGATCTTTTTGGCGACGCTGCTGGTGACCCGGCGACTTGGCTTTGGGTACGAGCTTTCCTGTACCCAGAGCTTCACCGCTGCGAGTAACAACTTTGAGTTGGCTATTGCGGTCGCCATCGCTGTCTTCGGAGTGGATAGCGACCAGGCTTTGGCGGCCACTGTTGGGCCCCTGGTCGAAGTGCCCGTGTTGTTGGGGTTGGTGTATGTAGTCAAGTGGTTTAGCAAGCGACATGATTGGTAGTATGTCATAGCTATATACCCAGCTGGTCAATTATATGTTGTTGCTGATTTCATCCAACACTTGAAATAAAATTTGATTCTGTACTCGACAGCCGTCGCCAGATTTTTCTGATCTGAAGCCAGACCAAAGTCTCCGCCGTATCTCTTCTATATCAGCTCCACTTGTGTTGTACTGGTTGATCAATTCGTCCGCAATGGCACACATGGTGGTGTTCATCAAGTCGTCATTAGACATAGTGGGCCAGACCTCTGAGCTCCCTTGCCCTGAACCGGAGCAGCATAGGGGGGCTAGATTTTTCAAGTTTTGAGGAGATTGCTCCTCTGTCGGTTTCACCTCTGCCGCATTGCACACGCCACGAACCGCTGGTTTTTCATCTATTTTTTGATTCCCATTTTGATCCCCATCAGTAGCCTGAGAGGCTGTAAAGGAACATGGGGGAGATGGAGAAGGACATGGTTTGTTTGTTCGATGCATAGCAGGAATTGCGACCTTACGACCCACTGACGCGCCTTGATCAGCCAAATTCACATACTGCTGGATCAGATCGGCTGAAACTCCAAGTGACCCCAAAAGGGACTTGAGGTTCCGGTTCTCGGAGTCCAGTTTTTGCAGGACGAGCCTGTGCTCAATGTCCTTCTGCTGCGCTTCTTTCTTGTACGCCGCCAGCTGCTGCTCCAGCTCCCGCGTATACTCTTGCTTCCGAGCGCGACTCTTTCGCTGATTGTCGCGGACTCGCGCCAAACGCTGAAGATCCTACCCAGGCAGTCAGACATTGCTTTCATGGAGTAAAGTAAGAGAGCGGACACCAACCTTTTGGCCTTTGTCATCCATTACGACCGCACAGAGTTATCCTTGGGAGAAGAAAATGCAGCGCATTGCGAAAGAAATCAAGTTAGGCTACAATTATCTCCCGCTAAAAGGTTTCCGCCTATCTGAATCGTCCATCTAATCACGTGAGTTATATCAAGCTTTATTATGCGCCTTATCTATGAGGCACCCGTGGAGCTTCTCCAATCTCATCGAAGTCTATCGCAGTACAGTTGGAGCTGGAAATGATACTCGGGAAACGATAGATGGAATGTGGCTGGTAGTCCGTGCAACTTGCGCAAGGGGAGAGGGGGGTAAATTATGCCGATTGGATCGACTCTGGAGATGCATGAGCCCATCGTGGGGTAAACTAGGGGAGTACAACCAAATACATGCTTTGAAAGTCGGACATGAGACTCGAAAATGGGCCTGAACCAAGCCAATAAGCAGCGGAGCGCATGAAGGCGAATCTTGGCCCAAAGCGTGATCGCGCCTGCATATTCTGCCCGCAAGCAGCTGGCCGACGTCACTGGCCGTAACTGCTCCAAGTGTGGCATGCCCCAGCCTTTTCCTCCCAGCTGAGCTTAGCGCTCTACCTGGATGTTCCCTCTACATTCCCCATATATCCAAACGCGCGCGCGATCGCGCGACTGTTAATTTACTGCTCCTTTCATCTCTATCGTAACTTGCCCGCCATGGTCTCCACGCGACATCACCCGAGGGAGTTTCCCTCGCCTGAAAAGGCTTCGAAGGAACTAATCAAGTCCTCACCTGCCACCACGGCCAACGGCAACTCGCGCAAATGGGTGCATACCCCCTCCGTCGCGCTCACAATCTGGCTCTTCGTCTCCTTGCCCTTGGTCGCATGGGATGCAGGCTACGTCCTATTGCGCCCGCATAGCATGCCGGGAGGCCGACTACATTCACCCATCTGGACCCCCTATGCGCTCTACGGAACGATCGACTATATCTACGGCTGGCCCGCCTACAATGCACGCAACGGATTCACCGCTGCGCAGACCGCGATGAACATTGTTGAGACCATCGGCTACCTCTACTACCTGTGGATTGTGTACTTCTATGGCTCTACAATCCTGAGCGGTCGTGGTGCGCGCAAGACCCAAAAGGGCCTTGTTTGGATGTTGACTGGCGAGAAGGTCGTCCCTGGTCGTATTGGCGCGATTGCGCTCCTGGTCGCATATACTGCTTCGGCGATGACCCTCAGCAAGACCATGCTTTACTGTATGTTGTGTGCTTCTTGTCGCGATGGTATGCGCTAACTGATTTAGTGTTGAACGAGGTCTTCTCGGGCTTCGACAACATTGGCCACAATGATCTGTCGGCTATGATCTTCCTGTGGATGATTCCCAAGTGAGTCTAGCTTGGCGCATAGCCTGTCGCACCCTTTCATAAATAAGTACTTGGAGATTAACCTATTTGATGCAGTGGTCTCTGGATTGTCTTCCCTACATACAATATGTATGGTCTCGGCCTGGAAATACTGAATGCACTTGAGCAGGCGACACCGCGCGGAAAGCCCGGCCGCCCGAAATCCACATAGGTCCAATCTTTGCAGAGTAGCTACCAATGAACAGAGATTGTTCTTTCGGGGAGGCATTGGACGGGCAAATGACAGAGCATTGCCGTTATGAAATTTTTGGAGTCGGCGGTATCGGGATTGTGGAGAGGGCTGTTTAAATGTGTTACGAAGTGATATATGGAGATCCAACCATTAAGGTCTTGGAGGACCAGGGTAACCCCTGTCCATTCTTATGTATTTTGGTCTCGGGACCGTCACTAGTCCGAATATCTATTAATCCACCGATCGATGGTCCTACAGCGATAGTTCGGCCCGAAGGGACCACCTGCAGGGTACCTAGCGAGAAGGGGTAATCACTAACGGGCGGACTATCGATATCGCCACGGTCTATAGTTGTTTAAAGCTCCGCCATAGCTCCAGGATGATTATATTAAATGACTAACATCCAATTTACAATATCCGACAGCTTGCGGAGGTGCCTTACGTTAACCTTCGTGATGTGATCGTAGCCGAGTTCGGACAGCATGTAACATGAGAACGTTGATTCCGTGGGTCCTTGCACTGTTCCCTTTTTTGCACCTATGTGGTCAGGCGATTACTGTGTGGCTGGAATTACTGGTCAGTTCATTCGTCATTTAATCCCAGCGTAATCTTTGCGCTGCCAGTGGACGCTCGTGCCAAGCCACCACTCGCCGCTGAACCTTTCCCCATATTCCCATAATCCTTCAATCTCCTCACTTTCTCCCTCCGACCCCGACTTTGCCCGCCTCAACCCTTCGAGGCCCTTCGAGACCCTTTTCGGCCAGATCTCGGGTTTCGCTGTCGACTTCCCCATCCTCTACCCTCTTGACCGCGCTGAACGATGCTTCGGGCTTGGTTCCTGGGGTACCCGCACCCGTCATGATCCCTCCCGACTCCGACGATTCGCCATTGAGAACCTCTGGTGCAAGCTTCGGCTTGGGCCAGGAGGAATCGGCGGCGTTCCCAGACGACTTTGATACGCAAAGCCATGCAAGCTCCCGCGACCCCGGTAGCACACACACAGGCGACCCCGCGAATGGCCCCGACAACGGCGGGCAAGATGACCACCACACTAACCAAAATGACAACGGTGAAGCCCTGGACTCGGCAACCGCCGATAATGACAATGATGATAAGCCGGTCTGGAGTGAAATGAAGACCAAGGCTGGCAAGGAAAGGAAGCGACTGCCGCTAGCCTGCATCGCTTGTCGCCGGAAGAAAATTCGATGCTCGGGCGAGAAGCCCGCTTGTAAGCACTGTACTCGCTCGAGGATTCCTTGCGTATACAAGGTGACCACGAGGAAAGCGGCACCGCGGACAGATTATATGGCCATGCTGGACAAGCGACTCAAACGAATGGAAGATCGCGTGATCAAGACTATTCCTAGAGACGAGGCGAGAGATATGGTTTCGATCGGCAGGTCGATAGTTAAGCCCTCTCAATCCCAACCCACCAAGGCCCAGAAGAAACGAAGTGCGGAGGAAGCATTTGCCACGGAAATGGACGATTGGACTCGAGGAGACCGTCGACTGCCACATGAAACGTTCCCAATGAATCGCGAAATCAAATCAACCGATGGCACGGGGCTCTTGACCGAAGGCGCAGAGTTCTTACCCTCATTGGAGATACAGGAGCATTTAGCTGAGGTCTTCTTTGACTGTGTTTATGGGCAGTCGTACCTCCTTTTACACAAACCGAGCTTCATGCGCCGGCTCAAGGCTGGCACAGTTCCCCCGGTCCTCATTCTCGCCGTCTGCGCCGTATCAACCCGATTCTCCACACATCCACAGCTTAACTCAGATCCTCCGTTCTTGCGCGGAGAGAACTGGGCCAATCCCGCCGCGGCGATTGCTCTGAGTCGGCATGACGAGCCCAACATCACCATTCTAACCGTTTTTCTACTTCTTGGACTGCATGAGTTTGGAACTTGTCACGGTGGAAGAAGCTGGTCCTTCGGAGGACAGGCATTGAGGATGGCATACGCCTTGCAGCTCCACCAAGAGCTCGAGCAGGATCCCTTGGCAGGTCAAAATAAAACAAACTCGCAATTGAGCTTCACAGATCGAGAAATCCGACGGCGAACCATGTGGGCATGTTACTTGATGGACCGATACAACTCGTCAGGAAGCCAGCGCCCACCAATTGGAAATGAGAAGTTCCTTCATATTCAACTTCCCATCAAGGAGACTCACTTCCAAATGGAGATACCAGGGCCTACGGAAGACTTGGATGGGGATGTTCCCAATCCTACGCCCGAAAACTTTGGCCAATTATCCAACCCTAGGGAGAACATGGGAGTATCAGCGTACATCATTCGCGCCATCGTCATCTGGGGTCGTATTGTCGACTATTTGAACCTCGGTGGTAAACGAAAGGACCCTCATCCTCTTTGGCACCCGGATTCTGAATATACGCGTATGAAGCGGCAAATTGATGATTTCTCTGCCTCGTTACCAAGTTCCCTTGTGTTCACCTATGAGAATCTCCAGATCCACGCCGCGGAGAAAATCGCAAACCAATTTCTGTTCCTTCACATCATCATTCATCAGAATATGCTGTTCCTGAACCAGTTCGCCATTCCCCTTTCGCCAGGTGGACGACCTCCTAGGGATATGCCCAAGCCGTTCCTCAGCAACGCCGGTCGAGCTGCGGTGGAGGCTGCCCATAATATCTCCGTGCTCTTCGATCGGGCCTCCGCCTATCCTCTTACAGTACCATTTGCTGGTTACTGTGCCTATACAGCTAGTACAGTTCATATCTGGGGTATCTTCTCCAAGAACGTGCAGTTGGAGGCTCGATCAAAAGAGAATCTCCGACATACATACCGCTACCTTAACAAGATGAAGAAGTACTGGGGCATGTTCCATTACATGGTGGAAAGTGCCAAGGACCGATATAGGCAGTTTGCCGATGCAGCTATCAAGGGATCTGTGGCGAACCAAAATGGCACCAATCTGGCACCGATGTTCCAGTACGGTGACTGGTTTGACAAATATCCTCATGGTGTGTCACGACTGCACTGGGAAGACCCAGACACCCGACACAAGGAGACGGGCGATGATGCTGTTATGGGACAAAAGCCCGACCTCCAGAGTGTCGAAGACTTCTTCGCCAGTCTATCCCCAACTCCACAACCAGCCGTCCCTCGCAGGTCACGCTCGCGCAAAGGCAGCAAATTATCCGACAGCACTCCAGGCATGGACCAAACCTCTCCATCACAAATGGACGTAACAATGGCAAACACCCCGGGCGTCCCTGGCAGCGCGTTCCCCCAACCCTCAATGTTCTCCCAAAACCGCTCCATGTCCTTTGGTCAACCCCCCTTCGACTTCAGCATCCCACCAGATCAGCTCCCCCAGCTCGACCGTCAATTTGTTTACGGCTCATTCAACGACTTCGACCCAAACAGCTTCGTCCCCAATAACCCTGCCATTCCCCCCGCCAACGGCGTCGAGCAGAGTCCCGACCAGTCCCTCTTCACTGGTCAACTAGATCCGGGCGCTCCGGCTGGAACGGGCGAGTTCTACCAGCCAAGCGCATGGTTCTTACCCTTCAACCTTGACCCAGTCGGCATAGCAAACCCACCCCTCGACCCAGTCTCAGGCGCTCAACCACCCGGAGGCCCAACCTCAGGCTCTGTTCCAGGTGCAGGTGCTCCAGGTAATGATGAAATTTCCGGCTTTGGCGGGCCTCTGAGTGCCTTTGAACTGGGCATTGGGCCTGACATGAGCCAAGACTCGCGACGATAGGTGTGATGACTTGCCTCGTGCCTTCATGACCGAGGCGTTTACTGTATGGTAGGGCTTGGATTGGTTCAATTGGTGTTTTCCCTCCTTTTCGTTTCTGCGCCGTCTGTTGTCAAAAGCCCGGAGTATTGCATTTTTTTTGTGTATTTTCGCACATATGTTTCGACTAGTGTCTGCGACTTGTATATCCGTAGCCCTCTGGGTGAGCTGTTCGAATGAAGTGTCTTCATGATTCAAGTCAAGTGTACCTTTCGTCTAGAGAGCTGCAAATAATAAATATCTAGGCAGTAGACGAGTTGATCTATTCATATCCCTCCTTATGCCAGAGGTATGCGTGCCGAATCTCGGTAAAATAGGGGTTCAACCGGTTCATTTGGGGATAGAATAAAGGGAAGAAGAAGAAGAATGGCAAAAATTGGCAAAAAGAGCACTCCCTAGATAACTACTGAGGCGCTTGTTGGTTTGCATCATCCGTGAATCGAACACGGGCCTCGTCGATGGCAACGACGAATTCTACCACTAGACCAATGATGCTATTTGATGTAAAGTTGTGGGTATTGGCGAAGAAGAAGAAAAAGACAAGACCGAAAGAATAAATAGATGAAAAAAAAATTACAAACAAGAGCTTTCTAGAGAGCTGGCAAAGCTTGAGATATGCATCATCCGTGAATCGAACACGGGCCTCGTCGATGGCAACGACGAATTCTACCACTAGACCAATGATGCTAGTTGTTGAAAATTCTTGGCAATTTTGGCATTATTGAGCAAAGCTTCATCCATTGTGCCTGTCAAGCCGATCAATTGGTTTGTCATGCTGCTAATTAATTTCCATTTTTTGGGTTTGCTGAGATTCACTTTTTTACTATTCTTGAACTAGACATGCTATTTCAATTGAGATAGATTGAGCTTACATGATATCAGTTAGTGGGTATGTCGCCTTGAATGGGGCCGGCCCCCTTCGGGGGTAGAAAAGTTGTTCTTTCTTATACGTTTAGCTTATTTGTATGTTCATCCCTATAGTTAGTTAAAAATTGTCGATTTAGGAACTATATGATAGCAGAATTTTTAATGCGTATTTATGGGTGACCACTTTCGTATTCTGACAGGGTGATTAATTCACATGGTGTAAAAATGTATCTTTTCCTGGAGGGATTCGGATCAGGATCATCTATAGCCTTCGTTGCACCGTAATCTCCTGGCATTTCATCCCTTTCCCTTTTCTCCTTTACCTGTTTGCTACAAATCACACTTATTGCCCTCTCGATGTCACCCCCGCCAAGGAATAAGAATAGGGATGCCCAATGAGCGCAACTCATGAGACTAATCCAAGCGTCTACATGAGCACAAACGGAGCAGAATGATGCTCGATCCTCGGCAGGTGTATCATTATCCAAGTCTGAAGGAACATGGGCACAAACCTCCAGATGCTGGGGAATCGTCGGCTAGAGTTCAGTCTGAGTTCATTCTAGGCGGGTGCGTTACTCCAGGGAGCGATAAAATATAATTTAAACGGCGTTGATCGACTAGAGCAACCGACCATGAGCTATATAGTATGTGATGGTGATTCATATTTGCGTAATTGAATAAGTTCTACAGTGAAACATCCCCCACGACGAACACACGGTGTCTCCCGACGTGGTATAACAAAAACAGACTGAACTTAATCATCCCATTCCTCATCGAGTTGATCAATCAATCGATTCTCTGCATCCACATCCCTTCTTTCTCCCTGACCACCGCGGCCACCGATAGCGCTGATGAAACCACCACGGTCATCACCGCCTGCACGAGTGTAGCCGCTGCGCGAGGGTCGATTGGAACGGAAGCAGTTTCCGAGAGATGAGAATAGAATGACGAACATATCCTGCAAGAGAGAAATCAGCGCCCTGTCCCATGTAGAAGAATAATAAAATGAAAGTAAGCCCCAGGAGCGGTCAGAAGAATCTCGAGATGCAGCGTGTAGTATACGAGTCCTTGGAGCTGTGTTTATCTAGCAACATCCAAAAGCAAACAACCAAGTATGAGAGGAAGTAAGTCCACTGGATATTGCCAGATAAACAGTCCAATGGTGTATGAAAATCGTAAACTCGCTCGAAAGTCATAAGAAGTACACGCTGTGCTCAACACAGACGAAGCCGGGCAGATAACTGCAAATAGAAACGGAAAAAAGTGGCAAGGACAACACAAGAGACAAGCGCTTCTATAGATGCGAATGAGACTTCAGACCAGCTGAAGCCATTCTAATCTAGCCGTGAGACCGGCAGTCCGGCTATGCTTGAATTCTTGTGCGAATGTAAAGCCGTGTTGCCAGACCTATTCTCTCGAGATCGACAGGGAACGAAAAAAAGGATACTTACTTTAACAAAATCGAACATCCCAGCCCAGAGACTGAAGTTCGGGCACTGGCGCCAACCGCGCTGGTGCATGACAGTTCGTTGATAAGCACAACCACCGACCATATAGACGACCACGGCGATAAGCATACTGGAAAAGGGGATTAGTATCGCCCGAGACACACTCATACGACGGGACAAACTCACATCACACCAAAGACTCCGCCCGGCCCCATCCCGCCGGAGTTCGGATCGACTGCGATTCCACCACAGGCGGCGGAGCTGCGCACCTCAAAGAAGTAGGTACAGGAATCCATGGTACCGACGAAGGAAGGAGTCGCCTGAGTGGGCAAAGCATCGCGATCGCATAGGAAGGACATGATAGTGGACTTTCTTCGGATGGATGTGTTCGAGCTGGCGGTTTTCCAGTCATCCTCGCACGGCGAGCCATTCGTATAGTTTAGGACGAGTTTACGACCGCGGAAGAACGGATCCGAGGCTTCTTGTCTGTTCCAGAAATGGACGGGTTAGCATGGAAAACGCAGATCCTCTGAATCGCCGTACCCAATTGAATATGTCTTATTATCGTGCACATAGTATGCGCTGATGTTTTTCCATCGCGACGAATCCACTCCCACCACGTCCTCTACCGTCTCCAGGACCGGCGAGCAGATGTTCAGCGTGAAGTTGGCCGGGTAGTCGTGTCCCCTGGCGTGCCAGCTCTCGTCGCGATCATCCTTATTCACTCGTTTCCCATCCTTCCGTTCCGGCGGTGATAATGAGATGGCGCTCAGGTCGAAGTACATGCCACTGGTGGGCGAGCGCGCGACACAAGGGGCGTCATCTTTCAAGTGAGAGTTCTCCGCGGCGGACAATCCGAGGGAGGATAAGAGGAGTAGCGCATAATGAGCCGAGCCTGTTAACTTCATGGTCAACCAGTTCGAGCGTATTCGGAAGGTTGTTGAAAGTGGAGTTTCAACAGGGAACCCCAAGTCCGACTTTTGGAGCTTACGTTACATCCCCAGTGATTGGAGCAAGGGCGGGCGCCCAGCTTCCGGCATCGTACGCGGAGCTCTCAACCTTACTTAAAAGTCCTCGGTGCTGTTTTCACCAGGCAACAACCCTCTGACTGTCACCATGGCTCCCAAAGCCGCCAAGTCCGAGAAAGCCGTGAAAGCCGTGAAAGCCGTGAAAGCCGTGAAATCTGTTCCCATTCAGCCTGTCCCTGAGAAGCGCGGCTATGAGTTCGGTGGACCGTATGTCTCTTTGCTCTAGCTTCAATGCCACTTGAGGCTCTTAGCTGACCAATTACTCCAGTCTAGGAGCTGCAGGAATCGTCTTCGGTCTTCCCGTCCTCGTCTATGTCTTCACGTTCGTCTGCAACGATGTTTCAGGCTGCCCCGCGCCGGGGCTTCTGAGTCCCTCGACCCTGACCCTCGATAAGCTGAAGAGTGAAGTGGGATGGCCCGAGGAGGGGGTGGCAGGGCTCTTCAGTATCGAAGCGACCCTCTGGACTCTCAGTTACTATCTCTTCAGCCTGTTCTTGCAGGTCTTCCTCCCCGGCCAGGTGGCCGAGGGCGTGACGCTGGCATGCGGAGGCCGACACAAGTACAAGCTAAATGGTATGGAAGACCCCTTTGAAGTGCTAGGAGAATGCATCTAGAACATCGCTGACACTCCTGCATCTAATAGCCTTCCCCTCTGCCCTCGTCATTCTCGGAGGCTTGGCTGCTGGGACCTATATGGACGGAGCGAATTTCGTTGTTTGGACCTTCTTGTGGGACAACTACGTCCAGGTCATCACCGCTAACCTCCTCATCGCCTCGGCTGTCGCAATTTTCGTCTATATCCGCAGTTTCTCTGTTCCTAACCCTGGCAAGCCTAACCCAGAGCTGCGAGAGTTGGCGCCTGGTGGTCACACAGGCAACCCGCTGTACGACTTCTTTATCGGTCGCGAATTGAACCCCCGTATCCGCCTACCCATTCCCTTCATCGACGAGGCGTCGCGTACCATCGATATCAAGTTATTTATGGAAATGAGACCCGGTCTGCTGGGATGGACCATTCTGAACCTGTCCAACGTGGCCCACCAGTACCGAACCTATGGCTATGTGACCGACTCAATTATTCTGGTCACCATCTTCCAAGCTTTCTACATCCTGGACGCAGTTTACATGGAGCCTGCTGTCATGACTACCATGGACATCATCATGGATGGATTCGGCTTCATGCTGTCCTTCGGCGACGTGGTTTGGGTCCCCCATGTGTACAGTATCCAGAGCCGTTATCTCGCCGTCTTCCCTCTTCAACTGGGATGGACTGGAATTGCGCTCGTTCTGGGTGTCACTGCTGTTGGATACTCCATCTTCCGCGGTGCCAACAACCAGAAGAACCGATTCCGCACCAATCCCAACGATCCCCGCGTGAAGCACATCAAGTACATCGAGACCGCCTCTGGCTCGAGATTGATGACCTCCGGATGGTGGGGCCTAGCACGTCACATCAACTACCTCGGTGACTGGGTCATGTCGTGGGCTTACTGCTTGCCTACTGGCATCGCGGGCTATGCCATGATCGAAAGCATCAGCCCAGTCACTGGCAACCTTGAGAAGCAGGCTGTTCAGACCCCCGAGGCTCGTGGCTGGGGCATGATCCTCACCTACTTCTACATGCTCTACTTTGGAGTCCTGCTGATTCACCGTGAGATGCGCGATGAGGAGAAGTGCAAGAAGAAGTACGGAGCTGACTGGGACCGTTACACCTCCATGGTCCGTAGCAAGATCATTCCTGGTATCTACTAATGCGGTCCAGCATGGACCATCAGTGTATCACCATCGTCTCTGCGAAATTCTCGCGAGCACTGTGTTTCAATCTTATTGTATTTAATACCGACGCCCCTCGCCTTCAGGGCTGGCCAAGAGCCATGAAAAGTGCGCTTTGTACAGCACCATCGAATTCCATTTAAACAGAAACGAAAACTACACCTTCACATATTAGTGCTTTTCATGACTGCCTGAAAGCAGGCCTGTTGCTAATTAATAAAAATTAATGATCCATTATCGGGTATCTCAACGCTTTCGCTTCTTAGGATCAACCAGTACATCTAATCCCCAGCTATCGTCTTTCGCATTAGGTAACCAGCCTTTGAGAACTTTCTTAGCATCTTGAGTGGCTTCTTCACGAACTCGTAGCGGATCTTCCAGGCGGTCACCAATCCGTTTCAAGTCTTCGTACGTCTTGAGATGTTGAATTGTTCGCCGAGGTGTCTCCAAATATTGCTCAGCCGGAACACTCTCTGCATGCCGCTTCAAGTCTGTAGCAGTCTCTAGACTGGTATGGCAAGCTCTCAAAGAAACAATATCGTCGAGAAGAGCCCACAACTTAGCTCTAGATAGCGATGAAGCACCCCGCGGACCTGGCGCAGATGCCTTGTTCCCCTGTTTCACTCCATTGACAAGAGTTTCATATATCCCCGTCTTGGAGCGTCGCAAAGCAGGCAAGCTTTTGCTCCCCGTATCCGGTATTATCACGCATGAATGAGAATATGACGGCGCCGCTGTCCATACTGCACTCGCGTTCCCCGGCTTGCTCTTCTTAGGCAAGACCTCTGTAGGCTTGGGTTTCGAGAACTGCCACATTGCATGGACTTCTTCTGCAGGCACCGAAAGAATGTCAAATGGTCGAAATCGGAACCCAACTTGATTCTCTGCGCAGTCCTGGATATCCGGCCACGACCGTCCCACCAAAGCTGCCATTCGCCCATTCTGTCCAAATGATCGATCGCATCCAACACGACTAATCTCATCCTCGGGGAGAATGAAGCCAGCCAAGTAACTGTTCGCAGTAGGGGCGACGAGACGAGTAGTCTCGCACGATAGCAAAGAAGAGACCTGCCTCAATGCAATTTTATCGGAACAGGACTTGCTTCGCGTAGATTCCGCATCTGTGCGCGCCGGTTTTCGACGAACTATTCCAAGGAGAGAGAAGTGAGCTCGTCCATCGAGCATGCTTTCTTCGGCGCTTTCTGAATTCGGGCCAATATTGGCGTCGCGTGTTACCTCCCATGGAGTGGCATCTTCTTGGGTTGCCATGCAGAGCTCCATGCTTGCATCACCGCAGGGTGCGCAGGTACAGTACATGTAAATTTTGACGTCAGGTTGAAGCTCAAAAGGGGGCCAGTCTATTGACGAGGCTGATGCCGGGTCCTGATTTGACTGGTTTCTTCTGCGAACGAATGAGGAGGTTGGAGTATTCTTGCACTTCATTTCTTCGGCTATAAAGCCATGGCATTCAGTAAGAAGCCAGTAATTGAAGGCGCGGAGGGCTAATATCTCTGCGTGGCAATCGTGGAGCACGAGACCCCGACAGCGGGGGATATGAGAGGCGGACAGACATTTTGCGCCGGTTCTACCTGATTTTAGCATTTGACTGTTGAATAGAATTCTAGGTATCATGGAACATGTGAAAGGTGGGGGAGATATCAGTTTGATGTCCTGGGCCAGAGAGGAACTTACGTGACAGCTATGCAGTGCAGGCTCTCCAAAGATGTATTTTCTTCTAAATGGAATCAGCAAGGTTCCTATGGTCCTCTTCCGGTTAATTGCTACAACGTACCTTTGACAGCAACAATGCCGGTCATTGGAATCCACTCCCTCGAGCCATCTGGAAAGATGCTTGGCTTACTGCGAGTAGGCAGAGCATCGAAATGCGAATGAACCAGCGACGCTATGCGCGACGGCAGAGAGGCCACTAAAGTAGCTCCAGACATAATTCCATGAAGCCTGGAGAGAAAAGCGTTCCCTCTGAATATAAATGAAACTCTGATCAGGTCTAAAGTCAGGAACGAAGGTGATCAAAATGTGCCATTGATATTGAGTCACGTGATGCGACACTCCATCTCGGCTCCAAAGTTCGCAGCTTCTTTTAACTACATCCAAATACACCCGAAACAATCCCTCACAATGGCCGATAAGCTGCGCACCCTGCAAAATCTCGAGGCTCTCCAGGCCCGATACATAGGCACCGGTCACGCCGACACCACTAAGCACGAGTGGACTTCCAACATCCTTCGCGACAGCTATGCCTCCTACGTGGGCCACAACCCGCTGCTCTCATACATGTCTGTCGGTATGGGCGAACCCAAGGAGAAGGTTCGCGTGATGATGCTAGAGAAGATGGTTCGCGGCGCCGGTAACCCTCCAGAGGTATGCGACTCCTAGATTGCTTATGGCGCGAGAACCTCTAACAACCTTTGCTTCTTTAGACGCAAGAATAATCGGTCAAACCCAGAATACTTGATCGTGCCGATTTCATCGGTTCAATCTTCATCCCTGAAGCCAATGTCTTTGGGTCTTTTCTCGTCTTTATCCCCCAACGCGCGCGCCCGAAACCATAATGATACCCGCCTTGAACAAGGCATTCTGATACATCACGAATTTCATCACCATAATCACCTCGAAATTTGGGCTATCAGAAGCAATCCAACAAGCGCATATGAGAATGTTTCGTCTCGTTGCAAGGATCATTTCTCATCCGCAATATACAAGTCGTTCAGAAATACCTATTGTTCCGTGGAGGCTCTCCCCCGAGAAGAATATCGTCATTTTCTTGTTGAGTGACTTTAGCAGAAGGGGCACAATCGATCGCTGATGCTTGTTGCAGTCTGCCAACAGTCCTGCATTTCATGCAAAGTTTGGATCGCATGTGAATTCGCCCGCGAGATGCCTGCGCCACATACCTACCTTAGCGTTAAAAACATAGGTTCCTAAATCTCTAAATGGATCTTAAAAAGGAAATGACGATTTCATGCTCAATTCCCGAGGAGTTATACAAACGCTGCGGCTCTAGCCCGAATAACGTACCATAGACAGAAATGCAAAAAGAAGTAGCTAAGTAACACCCGCCACAGAAAAACACAGAAAAAGCATTCACATATTGGGAAGTATCCATGGCCTTTAAGCTTTCCCAGATCTACTCTCGGTGCTCGCCGCGGCCAACTTCGTATTCTCGGCCTGCAACGTAGCAACAAGATCCACCCATTTTTGTCTCTCCGCACGCAGCCTGCCAACCTCCTTCTTCAAGTCTTTGACTTCACTTCTCAAACTCTCAACCTCAGACTTAGACTTCGACTTCTCTGAACGCTCAGCCACTTTCTTCTGCTTCGCTTCAATCTTCGAAGCAATCTTGATCTGGCTACCCTCGATCTTGCGAAGCTGTTTCAGAAGCTTAGACTCCTCGTGTAAAAGCTGCAAGGCAGCCTTGTGCACATGCGCCGGCGGCTCAGGCGTTTGGGTCTGTGATGACTGGCCCTCACTACTATCTCCACCTCGGTGGCTGCTAGCCGGGGTAGAGGATCGATTCTCAGCTGCGCGTTTGAGCATGCCGCTTGTGTCACTGTCGACATCATTGACGAGGCCTTTTGGTGGTGGTGCCAGGATGCTTTGCGATGGGACCTGAGACTTATCTAGCTCGGCGCGGATTGAGTCGAGTTTGGCATCGATTTCGCGTTTGCGGAGGGCTAGTTTTGCGAGTTCTTTCTCGTGCGAGCTTAATTTGCCGTCTTTTGTCATTTCCATCAGTTCTTTTGGGGGAAGGTGATTCGGTCCAAGGTCCATTACTGGTGTGACTCCTTCGGAGCGGGTAGAGGAGAAAGAGGCCTGGTCTGGGTCTAAGTAATCGGCGCTGCGGTCGTGTTTGTTGCTTGAGGCTTTAGTGCTTTGAGATACGGAATCATCGGCATCTGCTTGTGGGAAAGAGCCTGGTATGTCGTGATGATGCGGGATATAGTCGAGGAATGCTTGAGGTGCATATCGTTCAATGCCGGTGTTGAGTAAGCCTGTCACACTGGCTATCAAGCCATGATGAGACTGGGCGTCTGTGTCTGTCAAGTCGGTATTATCTTCTTCTTCTTCTTCTTCTTCTTCGGAATGTTCATCGTCGGCCGGGTCGCCCTGGGTGCTGTTCTTGTTTGGAGCATTCGCATCTTTAATTGCCCAGGTGAGGAACTTGGCTGCATCTGCCCCGACGCTTCCCGGAGTGCCCTTGTTGACCATCCATTTGGGAATATTGCCTCCAGGATCGCTTCGGGTCACCATAATCCATTCGACTGGGTTCGTATCCTCGTCGTCTGAAGTACCATCAGCATCTGGGCTCTGGGCCTTGGACTCGTCAGAGCTGCTCTGCTTCTGTGGTTTCTTCTCAGAGCTAACCGAGCCAGATGAGCTCTCGATGTCTTGCTTAGGAATCTCCCGGACAAGCTCGACAGACTCATACTCTCCTCGAGTGTAACCAGCCTTATGCGGAATATCAGGATGTTCGCAAGGCTTGGAAATCATCATCCAGCTCCGACCCTGCTGTTTCGTCCCGCCTATCCGCAGCCCATGCTCAGACGTAATGATCAGAGTTACGAAGTCCCGAGGGGCAGTCGGCTTAGGGAACTGTGCAGAGACATGGTAAAGCGTGACCTGGCCCATAACCGAGCCATCATCATCCAAAACCTCCACACTCTCAACCTTCTCCTCAGCACCGATACCACGGATACTATGGTCAGGGGTTTGTCCCTTCTCGATCTTCTTCCGATTAACCTTCAGTGTCTCATCGTACTCGGAAGAAAGCTTCTCCTGCCATCGTGTAAAGGGCAAACCCTCGTGCACACTGCGTCTTCCAAACCACTGTCCACCATTATCGTTCGCATTTAACTTCCACACGTGTACACCGAGCGGGTTATCTTTCGCACCGCCCATTTTAATAGGCTTTCCCCACTGCTTCTGCAGCGATGTAATATCGGGATCCGTTTCCCCCACTCGGACGGACGATGGAATGACTCGCCGCCTGGGCTCTGCGGTCTCTGATTCCACGCCATATTGTTCCTCGTGCTCGTACTGCGGGGGGTCTGGGAGAGACTCTGCTACCAGACGACCCTGTTTGAAGATGTCGCGTATGTATCCTCGTAGCTCCTGGGGGGAATGGGGCACTTCCTCCCATGACGTCGGTTTGAGGCACTGGAGGGCCTCGTGTAGAGTAGTCATTGGAGCGCCTGGGGTTCACAAGATAAGACTTATGGCACAGGTATGAGGGGTACTATGCAGTATTCGGCAGTTGGATGTCTGTGACTTCAGGCTGTCAGCATTGGTCGGAGAAGCTGTACCGAGTGCGGGGTACAGCAAAGGACACAGGTGTCTTTAATAGTATCCGGCTTGGCGAGAACAGGAGATCGAGAGGATCGTACCAAAGATCGACAGTTCCAGCGTTCTCAAGTCGGGTTGTCAAACCCTGGAAATCCAGCCACAGATGGGTAGACTGAGAGGGGGCGGATGTCAGATGTCGCAGGCAAATGAGCGGAACGGCGGCAGGGGCTATGATTTCAAGAAAGAGCCAATTTGAATATGCAGGATAGCTGTATACCTCACAAGTAGGAGAAAAGTATGACTTTTTCTTTCTCAAAAGGAGAGACCGAGAGTAGGAAGCATTGAAAAGCTGAAGCGGATCCTTGGGCAGGGTACTGACGTCATATGCGGATAGCTCTGCTTTCCCCAGTTTGTTGTCGAGTGGAGACCTTGTACCTGATTTTCTGTGCATGTGTTACTTGTTTTTGGTATTTAGCGGTAGGATGATTCTTTAGAAATAATGCTAGGTCGCTAAGTCGGGCCAAAGGTCGAGCCGGAGATTCCGGGAAGTAATAATGTCGTTGTACGGGTACGGACGAGGCTATCCATCTGTTAAGCAACAGATAGATTACCTTAATATTCTTATGTGAACGTCACTTCTTTCTTGGTCCTATTTACTACTGCTTAAACCCCATCTCACATAGTCTACGGGAACAGCTTTGGTTTGTATGCATCTTATAAGTATACCTAAAGATACATACAGATTGGGACTAAGCTAACAGATTGACGAGAAAATCAGAAGGGAATGTCAGCCAGCGCAAGGGAGTCTAGCCCCCAGAACGCAGACAACGAACAGAGTGACCAGCATCTATTCTCGGTGTTGGGAACAAAGAACGAAAATGACCCGATCAACCAGTGAACGAGCCCCCAACAATCCGAGCGTATCCAGGAAACAAATCCAGCCTGGATACACGTAGGGGATGTACCTATAGACCATCTGCGCTTGTATGACAGTGAGAACCGTAGCACTCGAAGGGGAAACTTGCCAGTCGAACCATTCATTGCTTGGGGCGGGATGAATCTCCAGGTCACAGACTTCAGGATTCAGTCCAGCCCTTCGCGCCCGGAGACCGCCACAGGCGGGTCCCCGTTTCTGACAGAGACGATAGCATGTTTCTCCTCTCCGGCACTCGGTTTTCACCATAACAAACCATAGATGGCAGAAAGAGGTGTGGAATACTGTGTCACAGACAACAATAAACCACACAGTCGCGTAGACGTCTCCAAATAACCCAATCAAGGGCTTTGCCAGTCAGGTATCCTGTACCCAAAAGACCGTCCTCAACAGAGACTGGCAGGGGAACTGGCAAACACCAATCCGGTCAGTGATTGAGTTCCAATGCCAGTCCTGTCGAACCGCAACGAAGAATCGAAAACATAATAATGGACATTCCACATCCAAATTCATATCCCGTGCCGCGAGGCAGACCTGGTCTTCATGACATATATGTTGGGAAATGAAAGACAAAGAACAAAAAAAGCCGACCCGCCGCTTATCGATGCAAAAAAGAAGGAAAGAAACACAAAACGCAAACGCTGGCTGAGAGAACAAAGTTCACAAAAACACGCATGTCGTCGAAGGAATATCTTAAAATATGATGCAAAATCAGACGAAAGGGAGTATCACGAATGCACAGAGTCGATCGAAGAACGCCGTCGAGAATGCCAATTAGTCGGTGACTGAATGCAATGCTGTTTGCTTGCATCGCCAAGTGAGATCGATGAGGAATGACGATCCTGAGCCGGACGATCTACGTCGGGTAATCAGGGTCGACATCGGGCCGCGAATGCGCCGCTGGCTGGCTGGTGGAGTCGACAACATCGGGTCTACTCCGGCCTGGGAGCTATATCGTCGTGCCGTATGGTAACGGGGCGGCGAAGCTATCCCAGCCGAAGCCCATGCCCATACCTATTCCCATTCCCATACCCATGTTGGCTGTCGTGCTGCAGAGCATGCTGGGAAGGGGCAGAGATGACATGGCCGCCGAGGTCGTTGCCATGCAGTCGTATGTCTGGTACGGCGCGGTGGTGTAGGGTTGGCTGTAGGAGGGTGTCGGTGAAGGCAGCTGGGTCTCACTGAAACCAATACTGGCCCAAAGATTCGGATTAGAATCACCCGTGCTAGCCGGGGATGGGCTGGGCGGCAGTACCTTCCACGATTCGAGAGGCGCGGACGATGGGATGGGATTATGCCACCAGGTTTCAGGTCCGGTCGAGCTGGGCAGGAGAGGCACCGGGCGCAGGATATCAACCACGCGAGGCGGAGGAGGCAAAAGCGGCACAAACAGGCCTGTGATGGCTGCTTTGGCCTCCTCGCTCCGGCCGCTGAGCAACTCTCCTGCACCGTCCTCCTCTAGTCCCTCCAGAGCCTCGGCGTGGGCCCGGTATACGAATCTGTTAGCAGCTTGAACGAACTCCTCCTGCAGTTTCTTCAGCTGAGCTTGCTTCCCAGACCATTCCCATGTGTTGGCAGCAGCGTCGACCGAGTAGATGTCTTTATGGAAATCCACCAGGGCTTCGATCGTCTCCGGGGTCAACTTGAAGGCCACCTCGTTCCGTGAGACCATGTCGACGTGTACGACATAAGCCTCGATGTGGACCATCTGGAAGTTGAAGAGGCCTTCCACCAAGGGATTATCATCCTTACGCAGCTCAGCTTCGGGGGCTTTGGTGAACATCATCGAGCATAGGGTCCAGATCGCATTGATTGACGATAGCGTCTCTGTCAAACACCGGGTATGTTGGGTGACGTTGTTCAGAGGGCGCTTCACTCGGTTGACTCGTTTCAAAGTCGCCGTCAACCAGGGCACGACCTTGCTGTTCAAAACGACATTGGGCGAGGACCGCGGCGCAAAGGCCGCGGCCGAAGATGGGAGTAAGACTGTTGGCATTATGACTCTGTGCGAATAAGGATACGTCCGGCGTGTTGTTTCGGTTGAGAGTCTTTGTTAAAGAATGTAAATAGTGGAAAACAAGGTCATAAAAGGCGACATCCGCCCACACAGTTCCTAGAGAGATAGGCTTGGGGGTTCGAATTGTTGGCAGTTCTAGGAGATCGTTCGCATACTCCGAGAGTTGTGTGGGGCGTGGTCTAATTAAAAAAATGTGCGGGCGAATGCGCGGGGTTCAAGAAAAGAAAATTATATAAAAGGAGAGGACATCGGTGATCGATGGGGTTAAAAGGAAAGGAAAGAACCTTGGAAAGGGAAGAGAATAAGAAAGGCGGGAAGGACCAAATAGGCAATGCAGTGGGGATTAGAATTCTCTATAGAAAAAAAGGGTACCTAGGGCTCGTATCTGGGTGTATGCGGCCTGATGGGGTCGGGGGTACCGTACAAGCGTAGCGTTTTGGCCACTTCTCGGACTCACCGATCTGCCGGCAGTCTCCAGGGCTTCGACTCAACTCTTTCGACTCTCGACTCTCGATACTCGATTCGACTTCTCGGGTGGCAAGACCTTCGCAGAGAATGTGGAAAGTGCAGGGCGGGAATTGAAACCGCTGCTATGTCCAACCGGGGAGTTTCATCGACCTATACAAAACTCTGCTCTTGTCCAGTCTCACATCGACCTTGCGCGTTGCACGTCCATTTGGCCAGAGCCTATATGCAGGATGCCCCAAACTGCAAAAGCTAAGCCCCGATGATCCGCGCTGCGAAACGACCAAAATCCTCCGATCGACCTAGAGACTGTCTCCGGGCTGCATAACTTTTCGTCGCTTTGCGGCAAGACGTAGCGGAGAGCCACGTTGTAGCTCAGCTAGGCTTGTCAATGGAATTATGCATGTCTATGATGATTTTCCATGATGGAAACTCGATGCAACTAGGCTACTCCACAAACCCTATACCAAAATAGTGGCCCTATCGCACAACAAGTGGGATGCCACTTCCCCCTCCCACGTTTTACGGGGTTCTATTTGTTTTCTTTGCTTTTGCATTTCATTTCAAACTTGATATCTCACATTCCACATCTCACATCTCACAGGGGATAGCGAGCAGAAAGGGGAGGGTTACAGTAAATATTACCTGAAACTCGAGCCCAGAACAGACGGATGTATCGAGCTCAGCTGAGAGACGACTAGACGTGGGGCTTCAAGCAGGTCTTGGGCCGCTTCTGCACTCGGATTCGCCGGGGGTCACCGAGTCCGGCCGTCGCGCACCCAGCGGAGATCCCTGCTACGATCTACCATTGGGCTGAACTACGTCGACCATCATGGTCTGACTTTATGGAGGCGCCCACTCGGCATTACGGTACCGTGCGGAATACCTGTACGGCGTTTTGAGTCGTTTTTTTTTTTTTTTTTCTTTTTCTTCTACTGTATTGATTTTGTACATGCCACAGGGCCACATGATTTCCCGGGTGATCTCATCTCACGTCTGACAATTCCTTTATCGTGCATTCATGCACCACAGGGCTTGCTCTCGTGCAATCATAGTCCCTGAATCACAAACCCTGGAGCATGGCGGCATATGAGTTCGGTCATGTGGTCTGCGCAAGGGGGGCTGCCTTAAGCTGCGGTTGGAGTCGGTCATAGAAGCAGGAAATCGCAATGTTTTCGGAAACGTAAGACTACGTCAGTGTTGAAGGAAAACTTTGACCGTGGGGTCGTGGATCTCTCGTGGATCTTCGGGCCAGAGGATGATGCTTCTGGTCTGCCTAAAATAGGAATTGTCGAATGCACTGCGCCTCACTAGCGCCACGTCACTCGCCACCGTGGCGGTGCTGCCGCACGGTCCACGCTTCTATTCATGTTCTATTCTTGCTCAACGGTTTTCAGCGGCTAATAGGCTTTACTGTGTGCCGGTTGGCCTCGGTATCCAATTGAATAAACCTCAAAACTTGTTTTCAAAACAGTAAGGCGAGATGCATGGGCTCTTTGAACCCGTCCAAGTTCTACCCGGGCCGTGCGATAACGGACCTACGTATGATCATGGGACTCGGGCACAACAGAATGGTTCAACAATACTACTAGATTCAGCAGAATCTATAGTTCACTATCTGAATACGTCCGCTATGAGTCAATCTGTGCACCGATGGCGCTAAGTTTGAAAACGAGACGCCGGCGTCTACTCCGACAAGATCAAGGTGAAGAATCAGAGTGATGCCCATCTTCTTACGTGGGTGATCATAATGACGTTTCAGATTTCTTGAAATTACGCATGAGTCACTGTCTTCGTTGGAGAGCCTAAAGTTGCTGCCTATCCTAGATCCTGGGATTTGAAGTGATGCACCTAGTTGGTATCAGAGGTCAGTAGTACATTGGTCCAGGCGCTAGTTGAAACTCATATTCATCTACGGTAAGTAGTCCCCACCCGTCTCCTTCAATAGTATAGTAGAATTCAAAATCGATTTACCCCCAAGACACTCACGCTTTGTTTCTCGCCCGTATCCGAAACGATGCTAATCCGCATAAGGCTACTTTGAAGATAACTCCAACCTAGTAGTATCGTGGTATAGAACGTGTTGGATGCCAGTGTATAAAGTCTCACTATTTATCACCGTGTTCTCCCCTACGATTTTCTAGGAAGGAATCAAAAGGGGTGGGGGTGGAATCTGACGATTTGGCTTGGTCCGCGTCCACTCGCTTTCTTCCTTTCCTCGTAGTCTCCGTTTTTGAATGCCTCTTACATAACGAAAGATGTACCACTGTTGTTAGATACTAACCACGTTAGGCTCACATGTTTCTCATCATGCCTCCTAGGCTCTTGCTTCCCGTTGTCGCTTTCGTTCGTGAGGGGGCGTCTACATCTACATATAATTGATACCGCCTACTTGCGAGATGACATACCTTGAGGCTTTTGGTTGTATGTAGATATAAATGGCAGTGCATACGATAATTACCTCTCTCGACCGAAATTGCTGGAATTTTGGAATAGAGATTACAATATGCCTGAGGCCTACCCCGGAATACTTCCGAAGCCTTCATGCTACACAGTCTGACTGTAGTCCTTCGAAGATATATAATTAATGCAATTTATACAGTATCCTAAGTATTGTGGCGTTAGGATTCTAGATGAAAGATAGTAAATTAAGCTTAAAGTGAAGATAAACAAGAAAGAGCTAAGATAATGCATTATTTACTAATTTCGAACCCATCATAGGCCTTTGGCGCCTTCCTTGCCCTTCCAGAGTGATTGACTTGACTTATTAAGGGTATACCACTATTATAATCACTTTATACACTCTCATGGTCAGGCAAAACACTCTTTCGTCTCTTCCTTGTATGAATAGATAACCTCACTTCCTCCTCAGCTTCCTTAGTGTCACGGATAAGATCAATACCTTCTATACTAGATGAAGTTTGCTCATTTTCACCCTCTTTAGAGACATCGAAACCCCGGCCTAGTTTAAGCTGCTTGTCTTCTACATGCATTTTGGGGCCGAAAAAACAGAACTTGCTTAGAAAAATCCAATTATTGGTTTTGCTAGTCTAGGAAGTAATTGTTGATATGAAGAATCGTTTACCCAGCCAGGCCAGCCTTCCGGAATCAAGATAAAAGTTGGGTAACTGTGCCAAGAATTCCCAAATAATCCAGACTGATAAAGATTCTGTGCGTTGTATAAAGAGGTTGATAGATTTCTATCCAACAGTTTTGCACCAGCATAGCATTCAAACATTCGGACCATTTTCATTATATCATCAATTGCTCCTTTCATCAGTTCTTGCTTCTTCAGTTGCTTCTCCTAAATATCTTCCATCCAGTCCCCCGGACCAGCTCTCGTAGCTATTTCAGTACAAACTCAAAAATTGGTGTCTCTATCCTCTGTAGAGACACAAATACCGAAGCCCAAACTGCGTCAATTCTCTTTTATCCTTGTGTTGCTCCTCGATGTGAGCGCTCTTGTTCTACGGCTCACGCAGGGACGATGGTCAAGGCAAGTAATCTCATCACTGCTGTGCTCTCATTTGGCCTTGTTAGCCGAAGTGCTGCCGGCTAAAACGGAAGCCATATAGCTTATGTTCCCATTATAGGGGATTGGGATGATGGAGCTGGAAATATGACGGCTTATTCCGTACCGTGAGTTCCGACTATGCTCATCTATACGAGTATAATGATCTGGAAAAGCGAGATACCCTCGACACTGTGACATCGATTGTTGATACCGGCAGCGAAGTCGCCATGGGGATGTTTGCCGGTCTCGAAATCTACCAATACATTGCCAAAGTAATAAAGCAACGGTCCACAGCCAACGTATGCACCTTGACCTATGGTGATTACACAGAAGACGACAAGTCAAAGGCTATGCCTACCGAGCAATCACAACTAGCACAAACTACAGAGCTACTGGCTTGTATCCTGCTATCCTGAAGGCTGTCAGAGAATGTGCCAATAACTTGCATAACGGAGGTGCGACGACTGGCAGCAGCAAATTTAACCACGAGGGTTATTGGACTGGCCATCTGTGTCTTTCTGCGGAGCCTAGAAAGATGCCAGCGTCGGATATCACTTGTCCATCCTAAGGGAATGAGCAAGATGGATGTTAGCTATTGGATTGCATTGTCAAGCAAGAATTCTTATGGACTCAAGGAATTTGTTGTATCGATGATAACAACAACATTGCCCGCCATAATCTTTTTTCCGATATCAGTATTTGATAGGTTACGTAAGGGGTATGGGCTCATCAAACCTCCATGTAACGACCAACTTTACGGGCTACTGCTTCCACATACGCATCCATTACAAAAAGTATTATTATTTCCAGTGATAAGTATTTGCATTCTGACAGCGCGGTCGCAATCCACTTTCCGCAAGAGAGTCAGAATCCTCCAGGCGTTTCAGAATTATCAAGGAGATAAGCTTTGCCGTATCCTAGACCTACCAGATTAGGACAAGTCTGACCCTTGGAAGCCTGAGGCACATAACATATCGCAAGCATCAGCTCAGGAGCGGGTGAGAGTGGAAAAAAGACAATAGTTCTTTCCGCGGAAAATAGATGACGAGAGGGGCAAGTGGCAACTCTGAAGATGAGGGGTAAAAACGCCTACTATGCAGTAGATCAGAAAAGACTCCATCAAGCCTTTCTTCAATCAAATTATACATCACATATTTCCGATGATATCCTTTCTCGATCTGCCGGGCGAGATTCGGCTCATTATATATGCTTATTCACTTGATCCAAATGAGTACGTGAGTGGCTACCGAAAGATAGAAGATCTACTGGCGGCCGAGACAGATCGTACTCGCGGTCCTATGTGCACATACCCCCAACCTCATGTGAAATGTTACACGCCTTCGATCCTTTTGATAAATCGGCAAATCACTATGGAGGCACTTCATGTTTTGTATAGGATACCACTCAACCTTTACGGAACACCCAGTACATACTTCACCATGCGCCCGATGGACATTACAGAATTCATCAGTGAGCACTTACTTCAGCAGATTCACTACGGTGTTTTGAGGCTGGATAGTGCTAGCAAAAATTTTGTCTTGCCGCTTCTTGATATCTGGTGCGAAAGTAATTGTTTGGAATCGCTGGATGTGTATCGACCTAGGGGAACTCCGATTCCCCGGCATCATTGGTATGTTGTGAAAAGTAAGGTATGTCTTTCTTCAGCACTGGACAGTCATGTATGGCAGTTCTAACACTTGATCAGCTTCGAACATTTTCAACGCTTGTCCCAGTTGTGTTTCATAAGGTCGACGATCCGCTCAAAGCAGATACTGCTACTATCAAGAGTATGGGATAGTTTCTGAGGTCAAAAGTTTATTTTTCGATAAATAACTACCCATCTCAATTCATGTTAGCCAATCCCAATCAACAAATACGGATATTGATGAATAGAGAGAATAAACCATCTTTTCCGAAAATACGGTTCAGTTGAGCTTCAGTAGATATCATGTGCAAACGGAGCCTGAGTCCGACAGCGCATGCTAGGGAGATTAATGAGAGTTCATTAGTGAGATATTCAGGTCTATTAAACTTTTCGAAGCTCGGATTTGAGTGGCCCGATTCTTTGTATCATATGTCAATTCAACTTCTACAGCTATTTACCACCGGATCATGACTATAATACAAAAAGATGTATTGCTGGAAATCGCTCTAGAGAGGTGCCCATAAAGATGTTGAGGAAAAGCTGAAGAATCAAGTGAGGTGGGTCCCTTTAGATTATCTTCTCGGGAAGGCTGTACCTAGGTTCTCGATGACCATATGTTACAGAGTGTATCTAGATCTACAAAGGCCAAATGAGGCGGGTCGTTTATTGTGGAGTGGGTTCAAGCGAGTTTCTCAGGGTCAGACTACCTCTTCGGCTACGATCTCGTGCCGGGCAATTGATGAACCTCGCGCGATTACAGCGAATAACATATCTCCATCGGGACATTGCTTATACAGGGACCATATTTACTTCATTATCCGTCCGATCAGCAGAAGTGTCATCACGACTCAGTCCACACAGCCAGTCACCAGCAGCAGCTATAGTGAATCTCCCCAGGGTCAAAGTGAGGATGACACTCTCCTGAGCTCTTGGAGCGACTTTGGGGACTTCTTCGATGGCCTCAAGGACCTCCTTTCGCCCACCCTCCTTGAGGATATCGAGTCTTTCTTCCATCACGTCGCCTGCCTTCTGGATGACAAGACTACCGACCAGACTAAGTCACTGATTGGTACTGCCTCCAGAATTCTGGCCCAAAGCTTGATCGACAAGATTACAGGCTTTCTCGATAACGCAAGTGCTTTGTTGACTGCGGATTTTGTTCATGAAACTCAGGGTCTTATCAAGTCTGTCGCTCCTATCCTGACTCCTGAATTGTTCAAGGAAATCAGTGGTCTGCTGGATAGAGCTGGAAACCTCCTCACCAAGGACTTCATCAGGGAAACCAAGGGTCTCATTGGTACTGTGGCTCCCGTGATCACTCCTGATCTGTTTAAGGATATCAAGGGGTTACTCACCAATTCCAATTCGCTGTTGACTCCTCAGTCTGTGAAGAGTATTAACGGATTGTTGAGCAACGCGAACACCTTGTTGACCTCCGATTCTATCAAAGAAATCAATGGCTTGTTGAGTAATGCCAACACGCTGTAGACGCCTGAGTCTATTAAGGGAATCAACGGTCTGTTGAAAAATGCCAACACTCTGCTTACTGCGGAGACTATCAAGGAGATTGAAAGCTTGTTGAAAAATGCCAACACTCTGTTGACTCCAGATACGATCAAGAAGATCGGTGGATTATTGAACACGGCCAATGCCTTGCTGACTCCAGAGTCAGTGAAGGAAGTCGGCGGACTGCTGATCGGCGCCAATACCCTGCTTATTCCCAAGTTCATCCGCGAAACCAAGGGCCTGATCGGCAGCGTGGCTCCTGTTCTAACGCCCGAGGTTCTCAAGGAAGTCAGCAGCTTGCTGACCAACGCCAACTCGCTTTTGACCACCGACTAGGTCAAAGAGATCAATAGTCTGCTGTCAAATGCCCATGCCCTACTGACTCCCAAATTTGTCAAGGATACCAGTGGCCTGATTGAGGGCATCACGCCTGCCATCACGCCGGCCCTGCTTGCTGAGGTCGGCGGTCTTCTTCACACGGCTTGCAGTCTTCTGACTGACAAGTTCGTGGAAGACACTGCATACCTGATCAGCAATGGAACTATGCTGCTCAACCCAAGCTTCGTTAATGGTACTCGTGGGCTCATCAAGGATGTATCGCCGATCGTCACTCCTGACCTCCTGGCACAGGTGGGTGGCTTGCTCGATAATGTGGACGAGCTTCTCTCGAAGAAATTCGTCAATGAAACGCAAACTTTGATCGAGGATGCTGCGGATGTGAGTTCAAATCTCTCGGATCATTTTTGAACCTTGCTAACTTGTCTTAAGCTTCTCCCGCTGGTTATGAAGATAATTGGGTCGTTGTAATGCGTTTTTATGTAGGTTTGGCACAAGTAATTCATGGCTGAATACGTTTAATACGACTAATTGAATATTTTCTTGACCAAAAAAATCGGATATCTTTTAATCGTAGCGATGTCTCGAAGAGATGTATGGAATGGAGCATGATAAAGCTCAGGATAGATGGATATCCTAGAATGCCTCTGCATGACCTTAGGAACAGCTCATGTCATAATTCGTTTCAATGATAATGTGAATCTAGTTTCCAGGTTGGATATGGCGCTTTCGCATCAATTGTCTCGAAATGGAATCATCGGGGACAAAGAATACATGGTGTGCTCGGCCAGTTTTTGCATGGGCGCAAGCTCGTAAATCGCATGTCGATTTTCATCATTTGAAAGCAATGTGATTTGAAAGAGCCTGGTGGGATATGCTGAAGATCGGGCAGGTCTCTCGACTGCTTCGGCTCTAACCGGGACTGAAACAATGGTGTAGCGCCGTTTTCTGCCACGGTGCTTTGACCATCCATTGCAAGGAACCCGAAATATGTTGGCCGCTGGAGTTATTGATGAAATACTTGATTCAAGCCCCTTTCTCTGAAACGGGCAGTTCAAGGCTTCTAGCCAAATATGTTCCTCTCCTTCAGGCCGGAATATCTGACGCCTTGACTTCCTGGTACTTGGACAAGACCTTCATTTCTGTGTCGCGTTCCTTGGTCTTCTTATCCATGGCCCTTTGAATATCCCCTTTCCTCTTATCGGCCTCCTCCAGGGTCCTTTTCACTTCTTTGGCAGCCTGCTCCTGGGCCCTCAGAGCAGTTTCTTTTGTAGGGAATTCTTGGCGCAGCTTCTCGAGCTCAGCTTGAAAATCCTGTTCTTCAATCGGCTGACATGTGACCGGGTGGTAGCGGTAGGCTGGTAATGGCTCCTCTGGGACTTGGATCTCCGTGAGGTCTGGGTGGATGGGAGAAGTGCGGATTGAGGAATCGAGAGGGACTGCCGAAGCTGACTCGGATGGAGGAGACGGTAAGGATGCCTCGGTCTTCACCATAGTCGCAGAGCTAGCGTGTCTGTAAAGAAGAGGGTGACGAAGCTCCTGGCTTTCTCATATTTGGTGTTAGCAGGCGAGAGTAGAAGACAGGAAGGAGTCTACTACAGGCTCTTGTGTCACGTGATGTGGTCATCATGTGACAGCTACTTCAATGATGGACCAGGAGCTGACACGTCCTATTTTGTATATTAGCGGTCATATAACCGTGTTTCTTTTCTTCTCCATCTTTATTGACCCGTCAAATACACCTTGGTATCTTGTATCTTCATTCTCTTTCTCTAGGCTTTGATATTCTGCCGCGCTCTGCTTTCACCGCCAAACCGGCTTCGTATGCGGGGAGATTGGCTAACCTTCTCGTTGGAAGACCATTTCAAGCTCTGGTTGAATCTGAAGCTCTGAAACGATCAGATACCTTGGGCAGGTCCTAGGTAGACAAATATTTGGCAGTTGACAGCCGGTGCTCCGACATTTGCAGCATCACATCAGTGACCTCATCGCATACAGCTGAGCCACCATGCAGGCTTTCGGTAGGTCATGGCTCGTCCTTAGGCGAGCAACTTGTGTTATTGTCCGGGCTTGAATTATTGGTCTAACACTATATTCCCATGCCAGTCCCCAAGAACAGAAGGGTAAGCTCTGAAGGTCCTAGGTGAAAGATCAGCTACAACTAACGTACGCGTCTAGCCTCGATTTGAGCTAGTCTTAAGAGTGAGTCAAGCTCTAACCTTATGGATCTGAGGAGTTCGCTTATTTGCTTGAAGATTAGCGACATCAACAATGTTCCTTTGGGCAACGGCGCAGCTTGGGTACGATGGCGCTTGCCATCATCAAGTGCCACATCAGAGCACCAGGGTCATACTGAGAAAGCAACCCTATCGGACCATCGCGCGTACTGGAATTACGAAAAGGCTCTCCAGGTTAGGCTTACCATTGACAGAAACTCAATGCTCCAGGAATGCGAAATGGTTTTTGAAGTCATTCAGGAGTTCCACTCATCCCCAACCAATGAAAAGATCACATTGGGCAAGATCAAACTCAATCTTGCTGAATATGTGGACAAAGTTGAAGAGGATGAGGGCGTTGTTAGACGATACCTGTTGATCGACAGCAAAGTTAACAGCACTGTGAAAATTGGCATTGCCATGCGTCAGTTGGAGGGAGATCGCAATTTCACAACGTATGTCCTCCGCAACGCAATTGAAGACACCCCGCAGCTCCAAACTAATTATGCACAGGCCTCCACTGAAATCCGCCACTGTGTTTGGGGGTATCGCAAGAGTTGTGCACGTCGCTGACCCCAGCGATTCCGAAGAGATGGGTCATATGCCATCAATCAACACCAAGAGCAGGGAAATTGCGGACATGCAAGATATCTATCGCCGCACCCTCGCAGCCTCCTGGACATCCCGAGCGTGCGACCTTCCAGCAGACAAATTAGTCGAGGAGTTATTTAGTGGGAGTTCCTGCTGGACCAGCAACATCCATAACAGTCCCGATCTTTCAGGGAACGAACAAGGGTCTCCCTTCCTTGGTGTTGATTCAGCAGTGAAGCAAACTCGATCAGGAAAAAGATTATCGCCCAGTTTCGAAAGCCGGCGTCCCAAGAGCTCTTCCAGCAACCATTCCCATGGTAGCAGCAAAACCCCCAACACAGTCTCCTCACATGGCCACCCTCGCAATGATGGTAGCCTCGAGCAGCAATTGTATGATGGGGCAAAGGGACGTGGGTGGAAGAGCCAGAACGCCGACAACGAAAGGTGTGAATTCGATGTTCGTGAAGATTTGAGAAGCTGGGAGGTGACAGCAACTGAATAATGAACCGGTCATCGGAGTCGTCAATTGATACATTCAAAATATTTATGGAAAATCATGTCTAAATACACCTGGTCTCTTTTTCCGATAGCCGAAAAAACCAAATTTTTAAGTTATTACAGAATATCTAATACACATAAATCTCGCCTGTTCGATAATCTTGCAACCCTGGAATCGATGAAGGCAATATTCCACCATTTCGAATTCCCCTGTGTCCGACACGGGCCTGGCTTTCATGCAAGTTTGAGGGTTCTCTGGTGCTGGAACCCCAAAGATTCTAGCTGTACAATAGTTCCTCGCCTAGGCGGGTGCGTGAACCCGAGTAGGCAGCAAAAAATAGAGGGCGCCTTAATTGATACATCTAGATACGTGGGGAATTTTCGTCCATAATCAATTTAATCGAAAATTCAAACTGTGTAAAAATATTAAGTGGACATTGGGGATTGAATGTGGATAGCAATATATATCCTGCAGCTCCTAGGTAACACTCCCAGCACCTGTGTAACCACATGATGATAGGTAGGAACACGGAACATCGAACACGCAGAAAGGGCCATTCATCGGACAGATTGCATCTGCCGGTCAAATTTAGATTGTAAAAAGGGATTAGATTAATTAGTATGTTTTGACTTCAAGCAAATTCATATCAAAAAACCGAGCGATGTTAAAAAGAAATCAAATTGCTCGCACTCGGATTTGAACCGAGGATCTCGTGATTACTAGTCACGCGCTTTACCAACTAAGCCATGCGAGCTGATTTATGTACAGCCCATTTTAGAATGGGACCATGAGAATTCGTGTAGTTCCAAGAAAGAAAAGGTCAAAAATAAACTGCTCGCACTCGGATTTGAACCGAGGATCTCGTGATTACTAGTCACGCGCTTTACCAACTAAGCCATGCGAGCTATTTAATGACGATATGAAAAATCTGCGCTACTTGAACCTTAAACAGAAGCCCCAATATATAACCGAGGTACACCAAAAGCAGATAACAAAATCGATGAATAGCCGCTTGCAAAGTTCAAACATTGTAGCCAATAAAAATATAATCCTGCTCAATCAAAAGGGGTGAGTGACCCCCGCTGTTGAGTAGCGGCGGTGGAGGATCAAAAAGAAATGCTCGCACTCGGATTTGAACCGAGGATCTCGTGATTACTAGTCACGCGCTTTACCAACTAAGCCATGCGAGCTAGTTGATGTGTTGTCTCATCACTTTGCGCTTCATAATGCACACTGCAAAGCTAGGCCGACAAATGACAGCGACATCATAGTTACAGGAGTCCATAATCAAGGTACTTGAGTAGCCTGAAGTGTCTAAAATCTAATTCTACCATTCGACAAGCAGATTTCCGGTAGTCTGGCCAAAGTCAAACTCCAAATGTTCGTAGGCTAGGCAGTCTTTGGTATAATGAGTGGTTCTGATTACGTCAATTTGTCGTAATTGCCCCCCACTCTAGTTAGTTCCTCTTTTCAACGCTCATTCTTCAATCGTGTTTTCTCTTTCACCTATAGACCAGTCGCATTTCTCTGTTCCGCTCCGGTCCAGGGTTTCATTATACTTTTCCGGGGCTAAACCACCCGGCTACATGTTATGCGGCTGCTATTTCAGTGCGAAAAATCCGATGGTTCTGATTGCAATGCTTTCCGGGTATTCCACCAATCAGCTCGCATGGCTTAGTTGGTAAAGCGCGTGACTAGTAATCACGAGATCCTCGGTTCAAATCCGAGTGCGAGCATTTCGTTTTTTGACTTTTTGCACTGTAAACATTCTTTACCCGTGAGGTGTACTACCTGTCTATTAGAAAGGCTTACATTTTTTGCTTTCGTCAGCCTCTATCCAATCCAATTCATTGAAATGATGTACATGCATTCCAGGATTCCATCACTCTAGTCTACCTGACAGCCAAAATAGTCAACTACCATGGAGTTGTTCTACTTGTCAATTTTGACTGGTGTTAGTCTAACGCTCTGCAGCTAGCTTAAGTCGTTGGCTTTAGTGGAGAGGGGAAAACTTTGCTGTTGGAAAAAAAAAATCTAGATAGATTGTAATATTGGAGACCACTGTCTATTTCTCGAAATTAGTCCTCAAAAGCATAGCTAATTAATTGTGATAATAGGAAGCCATTGTTATTATTATCCGAGAGTCTTGAACAATAGTAAATCTACAGTGTCTTGCAATATACTCAGTGTATCAATACACTTGGCTCTTATTTGCGGCTCAAATATGGTAGTTTTGATTGAGACTTATGGAACTGTGCTCATCTCTGGTCAAGCCCTTCGTATATGATATGCTCGTACCCTAGAGCAGGAAACCCATTTTACTCTTACAGTCTTGGGTCAGGGCTAAAGTAGTTGCAAACGCTATCATGGATGCTCTTCGATGGGGTTCTGACTAAGTAGAAAAGGTACACTCGAGGGTAATTGGATTGCACGCCCCGTTCAGTGAAGTTTATTCTTTTAGTAGAGGAATACATGAAAGGAGTAAAACTAAAGTTCCAATTTTTAAGCCCGCACTATCTAGTGTGACTAGGCTATATGACTCTCTTTAGGCTTATTGCCAGTTGGAAAAGATCTTGTTTGCTTTTGCTTTATTTGTTTTATATTGATATCTAAAACCTGCCTCTGGTCATTTCCCGCCACTTCTTCCTGTTTCCTTCTGTCTCTGTACACATGGAGGAGCGCGTTTTGCAAGAAAGTGCGGTTAAAAATCCCCCTCTCCTCTTTTCTTTACTCACTCATCTCTTTGCTTCACTTAAATTAATATATCGATTTTTAGGACTCAAGAGAAGACTTTCTATTATTTCTGGCCTGGGTTGTAACATATAGCACCTGCAAGTATAGACTGGAGGTGCCTAAATTCCGTTCCGCGGCCCTTGAAGGGAATTTTATTTCAATACTACCTACAATTTAGGTCGCGAGAAAGAACCAACCTGTAGTTGACTGTTATTAAGGATTCTTGGGGAAACTCGTACTACGACAAGTCCTTGCATTTACATACAGGAATTTTGTGTAGGAGAAAATATTTGCACACAATTTCTTAGGATTTGTCACAGGCCAGTACTGGATAATTTGTGTGCCATTCAGAAAAGTTCTAAACTGAGGAAAGAAAGAGAAAATGAGAGCGATCAACTACAAAACAATACCAACCCCGAGTCCCAATCGGGACTAGTTCGTTACACGTGACCTGTCCTCGAACTATGCGTCACAGGATTTTCAATATCTGATCGCCCTGCAAACCATTAGAGGAAGATGATGATTGACTTCCTATGCAATTTGTAGTCACTCAGAGAGGCAGATGTGCTCAAAATTGAATCTAAGGGGCCCTCGAGAGCAAGTACTCGACTCCTGGTGAAAACTGTTTTTGGAGATGTTGGAAAATTATGCTCATAGTTTCCTGATTGTTGATAGACGTGATAGAGTCAAAATACGCTTATTAGTCCACCAATCAGCTCGCATGGCTTAGTTGGTAAAGCGCGTGACTAGTAATCACGAGATCCTCGGTTCAAATCCGAGTGCGAGCATTTGTTTTTTTTTATTTTGGGGGTTTGCCCCTTCGATCGTTTTTGTTTATCTAGACCCTTTATGAGCAATTTTGTATGTAGCGCCGGCCCCTTAGGTGTGCCCTCCTGACACTATTGAAGCGTTGTTGCTGAAGTGGGGATTATACCTGTTTTCCACGTTAGAAGAGCTGAAACGAGCGTGTCTATGACCTTTTTTTTCCTTTCTGAAAACCCGAGTTGACGTCCTCTAATCATTTCACCTGCATGATGTTTGATTGTTTTAATTGACGCTATAGTTTTGTCTTGTTTCCCTTGGAGATTGAGTCTCAACATGACCCATAGTTGCGAGTTTGCTACATTTCGATGTAGCCGGTGATGGAGAACATTCCATATGGACCCCTATAAATGAATGTATCTACTTGTAAATATAGCTTACGAAGATTGTTTATTTTTGATTAATAGAAATAAAAAGCCCAACTTCTATCGAAGTATGAACGCAAATTAGCAGATTACTTATGGGCATCTATACATCGAGATTTGCCTGTATCTGTTTCAACTACCGGACAATTTCTGCAAGGCTTAGCTTGCATTAATGTGATACACATAGATTACAAATGTATGGCATTATTGGAAACAGAAAAATTAGTGTCGTAGGCGCATTCTGGCGAATCGACAGACCAAACGCGTAGTTTGTCTTTATACGATGTCAAGTTAGCCAATTCGATGTTTTGGCACAAATAGATTCAATTTATATTCGCCCTTGACCTAATTTCAGGCTGATTAAGGTCTAAGCATCTGAGCTCAAATAGTATATGTATCGGTGTTGTGATAGATCTACCTATGATGATGTATCGGGCCTTGTGAACACCCGGGGCGTGAGCCCCACAAGTGACGGACCGGCCTCGACGTGTAACTCCTTCGGGTCCAACTTCCCACCTACACTCCGCGCTCCTGCCCCAAGGAGAATTTTTGTACAATCTGATCGGGCATAACTTTGCTCTTGTCCTTTATCCGTTGAAATCCGCCCACGGCGACACCGACAAGCACCCTCCTCCTTCCCCTCTCGACATGAACATCATGCGCGCCCAGTGATCAACGGTTTACGGTATGGAGAGAACACGGGTGGCTAAGGTTCGTTCCGCCAGGGAATACTAATAGTATCAACGTGCTAATTATAACTATCGCTGCAGGTTGACAATGTGACCTTGGCTCGCCGTGGTGAGCAGGTCGACGGCACGCTCCACCTCACCCCTCACCACCTGATCTTTTCTCACGTCCCTCTGATCTCCGGCGAGGATCAAGCAAAGGGCGTTACGATAAGACCAAAAGAACTCTGGTTTACCTACCCGATCATCGCCTTTTGTACTCTGCGCCCGGCTCCCGCTGCCTCCCGCCAGCTCTCCTCCATCCGCCTCCGCTGCCGAGACTTTACATTTGTCTGCTTCTATTTTGTCAACGAGCAGAAAGCCCGCGAGGTTTATGATGCTATCAAACAATGGACTT